ATTCAATCTGGCCGGTAAAATAAAGTAGTTAAAAAGCAAGTCTTTGCAAGGCCAGAAGAGCCTACCATTCTATATTATTGTAGATTTTCATTAACCTAGCTTCGAAATACGTCAAGTATAGAAAATATGTAATAATTTTGAGACATTACCTAATAGTATTTTGATAATGTAACTAAATAGCCTTAGAGAAAGTACAAGAAATGATATTACGCAACTTTTTATTATGTAATTTTTATGGTTTATATAATATCTTCCTCGATGTAAAACGACCCAACAAATTACTGCGAGTGCTGGGATCTTAGTCTAAATTTCACCGAGGAATAACTTTTTATCTGCGTTATCCTATGAATATAAAAGTACGCACTCTGCTGTATAACACGTCATTTGTAAGTCTATTCTACATCTAAGCCTAAGCCTAAGCTTAAGGCTAAGCCTAAACCTAAGCCTAAGCCTAAGCCCAAGTCCAAGTCCAAGCCTAAGCCCAATCCTAAGCCTAATTTTAAGCTTAAGCCTAAACCTAAACCTAAGCCTAAGCCTAAGAGTAAGCCTATGCCTATGCCTAAGCCTAAGCCTAAGCCTAAGCCTAAGCCTAAGCCTACGACTAAGCCTAAGCCTAAGCCTAAGCTTAAGGCTGAGCTGAAACCTAAGCCTAAGTCCAAGCCCAAACCCAAGCCCAAGCCTAATCCTAAACCTAATTTTAAGCTTAAGCCTAAACCTAAACCTAAGTCTAAAACTAAGACTAAGTCTAAACCTAAGCATACGCCTAAACCTAAGCCTAAAGCTAAGCCCAAGTCGAAACCTAAGCTTAAGCCTAAACAAAAATTAACTTTTTACTTGCTGTATTACTTAATAACATTTTTCACCTTATACTATTACATAATTTATCAAGATGTCTCATACGTAACAGTTACTTAAAACAAAGGTACACAAACTAAACCTCCCCTCTTAGATTGAAGAAAAACAAACGTCACGGCTAAATGGATATAAGCGCGACGTCGAGATAACCGCAATCTCGAAGTCTGCAATTACTCATCGTAACTCTCGACCTTGCCCCGCTCTGGCGACAACCTTTAAAATTATATAAATCACTCTTACCCTCGGGACTTAATTTTACACTAGGGAGGTTTTCAGTCAGGAAAAGGTCAGATTTTTGAAAATTAAGTTATAAATGCCATACCACCCCACTTACACTTTTAAAAATAAACCTAATAACAAAACACAACCTATTTCTAACCGTTTAAGAACATCAATAATAACTTGGCCCACAATTACTCAACCCATCTGCTTCAGGTTGCCAATATCGAATATGTAATGTCAAAAAGACAATCGCTTAAGACCCCCATTATTCGGGCCAATTAACCGGACGTCCTTCCGCTTATGGCCATCGAAAACACTTGAAACAAGCATGACAATCCGATTAAAGCTGAATAAACAATTTCGACTGTCTTCACGACATTTACATAATGCAAAGAACGAAAAATGGTTAGTATGTATACAAGAATGTACAGTAATATACAAAAATATGTTGTACGTATTTGTAGTTCTAGTTGAATATGTAGCCAATGTTCAATAAAACCTTTTTTTATACAAATAATCAGCTTAAGAAGTCATAAGCTTAAGCCTAAGCCTAGAGGTCTACTCATAAACATAACATACCTTTTCTCACCGTACGTTGGTTGTTCTTCATCACTGTCATCTTCACTTAGGACGTCCAAGTTATAGTGTTCTAATGACAAACTTTCTAACGACATCTGTAAATTATCAAATCCGAAAAATTTTTAAACAATTTACACGTTTTTATAAAAAAAATTAAAATTTTGGCATTTTAACTACTAAATTTTAAAAATTCGCCTATTATTAGATGCCGACATAAAGAACCCGCCATTTTTTACATGAAATTACAGACAAAGTATGGCGGGTTCTTTATGTCGGCATTTAATAAAAGTTTTAAAAAAAACCCTAAAATTTTCCCGAAAATTCAAAAAAGCCCGACCATGTTCCTCAACATCATACTCGAAGTCTAATCCGCTCGAATTTCAGGGCTTAAGGGTCAAGAAGTTATGACATAAGACATCAAACACTCCGCAAATAAAATATACACATACATATATAGTCGAGTTTCCGCTGAAGGCCCTAAGTGACATATGTCTTTAAATGACTCAAAAAGAGGTCAAAGTAAGATGAAGTAGGCTGCGAAAACTGTCTCTTTAGGACATGAAGGCACTGTCTCTTTAGGGCATGAGGGAACAGTGTTTAAAGACATGGCTTAAACTGTCTCTTATGAAGCGTAGATTGGACTGTCTCTTAAGAGTAAGAGTCAAACTGTCATTTATTTACAAAGAGCGCCAAAAGTTCTGTTCCACCATTTTTAAAAAAATATTTATTTTAACAACTACCTTACCCTAGCCTACCCTAGCCTACGTACATGAATAACTTCTTGATAATATGTTTCAGCAATGATGTTTAGATAAACGTGCAAGAAACATATTAGGTGCCGACATAAAGAACCCGCCATACTTTGCCTGTAATTTCCTGTAAAGAATGGCGGGTTCTTTATGTCGGTACCTAATAAAAGGTTTTTGATTGACAAAAGATGACAGAAAAGGCTGGATAATTCAACATTTTAAAAATATTTTAAATTTCAAAATAATTTTAAAAATTTCGAATGTTAAGGATAATAATTGTGAATAATATCCTAAAACCCGCAACCAAACATTCATCGCATCTCGCCTCTAAACATTCCGAAATGAGGCCTTCTTTTGGAATTCAATCGGCCGAAGCCTCGCGGGTAATTAGATTGGTCAAGATAGCGCTGCGTTTTTTACCAAAATGACCAGCTGATTCCCGCTCGTCTGCTGGGAATTGCAAATTTGTTTTTTGACCAGTCGAAAAGTTAAGTATTAAACATGATTTCCCAGCTGACTGAGTTTTCAAGTAAAATCTTCGGTGCCGACATAAAGAACCCGCCATTTTTTACAGAAAATTACAGGAAAATTATGGCGAGTTCTTTATGTCAACACCTAATATTTCAAGCAGCGGCCATAAAAGTTCAGTTTGCTTTTAAATGATGTCTTACCTAAAAATATTTATAAATGGTAGGTGTCGACATAAAGAATTCGCTATACCTTTCCTGTAATTTCCTGTAAAAAATGGCGGGTTCTTTATGTCGGCACCTAATATCATAATTAAGAAGTAAAGGCTTTGTGTATTTCACCCGGAACATCCTATTATGGGCGGGTTCCACCATGGGCGGAATCCACCATGGGCGGTTTCTCTATTATGATAAAATGTTGGTTAACTTAACAATTGTCAACTTAAGTAGTAATGTTATTGTAAAAACTACCTGACTCTACCCCTGACCTTTTTGGCCCTACCTGACCCTACCCCTCACCTTTTTGGACCTACGTGACCCTATCCTTTACCTTTTTCGCCCTACCTGGCCGTCCCCCTCACCTTTCTGGCCCTACCCAAGTCCACCCCTGATCCTTTTCGCCCTATCCATCCTTACCCCTGACCCTACTAGCCCTATCCGATCTTACTCCGCCATTCGTATTATACCTTATCCTAATTAATATGCTATACCATACCATGTAATACCATAACCTATACTACCTACTCTACCGTCACGTATCATAGTTGTTGAAAATGAATTTCAAACAATAACCAGTCTACCACTGCCCGCTTTTGCCCTAACAAAGCCTACTCCTAAACTTTTTAGCCTTACTAAGCGTACGCCAACCCATTTCAACCTTACCCGACCCTACCACTGACTAATGTTAATCCTACCCTACCATACAATTCCGTATGCTCTCTACTATACCATACCTACCTACTATACCATGCCATATTTGACTATACTAAATAACTTATCTTGTCTTACTTACCTGCACTGAATTTTTATCAATGGATAAATATTATAGTATACGATAGTGTTGTAAATATAAGGTTAGACAGGGTAAGATATGGTATAGTTTGGTAGATAGGATAAGGTATGGTATGAGATACTATGGTATAGTAGGTAAGTGAGGTATGGTATAGTAGGTAGTATAGGGTTTGTTATGGTATGATATATAGTATGGTATATTGGATATGGTAATATAGGGTATGGTAGTACAAGATACGGTAGGGTATTGTACGGTAGGTAGTATAGAATATGGTACGGTAGTTAAGCTAGAGAATAGAAGAGAATATACGATATAATATGATATGGTATGATATAATATGGTACGGTATAGCATAGTAAGCAGGATAGGGTATGGTATGTCAGGTAGGATGATATAGTAGGTAGAGTAGGAACGGTATGGTAGGGTAGGATTAAAATAGTCAGCGGTAGGGTCGGGCAAGACTGAAGTGGGTTGAGGTAGGCTTAGTAAGGCTAAAAAGGTCAGTGGTAGGATCAGGTAGGGCCAAAAAGGTCAGGGGTGGACTTGGGCAGGGCCAAAAAGGTGAAGGGTAGGGTCAGGTAGAGCCAAAAAGGTGAGGGGTAGGGTCAGGTAAGACCAAAAAGGTCAAGGGTGGACTTGTTTAGGGCCAAAAAGGTGAGTGGTAAGGTCAAGTAGGGCAAAAAAGGTCAGGGGTAAGGTCGGGTAGTAATACTGACTAAATAAGTTGACAATTGTTAAGTTAACCAACATTTTATCATAATAGGGAAACCGCCCATGGTGGATTCCGCCCATAGTGGATTCCGCCCATAATAAGGCGCAGCCATTTCACCATGCCAAATAATGTAAGTTAAAAGTTATTTATTTGTAACAAGTCATTGTCTTGATTCATTGAGCCAAAATTCAAATTTTCGGTTACACCAGTTTTAGCGTTAATTAATGAAACGATTGGGTTGGCCATCTGTAATTGAGTGAACCAATTGCAAAAGTCACTTAATTCTACAACGGGAACAGGATATGACATCAATGCTAAATTCGAAATTGGATGATTGTTATAAAGAATAAGTTTGCCAATTCGATCCGCTGTGGCAAATTTTTTGAATGGTGTATCGAACGTTCTCACTCGGACATGATCTAAAGTTAATTAAAATTAGTTCACTCAAAGGAGGGAAGACATTGTGCAATATGCAAAGTAAGACTTTTATAGGACTTGAATTGGACTAGGTATTGCTAAGGTAGAGCTGACAGTACAGGCAAAATTATAAAACAACAGAATTATGTTAAGTATTAAGTGCCGACATAAAGAACCCATTTTTACAGGAAATTACAGGCAAAGTATGGCGGGTTCTTTATGTCGACGCCTAATAAAGCAATCGTTTAATTTTTAACTTTATTATAGGCTCTAAATGACAGACGTCTTTAAATTTAAAAACAGTACGATAAAATGTTAAAATTATAACTTGCCTCTTTCAAAGCTCAAATAAAAACGTACGTTTACATTATTTTGAGATGTTACTATAACTTGGTATTTTGGCAAAGGCACAATGTCTGATGTAACGTATAGATACCATTTTTCAGTTAATTTAAGGTTTGGATCTGTTTTTTTAATTTGCCAAACATTCCATCGCTTGTTGTAAACCAAAAACTAAAATAGTGTAAGAATTTAAAGTTAGGTGCCGACATAAAGAACCCGCCATACTTTTCTTGTAATTTTTTGTAAAAAATGGCGGGTTCTTTATGTCGGCACCTCATAATTTGAAAATACATGTATATTAAAACAAAAAATTCTTTTAATCTTACCACATTTGTAACAAAATTGAAAAGAGTATTATAATTAAATAGAACCCAATCGTTATCATCGAGCTGGCAAAACTCAAATCGTCTGTTTTTTACACTGTATATTCGACATCCACTACCAAAACCTAAAGTTCAATATATTAAGATGCTGACATAAAAAACCCGCCATTTTTAGTAAATAACAAGAAAAGTATGGCGGGTTTTTTATGTCGGCACCTAATATGTTTCATAGAATTTTTGTCTATTGTTTAATGATTTTGTACGTCTTCTTACCCATAATTACTACAGAATCGCTTTCGTTAATAATATACACAGCCAAGTTTTCTTTCCATTCACAGAGTTCGTGTCTTTCATCAGTTTCACAATCAATGATGACAAGTTTGTTGTTTCTTGTGCGTAGTCCAAGATATTTCCTCTTATCGTACATATCACTGTTGTGTATGCCGGAACCAATTGCTTTTGGATATTGTGCGGCAATTTTATACTGTTTTTGAGTGTAAAAATCAAAAACAGTATGATTGCGGATAATTTGATAGCGAGATAGGCCGCCCGATTGAAATTGATATACATTTGTTACTTTCGAGCCTAGATCATATAATAGCACATAATGATGGCTAAAAACTATAAGCTGTTTTCCTCTATTAATAATGTCAACGCGCATTATTTTCCTAGCATAGTACGTAAAGTCGATGATAGTAAAATCTTTGAGACCAAAATCAATATTAGTCAGTATAACATAACCTTTTTTAAGCTTTATGGCCATTTTTCCGGTAAATGGACAACAGACAGCGTGTGTTCTGTTAAACAGATTAGAGTCAGCTGTTGCACGATATGAACGATCCGCAAATCTAAAATTTATGGTTTATATGTATATATATATACATATACATTTATACATATACTGATAAATCATTGTCAGTGTATGTATAAATAAAATCCACACACATACATATAGTCTTAAAAAACACAGATTGAAATGGCTAGTTAACATACTTTGAAAAAGCATAAGCCCAAGTTTCGCCTTTTAAGCGATACACCACATGGTCATAACATAACTGTTTAAAATTCCAATTGATAAGTTTGTTAAAATCTTTATTTACCATAGCCAGTGAACACATATCTTCCACTACAGTCACATGATCTATCACTTTGGGCCATAACTGAAGGTAAAGTCAATTTTTAAATTATAGTAAAATATGTATAATATATATTTTAAAAACTATAGTAATCAGCCGCATTTTAAGTACAATAATTGAGTTTGTTAGTGACAAAAAACTTACTTCTGGCAACAATTGATCAGAAAAAATCCTCATGACAAATTTCAATGACTGACAACAATACTAAAAACAAATTTTTCAAAATATAAGTGTAACAAAATTTAAATCCTTACAACAAACTGGTTATAACAATTCGTAATACCAATAGCCAATATATCATAAAAAATAAAAACTTGAATCGATTGTTTTCCATGGCGTTTTATTTGACCTGCTTTAACGCCAAACAATTTCTCAAAAAATCTCCGCCATATTGGCAAATTTGGCATTGTGTTTTGCTTCTAATTGACTTAAACTTACGCCAAGTGAACACTGGTACTCATAACATTTTCAATCTTCTAGTCTCGGGTAAAGCAAGAGCATAATTGAAACACAGTAGAAACTGATTGCAGTAAACCCTGCATTTTTAACAGTACAAGACAATGTTACGGTAATATGGCTTGTAAGCTGAAATATGATAAAAACAGTGTCTTTGTTCTGAGAAGTTTTTTGTAATTTGGTATTTTGTTACCGGCACATTGTCTTAATTAATGTAAAAGTATTAGGTGCCGACATAAAGAACCCGCCATACCTTTCCTGTAATTTTTTGTAAAAAGTGAGGGGTTTTTTATATCGTCACTTAATATCAAAGCATTTGCTAGCTTCTTTAGTTGGCAAAGGAGATCTTAGTTCTTTGAGCTAAAAAAAGTTGCAGCTGTTTGAGCCTGCAGAACTTTAACGTGTTATGTCCCTTTTCTCTTAATCTCTAGAATATTTAAAAATTAATTGATATAAAATTATCAAAAAATGGAAGATTATCGAATGAATCAGACAAAAGCTCAGCTAGCTGGTCAGTTTTATGTAATTTTTTAATTTTTAACACAAACTTTTTATTTTATTGTCAAAACAGCAAATTTTAATTTTTCAGGTATCAAAATTTCACTAAACAGTCATCCAGCCGACATATACGTGTATTATGCCAAGTCATTAGATAAAAAGTGTTTTGCTACAGATAAAACACGTCTACTATTTGTTAACCATCGATATAAACTCAAGTTACTAAAGTTATATGATGATCTTTTACTAAGTTTCCGATTTGATGGAGTTCATAATCACTTGGAACATGGTTGTTGCATTCAACCGTTTCACAACTACGGTATTTATCGTATTATGGCTTGTGTTTTGGCTTCGAAAATAGGAACAATTGACTTGAGGGAAGTTGAAGATGAAGCCAAATGTTGGGATGGACTAGTTGATAGTAAGTTATATCTTGTTATAGTTAAAATGGATGCTCAAACTATTATTATTAGGTTGTTCACTTAATTCTGCGCCCCTTTCTCAAAATTAACTTGTAGGGTATGGGGGCGCAAAATTATGTAAACAACCTAATATTAGGTGCCGACATAAAGACCCCGCCATACTTTTCCTGTAATTTCCTCTAAAAAATGGCTGGTTCTTTATGTCGGCACATAATATTATAGTACAAAGTAATATTTATAAATGGTAATCAACACATATTTTCAGCTTTGACCTACGTGACAGAGCAAACTGTAAATCTAAAGGAACTTCGTTGTTATAGCAGCATACTGAACTTGACTACTATAAAAAGCGATGTTATAGTATATAAATTAGTGTTGTTTCTTAACGATGAATTAAAGAAAGAAATCGATTGTGTAAACTTAGAAGTACATGCTAATTCAGCTTCTGAATTACAAGATTTATCGTTACTAACGTAAGTTGTTGTAGAATTATACATTGCTATTGTAAAAAATATGTATCACATGTGCATTGTATATAAAAACATGTATTCCATGTGCAATATAACTGTTATTTTGTAATTTTTATGTAATGTTTAGGCAACAAAATACCACTGTGAAGCAGTTGACGTTTGTAATTGGTCGATTAGATGGTCCATTCTCATTAGAACAGTTTTTGTTACATTATACTGCGCTAGAAACAGTTACTGTAGAATATGGTACTAGTATTTTCTTTGAAGATGATGTAAGTTCAAAGACAATTTTTATTTTAGGGATCAGAAGAACAATACTTACAGTGAAAACGTTATAGACCGTATATAAAACTCATAAAACGTTATATTTATAGATTGATCAAGAAGCCATAGCCAATCTACATCGAGAGATTGACAGTTTATCTCTAAGCTATCCAAATATAAAGTGTTGTTGTCAATTTAAAAACTGCAACAATCAATTAACATTTGGTATCTCTGGTTGGTTAAGAGCTCTTACTGAACAGTAAATTTTACGTTTTCTGTTATTAGGTGCCGACATAAAGTACCCGCCATACGTTCTCTGTAATTTCCTGTAAAAGATGGCGGGTTCTTTATGTCGGCGTCTAATATAACTCCATGGACGATAATAAATATCTTTTGTTTAATAATAATATAATAATTCGTACTTGTCTTTGTAATATTCAGTAGCCTTTCGTACATTGTTGTTGTACGTTTTCAACAAAAACGAATGACGCTATAATGCAAAGCGCAAACGATGATGAACTTGAGCCGGTTGAAGATGAAAGTGAGTGGTCACAACGCGTCTTCTGCAAAGGTTATATTACAAAAGAAGCGAAAGCCGGTTACCTGTTCGCTTTACCTTTAATTGGCAGTAATTTTGTGGGGGTAATAGTTGTCGGTGGAAGAGATATCGTATTTTCTAGAGAGGCAGTAGATATATAATCGTACTTTCTCTATACACGACAGTAAGATTGGATTTGCGTGATGGTATACCACTGTTTTCCAGTAGAAAAGAAACAGTAGAATACCTTCGGCAAAAAAATCATCGTATCTTTCAAAGAGACAGTAGACATACCGTCGTATTTCACGCAAAGTCAAACTTATTACAGAAGATTCACGGTCATCCGAAAAAACAAGGATTCAGAATCGAGTCACGCCTTTTAGGGCTTTCCTTTCTCTCGAGCTAATTGTCCGGTTAGAGCAATCGCTTTTTTTACACAGTCAATGTGATGGTCATCGTTGACGTAATGCAACGGTGCTTGGTGATAATTCTGATTTATGCCGGTGGGACAGCGTTGGCCTCGGACTCGAGCGTGAGTTTTTTTAAATTTCGTTAAATTTTTTTTTAATTTTTTTGGTTTTTATTTAAAAATATTAGAATTTTCAAGTTTTAGGTAACAATTTCGTGCTTTTCATTAAAATTTCTTAAAAATACGCTTTTTCACATTTTTAATTAATATTAGGTGCCGACATAAAGAACCCGCCATACTTTGCCTGTATTTTACTGTAAAAAGTGGCGGGTTCTTTATGTCGGCACGAAATAGTTAAGTTTTCTTGCAATAATAACGTTTCTTTTCAGGAATCAACATCGTCAGAACGTTGTGAATTACCAGTAAATTTTCAAAATCTACCGACTTTTGCTCAAGATGAAATTAGGGCTGTTTGGTAAGGCATTTCATAAGCAAAATTTTATTTATTCGGTGCCGACATAAAGAACCCGCCATACTTTGTCTGTAATTCCTTGTAAAAATGGCGGGTTCTTTATGTCGGCACTTAATATTTTATCATAAATTGGAATTTTAGTATAAAACACGATATTTTTTATAAAAATAGTGTCATTTTATCACTAAAAAGCTAATACCATCGCTTTTTAAACTAAAAGAATACTTATTTACAGGAAAAACTACGTTCCCGGCCAAAATTGTAAAAAAGAAGTACTAATCACTGAAGATATTTTATCAGTATTGGAAATGTTTGACAAAGAATTGATAATCGATAAAGATTTTTTGTCCTCTGGCAGTAAATTCAACCATTTCACTACGAATCCATTAAATCAACGGCTACATCAGAAGGCCTTGGAGGGTTCTGAAGTCGGCTTTTCTACAACAACTGCTGGGTCTTTTAATTCTGAAGCTACAAACGGTCAGAATCTGAATTCTCAACCTATACGAACTCAAAATCCTAATACTGATGGGGTTTTAAACTCTGATAATAGACGAATTCAAAGTACAAGTTTTGAAAAAAGTATAACTTCAAGACTTCCTAGTGCTGACGTAGAGTTTCCAACGTTAGTACCAAATATTGAGCCAGATTTTAGTGAAAAAACGTTAACTAATGACAATTCTAACTCAAATTTGGAACTACAAAACCAAGATTCTACACGATTTGGAAGCTTAGAATCTACAATTTCTCCAGTTTTCAACAAAGACTTTTCCACTACAACAAACTTTAGTCTGCTATCTACTACAACACCACTGGCAAATTGGGAAGTAGATCATACTGAAACGACTACAACAGTTTCTACCGTGAATCAGTGGATTCAGACGTTTCAACAGCCAAATATTAATCAGGATTCTGAAAATTTACAAAACCAACAAAACTTTAATCTTCAGGCTACAGAACAACAACAAAAGTTGGCACAAATAGCTCCAATTGTGCCAGAAGACAATGCTAGGCCAAGTAAAACAGTTCAAAATCCAGATTCTCGGCTCCGACAACAATTTAAAAACCCAAATGAAGTCTTAAAACATTTGAAAGATACCAGTAATAGTAGTGGTGATGACAAATCTACTCCAAAAGAACGGCTAGAGCATGATCAAACTGGTTTGAATTTAAGAACTTTGTTGCAAAGTTCAGAAAACGACCGTCAGTTAGAATCAAGTGAAGACCATCAGTCAAAATCAACTGATTTAGAAGCTTCTAAGCCTAAAATTGATCTCAGAATGTCAGAAGAAGAAAGCCCAAATTCAGAAGAGAGCAAAACCCGGTCTTCTGAAGACGATCAATCCCCAGAAGCGCCAGTAATCCACGATAGAACTAGTGTAGCTCATTTTAAAGGCGAAGACGATGTGCTAACTTCTGAGACTACCATTGCAGATTTTTCGAACTTAAATATAGAAAAGTCATCTAGTTATGACAGCAGAAAAGATTTTTCAAGTTTTGACAAAAGTAAAAGTTTTGTCAGACCAGAAAGCAAAAACAAGAATAACCAACAACGTGAGTATTTGGAAAAGGTACGAAGACCATTAAAGACCAAGGTGGACTTCCATGAATATCAAGATTACGAAGAGATTTTAAAACTTGAAGCTCAGAAGGCGCAAAGAGATGAGGAGAGAAAGCAGAAGGTAAGTATAACATTGCTTTACCTTACAATTACAGGCTGTGGTAAACGTTTTATTGGTTAAAAATTTGTTTTTCTATCTGAAAAGTCTTTAAAACACAATATTATACATATTATTAGTGATTACCTTCTTATATGAAACCTCAAAAACTTATTCTATTAATACTATCTCAACTAAAATCTGTAGTGCTAGCTATAGTACTATCTATTTGTTTAGTAGCTATGAAATTACAGGAGATTGGAAACGATAAGTTTTATGAACCTATTGACAGTGCTTTGCCATTTTTACAAGGTGCTAGCCCAGTAGTACAAAGAGTGTTTAAGGAGGTGCTGAATGACCCAGATGTACTATCTGAAGGGAAGCGACAAGATGAGGTATGATATTTGTTACCTAATTTGAAAGTTTTAGGTTGTTTTTGAAATTTATTAGGTTGTTCACTTAATTCTGCGCTCCCTCTCAAAGCAAATTTGTGGGGTAAGGGGCGCATAATTATGTGAAAAACCTAATAATAAATTTTTTTAATTTTAAAGTTATGTCAGCACCTAATACTTACAGTTAACTTTTTTGATTAGCTTTTCATTTTTTAAATACTCTTTTTTGATGTTTTATATAAAATTAAATTGATGTTCTATATAATTCTTCAGATCCACGTCCTAGCGGTATCGTACCTAAACCCAGAGCAATTAGAAATTTTTAACGACTGGTCGCTAGCTAGAAGGAAACGAATTCAACAACGCGAGGAACGGCTGTATCCATTATCTCGACCGGCTCGAACGGCACTCAAGGATCTCTCGCTAACAGCGCAATCGAAGCGAATGCGCAAAGTGCGATTGTTGGATTCTGAAGTGCGGGAAGAGCTTCGAGATTACGCAATTCGCCTAAGGGAAGAAAATCATTGAAGATGTAAGTTTTTTTGACCAAAGTATAAAGAAAACGTATTTTTTACTGTACCCTATCCTACCCTACCCTACCTTACCCTACTATATCCTACCGTAACTTGTATGATAAAGAAAGGAGTAGTAACGTAACATTAGTAGTGATAAATTACCTCATTCTATATCCTCTATTCCGACTTTACCTATTATATTACAATTGATCTTTAATAGTAGAATTTACAGCATTCTGTCCGGTGTTAACACTACCCACTAAATCGTACTGACCTCGTCACAAGTATATTATTTAATTCTTTCTAGGCTTGTTAATAATTTGTTTTATCTGTAAATAAAGATTAGAATACGTTTTTTGTGCTTTACTAGCTATATGTGGTATCTTTTTAGTATCGTATTGTTATATTTTCATACTTTACTATTATTAGGTGCCGACATAAAGAACCCGCCATACTTTACCTGTAATTTACTGTAAAAAATGGCGGGTTCTTTATGTCGGCACCTAATATTAGGCCGTTCACATAATTCTGCACCCCGTACACCACAAAGTTGCTTTGAGAAGGGGCGCAGAACTAAGTGAACAACCTAATAGTACTGTATTTCTATAACATCATACTATACCATTAAAATCCTATTTTTCATACTGTAAAACCAAATTTCTGGTCGATTTGCCACTTTTAGTTGTTCAAACTTCTCAAAAATTTTAATAAATTCTGTTTAATTGACCAAACTTGTTAATAATACAAAAGCGGGCAGAAATATCAAAGACATTGGAATCTTTCATAAAAAATAAGACATAGTGCTGGGGGTGCACTAAAACGATGACAACTCTTTCTATTCGGTAATTATACAACCAATGAGATTTTAAAAGACAAAATGTTAAGAAAAACTATTGCGTTAACAATACTGTGCCAAACGTTCCGAGACGACATTTTGAAATTGAAATTTTTTGTTTAAAATTTGAATTTTTGCTGCACCGTGCAACAAAACAGCTATAAAATTGCACCGTGCAAGTCGTCCGAGAACTTTTGGTTTGTTAAAAGATAAGACAAGATATAAGAACAAGGGTTACGAAAAAGACATGGATTTAGGCACGTTTTCGGATAGTATTAGGTTATTTAGTGCTGATTTCCGATGGCATTTAGGCTTCGCTGGCTTCGTCACCTCCGTCGTCCAATGGGCCTGGAAATAGTGTGTGTTAGTTCATAGTACGAATACTGAGATTAATAGTATTAGTAATACTATTAATCAACTTTTAAAACTTTTGTAATACTATACAGTACGAAACCCTTTATTAAAAACGTATGTAAAATTTTTTTAAAATCAAAATTTTTTGATACTGTACAGTACCAACACTCAGTTTGAAAAAATAAATCGGGGATGAAAGAGGAGTGGAATTGATAGTACGTCAACAAAAAATAACACGATATTACCCATAACACTGCCTCTTTCACACTCTTCCAATTAATCTTCTTCTAAAACATCAAAATTACATTATACTCTTAATATACTGAGTTACCACAGTGTATTTTGCCATAATTATACTATTTTTCACCATAACTATAAATACTATTCGCCACCTTATAACTCACCTTCAATGTTCAATGTCAACTCCACATTGGCCTCACCAGCGTCGTTCTTAATGTTACAAGTGTAAGTGCCACTGTCCTTTGCCTTGTAGTTCTTCAACTCCAACAGAGCGGTGTAGGTGTTGGCACCACCGTCCGAGTTCAGGAAAAACTTGATTCGGCTGGCTTCCTTCATCTTCTTGCCCTTAGGGTTCAACCAGATAACTTCGGGGTTTTGGTCGGCCTGGAATCCAATGTCGAACACGATGGCCGGGTCTCCGGAATCGCTGGTCTTTTGCAAGATCTGGGGTTTGCGGGTGAAGGTTGGAGCACCTTGTGGGACTTCGAATTTAACCGAGAAGGTCGCAGTCAATTTGCCAGATTCGTTCTTGGCTGTGCACACGAATTGTCCGGCATCCTTCTCCTTCTTTGGCTCCACAATCTCCAACGCGGCGTAGTACTCGTTGTTACCCAATTCCTTCGTGATGATCTTGTAGCGGTCGGATTCGGCCACGATTTCGTCACCCTTTTGCCAAACGAATGTTGGCTTCAGCAGCGATTTGGCCTTGAATTCCATGACCATGACGCGGCCATCGTCGCGCGACGAGATTTGTGGTTTTTCGAGGAAGGTGGGCGATGAGAAGCCGGTGAGTTTAAGGTTGAAGTTGGCATTACCTTTACCGAACGGGTTCACGATGGCACATCTGTAGGAGCCGGCATCGCTGTCAGCAAGATCCTGGAGAAGGTTTGGGGATTAAGGCATTGCTTCAGAAAATAAAAAGTAAAAAATTTTAAAAAAAGTAAATTTTGTTACCTAAAAATCAAAAATTTAAATTTTTTAAAATTTTAAAAATTTAAATTTTATCCATTAGGTTTTAGGTACAAACAACTATTTTTCATTCCGTTTGGCCTTTGTCTCGACCTGTTTTTATCATAATTCATTAAATACTGACCAGTCCCGATAAAACAGTTGTCGGCCGAAAAGAAAACGGCCGTGGGTGCCGAATTTTTTTAAAACTTTTAAACAAAAGGGTTAATTTCGAAATAAAAACATTTAAAAAATTTTTCACTCTATCTACTCTACTCTACTTTACTGTACACTACTCTGCATTATCTATCCCTACCTTACCCAACCCCCCCCCCTCTCTCAATTAAAATTTTTTAAATTCAAAAACTTTAAAATTGTCGAAACATACTTTGATTTGGAGGGTAGCAGAGTACGAGTCTCCACCTCGGTTGATGGTTTTGAAGCTGAATCGGCCGCCTTCCTTAATCTCATTATTCTCATAATGCCATTTAATGTCGGGCAATGGCTGGGCTTCCAGGAAGCATTCCAGCTCCAAGGAGCCGTCGTCGTTTTGTCTGGCGACTGGTTGTTGTGGGAAATGGGGCGCCTTTCCGTCAGGCATGGTTTTTCCCTCTGTAGTTGAACCTGGAATGGCATGTTTTAAAAATATTTTAAAAATTTTAAAAATCAAAACGTGAAAATTTAAAAGAAACTCAAATTTAAATACCTCCAAAGTCAAAATTTAATAAGTAAAACAATAATAAGCTTCAAATGTACTGTAAGATTTAAAAAGTTATGCATAATAAAAAAAATTTCAAAAATTTTAAAAATTAAAAAAAATTTCATATAAAAGGTACTATTAATAGCCGTTTTACTGATTGATTACATGTGTCAGAAAACAAACAAACTTGTTTCAATTTAGAAAAAAGACTTAAAAATCCACCCCCGTTTAAAATTTCTCTTTTGTAAAGAAAGTTTTTGCATTTATGCAGCCATAAAGAAAATTTTTATTTCTTATCAGTATATTTAAAAGCTCATGGTGTACAAAATCAAAAAAATTTAAAAATTTAGAAATTTATATTAAACAAAATGAATTTTTTATATATATCGCATAGTAAAAAACGAAATGTAAAGCAACATGTTGATCAATCCGCCGAAAATCCTCTTCATAATGTTGACCTTCGATATTCATGTGAAAAAATCGCAAAATCAACCAAAACGCACTTTAAAAATAAGTTTTATTTTTCAATTTAAAAAACTATTTGAATTTTCAATAATTTAAAAAAATTTTTTTTTTAAATTCACAAAATTTCAAAAATTTAAAATTCAAAAAAATTTAAAAATGCCATATACACAAATTGAAACAAGTCCCATTCGTCGAAACCCCCTTAAACCAGGCCCTCAACTCCCAATGGCATTGGCCATTTAACAGCAGTTCAAATGCCTTAATAACAGACGAATCTCCAAACGAAACTTTTGCGATCGGGGGCCGTGGCTCAGCCGCTGGGCTTTCTTTCGGCCGCCGAGAGAAGCGGGTCGGGAGAGAAGGGTCGAGAAACGCTGGGATCAGAGAGAAAAAGTGATTGGGAAATAGAAAAAAATCGTTTAAATTGTTTTTTTAATTTAAAAATATATTAGATGTCAACATAAAGAACCCGCCATACTTTCTCCTTTATTTTCCTGTAAAAATGGCGGGTTCTTTATGTCGGCCCCTAATAAAAATTAGCTAAAACACGTAAATTTAAATATTTTTTATAACTACAAAAAATTTTGTCATTTTTCTAAAAAATACTAAAATTTAACAAATCTTTATGCTTAAAAACCAAATTTAAACTTAAAAAAACGATTTTTAGATTTTAAACTGAAAAGCTTTTTAGGCTTAAGAAAATAATTTTTTTCTCAGAATAACAAGCTTTTAAGCCACTATGTAGGACCTATAGGCTTAAAAAATTTTTTAGGCTAATGTAAATACAGAAAGAAAAATCAAGCTTACATAACATCAAACAACTTTTGAGGATGAAAAATCGTTTATTTAGGAAACTTTCCTTTAGGCTTAAAATTTCGATTTTTGTATTAACCTTGGTCTATGTATAAACTAAGACTAAGCGCCGCAATCTACATCTGTCCTCAACTAGAACTTTCTTCAAAACCATCCACCCCACCAGCCAGTTAAAGTTCACCCCACCGCCCAGTTAATGCCTACCCCACCCATCAAACCTCAAAGAGACGCCATAGAAGCAAACGTGGCCGAGGCAAAAGACAAAAATCGACTGAGAGATCGGCACCCACAAAACCCCCCTTATCGGCGCCTCGAGGCGGGTTGGGAAACGAAAAAGAAACGGCACACGCCTACGCAAAAAGTGCGACCAACTGATCCAAAGCACCTGTCCCACCATTAACTCGTTACAAACCACTTCGATTAACGTGGGTTATCGGAATGTCGTAAACGTGAAAGACGACGTATTGGCATGGTAGTTTTTGCACTGTTTAGCTTGGCATGACAATATTAGATAAGATGTAACTTGGCATGGCAATATTAGATAAGATGTATCTTGGCATGACAATTTGGATAAGACATATAACTTAGTGTGGCAACTATAGATGCTATGCTTAAAATACGTACAAAGTAATAAAATTCTAAAATGACGTTACATAGTGAAAACGACCGGTAAAGTTTTGTAACAGAACTTTTGGCGCACCCTTGTAACAGAACTTTTAGCGCAAAAACAATTTTTTTAAAAGGCCGTATAGAATTCAACTTAATAAAAAAAACTTTAAAATTTAGTCAGAAAATACGTAGAAAATCAAGAAAAAATCATCTAAAAGGTCAAAAAACGGAACACCAGATTTTCATTTCAAAACAAATCCAAACCCCATTTTATTCGAATTTCAATCCCATGTGGTGGAATAAAACCGTCTGTTTATAATTTGTTGATACCAACAAATCAGAATAAACGCAGTTTTTGACATTCCAAGGTTTGAAAACTTTTGGCAAATAAAAAAAATTATTTTAGGGTTAACAAAGCCTAAAAAGATGTTTTAAACAGTAGTAAAACAAAAATTTTATTTCAAAAGAAAAAATAACCTCAAAAATATTTTTTATTATTATAAAGTATTTTAGGCTTATTACAATGGATTTCAGGCTTTTCAGTTGATATTCGGTGCCGACATAAAGAACCCGCCATTTTTTACAGAAAATTACAGGAAAAGTATGGCGGGTTCTTTATGTCGGGACCTAATAAAACACTAAAATCTTTATGACATAAAAAGTCTTGTAAGCTTAAAAGTGTTTTTAACCTAAAAGTCATTTTGTACATCTCAAACAGCTGTTTCTAATCCCAAACTATATATCTATCATTTTTCCATTCATTAGCACTTTTTTTAAACTAAAAAAAACGTTTTTAAGCTTACACAACGTTAATTTTAAACCCAAATTTACAACAAAAAATTCCCAAAAAATTTGATCCCTACCCCGGATATAAATCCAACAAAACACTTTTCATGCCATTTTTCAACCCCATAAAACCTAAAAAACGGTCGATTCCCAAAGAACGTTTTGTTTTCCATAATTTGCGTGAAAGTGTTTCAAAGTACGGAGAGAATTACTTGAGTAATCTTAAGCTCAAACAAATCTTCGGTCGATTTCTCCGCGTAAAATCAGATATTGTGTCTTATTGTCTGTAGGTTCTCATAAATTGGCCCGATATCTCGCGATTGCGCCTGAACAACGAGAGAAACAAAGGGACCTGAGGGACTTTCTAATGAAGATGGGCCCCCTGATCCCGCCTCCTCAGCCCCCACTCCCACTCAAAACGCCTCCAAATCGACCGAAAATAGCCGTAGGGCCAAAAATAGCGGTATATTTTTAAATTAAATTAGTTTTTTTAAAAAAATTTAAAAATTTTTTTTTAATTTAAACTTTTTTTTGAGGGTATAAAGTATTCTTTTTTAATACCGAACGCTTAAGACGTTCCATATGTGTCATGAAACACACATGTGGTCGAGGAAGAAAAAAGCGGTTATAAATGATGGAACAGCCGCAAAACGTGCACAATAAAAATAATTTGTAATAATGCGTGTTTTCCGAGGCCAACGTGCTGGATAGAAGTAAATAATAAATTCGAAAAATGTTCACAAGTTTTAGGCTTTAGGCTTAATGAAAGGCTTTCAAAATTTCAAAGTTGTCATCTAAAAACGGTTTGACTACATTATCTGACCATACTCTACTTGATATTATTTTACTTCACCCCCCCCAAATTTACCCTAGCCTACTATTCTCTACTCTTCCCTTCTTTACAACACCCTATTCCACCCCACCCTACCTTCCGTAATACAAATTTAAAAAACTTACTGCCAGCACTGTTGCTTCCACTGGGTCCCACACCCACGTTTGTTGAGGTAGCTACGCCAATTTCGCTCATTTTGACAAACTTCTAAAAAAGAAAAAATTTTTAAATTAAACCATAATAAGCATATTAAAACACGGTTTTTAACGATGCTATATTACTAAAAATTCAAATTTAAAATATTTTTTAAAATAGCCTTTTTGTGATTTTTATGGCTAAAAACACACTTTTTAACTTTTCAACACCATCTTTCATTATATCTTTATCATAACTCAAATATATATCAAAAATACGAAACCACAAGAAACCCAACATCCTCAAGATTGCTATAGCAACATACTAAACCCATCTTCAAGCATACCCGAATATCTTTTAACCATTGGTCTAGTAGCTTTCAACTCAAACCCCCAATTTCATTAATTTTCATAAAAATTAAAACCACATGCTTAGAAAAACCACTTTAACGTAGTAAAAAGTCAAGGATATAAATCGATTACTCTCGATAATTAAATTGCATGATAAAGTGATCAGAATGGGTGGTGGAAACTGTTTTCGGCGCGTTTTACTTCAAAAAAAACAAAAAAAGAGGGTTTGAGCGGCTTTTTCGACGCCAAACAGAGAGAATTGGGAATGAAGAGACCATAAGAGGGCTCTTTTGCGCGAAAACATATTCGAATACATTGTTTTGGATGGAAAATGATAGTGTAGTCGATTTTACAGAAATTTTTGTTAAAATAACTTTCTTAAATTTCAAAAAAAAATTTACTTTAAGGTAGAGTCAAGCGCGAGATTAGGGTAGGGCTAGAGGTATACCCAAGGGTACCTGTACGCAAAAAAAACGAAAAAAAATTGAAAAATTGGTCCACAGGTAGCTCTTATATCTGCCACAATCGGGTGTACCTGTGAACGAAAAATTTTTGTTCGGCCTCCCACTCCCCCAGAGAAAATTCGTAGCGACGTCCCGGCCAAGACTAATTCTAGAGCTAGGACAAAAACTACTGCTAGAGCTAGAGTTACTGCTAAGATATGGCTATGTCAAGAGAGCTAGGATAATAGTAAAGTTAAGTAGGCCATGGTAAAGTATAAAAAAGCAAATTGAAAAAATTTCGTTAAAAAAATTGAAAAATGAAAAATTTGAATGCACTCAAGTTGTCTTTAGACAGCGTTAAGTACGGCTTACTGAATGACAATGCAAATAATTGATGAGTAGAATCTTTCTAAACTTTTAACATCACTTTTTTACAACTATATTGTGAGTTACTCTACCATTACCAAAACTAAAATTTTTAACTTTCATGCATAGAAAAAATAAATTTTTAACTAAAACATCCAACCTACTGACAAAGGCCATATGAAAAACCGAGTGCCAGAATGAAATAATACATATCCCTGTCAAAAAGGCATTCTTGTAGCATTTCGTATTCCGTACTTCCCTTTTTTACATTTTGAAGCACATAAAAAACAAGGAAATTGCATTTCTCGGATTAAATATTTAGTAAACTCGTCAACAAGACGTTCATTTTTAAGAAAAGTGAGCAAACTAATGCAAGTTCTATACCTATTCGAACTCTCAAGCAATGTACTATGTTGCACAACAAGTAAAAACCTTTTAACATGATTAATAAAAACTTTATTTCTGAACAAGTTCTTGAAGAATCATTGCAAACTTTAACTTACAGTAGACTTAACAATACAATCATTAAAAAACCTCAATAAATAGAATATGTTACAACAAAAAAGTGGGTGAGAAAAGTTTTAAAAATCATTCTCATGTTGATATACGCTAAACCAAATGCAATTTTTGTACTTTAACCAGATGTTTTACATCACCGTAGATAAAAGAGGAACAGTTTCACAAAGACGATGATCAAATTCATAAGGAAAATTGAGCTTTCAGCCGATATTATACAGTCGAGTATTCAAATTCGTTGCCTAAAACACCATAGTTAGCAAGAATGTTTTTTAAAATTAAAATTACTGTAAAAAATAGTACCAAAAAACGAGTTGCTCCACCGCCAAAAGTTGAATACATAATCCACCGCCAAAGAATCGACGCGCAGATATTACAGAATGAGCGTCGTTTTACCGTCTTTCAATGCTGAACCCAAACTTTCATTTTATGCTTCGTTGATATATTCTTAGCGGAACCTCTAATAAATTTTGTTTTAAGATGAATATGTGGTTGGAAAGGTTTCCATACGTGGTAAGTTTACAAACAATAGCCTTTTTAAACTTTAAAGATATTAAGTTACCCCAAAAGTAGCTGGACACTTTTGAGATGCAGTAAATAACAAATGTCCCGCTACTTTTGGTTCGACCTAATAACAGTATTTTAACTGCTACACGAGCAGTAACACAAAATTTTGTAGTGATACAAGAAGTAACACTTCATTTTACAATTTTTTAAACGCGTGTATATATCAGTAATACTTTTTTGAGCTTTCCTTAATGTCATTAATTTTTTTTACACCGCCATTTGCTAGCAACTGAAGTATGATTACTGCCAAATATTATTTAAAAAGCTTTATATAATATTTTGAAAAAAAACTATATTGTTTTGGCTTTTATTGAATATTATACGCATTTATCTGTTTTTTTAGTTGTGGCCAAACATTTTAAGTCACATTGAAGGCCTATACCTTCATAAAGGTATTGACAGTGAGGCCACTATTGCATCAATACATAAAATTCTTTACAAATGGATTAACAGAGATTTCAAAGCAATGTGTTATCAAGAAGGCATTTACAGATTAAAAGGAGAATCGTGGGCTACGGCGTTTAGTTCGTATGTTGTCTTAGTTAGTTGCCTTGTCCTTATCTATTACTTTTTTAACCTTTGTGTTTTAGAATTAAAGACCGTGCATTTGATTTGAGAGGCCGACATGGACTCAGCTGTCCTCATACTGGCAAAGTTGTCTTTAAGTTGGGAGCGCATCATACTATTATTTCACATATGGATTTTTCTAAATTTGAATACGAACTTATTGATTTCACACAACATTTTGAAGACGAAATTAGCGATATTCACATTATAAACCACGGAAAACGACTGATAATCTACTGTGGTAAAAATGCGCATGATGGAACTTCCTATTTGTATGAAATAAGTACGGTCAAAGTAATCAAAAAGTTTGAGGCAACTGATTTTTGTCTTGGAGTTTACATCCAATCAAAACCGGATAACATGGTCTATGACCCAGTGAACGACAGGGAATTTTCACTGCCTTTCGGCATGGAATTTAGGATGTGTGTAAATAACGACAAACATAGCGAACATCGATATATACCAATCTTGGCACGATCAGAAAGGGCATTGTACATAAAAGACATGAAGACTGAACAAATTTTCAAAATGTGCAACGTTACTGCCTCTGACTTTAATCACTGCTTTTTTGAGGAAGCTGGTCTTCTTTATGTGAGAAGTAAGATTGATTTGTAACGTAATAATATAGCTCATTAATAAGTAAAGAAATTGTTAGACAAAGTGAGGTTCGATAAAACAAGAAGTTTTATTTTACTACAGTTTTAAAATTTTTAAAAACACTTATAGATAATGTTAACGACGCAAGTGGTAACAAAACAATCCGATTTTATGAAATAGAGACTCGAAAAAAAGTGTACGAACGCACTTACGACGAGGACAAAGACAATTGGGACTATTTTTCAAATTATGCCATATTTAACAGTAAAACTGGCGAAGTAAGTGCAAAATTTTAGCTTCAGAAGCTTATAATTGTTTAAATAGAAACGTTTTGTTATATTTGTTTGCAGTATGTCATCTTCAACCCAAAAAACAAACAATTTTACTCGAGATTCATCTGTTGCCAACATCCAGAATCATACAAACAACTTCCTCAAGATGTAATGTGCCGTTTTATATCTTATCTCAGACACAATGGGCGCAATTGTGTTGAATGGTGTATAATGCATAAGAAACAACGTACATTCTTTTTCGATTACAGTAGAGGTAAAGTAATACTTTTCGTTAGCTATTCACATATTTAAAATACATACTTTCAAACTCAATTTTAAAGCATTTACTTTATAACAATAAGGCAGTAAAATGATTTCAGACAAACTAACATTGACAGAAATCGATCCTAATGATAATCCTTCGCTTAGCAAATTGGTTATTCAATGTACCAAATTCTTGGAAGAACGTCAGAAATTAAGCCTTGATAGTACTACTATATCTGATGAGGTAAAGCAATTCTTTGAATCTCAACTTTTAATGATGACTATGGATTGAAAAAAATAGAATACTCTTTCACTAACAAGAATTGTTACGTTTTTTTGTAATAAAGACTGTCAAGAAAACAAGGAAATTGCGTTTCTCGGATTAAATAGTTAATAAACCCGTCAATAAAACGTTAATTTTTAAGAAAAGTGACCAAAATAATGCGAGTTCTATACTTATTCGACCTTTCAAGCAATATTCCACGGTGTAAAACAAGTAGAAACCTTCCGACGTGATTAATAAAACCTTTATTCCTGAATAAGTTCTTGAAGAATCATTGTAAATTTTAAGTCACAGTAGACTTAAATATACGATTATTAGAAAACCTCAATAAATAGAATAGTTTAGAACAAAAAAGTGAGTGAGAACCGTTTCGAATAATGGTACTAGACAGTAGTGCATAAAGTTCGAAATTTAGGCATTTGTACAAAATCTGGTAAAAAATAAACTAAATAGTTAAAAATCCCCTCAACCTAAAACTTTTTTGACAAGTTATGTGTGTGATGACCAATATTATGCACAGTTTTTACAACGTGATCATCAACTTACTAATGAATAAATAACCAAAGCCCAAAACAAATAAACCCTGATTGATAAGACACAAACGCAAAAACCTTAGTACCATTGGTAGAAATAGCAGGATTAGTAGCAAAAACACTATCAGTACCAAAAGTACCATTAGTACTATAAAACAACAAGAAAAATATTACAACCAGCTTACTCGTATTGTAATGAAAGAGAAATCGATTAAAAAAACAATAAATATGTTATCATTTCCACAAAAAGATATGTTGTACAGTGATAAATGTATGTGTGAAGACCACTCATGTTGATATACGCTTAACCAAATGCTTTGTTTGTACTTTAACCAGATGTTTTACATCACCGCAGATAAAAGAGGAACAGTTTCACAAAGCCGATGATCAAATTCAATAGAAATATTGAGCTTCCAGCCAGGATTATGCAGCCAGCGATTCGATTTCGTTGCCTAAAACAGTAATTTTAAGCATTTTCAGTCAGCATATTACCCTTGTATTAAAAAGTAGTACCAAAAGACTGATAAACCAACCGTAAAAAGACGTAAGAACTAAATATAACTATCAAATCATTCAAATAACGGCCCAAAAACTTACTGTACGTCTCTCTTCGAGAAAAAATAGTCGATTACAGTGTAGCAAATAAACTGTCCATCCAACCCGTAGCACGGTACAGCATTTAGAACTCCTAGCGCTAATGAAAACGTTACCAAATATTGTCCAAAGAGTTCTACAAGATCTGGTAGCCACAATGGTACCCATCTGAATCGAGGCACCAATTCTGATACTGTGACTAGGTACAAAGGCTGAAAACAAATAACTCGAAAAGTAATTTAACATTGTTGAATATTTTTTGAATATTCTCAATTTTTTACTTTTGAAAGCCCAAAAATTGCCAAATTAAAACAAATAACAGTCAAATCAAAAAATTTTATAAAAAGATCAATAAAACAATACCATACCTCAGTAACAGGGCCTACAAATAGTACCACTTCATTAGAACTTTTTACTTCGAATCTAAGTAATTGTGTACCATTAAAAAGCGACGGTGTTGCACACACAGTATCATCCTCTATTCGGCTCTAAAAAAGTTTCAAAATCACATCACAATAGTATGATACAGTTTCATACTTAAATAAGGCCAACAACTCTCATAAAATGTTTTAATATCTCTAAAATTCAGTTACTGAAAGTCCAATTTCACAATTTAAAAAAATCAAAAAACTTACCACGCCCCTAACACACATTGGTCGATTTGTGACGGTTCTAGCTGACAGGCAAGCAAAAGTAGACTTTTCTTTATCGAACACTGTTAGAGCATTATTATCGACCGATCGTACCTGTCGTTTCAGAATATCTACTCTCTAAAACACCATAATTAAGCTTTTCGGGGCTCTCTGAGAGAACACACCCACCTTATTATACACACCCACGACCTATTTCAAGCACACATTTATTCAAATTTATAAATTTACAAATTCCATTGTAAAATGAGTCCAGAATTGAAGTTCGGTTGTCGTAGCGCAAAATGGGCTCGTCCGTAAGATTTCATCAGCTTTTCGGGAGCTTCGTGTGCCATCGAAGAAGTTGGAGTATCATCTATAAGGTCGGTGTGTCATCTATGGGGTTGGTGTGTCACCTATGAGGTTGGTGTGTCATCTATGAGGTTGGTGATCCATCTGAAAGTTGGGTGTGTCAATTAAAAGGTGTCATTTAAAAGGCTGGGGTGTCATCTAAGAGGTGGGGGTGTTATCTATAAGGTGGGGGTGCCATCTAAGAGGTGGGGGTGTTATCTATGAGGTTGGGGTGTCATCTAAGAGGTTGGGGGTGTCATCGAAGAGATGGGGGTGTCATCTATGAGGTTCGGGTGTCATCTAAGAGGTGGGGGTGTCATCGAAGAGATGGGAATGTCATCTATGAGGTTGGGGTGTCATCTAAAAGGTGGGGGTGTTATCTATGAGGTGGGGGTGTCATCTAAGAGGTGGGGGTGTCATCTAAGAGGTGGGGGTGTTATCTATGAGGTGGGGGTGTCATCTAAGAGGTTGGGGTGTCATCTAAGAGGTGGGGGTGTTATCTATGAGGTGGGGGTGTCATCTAAGAGGTTGGGGTGTCATCTAAGAGGTGGGGGTGTTATCTATGAGGTGGGGGTGTCATCTAAGAGGTGGGGGTGTCATCTAAGAGGTGGGGGTGTTATCTATAAGGTGGGGGTGTCATCTAAGATGTGGGGGTGTCATCTAAGAGGTGGGAGTGTTATCTATAAGGTGGGGGTGCCATCTAAGAGGTGGGGGTGTCACCTATGAGGTTGGTGTGTCATCTATGAGGTTGGTGATCCATCTGAAAGTTGGGTGTGTCAATTAAAAGGTGTCATTTAAAAGGCTGGGGTGTCATCTAAGAGGTGGGGGTGTTATCTATAAGGTGGGGGTGTTATCTATGAGGTGGGGGTGTCATCTAAGAGGTTGGGGTGTCATCTAAGAGGTGGGGGTGTTATCTATGAGGTGGGGGTGTCATCTAAGAGGTGGGAGTGTTATCTAAGAGGTGGGAGTGTTATCTATAAGGTGGGGGTGCCATCTAAGAGGTGGGGGTGTCATCTCAGAGGTTGGTAGGTTGAAACTGGCTGTTGTGGTACACCTTGGACGGACACTAAAAAATTGTTTGAAACGAAAGACTTACCGAGATTACCGATGCTTTTGCATTCCCATTTCGTGCTACGTAACCGATGATCCACAATTGTCCACTTTTGATAGGTGGGCCTTGACGATCGTCAACTTAAACAGGAGCTCTGCAAGACGTTTTTCCATATCCGCGCTACCGCACGGGAACAGAGTTAATTTTCAAAATGAAAAGAAATCACAATTGCAAAAAGCAATTTTTAGATGTTGTGGATTATTCGAATTTGGGTGTGTATAATAAGACGGAAATTTGGGTGTGTCAAATAGGTTAGATGGGTGCTTTAAACAAGGGAGCGCCAGCTTTTCTTTATAAAATGCAACGAATGTGTTGTTTTAAAACTAAATTATATAATATTCTTAAATTTTAACACGTTCAGGGGCGCCGCTAGGGGGGGGGGTGGAGGGGGGGGGGTGGATCCATCCCCCCCCAGAGCCGACCCGAAAAAAAATTCCACAGGTTACCTGTGGACGAAAACATTTTTTTGGGTCTCCACCCCCCCCAAAAAATCCGTAGCGACGATCCTGACCACGTTATAATTTTTACACAAGTTAGCCATTTTTTGTAAAGAAAATACTTACATCAATTCTGCTGATATTCCTCCCGAGACCCAAAGATTCTCTAAACTTCAAAGCTGGTGTTACTGGTAGATTAACCGGCACTTCCCATACTTGGCCATTCTTATTCTCGTAGAAATTGAAGCATATGTGCGATGAGAAAGTGTTATTCGAGAATCCTTCACAACATTGAATCTCGTCACCATATTGTTTGACGAATTCTGGTTTGGCAATCCACGGATCCACCACTTCTTTCTTGATTATGTAGCCGGAATTCTGGCCATGTATCCTTAAGCCCTCCAGGCATTTGATCCAATCCGTCGCTGTCTTTGTTTGACAACCGTTTACTGATAAAACTAGATTGCCAGGCACAAATCCACTGCCACCGTAAAGGCCTGAGGATTTGTCCACTTCTGTAATTTAGATTTTTAAAAATTCGAAAAAATACAAATTTTCAAAAAAAAATCAAAAATTAAATTTTCAGCTACTTAATGCTTACCTTTAACAATAACCCCAGCACCAGTGGTGAAGAGTGGAAACAAGGTGTATGGTAATGTCCATAGAACCAATACTCCAATAAAGGCTAGTACCACATTGTGCCACACTCCTGCACAGTATATTCGAAGCCTTTGTGCTAACGATGACCGATCTAAACAAATACCATTAGCTTTCAACAAACTAACACTAAATTTTTAAAAATTTAATAAAATAACAAAAAAACCTACTTAATTCCTCAGTTTCAAGTTCCGTGAAGGCGCCTGCATAAATGGCGATTAAGAAGAAGCCGAATCCATTCAAACGAACATTGGCACATAAAGCGGCCAGTGCATGACCCAACTAAAACCGTATTACTATAAAATTTCAAATTTAAATTAAATCTTTGATATTACCAGACCCACATTTACGATCCTGATTTACATTCCCTTACAAATTGATTTAAAACTCACCTCATGAAGTACACCAGCAATGATTAAAACAAAAACAAACATAGGCAGGTGATGAATTGGTATGTTGACACCGGGAATGACAGGGATTATACCAGCTAAAAAAAGAACAGTTATTCATCAGCAAGAACATTGAGTTATCCATTCATTTACTTATACTTTTGCCAAAAAATAATTTTTTGACGTTTTAACCCCACTTTCACCTTTTTATCATATTTGTTACCTAAAATCAAAAAAAATACTTCAAACTACTTACTTTGTACATGATTTTGAAAAGGCACATATGAAATCCTATCCTGAGGCAGTGCACCCATCTCGAGATGTTCATAAAATCCGTCAGTATTGACTCGAACGCTGAAAAGCCATGAGAACCAACCAGAATTGAGCCATTGCATTATAGAGTACCAGTTGAATACCTCGGTAAACAGTAGCCATACCAAGTATAGTGGCATTAAGAAAAAGAAGGTTAAGGCAACCAGAGTGCCTAACGTGAACCATATGGCGACTAGTCTGGAGAGCTTTGACGTCGCGACCCATGTTTGGAATGCGACAAATGGGCCGAATTGCCAATGGTTGTCACAGCGAGTCCAGTAGAACCGAAGCTATAAAAAATTAAGTTAACATAATACTATGAAGGCTGATTAAGCCTAAAATTAAGCAAAATGTTTCAAAAATTGACCAGGAAATTCCAAAAACCACCCTAAAACACCAAAAAACCGGTCGAAAACCATCAAAACCATACCTGGAACGGTGATATCGTCAACCCGTAATTTTCGACCAGCCTTAGGTATCTGTCTACCTGCCATGACCGTAGAAAGTAATCTATCAGGAACAATGCACTCCAGAACAAAAAAAAGACGCTGAGCGATGTAGACAGTAACATTTCATTATCATATCATCTTTTGATTCAACACATCTTGTTCCTGAAAGCATGTTCGTGCATTTTTATTAACCTTCTACATTAATATTGCATTATATTTACAAAAACGTAATTTTTTGTCTTGTAAAGAAAGTTTTGGATGTTTTTTACTTTCTAAATTAAGTTCTCGCCATTTTACAAGTTTTTCAACAAAATTTTAGCAAAAATACACCATTACCTTAAAGAAAATTTAAAAATCAGTAAATAATCACTGGTAATCAACCACAATATAGCACTTAAAACAATATACTCAAACTTCCGTTTATTTGTCGAACTAACTCAATAAATACAACTTTAATTTACTAACAAAGAAACCAACAATTACAAAAAGACCGATAAGAAAAGTAAAATTTAAAACCCGATTAAAATACCAGAAGGAAAAGTGAGCACTGGGTTCAATGATAATGTCAAAATGATAGTTTTTAGAAAAATATCTTTAAAAAATTGTGATAAATAAGACTTTATATAAGCTATAAATTGCAAAAAGACATCTTAACGTAGACCAAAACTGATTAAAACAAAGATACTATTAAAAATTGCATAAACTGAAGTCGTAAAATTGCAAAAAAATAGAAATTTAAAAGTATTGTGATGACTTCAGAAGTCGATATCTTCGTTCAGCAAAGCGTATTTAGTCTTGTTCTCTTGTTGTAAACGTCGATGATACATCAACTGTACAAAGGCGATTATGACAAGTACGATGAATATCGTAATAGCTACTGCGGCGTCTGAAAGTAGTAATTTTAAAATCGACTATTATAAGTAAACCTGGCAAAGTTCCAACCATTTTTCAAAAAAACCTAAATTTAAAAATCAGAACGTAAAAACTTACATATCAAAATATTTTCTTTTTCGTTCTTTTGATAGAGTCCACACTCCTCTTCCCAATTTCTCGGTATAATATTAGAAGTGGCTTGCTTAAGCCGATCTAATGTACATGGTCCTGGACAAGACGGTATATCTAATTCATAAACATCGTTTGAATGAGTATGGTTCTTGTACAATAGCTGAAATAGTAATTTCATTACTTTTTATAACAATATTATTAAAATAAAAAAAAAATAAAACTTCTTTTCGAAAACATACCTTAACCACATCAGTGTCGTTAATCCTATGCAACTCCACCAAGGCCATAGTAGCATATTCAGGAAAAACCCCAGGTGTGACATCAAAAGCCGACAACAAGGCTGCTACAGCAGTATCGTGAGCAGAATAAGCATAAAACTTCTCTCTTTGATCTCTTCTACCATTCACAACATCGTCCATTCGGCCGACTATAGCACTGAACAACGGTCCGCATCTCAACCTTCTCAACAATGGTGAATCGTAGAGATAGAAAGATGACATATCATATAATCTCCAGATTTCATTCCTGACTGTTTCATTTACCCATTCTGGAAGTTTGTGTTCGTCACGATGTGACCATTCTGCCATCAATGGGTCGAATATCTTCCACATGTTGCGGAGTGGCACTTGCTTATCGTACAAACCTGTCTTTTCGGCCAAGAATTGAAGGAAATCAGCATTATGATCTTCTAAGATTTTTACTTCAGCTGATCCATAGACTGAATCTTCTTCTGTATCAGCATGAGGACACGTAATACGATCGAACAGTTCCTAAAAGAAAATTTTGTAATATTAAATAATTTAATCACACAAAATCAACAAAAATTGTTCGATTCTTCATCTCAAATACCCATTTTTTTAAACAAACGTATTGTAAAACAAAAAACAAGATTATAATAAAATAATATTATACATTGTATTCATACCCTGTCCTCATTCTTCGGAATTGTGTGGACTGGAATCGGCCTCCATCTGAGCTGCTTGTTGAACAATTCCGAATCTTCTGGAGGAAACAATCCAATCAAATTAGCTTGAGCTGACGCCAATGTTCGGTTGTAATCAGAAGAACGTACGTAAATTTGAAAAGGTGAATACTTCTTGTCCAGAAACCCATCGTACCTCTGACGAAGCAATTTGCCCAGCTCGTATTGTTGTCCTTCACCTTTAACTGTCAGTTCTCCCAGACCTTCTGGCCAACTATCGATTCCGTTATCCGTGTCAGTGGGTATCAACGTTGATGGCGTTCTATCCCCGTGACGCCATACCTAAAATTTTTTAGAACCAGCTCCAGGTTACAAAAGCTTCAAACAATAAAGACTTCAATGTAAAAACCACATTTAATTAACCTATCTTCTTCTTCCACAAATTACCTAAATTCCAAAGAAACACCGAAAACTGTAACTTACAGCTTGTACATAACGTAGTGTGCTCAGATCTGATGTTGCACTAAGCACATCTCCAGCAACAGAGACTGCTAATCCCAAAAAGGCTACTAACCAAGCGACCATGAACCTAAAACAAGTACAAACTAGTTAGATAACCGACAAGCCCGACGATAAAACGCGAAACTGATAAAAACAAACTGATAATTTGTGAAGCAAGTTTAAAAAAAAAGATAAACCGCCAAAAATTGATGTTAAGTTATTTATACGATCAGATATAAATATTAAACATATTCTTTTACATAAACAGACTTTTGAAGCGACCACTTAGTTTATGAAAAGGCTGGCGTACCTATTAGACATTAATTTGACATAAAAATAAAAGTACAATCCAATTTTGCTAACCTAGAACAATATTATAAGTTAATTAATCCTTTTCTAATTGTTTGAATAAAGAAAAAGTTCGCGTGAGAACCCCTAGGAATTCCTGGTCTACAAGGTCCAGGACTCGCGCGACCTTTACCAGCTGCGTCATCTGTTTTCCTAGAATTTTTTTGTGTCAACTGTTCCTTCAGACGTTTTATTTTTGCGAACTTTTTCGCCGCGAATTTGAGCCATATGTTCCTTTAAAGTGTGTCAAGTTTCGCTCTGATCTTATCTTCGAGAGGTTTCCCGAATTTTTACATTGAAAATCAGAATTTGTGACGAATTGATGTAAGTTCCGAGTTCCGTCACGTGCTTTAAGTTTCGCAATGGTTTAAATACTTTATAAACGTCTGACACATATTGTTATATAGGATTTTGGGTTCATTCTTTTGAAGTTATGGGTCTATAAGGTTTTTGAAGAAGTTATGAGCTTACCTTTGGTTTCTTTTTACATTGGAGTGATTTTATTTAGTATTTAATGTCATTCTAATATAATTTCAAATATTGTAATTTATTTTTGATGTTACACTTGATTATTTAGGCGTGACTTTTTTTGATATTTTAATGATGCTTCCTAACGTTTGAAAGAAGCCTCTGTGTTATCTTTTATACTTTATACATGTATATTTTTCAGTAAAAGTATAAAAATGGTTAGAAGAAGAACCGCGTCGCCAAAAGCTAGTGCTCCAGTTCGCTCCAGATCTCCTCAATCGTCGTACGCTGCCCCACCAAGTCGTCCCGCGGCCGCGGCACCACCAGCACCAACTCCAGCAGCTGGTCCAGGATTCCATGCTCCTCCACCAGGCGCGGCACCATCTCAAGGACCCGGTTTGATGGGACAAATGGCGGCAACGGCCGGCGGTGTTGCTATTGGATCGGCAGTGGTAAGTGTTTTCTGAGTGTTCGATGATTTCTTCTCGGTTTAGGGGCACGCCGTTGGAAACATGTTCACTGGTGGCTCGAATCACGAAGCTGCGCCAGCACCCGCTCAGGCTGCTGCTCCACCGGCTGCCTACAACAATCAACCATTGCAGAATGCTTGTGAGATTGAGTGGCGCCAGTTTTTGGAATGGTTAGTTGCTTTATGGGTTTGGGGTTAATTTTCTACAGTTTATTATCGTTTTTTTATATCAAGTTGAATTGAACTTTGATTTTGCGTTGTAAAATTGCCAGTTTATTTAATTCATATTTACTTTCTTTGTTTTCAGCAGTCAAAACCAGAGCGACTTGAGCTTGTGTTCGAGTTATAATGATCTTTTCAAGCAGTGCAAAGCCCGCTATGGAGCTTAAGGCTGATGTTGTTACACTATTATTGTAGGGAGATCAATAAACTTTGATTTACTGATTGATTTTGTACTTTCCAATACAGTGTGACTGATTTACTTTGTTGTTGTTGTGTTATTTTTGAACTTTTCTATTTTTTACTCGCGTTTTTACAAAAATTTTAATTTCTTTTAATTCTGATTTCTTATCGGTTGTTTTGTTTCATTCTTTTTTTCGTATATTAACGGTTTTACTATAAAAGTGGCGTAGTTTAGTTCATATCTTCACGATGTCCGTCGGGTTTATTGGCTTGGGTAACATGGGCGCTTTCATGGCCAGGAACTTGGTCAAAAGTGGCCGCCAACTAATTGTGTACGATGTTAACAAGTCTGTAGCTGATCAATTCAAGAACGAAGGTGTAGCTGTTGCCAAAACGCCAGCCGAAGTGGCCGCGGAGAGTGCAGCTATTTTTACCATGTTACCTAATAGCAGCCACGTTGAAGAAGTTTTTGGAGCCAAGGATGGCATCTTTAAGTAAGTTTACGTACTTTTCTTGGTTTTTAGGTAATGATGTAGGGCTTCTTTTTGCTCGACGGGGGTCTTTGAAGTTACCCAAGACTGTAAAAAGAGAGCTGATATAGTATTTTATAGTACCAACAAGATACTAATTTTCAATTTTTCAGAACTATTAAGTCTTCAACCCTGTGCGTTGACTGTAGTACCATAAACCCTCTAGTAGCTAAAGATTTGGCCTTAAAAGTGCGAGACACAGGCTCAGATTTCCTAGATGCTCCAGTGTCAGGTGGTGTGACTGGTGCCCAAAATGCGACACTTACATTTATGATTGGTGGAAGTGAAAGTGCATACCAAAAAGCGTTACCGTACTTTGAACAGATGGGAAAAAATGCTGTACATTGCGGAGATGTTGGCACAGGACAGGCTACAAAGATTTGTAACAACATGTTGTTGGGGATTCAGATGATCGGCGTGGCAGAGGCTATGAACTTGGGTGAAAAGTAAGAGGTGTCTTTTTTTTTGCTAATTTTTGAGGAGTAAAGTAATGATAATATCATATATATTATAGTAGAAGCTGCTTTCTGACTCATTTTAATTTTTCAGACTTGGCCTAGACCCAAAAATGTTAACTAGCATTGTTAATACCAGCTCGGGTCGTTGCTGGAGCACGGACAGCTACAACCCAGTACCAGGAGTTATGGAGAACGTACCAGCTTCAAGAAACTATGCAGGAGGCTTTGGGAACAAACTTATCGCTAAAGACCTGGGATTGGCTCAAAATGCATCGACTGAAGTTGGTGTGCCTACTCCATTGGGCTCGTTGGCTCACCAGATCTATCGAGTTTTGGCTAACAACAACGAGTTTGGTGATAAGGACTTTGGATCTGTCTATCAATTTTTGAGAAAAACCAACGAATGATAGGAGATATTGTTATAGAATAAGGAATGTTGTAGAGTAAAAATATTGCTTTATAGCCGAAAATGTTCAGTATATTATTATAATTAGTTTGTTCTTGTCAAATAAATAATGTAAATAAGGTTTATGGTTTTTAAGACAAACCAAAGTACGCATCGGTTCTGTAAATTCATATAAGATGTTTCAGAACATTGAAAATATGCCACATGACTCTAACAAAAAATTCTGATGATCAAAAGGCGAGTTGATGGGATTTTTAAATCTTAAACTTGTTTTTGTTAATAAAACCTTTTTAGTTTTATTACCTTTATAATACTCATGAATCTACTATTCAATACGATATCCGAGTAATTAGACCAAAGATTTGTTAAACCATGTTTTAGTAGAGCTTCTGTCACTGCTATTCCAAAGCTTGGTACTTCATAATTGTTTTTGACTACGGCTAAACATGATCCTTCTTGAGACGAACTTTGTGACATTTTTAACTTGTTTATGTCGAGGATGCCTTTATTTTCAATTTTTAAAACATAGGTTATAATTTTTGATTTTGACAAATCGAAGTTTCCAAAACTCAAAGCTTTTAAGATTCGATCTTGTCTATGAATAATATTAATATTGCGTCCAGTATGGTGTTTGCTATGAGTTACAGAATAACTTTCAAACGTGTTACTACTATTAGCATTGTTAATGTTATGCAGTTGAGGAAAACCAAACGCCATATAAAATAATTTTGAACTGATTCGGGTGATGAATTGCCAGTTAGGTCAACAACCTAAAAATTTTGTTAAACTAATGTTTGTTCTACCCTACACTGATTCCATTTACTTTCCCTTATCTGGCTCAACTCTAATCTATCCTGTCCTACTCTAAAAAAATATCAGCAGGTAGTGTAGAAGACAAGCTTCCATCAAATTAAACAATGTGAAAAAATGCCATCAAAAGTCAAATTTCACAGCTTTCTTCAAAATTTTTTAAAAAATCATAGGTAGACAGTTCAAGACAAAAAAATCACGTTCAAAATATCAAATAAAAGCCCAATTTTTAAATTTTTTTGTTCTCAAAAATAACAACATCATGAAACCCTATAAGATCGCAACTAAATTTATACGTTATGATGAATAAATCATAGATAACACGATGTAAAAAATGACTTCCGACCTTGTACAAAAAAAACGCACGTAAAATACAAAAAATTAGCAAAGTAAAGCTTATTCTGAATTCAACACTAACTATTAGGTTGTCCGGAAAGTTCTGCAATATTTATTCACTTTTGAACTAACAATAATAACAATATAATTAACAACTACAATCAATCAAAGTAATTACCGTCTGAATCAATACAGTCTTGCCAGCGATTTACAAGCTTTTTTATTCCACGATTGTAGAATTCCGGGTTTCTGGAGTTGATGAAGTTCTTGAAGGCATTCTTGGCATCGTCTGGAGTTTTGAAGATTCTTCCATTAAGAAACGAAGACAAGTGTTTAAAAAGATGAAAGTCCGTTGGAGCCAAGTTTGGAGAATAAGGAGGTGCTCCAAGACTTCGTATCTCAGTTCCCTGAATTTTGCCACGGTCTTCTTTGCAGCATGGGGCCGTGCGTTATCCTGCAGAATGATCGGACCCCTCCTTCTGACCATTGTTGGAAGATTGTGTCGCAGTTTGTCAATCTGGGCACAGTAGGTGTCGGCCGTAATACTTTGGCCAGGTTTCATGAAATCGTACTGGATCACTCCAGAGCTACACCACCAGACAGTCACCATAAGCTTCTTTTCGTGCAATTCTGGCTTCGGAACGTGCTTAGGAGCTTCTCCACGCTTACACCAACTTGTAGATCTTCTAGTATTGTTAAACGAGATCAACTTCTCGTCAATAGTTACAATTCGATCCAAGAATTCTTCGTTTTTGCAGCGTTGCAGAAGCTTTTCGGAAGCACATCGTCTCTTGGCTTTTTGCAGATCAGTCAAATTGTGAGGCACCCATTTGTCCAACTTTTTGACCATACCCATTGCCTTGAAATGATCACCAATGGTACTTTTTCCACAGTTTAGTAACTCTTCTAACTCCCGGATTGTAATATGTGGGTCATCTTCAATCTTGCGCCTCAGGGCATCTTTGTCAAGTTTGCTGGGTCTTCCTGCACGTGGTTTGTCTTCAAGCTTCTCATCGTCCACACGAAACTTTGCGAACCATCTGGTCACCGTAGAATAACTCACAACATTCTTACTCTCATTTTCGTTTATGATTCTGAAGCTTTCTGCCGCAGTATTTCCGCGTTTGAATTCATTCCATATAATCACGCGCAGGCGAGATTTCTCCATTTTTTTCTAATACCTAAAACAATACAAAAAAATGGAATTAAGTTATGTAACTTACCTTTTTGAATAATTAAGGTAACAAACAAACAAACAAAAAAAGAATTTTTTCTTTCCGTCAAGAAATAAATTTTTCCTGATTTTTCAAAGTTTACCTACTCAAATATTGCAGAACTTTCCGGACAACCTAATAGAAACTGGTTGGCAAGATGAAAAGAAGAGCAGATGTTGAAGGCTATGACTGCTTATTTTGTGGCTGCAGAACACGTAGCCCGCTCCACTATTGCGTGGAGATGGAGCTCTACGATGAAATGGAGAGGAACTTAAATGGCAAGAAGGAACACGAGAAGAAAGAAGATAAGGGTAGAAAGTGTTTGAAAGAGGAAGAGGTAAAGGGCATAAGAGAAGAGGAAGAATAAGAAGATGAAGACGAAGAACAACAAAAACGACAAAGGAAAATTCAAGAAGTTGAGAAAAGAAGGCGAAGAGGAGAAAGACGTGAATGCCGTGAGAAAAAGAAGGAAAAGACAGCATGCGGAGCAAAAGGGAAATGGCACAAGGAAGGGTAAGATAAAATCGTCCTAAAGATTATAATTTTGATTAACCTAAAATGCAAAAAACCACTATTAGATATAACTTATTAACCTTAGTCCTTTGTATAGCCACGTTACATGGTAAATACGTTGGAAAAAGTAATAAGTTATGGCGAATACATCATAGATAGCACGATGGGAACAACCATCACTTCCAAATTTTAGAACCCTTATTATAAATTTGTATCGCAAATTTTCTCAACTGAAAAGCGAGCACGTTTTATTTTTTTTGACATCTCATCAGAAAGAATGACGAATTATTAAAAAAGCGTCAATCAACTTTGCAACCTATAATTTTTCAATTAATAGCATAAATACGGTTTTAAATTAATAAAATATATTTAAATAAACTTTTGTTAACAAATCCACAAATTAAAAAATGTTTTTGCTTTAGAAACCTGCCTTCAGGTCTACAGTGACTTTTTATCTAGCCTAGTTTAATACTGTAGTGTACTCTAGACTACTGTACCTTACATTAAATAACTTTAACATTGAAAGTTTATTTATTTTTATGTACATAGTTTCAGATCACGAGCTTCGATGCAAATTAAGAGTTCTCGGGGATCAAACGTGAACCAATCGTTGAAAGGTCGGCGGATCGGTAAGAATTTTTTAAGCCAAACTTATTTTCAAAAACGTTGGCCAAGGCTAAAGCTGAGGCCAAAGCCAAGGCCAAGGTTAAGACCAAGGCTAAAGCTAAGGCTAGGGCTAGGGTTAAAGCCAAGGCCAAAGCCAAGGTTAAGACCAAGGCTAAAGCTAGGGCTAGGGTTAAAGCCAAGGCCAAAGCCAAGGCCAAGGTTAAGACCAAGGCTAAAGCTAAGGCTAGGGTTAAAGCCAAGACCAAGGCTAAAGCTGAGGCCAAGGCCAAGGCTTAGGCCAAAGCCAAGGCCAAAGTTAAGACCAAAGCCAAGGCCAAGGTTAAGACCAAAGCTAAAGCTAAGGCTAGGGTTAAAGCCAAACCTAAGGTGTAAGCTTCTGCTTTGTCTTAGGCTTTGGCAACTATTTAGTGGCTTTTTAAGTTTAGCAACTTTTTTAAAGTTGTGATAAGTAATTAAATTTGTTTAGACTGCAAGATGCTAAAGCTGAAGAAATGTCAAAGATGAAAGTAATGGCAGACGCCGCAAGAAAACTATTAGAAGTGGATGTAAGAAATGGCACTGCAGTTGAAGTTGAGCACGCAAGAGTGTTTTGAAAACGCCTTCAAAAAGTACTTGATTGTTCGGTATCCTCTTATGGATGAAGGCGTTTTGCCGGAGCTAGCTGACTCTAAAGTCGACGAAAAGTTGCGCGTAAGTTTTTCGAAATCGTTTTTCAGAAACTTTTATAGAAACTCTTTGTTTAATTGTTTTGTCTAAACAAAAATTTTTTCAAATTTTTTGCATTTTTTTGACAACTTTTTTATTTTTTTTAGGAAATCGACCGTTTGCCGCGCTCTCGCTCTAACAGTCGGCAGAGACGTTAACACTCACCAATCCCATCCATGCGCCTCCAATAAAACCCATTTGTTTGCGAATAAATTCCTTCCAAAATTGTTGTTGTTGCTATTTTTGTATGGTAGGGAAATGTAGGGTAGGGTAATGTAAGATAGGGCGGGACAAGTTAAAGGTTTTAACTACATCTACATTTCCATGTTCGGTGGAATGTAGATGACTATATGATGTTGATGCCGACGATTGTATTGTGGTACAGCGTGTATGTTCCTGGATTGTTCTAGTTTTCCTCGTTGTCCACCGGAGCTATCCTTGGTTTATGATGTTTCCCATAATTGGGCCTCCCCCAGTTTTCACTGTTTACCGCATCACTGGTTCGTTAATAAGGTGCTCCATAAGACTTATGGCCTGTATATCATACACTTTTGTTGGCCAAGTGATGATGGGCCTAGTCCCCGTGCTCCAGCACTACCCATTCCACAATGCGCCTGGGTTGGGCGGAGGCGGGGGCCGAAACAAGGTCCTTCCGACTAGCAAGTGGCGCCGCAACCACTGCGCTACCCGCGCTTTTTAAAATAAAAATTTTCGGTAACAAAAGCTATGCCCGTTAGCCTCGATATTATACGCTATATATTTTGAATAACTTGTGTCTCTTGTAATTAATTAAAATTTAGAAAACTGACAAACCTACGCCCAGTGAAACTCCTCAAAAGGTTGAAAATACTAGGATTGAAGGTTCCCACGTTCGACGGAAACACTCGACCCAACGACCAAAACGAGATTAGCCTTAAAGTAAGAAAACATTTTTTATCATTATCATTAGAGTACTAATGACCCATTACTTATAAAACACTTTAGTTTTCCTCAATGTAAAACTGTTCTTTTTCAGATTACTGGAATGTTTCACGCCTCGCGTAAAAAGAGCAGTATCATTGTCATAGACGGAACTCGATACTGTCAAAAAGAAAAACTGTACCGATGCGAACATTACTTTAAGAAAACGCCGCGGACTTTGCCTCCCAATATCAATACCACCTTACACATATCGGTCGCTTTTTGTATTAAAAATTAGACATGAGAAACGGGCCGGGCCTGAATGTTAGGCCCGGCCCGATCGAAATTTGCTCAAGGCCGGCCCTGCCCGTTTCTCATGTCTAATTAAACTGGTATGCCTGGAAAAAAATTATATATTTTCTTAAATAAAAATAAAAATTTTTATTTTCTAAATCTGTTTTTTGAGCTAAAATGATTAACAATTAAATTTTCAAATTTAAAATATATTATTGTAGTCCTAATGATATAGAGCGTCAGCTGAAGGCAGTGCAAGACATTCTCTCCCCACAGGAAAGGCTGAAGACAAGCAAAGGCTATACGATACCACCCTTACTGCACATAACCTTAAAAATTAAATATTTAAATTTAAAATATATTCTTATATAGTCTTAGTGATATAGAGCGTCAGCTGAAGGCAGTGCAAGACATTTTCTCCCCACAGAGAAGGCTGAAGGTAAGCAAAGGCTATACGATACCACACTTACTGCACATAACCTTAAAAATTAGATATTTAAATTTAAAATTTATTCTTATATAGTCTTAGTGATGTAGAGCGTCAGCTAAAGGCAGTGCAAGACATTCTCTCCCCACAGAAAAGGCTGAAGACAAGCAAAGGCTTTACGATACCACAGTCGCCGTCACCAAAATGCGCCATTCTTATCTTTCCAACTTAATAGTTGTAGCATTGTTATAATTAGATTGTGTTTTATAAATCTGATATTCTAGGAAGAGGTCCAAATTGGTACAATAAGCTAAAAAAAGAAGAGTTTAACAACAACAGTTCGGGTAAGTAAATTTTGTAATAGTTTTTGTTTTGTTATGTAAAACAATTGTCGTTTCTGAAATTGGTGGACGTGTTGACAATAATTCTAGTTTTTTGACAAAAAACAGTTTCATTTTATCGATTAATACGGTGCTAGGGCATGCCGATTCTTGCTGTTCGTTCAAAAATGTCAGACATTGATTACATAGTTCATCAACAAACGGTGTATTGTCTATACTGATTTGCATTAAATGCATTATATCTGAAATTTTATAAAATGGAGTTTTAAAAAACTTTTTCAATATTATTTTTTAAAATTAAAACGATTTTTACGTATTTTGTAATATATGATAAATATAATTATCTTGTCATTCTTGCTTTTTGTGTAATCCAAGAAGAATGATTTTTTATGACATCTACAATATACGAAATTTCGGCGACCTTCCAATCTGCCAAAATGTGAAAATAAACATTTTTGTTGCTGTGAAATGAGTTCGTTTACTTCTGGATTTTGACAGTAAATGAATCTCGAATAAAACTGTCTCTTTTTAGGATTGTAAATAACGTACTGAAAAGTAAAAAATGAATATCATAGTAATAAATTACAATATATGAAAAGAACAACGCTTTGGTTTTTTAATATGTAAAAACAGGTTTTTTCAAATTCGCTTATAGGTCTTACCTCGCTAGTTTTGCAGTTAGTGATTGCATAGTTTGAAAAAGGAAACCAACCATCATTCGCAGTATCGTAAGTACGTTCGTACACTTTTTCTTGTGTTTTGATGTCATAAAATTGGATGGTGTTGTTGCCATCTTGTTCTTGAGCTATATCTGAAATTAAAATCTGACAGTGTGTTCATGTCGTCTCTAATTTAATATGGCTTCGCTTTAAAATTCAAAATAAATTTCCGATCTATCTGCTAAATAGTAATTAAAATTTGACTAACTTTTCAAAAACATATATTGTATTTGAAAATATTACAATAACCTACTATTGATAAAAAAAAGACCGGCTTCCTCGAATGAGCAGAGGACAAAGTCATTAGTAGTAACTTTGCACAATTTTACAATAGTATCTGTCTTCATATCCTTAATATACAATTCCTGTCGTGATCGGGCTAACATTGGTATATATCGATGTTCGCTGTATCTATCTTGGTTTCTACCTACAAGAAATTCCATACCCTGAGGCAGTTCGAACTCTTTATTACTGAAAGGGTCGTATATTCTGTTGTTTTCTTTTAATTGAATTTGAATTCCTGTTATAGATTGAATTGGTTCGAATTTTTTTAGCACTTGTTGTGAATAAATGTCATACAAGTAAGCGGTTTCAGCGTGTACATTTGGCTGTAAGCAACAATTTACTATCAGTCGTGTTACGTTGTTTATTATATAAACCCTTCGAATAGTTTCTTCAAAGTGTTGTTTAAAATTGATTAATTCGAAGTTCACATTGGAAAAGTCGATATGACAAATAACAACATGATGCGGTTTAAGGTAAAACACAACTTTCCCAGTAATGGGACAACTAAATACGCTAAACCCTATGAAGTCAAACGCACGGCAATTCGTCCTGAAACACAAAATTGATATTTTAAAAATATTTAATTAGATAAAGCAAAATTAAGTGATTTATAAAAAAGATAAAGATTTAGTTATTGAAATTCCGTCACAGTAATTTGTGCGGAATTCAAATAAAATATAGGCGTGAAAATATTTTGTAAAAAACATACGTACTAAAAGCCTTAGCCCAGGTTTCCCCCTTGAATCTGTAGATTCCGTCTCGATAACACATTAATTTAAAGTCTCTGTTGATCCATTTATAAAACCTTTCGTGTATTGCTGCCATAGCAGCCAAACTCTCGATTCCTTCAAAATGATGAAAAATGTGTTGCCATAACTAAATATAAAGACTTATGACCACAAAAGAGTTTTTAGAAGTTAAAAGTAACAAAAATTGCACACATCTATGAAGTTACTGTCAATATACTCAGCAAACTACTACTACATGTTCGTTTTTTGTAATGTTTAAAACAAGTAAAATATCGTTAACTTTTAAACTTACTTCTTTTGGAAGTTTTTCCGACCAATTATACATCTCAGCTGTAGTAAATTTAGCTGAGCCGAACAGATCTTGCCACAATGTCTTTTAACTAATAACTGTAGGATTCCGCTTCCAACGCCAATAAAAACGCGCGATATTGTTTATAAGGTTGCGCGTTATGTTTGGCTTTTTTATTTTGGAAAAAAAGAAGCGTATACTGGCGGCAAGAAAAAATGGGACACGACGGTCGTAAGTACAACTTTCTTGAAACTAAAAGAGTAAGGCTTAAAATTTTTGTGATTTTACAAAAAAATGTTCAAAAACCAAAAAAAGTTCGATTCTGCTTAAAAAATCGGAGGTTTTTTTAAATTTTAAAAATCTGTAACTCTTTTACTATTGGAGATACAATATTAAAACGATAAACATGCGATAAACCTCTTCTGGAACTCCAAGAATTTTTTGACCGGCTAACAACTGATAAAAAAGTTACTGTCGATTGTTAGAAACAACAACTAACTGATTTGGACAAACGAATTTATCTTAAACGACCATAGTAAGAAATTCCGGCATTACGGGGGCACAATTTTTCATGCCTACACTCGGTCCCATTTGGTAAAACTGGTTGCTGATGCCATAAGTGCTACCATCCCCGCTGCACTCACCAGATATTTTTTCTTCAGATAACAACTTATTTAGGTCAATGTCACACGGTTTCAGAGAGCAGGGCTTCAAAACATACGACTATGTCCAAAAACGGGTCGATTTGTTAAGTGACTCAAAATCGACCATTTTTTTCAGATGGCATCAAAATACTGCTTAGTAATTAAGAAAAGATTGTTATTAATGATAAGAATTATTAAATTAATATTGCTCATATTTTTTTAGCTAGCCTTTGTCAAAGTTGTCGAAAAAATTGCAACTTCATATTTGTAGACCTAATAATACCCGTGACAGAGAAGTTTTTAGCCATTTTTATGCTTTTGTAAAGAAACTTCTTGCCGTTTTTCGGTTTGTAAAAATGTTCTTGATATTTTCTGTTTTGTAAGGAAAGTACTTGCAATTTTTTGTTGCTCAATTATTTGAACTTTTGTAACACGTCATCTTTCGAATTTCGTAAATTTTGATTTTGAAAACAACGTTTGTCACGTTTCCGTTCAAGAATCAGGTAAAAAGCCTTCGAATTTCAAAATATTAAAATTTTTGCAGTCACGTAAATTTATGCAAATTTTGAAAACCATTCACTATCAGAAAATTTCTTTCTTCATTTGGTCTCACCTATTGTGCGTGTCGCCGGTCGAGCATATTTACCCCGTGTGTTTCTCAATCAATGGATCAGCAAAAGCAAGTTTTTTAACTTTTTAGTATTGTTTTATGAATTTTAGGGCTAAGGCTAAAGCTGAGGCCAAGACCGAGGATAAGGCCAAGGCCAAGGCTAAGGCCAGGGCCAAGGCTAAGGTCAAGGCTAAGGCCGAGGCTAAGGCCAAGGCCAAGTCTAAGGCCAAGACCAAGGCTAAAGCTGAGGCCAAGGTCGAGACCAAGGCTTAGGCCAAGGCGAAGACCAAGGCTAAAGCTGAGGCCAAGGCTAGGGCCAAGGCCAAAGCTAAGGCTAAGGCCAAGGCTAAGGTCAAGGCCAAGGCTAAGGCCATGGCCAAGACCAAGACTAAAGCTGAGGCCAAGGCCGAGGCCAAAATTAAGACCAAGCCTTAGCTAAGGCTAGGGCTAGGGTTAAAGCCAAACCTAAGGCGTAAGCTTCTGTTTTGTCTTAGGCTTTGGCAACTATTTAGTGGCTTTTTAAGTTTAGCAACTTTTTTAAAGTTGCGATAAGTAATAAAATTTGTTTAGGCTGCATCAGGCCCGGGCTGAAGAAATCTCGAAGTTGAGAATATTGGCAGAGGCCTCCCAAAAACTTTTAGAAGTTGATGCGAAGAACGGCACCGCAGTAGAAGTAGAACACGCGAGACGATGTTACGAAGACGCTTTTAAGAAATACCTTCTTGCCCGGTTTCCTCTAATAGATGAAGGAAGGCATTTTACCAGACCTCCCGGAGCCTGAAGTGAGAAAAAATTTACGCGTAAGTTTTTCAAAATGGTATTCCAGAAACTTTTATAGAAACTTTTTGTTTAATTGTTTTATCTAAACAAAATTTTTTCAAACTTTGCATTTTTTTTGACAATTTTTTATTTTTTTAGGATATCGACCGTTTGCCGCGCTCTCGCTCTCACAGTCGCCAGAGACGTTAACACCCACCAATCCCATTCATGCCTCCAATGGAACCCAAATTGTTTGCGAATAAATTTCCTCCAAAATTGTTGTTGTTGGTATTTTTGTAGGGTAGGGAAATGTAGGGTAGGGTAATGGAAGATAGGGCGGAACAAGTTAAAGGTTTATTATTTATAAGGGCTGGACAAGTTAAAGATTTTAAAGGTTTCAACTACATCTACATTTCCATGGTCGGTGGAATGTAGATGTAGTTAGATTATATGATGTTGATGCCGGCGATTGTATTGTGGTACTGCGTGTATGTTCCTGGATTGTTCTAGTTTTCCTCTTTGTCCACCGGAGCTATCCTTGGTTTATGATGTGCCTCTGCGTCGCAGAGGCTATGAACCTAGATGAAAAGTAAGAAACTGGTTTTTTATATTAGAGGAGTGAAGTAACGATAACATCTTATATATTATAGTAGAAGCTGCTTTCTGACTTATTTTAATTTTCCAGGCTTGGACTGTACCCAAAAATGTTAGCAAGTATTGTCAACACAAGTTCGGGCCGTTGTTGGAGTACGGACAGTTACAATCCGGTGCCAGGTGTCAAAGAGCTTCACGAAACTACGTCGGAGGCTTAGGAAACAAACTTATTGCCAAAGACTTTGGATTGGCTCAAAATGCATCGACTGAAGTTGGTGTACCCACTCCATTGGGCTTGTTGGCTCACCAGATATACCGAGTTTTGGCGAACAACAACCAGTTTGGTGATAAGGACTTTGGATTCGTATATCAGTTTTTGAAAACACTAACGAATAATAGGAGATATTGTTATAGAATAAGGAATGTTGTAGAGTAAAAATATTGTTTCCGTGGCAAAAATGTTAAGGGTGTTCTTATAATTAGTTTGTTCTTGTCAAATAAATAAGATAAATCAGCTTTATGGCTTTTCAAACAAACTACAGTACGCATCGGTCCTTTACGTTCATGTATGATGTTTCAGAACATTGAAAAGCTTTTGAGAATTCAGGGACATTCCTTACGATTCCGTTCACACGGTACTTTAAAGGAGAATAACTTTGTTTGAAATCGGAACGTCGTTCGCTTTCTGACATCTCAGAAGCACAGAAGTAGAGTGGGTATGATAGGAAGAACAGCTAAAAATGATGGCATTACCTATTTATAAATAATGTCTAAAGATATCACTCTGGAAGGAACTGAACATAAACGGAGAATTTAAAAATTTGAAATTTTGGAAAATGCAATGATAACGTTGTTTTACCTGTTCATCGGTGAAATTTTTGATTTTCCTATTCTTATTGACTGATTTATAAGCTTGGTACGTCACTTTAAGACCAGCCAAATCAGCTGCATTTTCCGACAATGTTCGCTTTCCATCGACAGACACATTCAGCTGTTTATCATGGTAATCGTTGAATTGGGATATTAAACACTGTTGTTTTTTCTTGAATTCTTGTCTAAAATTTGAAACGTTAACTCGTATTTTTTGTTCTCTATGTTGATATTGACAGATAAAGTCACTGACTTTGATTCAGAACTCCACCAGTTGTGAAGATTGCCATTGCCATCGTATTCAGCGCCGTTTGGATCAAAGAAGCCATGGCTTAACTCATGGCCAATGAGAGCGCCAAGACCGCCATATAAAGCCCAGTTAGGATGATCTAAAGGAAATGATACAACTACACGTAGTTCAATATGCTATGAGTTACCTGTAATGTACAATAATTGTTTTTGGATTTTTGAGTTTGAAGATTTAAAAAATATTATGATTGTAGCTAAAGTAATCACATCATAGATAATAAATTACATTTTTTTCAAGTAAAAAAACGTTTTAAAAATTATACGTGTCCCAACAGCAGGATAATCAAGTTCTCCAATGGGTATCGTGATCGAGTTGGTTTCAGCCATGTACCAAGCATTAGTACGCACTGGAGAGCCTCTGAAGTACCTTCTGGATGTGTCTTTCAATAACAATTCTAAATTCTGTCGTAAGCCCCATGACTTTAACAAAAAATTCTGATGACCAAAAGGCGAGGTTGATGAGATTTTTAGATCTTAAAATTGGTTTTGTAAATAAAACTTTTTATTTTTATTACCTTTGTAATACTCATCAATCTCCGTATTATTCAGTACAATATCAGGATAGCCAATCAAGTCTTCTACCAATTGTAATTTTTCCAAAGCCCGAGCTTTAGTGATATTGTCCATCCAGTCATTCTGTTGAATCATAAGTTTTAGCCCATTTTTTACACTTTTTGTTAAATTTGATGTTATTTTAACCAAAGATTTATCAAAACCATGTTTTAGTAGAGCTTCTGCCACTGCTATTCCAAAGCTTGGTACTTCATAGTTGCCTTTGACTACGGTTAAACAGGCTTCTTCTTGTGGTGATCTTTGTGGCTTTTTTAGTTTGCCATTAGTTAAAATGTAAGAACTTTGAGCTTCTGTGACATTAACCGAATTTTTTAAAAAATCAAAATTTTTAAAGTTTAAAACTTTTAAAATTCGATTTTGTCGCTGAATAACAATGTCATTTTGTTTGCCATCATAATTGCTGTGATTTACAATGTAAAGTTCAAACGTGTTAGTATTTTCAGAATTGTTAATGTTATTTAAGACATCTTTGAACTTGTTATAAGCATTTTGATAGGGTTGAGGTAGGTACGGCAGTTGAGGTAAAATCAAACGCCATATAAAATAATTTTGTATTGTTTCGGGCTTCGATTTTTTGATTAAATCATTAACCTGAAGAATAATTTTGATCTACTCTGCACCACCTTACCCGGCCCTACTCTACCCTTCCCGACCTTGTTCTACCCTACTCTACACTGCCCGACTTTGCTCTACCCTACTCTATCCTGCCCAACCTTGTTCTACTCTACTCTACCCTGCCCAACCTTGTTCTACCCTACTCTAGCCTGCCCGGCTTTGCTCTACCCTTATAATTCAAAACTTACTTTATTAACAAATTTGCCAGCGATGAACAAAATACGTTTTTCTGATTTTAAAAGTTTTACAGCGGGTTGACCTAACAATTCTTTCAAATAATCACCCCATGGAAACCCTGGGCTTTGTTTGATTATCTCTTGTAATGTCAGTTCATCTTCAGTATCTTCATCATGAACAGTCGACTTTATCAAAGCTAGTTCTTTTTCAAATTCAAACAAGCTATTTAACTGCTGCTGATCAATCTTAACATCGTATTTTAAGTCTTTAGCTAATAGTTCAACAACTTCCTTTTGTAAAGCTTTGTAGGCTTGTTGAATACCTAAAAATGTTTTTTGAAGGGAGAATAAGAAGATAATGCGTCTTTTCTCGGTTTTTGCGGAGGGCTGAAATCCGTATGTTGGGACTGAAGTTGGTAAGAGAAATCAGGGACAAAGTAGCAAGAAAGAGTAAATTTACTCTAGAAAGGGGAACATACCGGACAGTTAGGAAAGTATGTTTTAACTTCAGACAACTCAACTCACGTCCTTTGTCCTCGTTTAGAAAATTATCAATATTCATACCAAGAAACAACATATCACCAGATAGCCACAGTACATTCCTAGTGGAATTCAATGAACTTTCCAACACATACGGAAACAATAATGTATCTACACCTAATACTGACTTAAACATACCTTAAAATCTTGTTAAATGAAAGCATATACTTAATCAAATGAAAAGGTATACCTATTTAACTGAAAGTATATATCTAATCAGTAGAATAAAAACATTATATAAAACTATCTCGACTTTCACAGTATAATAACAATCTCAACTTTCAGTATTATACTGCTTACAATAACTCATAAATCAAAATGTCATACCCATTCGTGCAGCTACAGAACTTCCGACTTCTTTAAATTCAGAAGATAATAACGGAAACTGCAACACGTCCAAAGGCAGCTTCTTATGTAAACCATCTAGATAACCATCATTGAACAGACTAATAAGCCAATTAGTATCTTTAGTACTGTTGTCAATACAAGTCCTAAAGAAGGTTTTGGCCATTTTTAAGCTGTTACTTTCATCAACATCAACTGCTAACATAGCTGTCAAAATCTTGTCAGATATTTGCTGTGCTATCTGTAAAAATCGTACTATTTCATTAAGCATAATATATTGATATGTAAGATAATATTAAAAACCAATTGGTGAAAGATTTCCCTCACCTTTTTTCCTGTTTTACCCAAAGTTATACCTATTAAACCTCTTTCTAAAACTATATACTACATATTTTCACAGATTTTTGAGAAAGAAGTCAAACATTTACTCAAAAAACATTATACCTTCGATTCTCCAGTCCAGTAGCTGTTTCCATCAGGTGGTGGATTCTGATTCTCCCAGTTTCCACAAGCATATTCATAAAAATCTTCACAAGGATCAACAGTAACATTTAGCCTATTAATAACATCTTCATACAAGTTCTCCTCAAATTTATCAACTTCTTCATCTTTTTTCTTATTAAAATCGTCTTTTTCAAACAAAAAGTAACATAAAACCGCTAAAGCCGCCAAAACCACAGTTAAAGCGACAATTTTAATTATCAAAACCTTGTTCATTTCCAAAACAAATACAAATTATCAGCAGAACAAGCATCAAACAGGCTTCCATCATATTAAACAATATGATTTTTGCTTGATTTTTACGATTTTAAAGATAATTTTTATAAATTTGAAAAAGCTAAATTAAAATTTAAAGAATACTGTAACATAAAACCCTAAAAACAATTAAATCTTGCAGCTTCGTTTACCAAAAAAACTTGCAGAATTGTTCCATAAAAATATTAGCAAATTTTATTTTGAATATTCATAAAAAATTTGATAATAAAAAATTTGAAAAAATTTTTTTAATTATTTGTTTTTTGCGTTTTATCGGGTTGGTAAACTAGGTTTAGCGGGTGTTACTATTCTTTGTTTTTTGTCCATAACTTTAAACCTATTGTAATGTGCTTTTCAAGACTTTTAACGCTGTTATTGTTAATATACGATCAAATTATTTCTCTGTCCGTTTTTAGCTTTTATCCTTACCTTTTAGCTTTTATCTCTAGCTTTTATCAGGTCATAGATTAGGTAGGCTAAATAATTGTTTTCATAAATGCAGTTTTTTGATAATAACCAAGTCAAGATTTTTTGGTATTCACGCTTGTAATGTCCTTAAAAAATGTATAAAAGCGCTTTACATTAAGCCGACTTGACAGCCTAAAAACAACTAATAGTAAAGATACGCACAAAACATACATTACCTCCGGTAAAATTGCAAAAAATAAACTGTAATGTTCTTAGTGTTTTTCAGTTTGTTGTTAGAATATGGTGAAGAAAATCAACGAAGATTATAATTGCTATTAGTGTGAGGTGGTGTGGACTAAGGGCCATTCATGCCTAAAAGTAAAGTGCTATTTAAATATTTAATATTTTATAGAGAGGCGGGGTTTTATTACGGCTAAAAAAAGGAGAAGATAGAGATAGGCTGAGAAAAAGTTTGGGTAAAGAAGGACAAGTTTGAACTAGGGCATGGCTATAAAAGAAGAGGGGAGGGGTAAGGGTCTGGACTAAGATCGGGCTGCAAAAAGTGCGAAGAGGGTTAATCAACTTATTTCTTGTAGGAAAAGAAAGAAAAGAAAGAAGGTAGGAAAGAAGGTGAGAAGAAGGAAGAAGAAAGGAAGGACAGGAAGGAGAGAAAGAAAGGAATTGAAAAGAAGGAAAAGAAAGAAGGTAGAAAAGAAGGTGAGAAGAAGGAAGAAGAAAAGAAGGAAAAGGAGGAGAGAAAGAGAGGTGAAAAGAAAGAAGAGGAAAAGAAGGATAAGAAGGTGGTGAAGGAGGAGAAAAGGGGAAATAAAAACAAGGAAGTGGTAGAGGGAAAAGGAGAAGAGGACACCACGTAAGATAATTTACTAACCTTTACGTTAACCTTTTACCACTTTTCATACCTAAAATCAAAAAAAAAGTTAAAATTAAATACCTTTATAATACCGCAGTCATTTATTACAAAGTAGGTGTAACAAATCGTTGAACTCCAAAGCCCACACCGTTTTCATTTTAGCTTGAAGCCGGGCTGTTTCTCGTACATTTAGAACGCTCTATTTATTTATTTTTATTTTTTGTGGCACTTCGTTAAAAAGAATGACGAATGTCAAAAAAACCAGTAATTGATTTTTTATGTAGTAAAACCAAATTTATAGTACCAAAATCACACAAAAGCTGCCATTCTTTAATTTAACGTTTATAATTACATTACAACTTTGTTTCAGTAACATCGCGGCCTTCTCCAACACCACCGACCGGAGCCACGGATTCAGCTTCAACCAGGCTTCTGGTAAAACAATAGGTAAGTTTTTGGTTTTTTGAAAGTTTTAGGTAGATATAGTACAGTAGGCTCTTGTAGTTAGCGAATTGAAAAGACGGTTTATGTCGTAAATTTTCAAAACTACATTACAACTTTGTTTCAGTAACATCGCGGCCTTCTCCAACACCACCGACCGGAGCCAGGGATTCAGCTTTAATTAGGCTTCTGGTAGAAAGATTTAAACAGGCTTTTGGTAGAAAGAAGGTATGTTTTCGGTTTTTGAAAGTTTTAGATAGATATAGTACAGTAGGCTATTGTAGTTAGCGAATTGAAAAGACGGTTTATGTCATAAAATGTTTTGCTTATTGAAACAATATAAGCTAGCTGATTAAAGTGTTTTATTAGATTTCGAGAAAGTTCTTGATTTGTAAGAAAAACATCTTGCCAATTGAAAAAAGTAGTTGTCATTTTTCTAAAGAGACAGCACAGTAAAGAATTATATTTTATATCAAAAAACATATTTAACTATTCTTCTTCTCCCTCAAACCTTTTACAAACAATTTTTAATGAGACATTTTTAACATTTTTTCTTTAGAAGAAAGTTCTGGCACCGTCAGTTGCAGCTAAAGTTGAACTGAACTTACTCCAGATCCTTCACAACAATCTACCAGAGGCAGCTCCGAGAACGATGGCGGAAACACTTGAAATGCGACGCCCAACAAGAATATTTTTTGTGGTTAGAAATAAATGTGTATTTATTGAAATTATAATGGTAGTTTTTTTATGTAAAATAGGTCTACAATCTTTGAAAGAAAAGAAAAATAACGTAACTTTTTTGTTGCTTCTAACGGAACTTCGAGGGAGGTTTTTCGAATGTAGGAATCGGTAAATTTTACAGTATTACAGACAGATTCTGGAATTTAAGCGGATTCAGAAACGCACGGTGTGGTATTCGAGAATACAAACTGAACTGTCGTTTCGTTTTGGCCAACTCTCGCTTTTTATACTTCATATCTCGAGATAAAAAATTGCACTTTTTTGATTTTTATGATTATTTTTTATCAAAACGAAGTTTTATTACCAATTTTGTTTTGAACGAACTTTTAAAGTCATCATTACATAAACATAAGATTTAGTGCGATAATAAAATGGAAATTAATTGCCTTCGGGGTTTTTTCATCCTTTATGTGTAATCATTGTCGTTGGACTGACAGTGAACTCTAAAGTTCAAAAACTGCAGTGCTACCTTATAGTAGAATTATTTGAATTTTGAAGTTTTTCCGCCAGAAGTTCATAGGTTTTTCATAATTTGTAAGTCTTTCAAGGTTTTAATAGTGTGAACTGGGTGTTTTAAAGTTATTTGCGTTATGCAAATAAGATTTGGCATAGTTATTCTTGCCGTAATATCGTTAAACATTGACAAACGTTTGCGTTGGCGTAGCAAATCGAATTGAAATCGCGACAACGGTGTTCATGAAGCACACCGTATTCCGATGACAAACTCGTTGATGGATTTATTGTGTTGCCGTTCCCATAAAAGATGTCACTCAGATTTGTGAAGCAATAAATTCGGTTCTTCTCGCCGCTTCTGCCATAAAACAAAAAAGGGAACGGGAAAAAGTATTTAAAACACGCTCACAATCAGTTTATTGCTTTCCCAATCTACACAATCATTTTACTGCCTTTCTCAATCCTGTCACTTGCTTTCCGAGGGGTTATATTGTAACTGAGTTCGAAAGGGTTCAAGTAATATTGTTTTAGTTTGGTTTTAATTTAGGCATCAGGGAAGGAAAAGAGGAGGTTTAAAAGTTAAATTTTAACTACACTTTGAAAGTTTAAAGGATTCTTACAATTTTTGCGATGTTATCATTGTCAACCACTGACTGTTCCTTTTCAGCTAATTCTCCAACCAAGTTTAGACGTTAATATCGCCAAAAAACGGCTGAAACTCCGACCGATGATAAGAACGGCCGGCTAGAACCTCAATTTTTCGTAAGCCTCGACTCCGACTGCCCCCAATTTGCGATCACCTTCTTCCCACACCCCCCATTTTCACTCCGAAATTATGCCTCGATGGCTAATGACGCAGCCCTCCTCCAGTTCGCCCTTAACCGGTTGTCTGATGGAACCCTTTCTGGCGGCGAATCATAACAGTGCAACGTTCCCTTATGAACAACATCATAACATCATGCAGGTGGGTGCTTTTCAATTGTTTGTTGGTTTTTAGGTATGAAGGCAGGAAGTTTTTTGGTTTTTAGGTATGAAAAGGGAAGCTTTTGATCTTTAGGTAATGAAACAAGTTTTGTTTTAATTTCAAATAATAGAACATGATTTTTTTTCGATTTTTGAGTATAAAACACTAGCTTTTGGAATTTCTATGTACCAAAAAACAAAATTTTTATATTTTTAGGTAATAAAAAATAAACTGTTTCTATTTCCAATCGTCGAGACTTTATATTTTTAAGTTTGCTATTTAATTCTTATTAAAACAAGATTCTTTTAGCCCAGCTCATCTGGTGTGTCGCATACGAAAGTCGATCGGAATGTAGCTACACCTTCATCGTCAAGCAGTTCTGGTCAAGATCCATGTGCTCAGGTCGTTCAGGTCTTGCTATGCTATCATCAGGTAAGTTTTTTACATTATTTTCTTGATTTTTAGGTAATAAAAATAGAAGAAATGGCATTAAAACGGCCGAAGAGCGCGGGAAGATACCTAAATTAAGGAAAATTTGTCGAAAAACATTATAAATGACTATAGTTTTTGAGTTTTTTCAAAGAATTGGTAATAAAAATTATTAAGAAGAGTTTTTTAGATATTATAGTAGACTAGTATGTTGAAATTTTTCTGTTTCAGGGTGGAGAAGATCCGGATTTTATTAAGAAAGCCATTGAAAGCCTGGTGAAGAAGCTGAAGGACAAGCAGAAAGAGCTGGATGCTCTAATATCAGCTGTTACTTCAGGTGGGAAGCAAGCTACGTCGTGTGTTACTATCAATGTGAGTGTCGTAATCGTGCACAAGAGTTTACTTTCGATTTGTGTGCCATAATATAGTACTATAAGGTAATCTTTTTTTGTTTTAGCGCTCCCTGGACGGACGTCTTCAAGTAGCTGGTCGAAAAGGCGTACCACATGTTGTATATACGCGTATCTGGCGTTGGCCGAATGTCTCGAAGAATGAGCTACAGAAGCTACAGATGTGCACCACTCCCTCAGATCATCCTGACCTAATATGTATAAATCCATTTCACTATGACCGTGTGGTATCTTCCTCAATTGGTGCTATCGATATGAATTCATTGAGGATGGAGCACTTACGTACTGACTTTATTGGTCGTACTGGGCATGGCATGGGTATTGGAACATCTGGTGCAAATATTGGAGCAAATGGTGCTACATGTTCTAATGGTGCTCTTGGTACGGTTAATCATAACGGAAATGCAAATGTTGATAAAATGGCTGGATCAACTAGTACTAATGGGACCAATATTGGATTCAGCCCATGCGTACAATCTCCAGGGGCTTCTGAATCTGTTCTACAAGAAAAATTGTTGACGCCTTTTATGTATGGTCCACATCAACAGCCATCGTACATCGTATCTCATTTATCGACCGGCGATGCTGTAGCTAACAATGCTACAGTGTCAAATTCAAATACCGTATCTCATATGGCAACATACAGTAATAGTCAGTCGTTAGCAAATGGTACTATTTCAAGTTTATCAGCTGATGGTACACTATCAAACTTGACTTCGAATGATACTAATGGTGCAGGATCTCATTTACATGGTGCAGATGGTGTAATATCGCACAGTTTCGCACCAAATGCTAAGGATTGGTGCAAAAACGACTTTAATTTGCAGGATTTCCCTTCAGGATCAAAGGAAAATGGCAATACTTATGGTGCACGATATAATACTTTGAGGCACAATCTTAGCAGGATACGAATACCAAATGCTTGTCGTAAGTTTAACATAGTGCTATATAGTACGCTGTAAATAAATTTTAATTAAGAGGTGAAAAAATATCAATTTTCAAGTTTGTCTCGTCAGAAATGGCAAAAACTTTGTTTACAAGCCAAAAATTTCAAAAAATTTAAAATTTCTTTTTAGCGGTGTCTCACTGGTGCTCGATCTCGTACTATGAGCTGGATACTCAAATTGGCCAAACCTTTAAAGTGCCTCGAGATCAATCGGAAGTTACAATCGATGGTGGTATGGACCCGGCTGGCGCTAGGCTTGGCCGTTTTTGCCTCGGGGCGTTATCCAACGTGCATCGTAGCGAAGCTTCTGAAAAGGCACGGTAAGAACATTAGTTTATATAAACCTTGTGACTGATATTTATGTAAGTAACTAATTTAGTACTACTGGTACTTCTTTTAACCTAAAATTTTAATTCTTTTAACTTTGATTTTATAGGCTCCACATTGGCCGAGGAATCAAGCTAAAACAAACTCCAGATGGCAATGTATATCTAACTTGTTTATCTCAAAAAGGAGCATTTGTTAGAAGTTATTTCCTGGACTTTGAACATGGTTTAGTGTATGGTAGTACTGTGCACAAATTCAGCATTGGTGCAGAGAAGAAGGTATGTTAATTTTTTGTTGAACCAAAAGTGGCACAGATTTTGTTTTACGATTGAAATATGCGTCTAGTTTTGAATTTTAAAAAGTGGCTGTTTAGTGGAAGATTTGTAATGCAAATTGCACTGAAAATCTTCCACTGAACTTTCATCTTTAAAAAGTGTTTAAAATTGATTTTTAGACTATTTCTGAACTTTTATAAAAATGGAAGTTCGGTGGAAGATCTTCAATGCAATTTGCACTGAAAATCTTCCACTTAACTTTCGTTTTTTAAATTTTGAAAATTTATGTTTTTTAAAGTTTTTTTGTTATTTCTAGTCATATTTTAATTAAAAAAACCATTTTTTAGATTTTCGACCTCCGCTGGGCCTTTTCAGAGATGTGTGAACAACGTCAAAGTGCCCAGCTAGCTGTAGCCGCTCAAGCCTACGCTGTAGCTGGTATAATGCAGAACGTGATCGCACCGTCCGTGCTGGAACGAGCTGGAACTGGTGTGGACGACTTGCGACGGGTTTGTTGTACATTGGCCATAAGCTTTGTGAAAGGATGGGGAACGGGCTACAATCGTTCCACGATCAAAGAGACACCGTGCTGGATCGAGGTGCAGCTTCATCGCCCGCTACAGTTGTTGAATGGGATTCTGCGGAAAACGGAGTGATGTTATGTTGATATAGATGGTTTTATGTTATTGTATGTGATGTTGTGTTAATATCTATGATATTATGTTGATGTATATGGTTTTGTGTTAGTAGCTATGGTGTTGTGTTAATATCTACGATGTTACGTTGATACTATGGTGTTATGTTAATATCCATAATGTTATGTTGATATCTATGATATTACTTTGATATCTAGCACAATGTTACTGGTAAATGAAGGAATATTGTGAGAACGATGTAAAATGGACTTATATGTTAATATTAATGTAATAAAGATAATTATTTAGCCTAAAAATTTAATGTTATAGGTTTTTCTCCTGTTTAACTTAACAAATTGTTAATTGATTTCGATTTCAAAGCTTTTTCCAATTTATTTTAAAAATTTTTATTCATTTGAAACAATCTATATTATATTCTACATCCATATATATATATATAAACTTTGACAATAACATTAGGCAATGTGAGAGGCATTAAAATGCGAGAAATACAACCCTGTTTCCAATATATACATCTGTTTTTTGTACTTTTGACACGCTTATGAACTAAAAATCATAATGCTACAGTAGTTTGAGACTCCGGAGAAGTTACAGTATTCGTTTTGAGACTCAAAGGAAGTCACAGTATTTGTTTTGAGACTCCGGAGAAGTTACAGTATACTTTTTGAGACATAGTACTATCGTTTTTGGTACTCAGCCAATGGTTTTAACACTCCATCTGTATAGGACCGTAGAATGCATTCACATACGAATACGTACTGTTCCTGAAAATGTCATATTTATATTGGTATTACCCAACGTTTTTACATTTCTTATATAGTTATTACCTAAAGCTTTTAAATTTTTGAATTCAGACTAATTTTTGACATAAATAATACCTTTTGTTACCTAAAATAAGAAAGAAAATTGAAAAAACCTACAGTAGTTTGAATTAACATAGCCCTTTGTTCTCTCATAACCTTAACAATGTCCAGTGGGTATACTGGTTCATTGCTTTCGATCAAGCAGGCCGCTGTTTCCATCAATATCAACACTCCTGTTCGGCCGATACCCTGAAACGGTCGAAAATATTATGCAAGCTTTAAAAGGCATAAGCCTACTAATTGAACTGCCTAAGCCCAAGTAAAGCTTATGTTAAGCCTAAAGCTAAGCTTAAGCTAAGTCTAAAGCTAAGCCTAAGCTAAGCTAAGCCTAAGCTAAGCCTAAAGCTAAGCCTAAGCTAGGCCTAAAGCTAAGCCTAAAGCTAAGCCTAAGCTAAGCCTAAAGCTAAGCCTAAGCTAAGCCTAAAGCTAAGCCTAAGCTAAGCCTAAAGCTAAGCCTAAGCTAAGCCTAAAGCTAAGCCTAAGCTAAGCCTAAAGCTAAGCCTAAGCTAAGCCTAAAGCTAAGCCTAAGCTAAGCCTAAAGCTAAGCCTAAGCTAAGCCTAAGCTAAGCCTAAGCTAAGCCTAAGCTAAGCCTAAAACTAAGCCTAAATCAAAGCCTAAGTTTAAAATAACCCCCCTCCCTACTTACAGCTGAACAGTGTACGATAATAGGATCCAGTGACCCATTCCTAGCTCTTCTGACTTCAGCTACAAAGTCGATAAAGTGTTTCTGATTCTCGGGTACTCCATGATCGGGCCATGCTGTATATTGCATTTGAGTGACTCGTCGTTCTTCTCTTGTCATCTTGTTCTTGACACTTAATTCTCGGTAAAAACAATATCTATCACTTCTTTCGCCCAAATTCGTTATCACTAACTGTCCAAACTCTAATGTATCCTTCTTACTTGGCCAATATTGATGACACTTAATACGACCGTTCTCTACTGTAGTTGTCAACATTACTATTGTAGTTGAACATTGTTCCCATACCATGTACCAAAAGTCACCCGAAGTATGTGGTAATGGTCCTTGTGTAGCAATGTAGCGATTTACTATGCCAGTAGAAGGTATTTCCATGTTAACATGACTAGCATTGATATAGTCACCACTTGGTGCTTTTTCGAGTACCACCCTAGTAATGTCGTATGGTCGTATGTCTTGGTAGCGGTTCTTTCGTATGTTGGCTGATGTTTGACTAATATCCATGGTAAGACCGGCCTTCTTACGATGTAGCGACTCGAACTGTTTGATGACATTGCCATTTTCAATCGTCTCTTTCAGCAATTTTAGTGAATGGGACAGTTTGTCAGAGCGTGGTACTGTTTCACTAACGTGAGGTGTGGCCACATTCTGGTTTTCAGAATCCTGATTTTCCGAATCTTCCAGTTCACCGTAGCGATAGACGTTCGGCCGAATCGTCATTGACATTTCACCAAACGATCGTACGCTTCGGATGTAGTTCTCCACGTTCACGAACGACCACTTCGAGATGTCTTGGTCGTTGATCCGTAGCACCTGATCTCCTTCGTTCAGCCGAGGATAACATCGATCAGCTGGACTGCCTACAATGATTCTACTGATGATTACAGGATGGCTACAGTCCGCTCCACCGCTGACGTTGAAGCCAAAGCGACCGCGAGAATCTGGATGCATTCTGATGGTCACGGAAGTATCGTCACCGTTGGATGAGGTTGGTGGTGATATTGAGGATGGTCGTTGAAGTCTTTGATGAACGGCTACACCAGCTGGTCGATTCTGAAGTTGAGGTGAGGCTGGACGGTGTTTAGTACTGTATTGTACTGAACTTTGTTGTGGTGATGCTGGTCGATTTTTGGTACTGTAGGGCGCTAAGTTTTGTTGAGACACGGTACTGTACTGTGATGGTGAAGCTGGACGATGCTTAGTGGTATAAAGTACGTTTTGAGATGAACCATATGGTACTATATTCTGTACGGTACCATTACGCGACATTTGAGGTGACGGTGGTCGTGCTGTGATTACGGTAGGCTTCTGACGTCGTACTTGAATCTGAGGTGAAGCTGCGACTCCAACACGTTCTGGCGGTGCTAATGGTGCTGCTCTATCTACATAGTAGGGGTTACGGTCTACTAGGTGGGTAGTACGATCGTTCTGATGAGCATGGCCGTTCTGGTCGATTCGGTGAGAGTTTCGGTCGATTCCAGCTAACACATGAGGGTTGCGGTCGATTGTAGCCAGCGTATGAGGCGCGTAGTCGATTGGGGTTGAGTTTTGTGAAATTGAGGTAATACTATGTCCACTACGTTCCATCGCGTTGATATTGTTGGTACGGTCGACTGATATGATTGGTCGTCCGTTGCGGTCTACTGTATGATTTATCGGTCCTACAGTTTGGCCATTTGCTACAGCATGACCATTAGCTACAGTATGACCATTGGCTACAGCATGACCATTAGCTACAGCATGACCATTTGTTACAGTATGACCATTCCTATCTCCCAAAACTACAGTATGGCCATTACCGTCCTTCTGTATGCCTCTTCGTTGTGTAGCATCGTACGATGTGGACGGATTCACAATTGGAAACTCAGTTTCATTTATTTGAAAAGTGCGTCGTAATGACCCATTTTCTGGACCGACCGGTAATGGCGGCCGGTTCAGGAAAAGATTGTTATTGTTCTTGTAGTCGGGCTGCTTCTGCGAACTTCGAATTCGAGTACGTTGATGAGTGAGATCGGGTTGGTTGGCTGAGGTATCGGCCTGAAATGACAAGGATATATTGTGCTAGCACAGTATTAGGTGCCGGCATACAGAACCCGCCATACTTCGCCTATAATTTCTTGTAAAAAATGGCGGGTTCTTTATGTCGGCACCTAATACTTTTCAAATTTTTTATTTTTTGTACTAATGGTACTATTATTAGGTTTTTTAGTACTATTAGCACCATTAATATAATTTTTAGCACCAGTGGTACTATTTGAATAAATTTTACCCTCCCCCCCCACCCTTTTCTAAATTTTTTTTTCAAAAACCGTATTACCGTACACTGTAAATATTGGTATAGAATGGTACTCCATTCTGAGTACTTTCGATCACAATCGGATTACTCATGGTATTACAAACACTCTTTCGTGACGGCCATGCCGCGACAAAAGTTTCGTGTTTCTCCGGCAAACTCAATCGCGGCGAATACTTTTTGTTCGCGTAATCCGAAGGCCTTCGCCGAAACGGCACTTTGGCAAACTCTGTGGACGAGGAGCGTGGTATTGTCTCTAATAACACCATCTAGGAAAGTGATTAATGAATTTTGTGGTTGTGTTGATGAAAAATGACAAACACGTCGAATTGGTCAAAAATGGTTAAAATAGTACTAAACTTAAAAATAGTACAAAATTTGCAACAATGGTACCAAATTTGTACTAATAGTAACTAGGTTTGTGAAATAGTTCTAAACATACACAGACAGTACCAAACCGAAAAAATCGGTAACAAACCCTCAGGGAAAAGAAAAATCAGTACCAAAACACAATAAAAAGAAAAATCGGTACCAACCCCTCAAAGATGACAAAAATTGACCCGTATAAACCAAAACAAGTCAACAAAGTTAAGAAAAACATATTTTTGGTTTTCCAAACCCACAGTAAACATACGGTCTATAAATAAACACCCCCACTTCACACCCATCTTACTATCAAACAACAGTTTAAACTCATACACACGCGTTTTAAACAACCCTACAGCAAACCGTCTTAAGCAGTAATCAAAAACTATCTCTTACAGCCAAGTTTTTAACCAGTAGTTTAATAAATCGTAACCAGTAGCTCTATACCTAGTACAACATAATACATCAAACAACATCGGTTCCCAAAAAAATACTCGACCTTTTTTGAACCAACAAATTGATTAGTCAGAAGAAAGGGAACATTGATTTGTCATTAGATGAGAATTCTTCTCTGAATCCCCCCCCCCTTTTTTTCGCTCCGGTTAGGAAGTAAGACTGACTAATTCGAAAAACGTGAAATTTCACAAAGTAACTGAACTTTTTCAAATTTTGTTTTGATTTTTATGTTAAGAATTTAAATATGGATCTATTAATGCCAGTTTTTAGCTAATCAGTGCAATATATAGTACTAAAAACCATTATTTTATTCCTACAACAGTCCAGGTGATCGCCAAAAAACTAATGAATGAGCTGAAATTTTTAATTATAACTTTTTTCTAAAGCCAGGTAGAAACTTCGAATTTTGTGACGTTTTAGCTAGGTTATAGTGTCATATAACAATGTAAAAATAATTTTGAATTTCAACTTCATTTAAGAGTTACAGTATATTTACCGTACCCATGTTCCTAAAATTTTTCCCAAAAAATAAAATAGGGTAAACTAACAATACTGTAACTTGGCGACGCCTTTAAATGTAGAAACGTATTTTATGGCATTACATTTCAAAATAATAGACCTACATATCCACAAAATTTTAAGTTTCTGACTATCATCTCAAAAACGTTATGATAAGAAAAAGACCACATAGCTTTGAAAAACGAGAAATTTTTAGAGAAAATCCATTAAAACATCATTTTTTAAATACTTTTTTGATAATTTTTAACCTGCCCAAATTTCATACTAATAGAAAAGACACATTTGAACCTATTTTAAAAGTTTTCAAGACAAAAACTTTTTTAAAAAACTTCACAATTTCAACATTTTCAAGACGACCTAATTTATTATCGAAACCAAATGCTAATCAAAAAACGAACAAAAATTTGGTTTTTGATAAGAAAAGACAGAACGACGTATGTTCATATGAATTCACATGAGAATAAAACCATAATTTTTTAAAAATTATTGGGGAAAATGAACTTTTTGGGCCTGAAAATCGAAAAAATAGGAAAAAACTTTAAAAATTGAATAAAAACCTAAAAATAGGCCTCATAATCATTGCCAAGCGGGTAATTTTGCTCTAGCGAAGGCAAGGTAAAGTAAAAAAACAATTTTTTAAATAATTTTAAAATTTTAATTGAAAAAAAATTTTTTTTTAAATTTCAAACAATCAACAGGGGGGGGGGACCAAGTTCAACTTTCTCAAAAAAAGTAATTTTAAAAACGCTTACCCCGCCTAACATCACTCAGTCATTACTAAAACCACCTTTCTCTGTACTGCATCAAAAACTCCCTTTTCCACCCCATTCAACACTTTCAAACCTCAACTTAACATCCAAAAGTGCACTTTATGTAAAGGTTTTCCCAATCCCACATTACACTTTAAAGCCAAAATGTTAGATCGTAAAAACCGGGCACAAATCCTCGAACCGAATTCCAAGAAAGGCTAAAACAAGACCGCTAATCCAGGAGAAACAAAATATAACCCAATTAAAAATGGTATAAAAACGATTCCCAGTAATGTAACGTGTAAAAGCTGGTCGAACGGTTATGGTAGATTTGTAGAAAACGATTACTGTGATTTTTAAGACTGTAAAGGGTGCAAAAAATGTATTTACAATGTTTACAAGAGCTAAAATTTAGTTTAAAACCAAAAAATTTGAGTTTTAAAAAGCGGAAGGTGTGGAAGATTTTCAGTCGAAATTACATTAAAAATCTTCCACTGAACTTCCACTTTTAAAAAGGTCAGAAATGGTCTAAAAATGATTTTAAACCATTTTAAAAAGTGGAAGTTAAGTGGAAGATTTTTAGTGCAAAATACATTACAAATGTTCCACCCAACTTCCACATTCTAAAATAGCCAAAAATGTTTCACACCAGAATGGCCAACAATTTATATAAAAAAAATTCATAAAAGTGCAAAAACTTTCTTTACATATCAAAAACCACTAAAACCATTCCAAAAACCTCGTCCTCTCCCTCGTACTAGTCAATTACTGTAGTAAAAGGCGATTATGGCCAACATCGAAGCTCAAAAATCTTCAATATAACTTGAAACAATTATGATTAATAAAGCCATTATTTGAAAAAGCGGGTGTTTGTGCTTTCCTAATTCCAAGAAAATTCCCTGCAAATGTTTTTTCCCGACCCCAACGTTCTTTTTCTGCCGTGACGGCGGGCTTTCCGCAAAAAACCTTTTGTTTTTTCGAGAATTTAACCTTGTCCTTAATCAGTCAGCTACTCTTGGTTCGAAATTTTGAAATTAAAATGACTTTTTTGATAAAACATTTCCAAAAATATGATAAAACATAAGCAAAAAGCATGTTTATCACTTCTATTTCAAGCCTAAAATTCAAAAATTTTACTTATAAAATCCAAAAAAGAGCATTTTAAACCGATTTTGAAACTTTATAAAAAGTGGAAGTTGAGTGGAAGATTTGTAATGTAATTTGCACTGAAAATCTTCCACTCAACTTCCACTTTTTAAAAGTGCTTAAAATGCATTTTTAGACCATTTCTGAATTTTTTAAAAGTGGAAGTTCAGTGGAAGATTTTTAATGTAATTTACACTGAAAATCTTCCACAAAACTACCATTTTAACGGCCAAAAAACAAAAGTAAACCAAACTAATGACTTGAGAGCTTTAAAAATAGAAAGAACTTTGTTTACAGGTTCAAAAAATGCTTCTTTATATGTTTTTGGAACTAAACTCTTGAATTATGACTAATTTTGTAGGTATACCCAGCAACTCTTTCCCCCTTAATTCCCCAAAAACTTGGCCATTAGAAGGAGCCGTAACAAAACCCCTCATCTGGTAATATCTATTATGTACACTGTTCGGAAAAACAACAAAAAACCTGTGCTCAAGGTGTGAGACGCGAAATAACACGCGGAAACGAGAGACCAACGACCGCTCTTTCTTCCGGTCGATCTGGTGAACAACTTGAGAGATCTAGTCCGAAACATCTTTGCGCACGACAAAAAAAACACACAGGGATATACGATGAACAAGCGAAAGACTTGGTTTTTAGGGATATTGTAATAGGAACAGCTTGAATGGTTATATTAACCATGGCTGTGGTGATGGTTAATATAAGCAGGTGATCGCGGAATAACTGTATGTTAAAATACAATAAGAGATGTCTAAAAAAGACAGAAAAAGCCTAGTAAACCTATAACACACAGTTATTTTGCCGTAAATTTAAAAAGAAAGCCAAATTGATTGTTTAAAAAAATGGAAGTTGAGTGGAAGATTTTCAGTGCAAAATACATTACAAATCTTCCACCCCGCTTCCATTTTTTAAAAGGTCAGAAATGGTCTAAAAATGAATTTAAGCACTTTTAAAAAGCGGAAGTTGAGTGAAAGATTTTCAGTGCAAATGACATTACAAATCTTCCACCCTACTTCCACTTTTTAAAACATCCCAAAATTACCGAAAATTCTATTTATAATTAAAAAACCGACAAAAACTTTCTTTCCAACCCTAAAAATACCCAAAAATCCAAAATTAACTCCACTCTCATCCTTCCATACCCATATAAAGTAGTTGAAAGACGCCGACTACAATAAAAAATTGGGTCAGAACGCAACGATTACGAACTGAAAATCACTTGGAATGAGGTGGAAAGGGTGTGAAACATGTTCAAGATACCGTTACCTAGTTTATTATTTATTTTTAAATCAGTCATTAAGCCATTTTAACCGTTTTTAAAAGTGGAAGTTAGGTGAAAGATTTGTAATGCAATTTACACTGAAAATCTTCCACCCAACTTCCAATTCCAAAATGTCTTAAAAAAGCTTAAAAATGCATTTTTGGCACTCTTTAAAAGTGGAAGTTGAGTGGAAGATTTGTAATGTAATTTGCACTGAAAATCTTCCACCCAACTTCCATTTTTTAAAAGTGTCTAAAATGCGTTTTTAGACCATTTCTGACCTTTTTTAAAAATGGAATTAAAGTGGAAGATTTATAATGTAATTTGCACTGAAAATCTTCCACTCGATTTCCATTGTGAAAACGGCCAAAAGCGCTCAAAATCAGCAAAGTTAATGACCTGAGAACCCCTAAAAGTACAAAAACTAAAGCTAAAATAACAAGTGCTATTTTTAAAAGTACCATATACCATGAAAACTACAATGTAATAGACATATCTCGTGTAATTACACAGGTTAAGTTGGCCGTGGAAATGCCAAACCGTAAAGCATATTACAATTCGAGGCTCGCAAAACACAATTTTGTGTAATTTCGCAGAAAACCGCAGTTTTGGACTCTTGGAATCGTAGAATTAGTTATTAATAAGCCGTAATGTCAACTACAAGTTGGTGGTAAAATCTATGCAGATTATAGTGAAAAAGTAAAGTTTTACAAATTTAACCTCAATTATAAACTACAAAATGTAAAATCTTGGTTTACGTAATCAAAAAATGGCAGTTTAAACCGATTTTTAGCAGTTTTGAAAAGTGGAAGTTAGGTGGAAGATTTGTAATGTAACTTACACTGAAAATCTTCCACCCAACTTCCATTTTTTGAAAGTGTTTAAAATGCGTTTTTACACCATTTCTGATCTTTTTTAAAAATGGAAGTTCAGTGGAAGATTTATAATGTATTTTGCACTGCAAATCTTCCACTTAACTTTCATTTAAAAAAAAGCAAAATTTTGGTTGTTTTAGTACCAGAAGGCCCTTCAAGTAACTAAAAAGAAATTTTAAAGCCCAAAAAGTGTTTTACAAAGCCGTACAGCATAAAAAATGTCAAAAAATCCCAACAAATCACCTAAAAACTAATGTATAATATAAGTAATGTCCAATATAATCCACCCCCGTGAAAAACCATAACCCGTAACAATGTAAATCAACACAAATTCAGAAGCAGACTATTAGAAGAGATGACGAGACCCACTTTTACTGTAAATACAATGAAAAACCCCCAGTTTTGACGTCAAAAAATGATTTCCGAGCAAATTTGGAAAGCGGGTTCGTCGAATTTGTCAAACCAAAACCAAATTAGGAGTGAGAAATACGTTCTCTAGAGTCAGGTGTTTCTATATCCTCTGGGATTTTAAATTTTGTTTTCATTTTTTAAAGTTTTTTTAATTTTAAATCCGAAGTTTTTTCAATTTTTAAGCCGAAAACTTGAAATTTTGGCAAAATATAAAGTTTGATTCAAAAAGAATGGCGCCAAACAATTTTTTTTTAAATTTAAAAGATTTTTTAAGCCATTTTTTAGATTAAAATTAAAAAAAATAATTTTTAAAAAATTTTCAAAAAATCAACCACAAAATTTTTTTTTCAATAATCGACCAAAGCTAAGAAAAAAAAGTGAAAAATAAGTCACGGCATCTACTTTAATCGACCAAAAAAAATTTTATCATTGAAAACCTATTTCCGAAAAATCGACCGAAAATTTGAAAAAAAAGGTAAAAAAATAGATCACCCCGCCCATTTTGATACACCAAACAATTTATTATCATTGAACCCCTATGGGCATTAAATTGTCATCAATGAGCAACGTATGCCATATTGTAATCAATCCCCCCCCCTTTTCCAAATATCGTAATCATTACTGACACACCCATATCATTCTGTCATTACCAACCGACCCATACCATTTAGCCATTACTGACCCACCCATATCATTTAGTGATTACTGACCCCCTCCCCCCCCCCCCATATCTTTTAGTCATTACCGACCAACCCAAATCATTTTGTCATTACTGACCCACCCATATCATTTAGTGATTACTGACCCACTCATATCATAGTATAATATATATCACATGGTTAAACTTCCTTTTTCAGACAATTTTTCGAAAGCTCGCTTATGAATCACCCCCCGAGAAAGGAATTCTCTCCACCCTCGAAACAAGATGAAGAACTTTTGACTGATTACATGTTCTGTCGGCGATTAATATATGAACTCGTCGATCGGTTTGTCATCGAACGTTCAACAAAAATGCTGTTTTTTGCTTTACGAATTCTTATTTTGATCTCTTTTGTCACGGTAATACGGTGTTTTTGGAAAATTATCTACCCTACTTGAAAATGTGTATACAATGTGCACCAAAAGTTTTGTTACAAAACTTTACCTTAGGTGACGACATAAAGAACCCGCCATTTTTTGCAAGAAATTACAGACAGTATGGCGGGTTCTTTACTTCGGTACCTAATAGCTTTACTCTAATCAGGGCCGGGCTTTGGGAGGATAGAGAGGGGGGAAGAGGAAGGGAAGTGAAGGGAAGGGGGGGGGGAGAGGGTGGACGTAGCGATTTAGGTGAAGAACCCCCCCCCCCCCCCCCCCCCACAGAAAAAAAAATCGAAAAAAATTGAACGTGGGCCCCCCCCTGTGGATTTCTGAAAAAAATTTTTTCGACCCCCCCTCCCCCCCCTCAGACCAAAAGTCCCCGCCCGGCCCTGACTCTACCCTACCCTAATTTACCCTGCCCTAAAATTTACTAAAAACTATCCAAAATTAACAATTTACCTGCCATCCCAACAAATCAACCCCTATCAAAACCACCTACCTCCTTATCGGTCCGCCCAGAAGTTTGATGCCAGATCATCCCTTCGTCATCTGAATTCGAATAAACATTTGACCGTCGTTTCGCGCCTTCTGAATCCTTTTTCTCTTTTTTCACTTTGAAATTCCGAGAACTTTTGCTAACTTCATCATCAGTCACATCCAACTCATCTAGGCCCAAACTCTGTAGACTGGTCGTTAAAACATCGTCACGACGCTGGGCTAGCCCGGGAGTACCGATGAAACTGTAGCGTGACTTTTGTGGTCGAATTGAGTCTTCACTGAAATTGAAATGGATTTTATTATTTGAAAAAGACGAGTTGTTACCTAAATTTTTTAAAAATCCCAAAAAACAGATTTTTATTACCTAAAATTTAAAAATTTGATACCTAAAACTAAGAGAAACCTCAGAAAAAGCTTTTTGTTACCTAAAATTGACAAATTTGACACCTAAAATTAGAAAAAACCCCTCAAAAGAAGCTTTTTGTTACCTGAAATTTAAAAATTTGTTACCTAAAAACTTAAAAGACCTTGAAAGTGATTTTTCTTCTATAAAAATCCAAGAAAATAAGAAAAAAGCTTAAGCAGTTAGCCAAACAATGCCCGAAAGCCCTCAGGTAAACAAATTTGTTTTGCTTTGTAATTAAGTTTGATTACGTCGAAGTGATCCAGAAGAGACGTGTGGGTACAATTAAAAATAAAGAGTTTGTGAAAAGGTCCTTTAAAAACATTTTTTTCAATTTATGGTAATATATATATAATTAATAGGTTCCGACATAAAGAACCCGCCATACTTTGCCTGTAATTTCATATAAAAATTGGCGGGTTCTTTATGTCGGCACCTAATATAAAAAAATTTCAAAAAAATTTTACTTTTATCATAATTTACGCCAAATTCTTTATGACTTGTACTTATAATACTAATAAGTACGCCGCCAAAAACATTTATTATCTACTATAATATTATCCTTTTGTAGAATCACCTTTTATAGCATAATAAACAAAAACAAATTAGTAACTAACATAACATAATATAGCGTGAAGTCAAGCACACTAGATTAAAAGGGCTTTACATTAAAGTAGTTTTGGTACTCTTCATTAAAAATAAAAAAAAAGTTTTAATTTTGAAAATTGTTAAATTTAAAAAAGTTTCAATTATTTAAGTTTCGAAAATTTTAAAAGACCTTAAACAGTACTAGTAGCAACAAACAGCAAAAAAAAAGTACTAGTAATAAAAAAGATCCTAAAGTGTGCACCAAAAAGCAAAAAAAAGCAGTACCAAGAATACCAGAATCACTAAAGACCAAAAACAGTACCAGAAGAGTACTAAAAATAAAAAAATTGAAAAACAGCACCAAAATAGTACCAATAATAAAAAAAAATTAAAAAAACGGTACCAATAGTACCAATAATACCACAAATAAACAAGGAATCAAAAAATATTAGGTGCCGACATAAAGAACCCGCCATTCTTTACAGGAAATTACAGGAAAAGTATGGCGGGTTCTTTATGTCGGCACCTAATAATACCACAATAGTCCCACAAGATGCCCGCCGCCCCTTACCGTCGAGTGAAATTTTTCAAAAACGACAAATTCTTGGCAGATCTCAGACTTTGCCTGAGGCGATGAGTGTCCTCACTGTTCGTTTTTCGTCGATATTTCAATTCCAACGCGTTGCGGTCGCGAAACGCGTCTGTATGGTACAGACTTTCGGCCCATGGGCCTACAGCGAACTTCAGCATGGTGCACTGAAGATTTTAAAGTACTATCAGCAATTTAGTACGTAATTTTCTTCAGTATCAGTATGAAAATTGTGGTAGAAATAGATGATTTGGTAGTGCTTGAAATAGCCTTTGCCATGTAGGTAAAGCTTGATAGTAATGTTGATGTAGGTATAGCTTGATGGTAATGTTAATGTAGGTATAAAACCGTGAATTAAAGGCTTCTTTTAGCTTCTGTAGGCTTATTATAAGCGTCTCTTTCCAGTTAAAACCGTACTATTTTATAGCACTAGTACTAGCCTTCAGTACCACAGTAATAAAACAGTACTACTTTCCAAGACTTCGAAATTCAAACAACAACTCCAGCGTTCAAAGCCGTTTTATTTACAGTCAAAGCCGGCTTCACAAGTTAACCTCCAGCTATTTTCGCAGTTCGCGCAGCATGCGTCCTTAAGAAGAGAGGGTAATAAATCAGACGACTTAAAACAGTATCGAAAACTCGGATTCAGTAGTAGAACATCAAAAAAAGCCCGAAAAATGTTACAAATCATCCATAAGTAGCCAAAATATGATACTATCCGGTCTTACTTTTTAGTACTAAAGCATACCCTAGCCTAATCAACTTTACCCTACCCTACCCTACCCTACCCTACCCTACCCTACCCTACCCTACCCTACCCTACCCTACCCTACCCTACCCTACCCTACCCTACCCTACCCTACCCTACCCTACCCTACCCTACCCTACCCTACCCTACCCTACCCTACCCTACCCTACCCTACCCTACCCTACCCTACCCTACCCTACCCTACTCTACCCTACCCTACCCTACCCTACCCTACCCTACACTACACTACCCTACCCTACCCTACCCTACCATACCCTACCCTACCCTAAAAAAACGGGCCGAGCCAAGCCTCGAAAGTAGGCCCGGTCTGTTACTCACCCCTACCTACTTTATATGTATCATGCCAAGCCCTATAATAACGTAATACTTTGCGAAAAGGTCCTCTTTCCCTCCCTCCCCTAAAGAATCGCCCTGCCTTAGCACTTATTGGCCGAAGCGCTTCTTTGGCGGTCACTCCTATGCCCTCCGGGTGACGTTTCCGACAAAATAAATGGCTGCCGCCAAAAACGGGTGTTAAAAGCCGAAAAAACTCCGCCGTCCGCCAACTAAACGGCTTATTGTTTTTTAAATTTCGTGCTATTTTAGTATGCAAAAGTTGTAAACGGCAAGTAGTTTAAACGTTTAACTATAGTAATTTGAATTTTAAATTTCAATTTCATACCTAAAATTATGAAATATGAAATTACAATGCCTTTTTTTAATTATTAAGTGCCGACATAAAGAACCCGCCATTTTTTTAAGGGAATTACAGGAAGAGTATGGCGGGCTCTTTATGTGCGGCATCTAATCAAATACGACGATAATACCTTAAAGTATTACAGTATACCAATGATGTTTAAATGAGACAGAAGCTACAGCATGGTAGGGTAAAGTGTGGTAAAGTAGGGTAGAGTAAACTGTATTAAAGTAGGGTAGGATAGGATACGGTACAGTAGCGTAAGCTAGGACAAAGTAAGGTGGGCTAGGTTAAGGTAATTTAGGGTAACCTTAGGGTAGAATATGACAGAGCAACCTCTTAAAAATTGAAAAAAAAATCCCCACCCCCGCTCCCTAAGCCTAAATGTGTGCCTAAGCCTAAATTATGTAAGCCTAAGTCTAAAATTTATGTACCTAAGCTTAAGTTGCGTAAGCCTAAGCCTAAAATGTGTGCCTAACCCCAGCACTAAGAACTAAGAAGGTGATATTTTAAAACATTAAAATACCACCCTAATCTTTCAAAAAATCAACTGTTTTTTCTAAACCACCCCCTAAAAAAATTTTTTTTTCTAAATCACCATTCTAAAAGAAAAAAACTTTTAAACCCCCACCCTAAAAATAAACCCAAACTTCCTCAAAACCCATTTTTTACATTCCCACATTACATTCCGGCTTGGATATCAAATTTCGCGGCTCGGGGGGATGTCCTTTTTCGGGTGTGAACAGAAACCGGACCCTAAAAGTCAGGCCGGCCGCTGTAACAATGATATTTTTCGCTGATTCTCGGAGGGATTGTCCCTCGGAATGCCAAGAAATGGACCGAACATATGACTTGGCCGCGGGCCAATGATAACTTGTCAAAAAACATGCAACAGATTGAGTTACATGCCCACCGGGTTTGTTCCAAACGTTTTCGTTTTTTCAATTGCAAAACTTATAGGTATCGGTTTCAAGGTCTTACAAACTTGTATACTTAGGAAAGAGCGAGCCTTGATTATATAACCTATACTATATAGTCCTTGGCCTGAGCTAGGCCTATTAAGCCTAAGCTGTAACTAAGCATTACGCAAATCTAAGCCTAAAATATGTGCCTAACCCGAATTATGTAAGCCTAAGCCTAAAATGTGTGCCTAAACCTAAAATGTGTACCTAAACCTAAATTACATAAGCTTAAGCCTAAAATATGTACCTAAGCCTAAATTACGTAAGCCTAAGCCTAAAATGTGTACCTAAAACTAAATTACATAAGCTTAAGCCTAAAATATGTACCTAAGCCTAAATTACGTAAGCCTAAGCCTAAAATGTGTACCTAAACCTAAAGTACATAAGCTTAAGCCTAAATTACGTAAGCCTAAGCCTAAAATGTGTACCTAAAACTAAATTACATAAGCTTAAGCCTAAAATATGTACCTAAGCCTAAACTACGTAAGCCTAAGCCTCAAATGTGAACCAAAGCCTAAATTACGTAAGCCTAAGCCTAAAATCTATACCTAAGCCTAAATTACATAAGCCTAATCCTAAAATTTGTGTCTAATTCTAAGTTACGTAAGCCTAAAACGTGTGCCTAAGTAGTAAGCCTAAATTACGTAAACCTAAGCCTAAAATATGTGCCGAAAGGTAAAGTAGCCCTATCTAAACCTAAATTCCGTAAGATTAAAATTTTATGCCTAAGCGAAAAAAGCGTAAAACTAACTGCTCCTATAATGTATGAACCCATCAAACTTAACCCACCTGACTAAACTTAAGTAAATTAGCCTAACTTTTGTAGCAAAAACTTTGTAAAAGTAAAGCGAATGAACGCATTTCCCGTAGTTTTTCTTCCGAAACAACTACAATGCGTTAAACTTGGAATGAATAATCACGTTCCTTAAAGAATAAGATATAAAAATTCATATATGTATCGTAATATACATCATCCTATTACTCAGCATGTAATTTTGTATGACAAAGCTTATGTTTTTTAGCGGGCGGCGTAAATTTTGAAAAAAGTGTGCTGGGAGGGATAAAAATAGTTTTTTTCCAAGGCAGGGGGGGGGACACAAAAAATAATATTACTAAAATTTTTTTTAAATTTAAAAACGTAAGCCTAAATTGCGTAAGCCTAAGGCTAAAATAAAGGCCTAAGCCTAAAATGTGTACCTAAGCCTAAATTACGTAAGCCTAGGCCCCAATTATGTGTCTAAGCCTAAATTACGTAAGCCTAAGCCTAAAATATGTACCTAAGCCTAAATTACGTAAGCCTAAGCCTAAAATGTGTACCTAAACCTAAAGTACATAAGCTTAAGCCTAAATTACGTAAGCCTAAGCCTAAAATGTGTACCTAAAACTAAATTACATAAGCTTAAGCCTAAAATATGTACCTAAGCCTAAACTACGTAAGCCTAAGCCTAAAATGTGTACCTAAGCCTAAATTACGTAAGCCTAAGCCTAAAAAGTGTACCTAAGCCTAAATTACGTAAGCCCAAGTTTAAAATGTGTGCCTAAGCCTAAAATATGTGCCTAAGCCTAAAATGTGTAATTAAGTCTAAATTCCGTAAGCTTAAGACCAAACTAAGTGCCGTATTTTAACACGAAAAGTAAAAGACCAAGTATTATAACCAAGCCCAAAAGATTTTTTGGCCGATAAGCTCTGGGAAATCCGAAATTTACGCTATAAACAAGATAATGACTTTGTACAAACATTATGCTAGCCATTTCCGTTTCAAAACAAGCTTCGGCAGTTATACTACTCATTTTAAGGTTGTAAAAGTCACTCTCTTCACCTACACCATACCCTAGCGTACCCGACCAAACTCTATCAAACCCTACCGTACTCTACCCTACCCTACCCTACCCCACCCTACCCTACCCTACCCTACCCTACCCTACCCTACCCTACCCTACTTTACCCTACCCTGTCCTGCCCTGTATTGCCCTACCCATTAAAGCCTAGTAATCCTCTGCAAGCAATATAAAACCATTATCAATAAGAAAATAACAAAAAAATGTGCAGTGTTACCTAATATTGATTATACAACAATATAGCCTTAGAGAAATTGCAAGAAATCGTATTACGCAACGTTTTCTTATGTAATATTGTTATTTTTGTAATATTTGCCTCGATGTAAAACGACCCAACAAATGACTTCGAGTGCTGGGATTTTACTCCAAATTTCCGCGGGGGAATACTTTTTATCTGTCGTTTTGTATGAGATATAACATACCCTGCCCCACTTTCTCATACCCTACCCTGCCCTACTCTAACCTACCCTACCCTATCCTACCCTACCCTACCCTAGCCTATTTTTCTACATTTACCCTGCCCAACATAAAAAAAAACTGAAACCAAACAATTTACTTCATCTACCCCAAAAAATTATAAAAATCAACAATTATGCAACTTTCAATCGACATAAAAAATAAAAAACTCAATTTTTCGACCAATACAAAAAATAAAAACCCCCAATCAATTTTTGACCAGTCGAAAGCATAAATCCCTATTTTCGACCAAAAAAACTATGAATTGCAATTTTCGACCAGCCGAAAGCATAAGTCTCAATTTTCGACCAGTCGAAACCATAAATTCCAATTTTCGACCAACAAAACCTATAAAAAATCGAAAAGCTGAAAGAATAATGACCAAAAATTAAAGCTAAATCACTATGAAAAGAAATGACTTTAAAAAAACCGAAATCCCCTTAGGCTGTTTGGCATTTTGTTCCAAACAAACCTTTCTCTTTATTTCTTAAAACACTCGGTTTTTTGATCTCGAATTCGACTTTCCCCGATTCCCAGGAGTCGAAATCGTCCAAAAACCTTTTCGGAACTCTTCACAACTCAATGATACCTTTTTTAATTGTAGGTCAGGAAAAAAGTATTCTCGGAGCGGTTTTTCAAGTCATACTTGACTGTAAAAATCAACTCATACGCTACTGTAAAAACGGTAAAGGTTGATTTTTTGGATTTTTAAGAATTTTCGGGCTTATAAAAGTTGTTTTTTTTTTGAATTTTCGGGGTTTCAAAATATTTCTTTAACAAGGAAAGTACCTACTGCAACTCTCAGGATTAGCTCAAAATTTTTATACGAATTCTTTGTAGTACAAACAGCACATATAAAACGTCTTAGCTTGCGGTTTTAAGTTTCAAAATTAATATATTTAAATTTCCCGCCAATTTGACAAATTTGGCATTGTGTTGCAAGCACCTTTTTTGATGTTCCAGATAAGATAGGCTTACAAATATAACATTTCAGGTTTATTTAGAGCTTTTCTATCATTATATCAAAAAAAAATAGTTAAAAGTCAAAAAATGAGAAAGTTAAAAGCTTGGGACACTATGCCAATTTGGCGGGAAACTCAAAACGCGATTGTTTGATCTCGGTTTCGTGGCCGCAAACCGCAACTTAGAATTTTGCACAAGATCTCACATTTAAATAATCTTTCAATAAAAAAAATTTTCGAAATCTGAGCGTTGCACCTTCCTTGTTAGGTCAGACAAGGCCCGTTGCACGTAAAAAAAATTCGGGCTGGACCGGCCTGAGTTAAAAAATGAAAACGGCCAGGCCTCAAAAGTGGACCCGTTTCTCACCCCTAAATTTTGTCGTATATGTGAGTTCTGGCTACTTTAAAACCAATTTTTTTTAAATTTAAAAAAAAATGCTCGACTCTTCTTTGCCATACCTTACTTTATTCTGCCGTACACAAATTTTTCGACCCTACCATGCTCTGTTCTACTCAATCTTCACCTGCCCTACCCTATCCTGCCCTAAAACCCAATAAAAAATAAGTAAAATCCAATTGAAAAAACAACAAAAGTTCCAAGAATTATGTTCCTTGTCTTGTAAACAAGTTAAAGATCGATAGTTATAACCAGTATGTTAAGCAAACGCCAAAAAATCTCTTATAAATCTTAAAAAACATCTGGAAAGATTGTCAAGAACATCAAAAAAGAGCAGAAGATGAAAAAGAACAAGTCTTATCCATGATAAAAAATGTCATAATTTGTACTATTATAATACAGGGTGCGTAAGAAGTTTTGTTACAAAACTAATTTTTATATATTATTAGGTGCCGACATAAAGAACCCGCCATTTTTTACAGAAAATAACAGAAAAAGTATGGCGGGTTCTTTATGTCGGCATCTAATATTACAGTACGCTGTAAAGTAACAGTACAGAGCTTTTCAACCATACTATTGGTTGAACCAAAAGTAGAGGGACACTTTTCATTAGATTCCCAATTAAAAAGTGTCCCGCTACTTTTGGTTCACCCTAATAGTACAGAACTTTTATATCGTGCTAGTACAATATCATTTATAAATTACAGTACAAAAAAAGTGAATATCAAGTAAAACTTCTTTACTATACAAAGCTAAACTAACATGTTGTAAGCTTATACAGACGAATAAGCTTGTAGACAAAAAGATATTGTAATCGTCAAATAAAACGTGGCGATGACATAACGAGAAAACAAGAAGTCACAAATCCGCTATGTATACAGAATTCCTTTTATGACTTAAGACAAATATTATAATTCAAAAAGTAAGCCTAAAAGAAGCTGTGCAAGTCTAAGTAAGCAAAAGGTTCAAAAGGTAAGCCTAAAAAAGTTGTACAAGCCTAGAAAAACCTAATATAAAAAAAAAATTTTCTGAGTAAGAGCTGAGTATCAAGTACCATTAGGTGCCGACATGAAGAACCCGCCATGTTTTACAGGAAATTACAGGTAAAGTATGGCGGGTTCTTTATGTCGGTACCTATATTAACATAGCCTTCTAATTCAAACAAAACAAGCAAAAGTCCAAAAAAGATAAGTCATAATAAGCCTAAACCCAACCCAAACTTCTCAAAATAAGCCTAAACACGACCCAAACCCCTCAAAACAGTCCTAAAAACCAAAAAAAAGTCAAAAACACCTCTTACATTGTGCACAAAACAGATTCATCACCAATAATGAGTGTAGGCGTTCGTTGGAACACCTTCTTCAATAGGGGTTTCAACCACCTTTCCTCGGCCTTCATTAATTACAAGGTGTGGAATATGCCAGTAATTACGGTAATTAGAGAAACTTGAGGTCAAACAGTGCTTTGGCGTACTGTAGTAACTTTTTCCCTTCTTTTAGTACTATATGTACAGAATAGTACTAAACAGAATTTTTCATAGCCCAAAAGCATAGAAACAAAATTAGCCGTTCGATAGTACTAAATAGAACTCTTATAGCATAAATTAAGTTTTCGTACACTGGTAGGCTCTTTAGTATCAAATATAGTACTGTATTGAATTTTAGTACCGTACAGTACTCTATAGTGTCAAATATAGTACTGTATTGAAGTTTAGTACCTTACAGTACTCTTTAAGATAAAATATAGTACTGCTTTGAAATTTAGTACTTTACAGTACTTTTTAATATGAAATACAGTACTATATTCAATTTTAGTACTTTACAGTGCTCTTTAGTAACAAATATAGTACTGTTTTGAATTTTAGTAGCCTACAGTACTCTTTAGTATAAAATACTGTAAAACTTTTCAAAATGTTACAGTACCGTTCAACAATACATCTGTAGCCAAGAATAGTCTATCTGTAGCCAACTAACAGACGAATATATCTGTAGCCAAATAACAGTCAAAAAGCCCGCCTGTAGCCAATATACGACCACAACAAAGCCAAGAATCGACAAACGCCTACCGCAAATATAATCGAATTCAAGGCTGTTTAGATATTAGGCGACATATATATAATACCTGTGCGGCGCGCTTTAATGCGTCCTTAATTGAAATACGAGAGATGGCAAGGATTCCCAGCGGGGTGAAGACGAAGAAGAAGCAAGGCGGATGTTTTGACCTCTTAACGACCCCCAAATTAATGGCCTCGGACCCCTGTGGACACTTGTTACGGAACATGTTAAGACACTTGTTCCACAACATGTCACACTTGGACACGTGTTATTCAGTTTGCTACGTTATGAAGGTTTCAAAATTTTTAAATTTTTTCAAAAAAAAATTTTTTTTTAATTTAAAAATTTCAAAAAAAAATTTTTTTTAGTTTTGCCCTAATATGCCATTTAAAAACCCATAACTATCACAAAACCACTAAACATGCCTCACAAAATCAAAAACTCACGTTATCTCATCAGTCTTCATCCCATCATGTTCAGATTCCAAAGCCTTTTGAAGCTCAATCAAAGATCCAGAAGCCTTTCCCAGCTCAGACAAAGATTCAGAAGCCCTCAGAAGATCAGTCGAAGATTCAGAAGCCGCAATACCTCCACCATCCTTTAAGCCATGCCTCACTTTACCCTTCTTAACAGTACCATCAATTTTTGGCTTTACAGTATCATCGTATATGTTAGGAATGACCGTCTCATGCAATGTATGAATATGATAGGTAGAAACTGGCATTTCGACTCCATTATTCAGATACTCTCTAACGTCTTCAACTTTAGCCAGCTCAGCATATCCATTGCTCAATTCTGAATATGAAGCTACACTATCATCGTCAATTTCATCATTTTCGGCCATCTTATTGTAGCTGTTTGTGTTTTGCAACTTCTTGTAGTCATTATCACCTTGAACCCTACTATAACTTCCGTTCAAATGATCGTACTCGAAATCCAATGGGCATTTTTTGTAAGATTCTACATCAAGGTGAATTAAGACTTCTGGATCACTACCATTAGATCCTGGATCAGGCGGAATTGTTGATGAATCATCTAATTTTTGAAGTTCTTTGAAGTTTTTATAGAATTTTTCATCATTATTTTCATATTTTTCGTCATTTTGCAAAATTCCATGAACTTTTCGACCATTCTTTGCTTTGTCATCATTCTTCAGTCCATTGACTACACTTCTATCGGCTTTTTGATACATTTCCGCATTGTTTTCATTACAATTCTGACCAATTTGTACATTAACACCGTTATCTCGACTATGACTTTCATTTTTGCCCATAACTTTTGGACCAACAGGAGTAGAATCTTGAAAATCACCAAGAAGATCAACATTACTATCATCTGTCCTATGAATTCCATTTTTTGCAGTTTCATCCTCATCTCTGTCCAAATCGATGAAAAACTCGTCGTCAGCATCAAAATTTTTCGTTTGGTCGTTGTTGGTCGAATTTTTTAATTTTTCTCCATTTTTTAGTCGATTCTTATCAGAATTTTTTATATTATCCTTTGCTGATAACTCTCCATTGTATTTTACATCATTTTCTTCATGCATCTGTCCATCATCCTTATCATAATCACCATTTTTCGGCCGATTTCTCTCTTCACCTCCACTTTTCTCATGATCTCTTTCATCACTGCCATTTTTCGATCGTTCTCTTTCATCCCTGCCATTTTTCGATCGATCTCTGCTCTTCAAACCATCAGAATCCCCAGAAATTTTGAATGAATTTTGCGACATAGCCAACAACGAATGTAGAATCGAGCCAGCCGACGAGGAAAATTCCCCCATTTGAGTGAATTTGCGACGAATATTGTCGCGAATTAGTGAGGAAGTCCGTCGACGAACACTCTCCATCCGACCGCCACGACGACTAAAGAAAAAACAATACCATCACCACAGTTAAAGCAAAAGCGATATTAAGCAAGCTGATTTTTGAAATTTGAAAATTTTTATTAGGTGCCGACATAAAGAACCCGCCATACTTTGCCTGTAATTTCCTGTAAAAAATGGCGGGTTCTTTATGTCGGCACCTACTAAAAAATATTCTAGCCAGCTACGAGGACTACAACAAAAGGCTTCAAATCTAGCATTAAGTGAGAATTTTAATTTAAAATTTTTTTTCAAATTTTTTTTTTCAAAAATTTAGCTAAAGATTAAACTTTACCATACCTTGACTGTTGACCGGTCGTGATCTCTCTCGTGCTTGACTGCGAATTCGGAATTGAGCTTCCAGAAGTCGTGGAATGAGTCAAAGGTGTCTTATCAGTTCTAGCTGCCGAATCCATCATAGTACCATGAAGTTGGTTCCCGTGATCATCGGCTTGGTCCATTTGATACCCAATTTGATCTATATCACCATGAATAGCATTCATTTCACCATGAGCCATACCCATATCACCATGAGTCATACCCATACCACCATGAGCCATACCCATGTCATCATGAATTTGTTCATTATGACTTAATGGCACTCTTTGGAACTGTCGATCTGGTTTTGACACTTTCCTCGCTTCCTCCAGAGTCTGATGCTCAGTTCGGCCGCTGTAGCGAAATCTGGAGCCAAGATGAAATACGGATTTGGCTGAATTTGAAGGTGGTACAGCTAGCCGAAAAAAGGTGTGGTGTTCAATACAACTCTTCCATAACATTTTGCAGTTCTGTGAGGTTACAGAGTTGAATGAGAGTTCGGTATCGACTTGTTCCTAAAATAGGTAATAAGCCTGATAATATATAAAATTTAAGCCTAAAAATGAGCCTAAAACTTCGAATTAAGCCTAAATAAAATAGGCCAGACAAAAAGGTGTTGATTTAAGCCTAACATGAACAGTTTAAGCCTAAAGTGCAATTTTAGGCTTACAATTTTAGTGCTTAAAATCTCGATCTAAGCCTAAAAACATTTTTTTAAATTTCAGCTTAAGCCTAAAAATTTTATAGCCTAAAAGCTCAAGTTTAGCCAAAAAACCATTTTAAGCCTAAAAGCTCGATGTGAACAAAAAAATAAAAATATAAGCCTAAACTTTCTAATATAAGCCTAACCTTCCCAATATAAGCCTAAACTTGAAAATATAAGCCTAAACTTGCAAATATAAGCCTAAAATTGCAAATATAAGCCTAAACTTGCAAATTTCAGCCTAAACATCCTAATATATGCCTAAACTTCCTAATATAAGCCTAAACTTCCAAATATAAGCCTAAAATTCCGAATATAAGCCTATACTTCCCAATATAAGCATAAACCTCCAAATATAAGCCTAAACGTCCCAATATAAGCCTAAAAACAAAAAAGAAACTCACATCATTCTCCTTGCTCATCATGATATGCAGTAGAAAGTTCTTCCGCTTAAAGCTGACTTTAATAATCGTAGCCCAGGGAAAGGAATGCACACGAGATCCGTTATCAAATACCGACACTCCATTACTGTTTACGCCAATTGTTATTTGTCTGTCATACCCGTCCTGAAAGTACTTTTTATTCGACCAGACTTTACCTTTGGGGCTTTTTTGATTTTTAGGTAATAAAAAAAGGTGTTTTTTGATATTTAGGTAACAAAAGGTACTTTTTTAAGTTTTTAGATATGAAATTGATTCTTTAACTTTTTTAAGTATGAAAAAGATAAAGGTTAGAAGTTTAGGTATCAAAAAATACTTTTTTTAATTTTTAGGTAATAAAAAGAAAAAAAAGGTCATTTTTTAAAATTTTAGGTCCAAAAATTATCTTTTTTAAAGTTTTTAGCTATAAACAAGATAAAGGTTAAAATTTTAGGTATCAAACAATATTTTTTATCAAAAAAATATTTTTTTTGGTTTTTAGGTAACAAAACTAGTTTTTTTATTCTTTAGGTATGAAAACGGCAGTTTTAATAGAATTTAGCTAAGAAAACATATTTTTAAATAGTTTTAACCAAATAAATAATAATCAAAATAAAAAACTCACTTTAGCTTCATAAAGGTCGAAGCCATAAAAATCCAGACATTTGGCTTTGTTCAGAAATTCGAACTCGGCTTTAGCAGGATACATTCCTTTGTTTAGCTGATGAGACTCTTTGATTTTCTTGTTCAACAGCTTGCCTTGAACTGGCACTAGCCGAAAATTGCTCAAATAGTCTTCGTCGTGTTCTTCTTCATTGTAGTCGCCTAGTTCGGCTGAAATAGCAGGAATTTTAGGTAAAACATCAGAAAATGGGATAATTTTTAAAAAATCTCAGAATTTCATAAAAAATGTCATAATCGTTTGAAAAATGGCACAAATTTTAAATTTAAAAAAAATTTTTTTAACTTGTACAGGGTGCGCCAAAAGTTCTGTTACAAAACTTTACCGGTCGTTTTCTCTATGTTGCGATTAAATTATGTAAAATTTTTTGTTTTAGCTGATAAGCTAGCTTATTCCCCGTGTTTTTTTATTGTTTAATCATAAAAGTTAAGCCTTCATTGTCTACGGCCCATTGCTGAAAACTTTTTGAAGCGTTTGCGCTTATACCAAGCCGCAAAGGGGACACTGCGAAACCAATTAACTATGTTATAACTTGTACTATATGTTATTATTGTTAGTTGTTGTTTTAGTTATATTTGTTTTTAACATAAATATTTAATTAAAAAACCGTATAACAGAACTTTTGGCGCACCCTGTATAAAGTATTAGACGCCGACATAAAGAACCCGCCATTTCTTACAAGAAATTACAGGCAAGGTATGGCGGGTTCTTTATGTCGACACCTGATAATATTAAATTTAAAAATGCGTCATAAACCCACATTGTGCTGCCAGACCACCTAAAGTAATTGCCATTTCGTCTGTGCATGGTAATCGACCGTCCAGTAGGTCTTTTCTGAGTTGTAAATACACAAGATACCTTGTGTATTCCTCTTGTAGTTTACCGGGGTCACTGACATAGAACTTTAGACGAAAGAACAAATGGTATGGAGGGCCTGAAATTGCTATTATTGTGTTTGGTGGGTAGGGTAAGGTAAGGTAAAGCAGGGTAGGGTAGGGAAGGGTAGGGTACGGTAGAAAAAATCAACCTACACATCATTTGTCGTTTGATAGATTTTTTTGCGTCCAGCCATTTCTAAAAAAAATTTTAATTTTTAACTTCACTTAAAAATTTAAAAAATTTCAAAAAAATCGAAAAAACTTACCAATCTAACCGTATTCGAACCCGTAACACAAACAAACTGTAGACCAAAAAAGTCATGTTCAGTTAGTTCCAAAAACTCGTAAACTTTTTGCAACAATTCCTGTCCAGTGGCATTTTTCTGCAAAAACATATGATACAGTAATCTTTTAAGCCTACATGTTTTACAAAAACATATGACAGGTATTAAAAATGACATAGTGCGTACTTAAAACGAAAAATTTCGACACTTAAAACAAGAAAGAGTAAGTAAAAAGGGGTTAATACTTCTCTAGGATAGTAGTGAGTGAACTGATAGTAGTGGCGAAAAGAGTCATAAGTCAAGCTGATGTCACTTTAAAAAAATTTTGTTCGACAGTATGAAAGGGCATACTATAAGGTACAATTTTGCTAATTTTCAAAAAAAATCCAGCAGCGAGTAACTGAGCTACAGCTTCTACAAACCTCAACAAGACCAAAATCTGGCCTTTGACAAAGGTAGGTGAGAGCAAGCCTAATCAAAATAGCGCCTTACCGAGACAAAGAATTTGTGTTCAGTGTCATCCAAGAAGAATATAGAGCACGCTAGCTCCGTACCATTCCCAATAACTTGTGGTTTGTACGTTGAAGGGCCTTCTGAATCGCGTAGATTGTATACACCTGAGCCAAATCGAAGCATTGGTACCAAAAGTTGTGGTTATTACCGAAGAAGTGGTCTTTAGAGCGGCATAACGTTAAGATTTATGATTGCTTGACCTTGTACTGGACTTCTAAAACTAAATTTTTGAAATTCAAAATTTTAAAATTTTAAAAACTTCAAAAATTCAAACTTTCACGTCAATACCTACGTCAATATCATCTTCAAAATTTAAAAATTTCAAAGATTTAAAAAATTCAAACCTTTACTTCAATACCTACGTCAATATCACCACTACGCATAACAAACCCGAACCCACATAGTAGCCAATAAAAAGATACTACGTCTCTACTTCAATATACGCATATAATAAAACAAAAAAAAATGTTCGAGATCACTCGAGAAAATGTATTAGATATAATATTATCTGATTACCACAGCGTGTGGAAGAAGCTGTTTGTGGGTAATCAAATAAAAACAGCCGGAGGGGCCAAAACGCACGCGCTTAAGTCGTTTTGTCGAGTGTTTTAGTTAGGAAGGAAAGAAAGTTTTTGCGCCGAAAATGGGCGTGAGATCAGAAGGCGGCCGGAGTGGACATTGGAATGAAAGCAAGAGGCAATGGCCACTCTTCTCGGAATATGCAAAAAACGTGCGACAAAATGCTAATTTTGGTTGTTTGAAAAAAGAGTTAAGAGATAATTGGCGTTAAACGTGGCTATTATAGTATGATACTTAAAAAGTTAAAAATACGGTACATTACCCTACCCTCAAAGCCGGGCGCAAGGGATGCGAGAGAAGGGGGAAGGACAGGAGGGATTACTACCAAAAAAAATTTTAAAAAAAAGTTGAACGTGGTCCCCCCTGTGGATTTTTTTACCTTAGACCAAAAGGTGCCTGCTCAGCCCTGCCTACCCTACTTTTCTCTATCCGGCCTTGCCCTACCCTAACATACCCTACCCTACCCTATTCTACCCTACTTTACCCCTGAAAGTAATCCTCTCCTTATTATAATAAACGCAAGTAGCAATCAAAGAATGACCAAAATTTGCATGACGTTACCCAATATTAACAATATAACTTATAGCCTAAGAGAAATTGCAAGAAACTGTATTACGCAACGTTTTCTTATGTAATATTGCTTGATTTTGTAATATTTGCCTCGGTGTAAAACGACCCAATAAATGACTGCGAGTGTTGGGATCTCACTACAGATTTCACCGAGGGATTACCTTTTACATGCCACTTTTTATGAGAAGTACTAAACTCTGCCCTAATTTATCATACCCTACTCTACCCAGCTGTACCCTACCCTACCCTACCCTACCCTATCCTACTTTACCCTACCTTACCCTACCCTACCCTCCTTTACCCTACCCTACCCTTACTCAAAACTTTGTCAATTTAATTTCAGTTATTCACCTTCAACTATAATATTAATTCCCGACATAAAAAAAAACCCGCCATCTTTTACTGGAAATTACAGGCAAAATATGGCGGTTTCTTTATGGCGGCACCTAATATATGCCATGTCACAAGCTATCCTCGTGCAAATTCAAAACTCTAGCAAACTTTTAATTGTGTACTTTCACTTGACTTCGTACTATAACAAAAAACCTTTTTACATTGTAAACCAACTTATTATAGATATTGTATTGTTATAAACCATGAAAAAACCTTATTATAAACGTGTAATTTTAAAAAATTTTAAAAAGAGTATGTACAAATATTTTTTGAGAAAATACAACTTTTTTCATGACGACCAAATTATATTTTGCAGAAAAAAAGTATTTATGTTTCGCAATTATAACATTATAATAAGGTTTTTTGGGCTTATATCACCTGTCACAACATGTCAGAGCTGTAGTGTTGGTTGATTTTTAACGTTAAACGTCGAGTTTTCAGACTAAAAAGTGTACTTTTAATGTCAAATAATATATTTTTAAGTCAGAATCATAAATAAAAAATTAAGGCTTGTGAACTTTTAGGTAATAAAAATAATTTTTTTAATTTAAGGTATTAAACAAACAATTTTTAACGAATTCAATGTAAAAACACGTAGAATTTCCTCAGCATTCCAAGTTTAACCTTCTTCATTAAAATGACCCTTCTCTCCACTTTTCGACCAAAAAAATGCCAAAAATTTTTTATGCGCTTAAACCCAAAAATTTAAAAATATTACCTAAAACCGTCCGTAAATTTTAAGAGAAAGCCATTTTTAGACCAAACCGGTCAGTTTCGTGCCAATGAATCCGTTCACTCGCCAAGATTTCCCCCCAAATGTTAAAATATTAATGCCCTTTTCTGGTAATTATTTTAATATTAATGCGGCGTAAAGCCACCACGGTTAGGCATTCAGTCCGTTAAGCTCGGCTATTAATTAGACCAGTTGAGGAATGACCAAAAAACGCGCAGTTTTTCGTTTAACAGGGGTAATTGGGGGTCAGGGTGGACATTCAGTGGTGGTTATTATAAATTTAGTAGCGGGCAAAAACTTTTTTGGGGTAACGCAAGGTATATTACAGTACGGTAGTGTACGATACGGTGGGAAAGACATAAAAGGCAAGAAAGAGTGGAGTGGGGTGGGGTAAAGTAGGGTAAAACAGGGTAGGAAAAAATAGAGTAAGATATGTTAAGATAAGGTAGGGTAAGGTAGGGTAGGGTAGGGTAGGGTAGGGTAGGGTAGAGTAGAGTAAGGTATGGTAGGGCAGGGTAGGATAGTATAGGGTAGGGTAGGGTAGGATAGGGTGGGGTAGAGTAGAGTAGAGTATGGTAGGGCAGGGTAGGATAGTATAGGGTAGGGTATGGTAGGGCAGGGCAGGACAGGGCAGGGCAGGGCAGGGCAGGGCAGGGCAGGGCAGGGCAGGGCAGGATAGTGTAGGGTAGAGTAGGATAGGGTAGGGTAGAGTAGGATAGGGTAGGGTAGAGTAGGGCATTTCAAAACAAGGTACGGTAAAGTAAAAAAGAAAAAAAAGTCTAAAAAGCTCCAGCCCCTTCTCCCCTCCCTCTTTACCCAAACGTCAAAAAATTTTGTCAAAACACCCCTCAAACCCCCAAAGTCTCGCCCAAACTCTTGTTTGCAAACAAATAATTTTGTTGCATTTTAGCGCCAAAAAAGGCGTATCAAAGAGGTCGCGATTCTCGTGGATCAGCGGCTCTTTAAGCAGGGTGTGTCCCTTTTTCCACAATCATGTCCTTCCCCAACAGGTGACCCGCCGCTCGATTAAACCACCCCGAATCAAATATATAGAAAACGCAAATAAAAACGAGCACCGGAAAGACGGATTTTGCAGAGTGTGTAATCTCGATTGTTTTAAGTGATATAGAGCTCTGAATAACGTAATAAATCTACTATGTTGTACTATTAAGAAAGGTATGTTACGGGTTCTGGAAGTACCTATCGGCGCCATAGGAAAGACAGTAGGTAGGTAGGACAAAACAATTCGGGAGGGTGGTATAGAGTAATGGACAATAAAATCTATATCTCTGTCACTACTGAACAACACAATATCTCGTAGCCCTTTTCCGTAACAATGCCTTGTGTAATCTGTTTTTCAGATCCACGATTTCCGAAATATCGAACGTCATAACAAAAGTTTGATCAAGAGCAATCATAAATGGATAAAACAACAAAAAATATGAAAAATGAACGCTGGGCGGGGTAAATTTTTTGGTTTAAAAAATTTTGGGGTTGCTTAAAAATCGAATTTTAAAAACAAAATTTACATATTTTTTCTGAAGGGGCGGGGTAAATTTTTTATGTCTAAAAAAATTTTGGGGTGGGTCAGAAATTAAATTTTTAAATAAAAAAAATATTTAAAAAACAAAATTTAAATATATTTTTCTGCAGTACCATCCCCAATAAACCTTAAATGTATAAAAAATATAAACTTCCCCCCCCATTTTCCTTCCCAAACCCTATAAAGAAAATTAAGTAAACCCCATTGATTTTCAACCTTGCAAAAGCAAAATTTGGTAATCTTTAAACCCAAAACGAATAAAAAGGCCATTCGATGACGAATATTTAAAAAAAAACCAAAGTTTTCAAAGTTTAAAAACGATGAAACACTGCGATCTCATCTTATCTTTAGAACAAGTTTTATATTATAGTAGCCTAATCTTCCGGAATCAGGATTGTCATCAAAGGAAAGGGCTTAAAACAGTAAATTTAAACTGAAAATTAATTTTAAAACATCAAAAATTTCAAAAATTTTTTTTTCTATAAAAATTTTTAAATAAAAAAATTAATTTTCCACAAACTTTTTGACCTGCTCATTTAAAAATATGATAGAAAAGCAGAGCAATCAAAAACCGCAAAAATCGACCAAAACGATTAGTACATTCTAAAAAACAAGAATATTACCCAATGACTACTCAATAACAACGCAATTACGGTAACATCAATTACAATACAGCCAGCTAAGACTCGAAAAGAAAATATCTTCCCCTCCAATTTTTTTTCTTATACCTCAAAAGACACAACACATCCCCACCTCATGTGCCAACCCCCCCCTCCCCCCTACTTCAACCACCCCAGCCAAGTCCGAAAATTTGTTTCAGCCGCGGGCCTGAGGTCAAGATTTTAACTTAAAATTTTTTGAAATTCAAAAAATAATTTCTTTTAAATTCAAAAAATAAAAATTTTTTGAAATTCCATACCATAAACACCCAAAACTCAAAAAAAAAGTTTTCCTTATGATTCCCAATCATCCACTACATTCCTTTCAGGAAATGTGTTTTGGGGAGCTTATCGGGAGGCAAAAGACCCCCCCCTCTCCTCGACCGACTTTTAAAAGCAAACACATCAAATTCGAAGCGCAATAATCACTGGTTATTAGGCGACTTACTGAATCAACTCTATTAGATGAGAAGCGCTAAACGGCCGAAAAAAGCTTGTTAGAGGGGGGTTTGAGGTCAGTGGGGGGGGGGTTGGGTGCAAGGTTTGGCAACATCATAAGCTAAGCGTGGCAATTGGAATAGAGGGGGAGAGAAGAGGGGTGAATAATGGCAGTGGTAGAAGTAGGGTTGCAGGTATGGGTATGCAGTGAAGAAAAAGGCACAGCATTGGCTACGAAAAACATTTTTAAAATTTAACGTGGCTCACTGTTTAATTTGAAAAAAATTACACCCTTAAAAAATCCTATCTCGTTCCCCCAATAATTATATCTCAACGCAGGTCTATTAATCCAAAGTAACAAGTGAAGAATGTTGAAGCGTAATGAATTAACCAAAATGCCTTCTTCTCCTAAAATACAAAAAAAAGAGAAGAAGAACACATGTTTTTATATGAAGAAATCTTCCCTATCTGCTCAACATGAACAAAACATTAAGCAACGGGGAACATTGGCGCAAGAAAACGGTAATTATTTAGCGAGAACAGTGCGGAACGGCGACTAAATGCGAAACAGAAAAAAAAGTGACGAAAAGCGGCGCTATGACAGGCGAGGGTCAGTTTAACAGATGGTGTCCCTCCGAATGACCTTCGGAGATGATCGGCGCCCGGTTGATCTTTCAGCCGTGGGATGTGAGGTGTGTGTCCCATCAGTGAGGCTATTTTGCGTATGGCTTTTACTAGTTGTTCGTGTACAACTTTATCCGATTTTCATAGCCTCGAGCAGATCAAAACAGAGATTCATTTTCAAAAATTTTCGTATTTTTCAAAATTTAAAAAATGAAAATATTCAAAATCATTCTACCCAAGTAATTGTCATCGAGTATCACTCCCCGTCTTCCCAAATATTATGACCGATCCAAAACTTTTTAGCCGGCTGTCAATAATCACCTTCCGTTTCGCGGGCCCGCAAGCAAATTGGCTTCAAAATCGGGCTGAAAAAAGCAGGGGACCACATGTAACGAATGAATGACATTCGGTCACTCCATCAAATGGATTTCATGTCAAAATAAAAAATTGCCGCGTGAGAAATGGCGAAGAAACCCGGCCGGATATGCAAACGAAATCGTTTCCATAACGCTTTATATGGAAGGGCAGAAAGGAGGGGGGGGGGAGGGGGGGAGGGGGAGCACGCAATTTGTATGCAAATTTTTGGAAATTTCAAAGCTACGTTAAAACAGTTAGTCATTTCTCAATTGTTGAGTTACCACAACGAAAAACCCAAAAAAATCAGCAAAAACTTGATTTTACCCGATTTTATTAAGTATATGGAAATACCTGACTGAAAAATAAAAAAAACGTATATACATTAATAAATACATTACTTAGAGCAAAAGATGAGGTCATTCGTAAGAGGTAGTCAACAAAATAATGCTGCACAAGTAAGAACCGGATGAGAACGACGAGGAAGGAGATTAAAGCAAAAAGTTACTGCATAAATGAGGATCCTCGAATGTGCGGCAGCGCAAAATCCAGATTCAGTCGTCCCGAGCGGCCCCATCGTGCGCGGCCCAAGACGGCCGAATCCAGACCGGTCAACTGTTGAAAGTCGTGCGCCTGAACCAAGCTCATATTATTGTTGTCTTCGGCGAGATCAGTGGAGGACCGCGACGCCGTCGTGAGCAGGCCAGCGTCGGCCGAAGGCTCGTCTATCGTGGTGACGCCCGCGGCTCGATAATAGCAGCTGGGATTCTTTTGGAAGGCGAACCGGCCGTCTTCCGCGCCCGGCACGTAAGCTCGTTTGACTGTTCCGCATCCGGCTGAGATCTCGTTTTTGGTATAGTCCAGCACGTCATTCACAACGTCGTACCAGTGCTGAAACAAAAACATGATTAAAAAAACTCCCAAAAAAAACTTTAAATTCAATCCCAATTCAAGACAATAGTATTTTACCGAAATACTGCAATAAACCAATCCAAGTCTTCAAAAACAATACTAAAAACCAAAAAAAACCTACTTTATGTAACCACGACGTCGCCGTTACATCTGGGGTATGCTCTGTCGAAGGTTTGGGTTCCTCGTCCGTAACACTGTTTCCCCGTTCCAACTCTTCCCATTCGGCTTCAAAACTTGCGACAGCTTCCTTAGCCTTTTGTGCTTTGAGACGATCTCGTTCCACAAAAGTTTTGGTTAGTAAGTGAGTTCTTTTAGTCATTGCCGCCAGTTTTAGCATCGTACCGTAGTGTTCGGCTTCGAGACGCTGCTTTCTTCTGGTTGTTACTCTCGGACCACGATGACGAAATGCAATGTATGGGTTGTCTTTTTCGCCAAGCTTAGCTTTGCTCGGGACCAACGGTACCAGACATGCATTCATTCGTAAAGTTAGGATCATTTCCTGAAAATTATGAATAAGCTTTCGAAAACCATCAATTATAATATTAATATTCAAAAAATCTAATTTTTCGTATTTTTCTTTCAAATTCAACTCAAAATAAAAAAGGTACCTAATAACATAAAAATCATGATCCTTACCCTCTTCCGTTCGATCCAGTAATCGTACACCTTCTCCAAGACATCTGCGTCCATTTCCGGATGTCGTTGTGCCACCTCTTCAAAGAATGGTATCGTTGAAGGAACTTTTTCGTTCGCCATAACCTCAAGCTTCTCGATTAGAAGTTCGAACACATCCAACGAAACAAAATAATTGTTTTTCCTCAACCATTCATCGTCCTTTTCATCCGCATCGTACACCGTATCATCGTCACAGAAGTCGAGATCGCCTAGAAAAATTTTAGATATATTACGGTAAAAAATACATCAATTTTTGTAAAATCAAGTCGAAATTTAAAAAAATAACAATTTTTGTTCATTTCTGACATTACTACATCAAAAACTTTATAACAATCAGTAAAAGATAAAAAAATCTTCTTCATAAATACCTAAAAATCAAAACTAACATGAAATACTCACCTCGTTCAAGTGGAATGTATTCTTCGCCTCGCTTGACGTTCCTTTCCCAACTGGTCATTTCTTGATACTCAGCTGGCGTTAGAACTTCTACCTGTCTTGTTGGGATATGATGTTCTTGGCTCAAAGAGCTGGCCTTCTGAGCTTCGATAGCTCGTCGTAAGTGTAGCTCCTACAATAACAGAAGTTGTAAAATAAACTTTAAAAATCAAAATATAATTATAAAATACTAAATATAAATTTAACAGCCAATTCACTTTCTTAAAAATATTGTTTTAGGTAACAAATAAGTAAAATTGATCCCATAAACCGAATTTTATTTTTTAGGCAACAAAACTCAGAGAAAATGCTCAAAATAGCAAAAACATGCTATAGAACAATATACAGAAAGCAAAACTCAGCCAAAAAATCCGAAATTTACCTAAATTAAAAAAAAAAAATAATTTAAACCAACCTTTTCCTCATCCCGTTCCATGCCCGATGGCACCGAGAAGAGTGGCCGTTTCGTCGGCTTATTGTTGTACAACATTTCCAAATTCGCCGAAGCCGAAAACCCGTTTTTGTTGTCCACCTTGATTATGTGTACCGGCATTTGTCGTTGCGGGTCCAACGCCCGTGCCCGGAAGTTAACTTTGGGCGGTAGTGCAGGTGGAGGCATGCCATTTGAGCCGACTGAACCCGTTCGAACCTTCTTCTTCTTGATCACCTTCTGAAGCGACACCTTTCGCAAGCCCATGGCTTCTGGGTTGGGCGGTCGGCCAACAGTGCGCTTTTTGATCAATGAAGAACCTGAAATTAAGAAGAAATAAATTAAATACAACGAAAACAATCAAAAGTTTATAAAAAGTATAAATCAGCCTAGAAAACAAGACATTATTTCAATAAACAAAAATTGTTTTGTTTTAGGTAATAAAATTGTAAAAATATTTACAAAAATGTAAAAAAATATAATTATTGCCTAAAAATACTACTCAAACCCCAAAAATACTCAACTTCAGCTTTTTTTAACACAAAAAGCAAAGAATAACCTAAACTGTTCTCCAAATTTTCGAAAAAACAAGGAAAAAGAACAGCAGTTTTTCTTTGATAAGAAAAGCCTATTTCATCATTAAAATTACAACTCTAACTTAAAATAAGTCCTAAATTAAATTTAAAAAAGCTTTTATCAAGCCAACATCATGCCAAACTCAAAAACCATTAAAAAGATAACTTTACACTAAACAGCACGCAAACTACATTGTTATTAACTACGCTCATCAATATTAACCCAATTCCCCAAAGAAATCGACAAAATCTAACCTGTAAATCGAGGTGATGTGGGTAAGGTTTGAGGAATATCAGTAGAAGCCGACTGTAGAATAGCCATAATTTTTGGATCGACTTCTTTGCTGTGCCGAATCTGACCCATCTCCTTCGGATGACCGTTGGTGTTACCGTTGTTATTGTTGTTTGATACCGGCCGGTTCACGTTAATATTCAACGTTGGTTTACTGACAATTGTATTTGAAGCCGGCTTACTAACTTTGATCTCTGAATCCTTGTTTAAATCTGGTCGATTAACGTTGTCTGGTCGATTTACGTTTGGATTCTGTGCTGGCTTACTAACGTTGAGGTTAGGTGACTTCACAACGTTGGTATTCGAAGCTGGCTTCACAATGTTAACGTTCGAAGCCGGCCTGTTAATGTTAACAGCTGGTCGATTAACGGGGATACTTGCTGGCGGTCGATTCACAACGCTAGGATTCGGTCGATTCACGATGCTCGAAGTCGGTCGATTCACAACACTCGAAGCCGGTCGACTAACACCGTTCGTCTTAAATGGGGCGGGAGCGGTGGCCCGCCCAATGGGCGACATTCGAATCCGACACCAATCGTTGTCGTTGTGTCGGTCGCCGCTGCAGTCGCTTCAGATGTTGTCGCACGCTGTAGCCGATGAGAAGTTGAGGTTGCACGAAAATCTTCTGTTTCAAAGCGAAACGCCATTAATGTGGCATGAAGGAAGGGGACGCGGCGCCGAGCAAAACCGTTTCGTTTATGAAAAAAGCCGGGTTTGTCCACTGTCGAAGCCAATGTTTCATGAAAAAGAAACCAAGCCGAAATCAAGAATAATGTCCCAGCTGTAGCCAACCGGATTCGAACCTCAGGTTGGTGCAAAAAGCAACGAAATTGGCGAACTTTTTCGTCTGTAGTGATCTACGATTCGCCCGGCGAAAAGCTAGACACCGTACGTGCGTTCGACTTGTTTTCGCGGCGGGACCAAAAAGCTTGCGTGTTTCGCTGGGGCGGAGCGAGCTGCGTGCGGCCGCCAGTTCGGTGTGCAGGCTGCGGCGACGTTTTATACGCGTGGGGAAAAAGAGCGCTCCGAAATTTTTTCGAATACATTAGTGGAGTGAAGGGGAATATTTGAAGTGGGAAAACAATAGTTCGTGGCATGGAAAATGGAATTTTATGCTTCGAATGAGGAAAAACATTATTTTATATCTTTTATGATGGATAATATATTGTTTTATACCGTTTTGAGCGATAATAAAGTAGAGCCAAGGGTATGTAAGGGTTTTATTATGGATAAGTTAGAGTTTTTAGTAAAAAGTGATCAAATACACACAAATTTACAAATTTTATTGAAATAGCATAACTTTATACAGTAATTTTTTAAAGAATAACAAACTACAACATCGTTTTGTTGGACAAAAGCGACAATATCTAGACAAAAACATACAACATTTATACAAAATAGTACGAGCAAGTTTAGTTTTACAATATAATTGAACTGGAGTACAATATAGTTGTTCGGTGATTACAATATAAGCTCTGATGCGAAAAGAATGGCACAAAAGCACGTTCAAAGTGTCTAGCGCTATAAAAACTTGAAAATGCCATTCTTTTTTGCATAATTTGAACCTTCAACCTTTATATTAATAGAATGACTTTTAGAACAATGAATAAAAGCTAACGAAACGCCATTCCGGCCTTGATCACCTGGTAAAATGTAGACATTTAGACTAGTGAATACCCGTTTTTCGAAAAAATTTTAAAATAATTTAAAATTTAGATAAATTTTCTCTTAAAGTTGTCGATATGGGTTTGGAGTGTCATTTTCCCAGACGATTAGATGGGACATGTCACGGACGCGGGGCTCGTCAGTGGGCTCGTCTTCGCCTAAAATTATATTGTTATAGATATTTTTAGTGCTATGTTACGGTTGCTTTTTAATTTGGGCTGTCATAACAAAAAGTAAAGTTTCAGAAGGGTATGAGTAATCCAACAAATTCAGAAATCATATTTTTAAAAATAGTATGGGTTTTAAAAATCAATTAGAGTAGTCCTTACCAAGCCTAAAGTCGATATAACCATCGCCACCGGACGTTACCAACAACTTTCTGCTTTCCAACGCTGAAGTCATGTTCTTTGTCACACCATCTAAAACGAGAAACGTTAATTTTAAAAATTTCATTTCAGTTTCATCTAAAAAGGATCAAAATTTCCTGCACTTTACTTATAAAGTCTTTGCACAGTGCACTGCACCGTGCAGTTGGTTTCGATACCTGCACAGTGCACTTAGTAATAAGAATGTTCGAGAATGTTTGGCAAAACTAATTATTGTTTTTAAATTATAATTGGGCCTCTAATTATGTGGCTTATCCTCACACACTCGAATAACAACCTATTTACTACCTATTAATAGGTATAGGGCTTATTACCACGAAACCGTATAATTAACGGAGTAAGCACTTCATGACTTTCCAATTTTATGCTATGTTAGTCAAGAATCCAGTGTAGTTTATCGAGTAACAAGGAGAAAAAAAAAACGATTTTCCTCATGTTAAAGGTATATTAGGTGCCGACATAAAGAACCCGCCATAGTTTCCCCGTAATTTCCTGTAAACAATGGCGGGTTCTTTATGTCGGAACCTAATAAATATATTATAATTGGTCGAATTCAATCAAAATACATTTTTACTTCAATATAAAGGTACAAGGTTGGAAAACTACAGCAAAAACAATATCAAAATAGTAATAATTACCTGCGGGTACGCACAAGAAGAAGCGCACCGAGTCCTTATGTCCATGGAAACTGAACTGTGCTTGTGAGATGTTGCAGTAGGGGATGAAGGCGTCGTCCTTCTTCTCGTTCCCGTAAACTCTCACCAATCCACCAGGAGATGCGGGCTCGTTTTTGTTCTCATCATTGCCGATTTCCACCTTTTCATTGCCTTCGTTTGATAATGGTACAGCAATGATGACTCCAGTACCTGTGCCAATCCAAAGTTTTCGGTTTAGGACCGCCAACGAGGTGATGCGGAGATGTAGATGGTCGATTTTGGTGTTTCCGAGCATTACCGCCAAGTAGGGCTCGATATCTACATCTTGTAGATGGCGCAACGTCTGTGGATGATATAATCTGATGGTGGAGTCTAGTCGGATGGATACCCAGACGCCTTCGCCCGCCCACACCATGTGTTTGACTTGGCTGTCTTTGCGGGGATGGGCCACGAATGCGGTCTAAAACGATGTGATATTAGCTTATATTTATATGTTAATTATAGTAAAATACGACAATCAAACCTAAAATTAGTATTATACTAATGATGTTGGTATATTGAGCTACCTATTGATCTTAAAATCAAGCAGTGCTATATACACTTCCCTCAAGCTTATTTAGCTTAACATAAACAAACTTTCAAAATTATAGCTAATCTTAAGCCCACCCTAACGTTTCTTAACCCTACCTCAATGGTCAAATCAGTTGGATCAATGATAACGATGCAATTCCTGTACGCGGCCCAGATCTTATCTTCCACGATGGTCATGTTGCATACGGAGCTTGTGGCTTGTCCCAGACGAATGATATGATACCCGTCTGTAGCCCATCGGCCTTCTGGATCTCTGTGGAAGACGGCGATTGTTCCGTTGGCCAAGGCGGCGAATACCATTCCCTTGTAGTGGCTGAAATAGTATAATTGGTACTGTGTTAAAGATGTAAAGCTATATTATAGTGTAGTAAAAGCTTAAAATATCTTTTTGATTTTTGAAAACTGAAAACTTACAGTATATGAAGTACAGCATCGGCCATTTTGATTCTAAGCAAGCACTTTCTCCATTCCGCGGTACTTGAGTGAACGACAATACTAAAAAGTATCAAAAATCTTAAATGCTGAGAAAATCAACATTATTTATGACAAAATTTATACAAAATGTCATAACTTATAACAAACTTTATAAAAATGTCATAACTAATGACAATCTTCACCCAAATTTCATAACTCATCCCACCCTCCATAAAAATCAAAATTTATCCAAAAAATCAACCCAAACTCACAAATCATTCTCCAATCCCATCCACATTGTGGGCAATGCTGTAGTCATCTCCTGCAGTTTCTCGTACTTGTTCAAGGCGTCACGAATGTGTGGGAGAATGTTCGAGTAGGTGGCCATTTCAACTTCATCTGAAATCATTTTTCAATTAATTTTTCTTATTTTCAAGTACAAATTGATAACTGATAATGAAAGCAACACAAATAAAGTAAAGTTGTGCACAAAACAGAAGTCCTAACCATTTGAAATAAAATCCAAAAAAATGTTTAACATGCCTAATAAAAGTACAAATAAATATAGTATGTGGAAAATACTTTAAAAAATAGTATCTTAGATACCAATGCTCCGACCAAAGCCAGCTAATATAAAAAATCAACCAAAAACCTTAAATAATCAACTAAAACAACTTAGTCCGGGCCTTTCAAAATTCAAAAACAACAGAAAATTAAGATAAAAACCATGAAAAAATCAAAAGTACCAAAGAATCAAGAATCACAAGAAAAAAAAAAAGTGAAACAAAAGCACCAAAAGAAAAAAAAAGTAAAACAAAAGCACCAAAAGAAGAAAAAAGTAAAACAAAAGCACCAAAAGAAGAAAAAAAGCAAAACAGAAGTACCAAAAAAAGAAAAAAAAATAAAACAGAAACACCAAAAGAAGAAAAAAAGCAAAACAAAAGCACCAAACGAAGAAATAAGCACCATCACCAAAGAACAACAACAATTTATGAACCAGACCTTTTTGTTCCGTTTCGACTGGTTTTGCTGGTTCGGCCGCTGTTGTTGGTGGATCCGCTTGGGTTGTTAACGCCGCCTTTTCCAATAAAGTTACTTTCGAGCGGGCGCTAGTGTCATTAAGGCCCATGATTTCAAAGCCTACGCGTTTCACCGGCTTCGGCGGAGCTACTGAGCAAAAAATCATGAATTTTCGAAAAGATTTTCAAATTAGTAAAATTTCATTTTTTCAAATTTTTAGTTGGTTTAGGATAGAAAAGTTAACCAAAAGAGCAAAAAATCTATAGATATAGTTGTATTTCGTAGAAAAATATAAAAGTAGCATTTTTAAAAAAAGTGCCATAAGATGACAAATTTATCTTTTTTATTCAATTTCAAGACTAGTACAGTTAGAACGTGAATTCATGTTATGAATCACAATTGTGCACTCCATAAGACAAAACTGACAAAATTTAAAATTTCATTTTGAAAAATTAACCTACCTGTTTCTCCAGACTCTTCCAGGTTCTTATCAGCTGGTACTTCGCTTATGCTGACTGAAACTTAGAGAATTAAAAAATATTACAAATTTGAAAAAAATTAAGCCTAATATCAAGTATAATATATATTTATAAGTTATAACACCTATGCCTCAAAAACAAAAGTTCTTTAAAACCCAAAATTTCAAAAAACAACCCTTAAAAACAAATTTTGAACTTCACCCCACCCCCACCTAATTTTAAAACTTCAGCCCCCCCCGCCTAATTTTAAAACTGCAGCCCCCCCAAATCTAAACTTGAAAACTTCAAGCACCTACAATCTCTGCTTCTCTTAGGTGAAGCCTTTTCATCAACAGAGCAGAACGTTGGCACATCGTCCACATCCGAAGGTCTTAAATCAACCCAATGTACTTGGCCAAAGGTTTCCGTGGCGGCCAAATCAGATGGAAGGTTTGTGATATAGCCACCTTGTCTGACGTAGGTTCCTTTTGGATCTGTTAGCTCTACATCATCTTCTAGGGCTCCTGAAGGTTTAAAATGTAAGTTTTTTATCGAAATTTTCAATAATTTTTGTCAAATCCCTCACCATGCCAACCCAAAACCCTTACCAGGAACAGACGAAATGCACAGTAAATGCGATGTGCACACACTAAAGCAGTCGATAATACAGTTGGGGTTGTTTGAGTCCAAAACTGTCACATAACTCCTCTTTTCGTTTGAACTACAGATCCACACCAAACTGCTCGACTCCCAAATCGGCCATTGTTCGAGCAGAAGCTTTTGTTGAGTCTCGTCCGACGGCCAAAACTTGGTTGGATCGGCGTACAACGAACTGTCATCGGTAATGTAACGGCCGTTTAGATCTTTACCACCGTAGAGGATTGAGCCTGAGGCACACCAGATCTGAAAAAAACATTTTAAACCTAAAATTTACGTCTTTAAGTCCAAACTACATAAGCCTAAAATTTATGTACCTAAGCCTAAAATGTACGTACTTAAGCCTAAATTACAAAATCCCAAATTACGCAAGCCTAAGATTGTGTACCTACGCCTAAGTTACGTAAGCCTGAAACTTATGTACTTAAGCCTAAAGTACGTAAGCCTAATATTTATGTACCTAAGCCTAAATTCAGTAAGCCTAAGCCTAAAATTTATGTAAATAAGAATAAAATGTACGTACTTAAGCCTAAATTCCGTAAGCCTAAGCCTAAAATTTATGTAAATAAGAATAAAATGTACGTACTTAAGCCTAAATTACGTAAGCCTAAAATCTATTTACTTAAACCTAAGCATAAAATTTGAGTACCTAAGCCTAAGTTACGTAAGCCTAAGCCTAAAATTTATGTACTTAAGTCTAAAATTTATATAATTAAGCCTAAATTACATAAACTTAACTCTAAAAAACTAAGTCATTCTCCCTACCCTAAGCGATGGCTGTTGATCCAAAAGTGGTCGACAACAGACTGGTACCGGCACTCTCAGCGTTTCTTGAGCATCTGACGTTGCCGGGAGTGACCATCCATAAGCTCTAGTCCTTGAATCGTCTTCTTTTTTCATGTGTTGGCTTACTGCCTTGTACTGTTGTCTTCTTTCGGACATTCGCTTTTCTTGCACATTGTCCATGTCGATATCAAAGGTGCGGGTTAGGCGCTGTTTTCTGACTTGGCTGTTCGAGCGGGCTGGTCGTTTGCTCGGAGCTGGGGTGGGGGTTTCACCAAATAGACCAGAGAAGCTAAAATGACATCAAGTTTTTCAAAATCTAGGTTTAAACTTTGAAAACGGCTTTTTTAGGTAACAAATTTATAAATTTTCATAAAATTCAACTTTTTTTTATTAAAAATGCTTTTTAATTTTAAAAAATGTCATCAAAATCAAAATATCCAAAACTCACAAGTCCCAAATCCGACCCTTGCTCTGTGGTTGAGCATGGTTCATTTTCTTGACCCGTTGCATTTCCGTGAACTTCACGGCTTCTTGAAGTTCCATCAACTTCTCCTTGTACTGATTCCTCTCCATTAGTACTCTGGCCATTTCGATTCTTGTGAATCGTTTACGTTGGGCCATTGGAACATCGTCTTGTTCATCCGGCTGTTCTTCATTGATCTTTTCCTTGACGGTCTTAAGCTCTTGCTCTAGTTCCTTGATTTTCTCGGCTTGTTTCATCTTGTTGACTTCTAGAGAGTTGAGTTCTTCTCGGATTACCTCGTTTTCACTAAAATGATAGCCAAAATTAGGTGAAAATCAATCAAAAATAGAAAAATAATATTAATCAATCTCAAAAATTGCAGTAAAAAACCAAAAAAAAAAGTCAAAAAATCCCAAAAACTCACCTAGAAAGCTGATCAACTTGAGCAATAAGATCGTTCTTGACTACATTCAGAGCGTTCTTTGTTTCCAAAAGCTCAGTGTTCTCTTTGATAAGGTTGTCAACTTCTCTGCCCATACCTAAAACATCCAAATTAGCCAAAACATCAAATTAAAATAGTGAAAACAACATTTAAATTGACGAATCACTTAAAATTAAGCTTTTAACTGCAAATTTAAATTTATAAGCCACTTTTTAACTCATTTCTCACTAAAGCCACACTATAACGTCTACTAACTGGTTCAAACGATTAACTTGATGTATATGCAGTTTAAAATTAAATTAAAATTTCAAATTTGATGATTATTTTGCAAATCAGACTTATAAAACCTCAAATCAAATCTAACATGTTTTTTACAAAGATCTCAAAGGATATCAACCAAGGGTACCACGCCTCACACAATACTCAAAACGACAAAACTTTTGGCACAACAATTTGGACTAAACGACACCAAAACCTACCAATGAACGCATCGTTAACTGTAAATAAGCAAAAATTACTTTTGGTAATTTGGATTTATATTTACAGGGTTTGTATGTTTAATTTAGGTATTTACCACACTCTACTATCACATAATTTTTTTTGTAAAAAATTTAAAAAATAAAGCAAAAAATTACACACAAACCCTTTTTTTATATAAAAAGCTAATTGAAAAAGTATTTTACCCGCTGATGCGAATTCCGCTGGATCTACGAGGGCACCTTCAAACAAGAAAAATCAGTTTTGTGTACATTACACTTCATAAAAACTTTAAAACTAGTTTAAAATAACTTCAAAACTATCAAAATATTTGAAAAATATTAAGCATCAAAACTCTTAAGTGAAAGCTTATAAAAATAGTGTCATAGGCCAAAACTTTTAAAACTTTAAGCTAAAAATTCAAAAAACTACCTAAAAGTATCAAAAAGTCCACCAAAAGTTACCTAAAATTACTAAGACGCCTGATAAAACCTTATTTGGAACTTCTTTATAAAATAATGGTCAAATATCAAAACCTAACTCTAAAATAAATAAAAAAAACCCCCAAAAACCATACCAGTTAACTGAGCAACCAATCCATCGTCTTGCTCCTCTTCTTCCGACCGGTCGGTATCTGGTGGAGCTTCCTGTTCCAATTCATTTCGAGCATCTTGACCATCCTTTCTACTCGAATTCAATAGGTCTTCCGCGTCCTGTCCAAACTCTTCGTGGAAGTCCTTTTCCAGACTAATATGGTTAGCCAAATTTACGCTAGCATGTGTACTTTGAGTCATATGAGTAGCACTGATTAGGTCGCTGATACCTCGAACGTTTGCATCTACACTGGCTGCCATGCCGCCACTGAAAAATGTCATTTCTAGACAACAAAATCCAAGATTTGTTACCTAAACACCAAAAAACAATAAAAAAACTTGCCGGTTAGGATTCGAAGGTAACACCATACCAAAGTTGTCATGTCCCATCTGGTATTTGGTCCTTTCGACGTGCTCAATATGAGTTCGAAGAAGATCGTTGTATCTTTCATGAAGTTTATCGTACTCTCCACGTAGTTCACTTTCTCTTTCTTCACATCTAGATACATGATCATTGGCATTGCGAGCTTTTAGCTCTAGTATTCGTATATTCCCTTCTAGTTGCTCGACTTTGGTCTCGAGCTCTCGGTTTTGATCTGTTAGATGCTCTTCTAGTTCTAGGTATTTCTGAAATTAGTTTTTTATATTTATTTATCCTTTACTTCAAAATAGTCCTAGAATTGTTACCTAAACATAAAACAAAAAATAAAAATCCGTACCTGATCTTGTTGTTTTCTAGTCTGTCGTTCACGTTCATATTGATTCAATAACTGTTCGTTTTCTTCCTTCAACATCTCCACATCCACAGCATGTTCATCTTTGTCAACATAAGCTGTATCGAGAGATTCCAAGACATTCACTACCAACGGCATTAACTCCTAAAATTAATGTATTGAAAATCATATAGCTGATCAAAAATATATTGTTCTGATCAAAGAAGAAACAACTTTACACATCATAAACCAATTATTTTTGATTTATAAACGCTTTCTCTACATTAAACTAAGGGTTATTTTACGTTTCATGTGATTTTTACATGTTTTTTAACGTAAAAATGTTTTTAGGTAACAAAAAGTCAGAGTAATGTCAAAAATTCATAAAAAATAATTCTCAATATCTGTAAATGAAGATTAACATAAATTTAACTAAAAAAGTTTCAAAACCACAGGTTTCATTCCTAAAAACAGATTTTTTAATGTCAACAGCAAAAAAATATCTTTCTTGAAAAACCGTTTGAAACTTCAATTTCAAGATGTATTTTGGATCAAATTTTATTGTGATTGATCTCAATGCAATCAAAACTACAATATTTTATCACTCTTAATCATAACTTCATCAAAAAACAATATTCATACCTAAAAACCAAAAACAACAAACAAACCAACTTACTTTAACACTATCCTCTCCATACTTTTTGATCATCAGCTCCAACTCCTTGTAAATCGACGATGCCAACATCTGTACTTTTTCGGACATGACTCGCGCACTCTCCTCGGATGCTACAGAATTGGCGCCATATACGACCTGGAATGGTGGAATGTAAGTGTAGCGGGAGCTGTCGTTCGACTGGGCCCGCCGCTGCTGAAGCAAAAGTTGACGCCGGACCGCCAGCGGGGGTTTATTTTCGTCTTCCACCACTGATAAGGAAGGTGGCAGTGTTGCGGGCAACGAAGCGGCCGGCTCCGCTTTCTTCAGGGTTTGCTTTTCGATTTCGCGCATTTTTCATTACTTTAGGCGGCGAACGGAGGTGAAAAAGGTGGGTGATGTTTTAAAACACGTCCCCATTCACGTCAATTTGGGAAAGTGGTGGTTAATTAAGGCTCAAAAGGAGTAGCACAAATTAATGTTGTTTTAGTGATTGTTTAGAAGTTTAACCGACTTTTTAAAGTTTAGTTAACAATAGCCCAAATTTTTAAAGTTTAAGTAACAATAACTTGAATCATAGGTACCAATTAGTGTAGATAATAACAAACGATGTTAATTGCAAGTCAATTAAAAGTCGTTGAAGTGTCCTTTCAGAAATAGCGATTTCTTATCAAAACGACAATATCTTATCACAAGTGTTCGTAGAAATCTTTGGAAACTTTAGTAGTTCAAAAATCAAGCAGAATCTTGTTAAAATTCAAAGCATTGCCCTTTGGTTCAACAATATTTAAAGTTTCGTCATAGAGCAAATTTTGAAAAAGGTGATGATTTCAGTAGCAAACCTTCACAAATTCAGCTAGCAATTAGAATTTCCGCTTAATTTAAGCAACCCTCAATAACTCCAAAATAACCTCTCGCGTCTCGGCGAATATCCGAATTCACGATTAGGGTTTGGGGTTGATTAGAGCTGACAGCGGGGAATTAAAACCGAATAATAAAAAGCGGAGGAAATACGTTTTATCCGAAAAAAGCACACAGAGCCCCACACTCTTCCAACTCGTGATCAGGTGAGGTGGAGAGAGACACTCGTTTCGCTTTCTCTGGAGGCGACCGGAATTTCACGTTGTTCTCCAACAAATTTTAATTTCCCTTTGCGCAACAATAACCCTCAGCTGAGTCATTGCCGGGTAATTCTAGTGCGAACAAAGGAGAGCATACGAGTGTCTTGTTTTAGATTTTCATCAGGTAGTAGTGCTTAGTTTAGGTTCTTGTAAGTTTGAAAGCTTGCTTGTTTTAAATTATTAGTGTGAGCTAGCTGCCATGGACCATTACAGCTTTTAATAAGCTGACTTAGACAACTTTGTTATTTAAAATAAGCCGTTTTGAAAATGTTTTAGCTTAAAATTCTCTTTCATAGGCCTATATTGGAGTAGACATTTACTCAGTTGATATTCCTATTATTATGTCTTTCAAATGGTTTAAAGGCACCACAAATGAGACTTTTATGGACTTTAAATTTCACTTCAAGCTTCAGCTATATCTCGAAACTTTAGCCTTAAATTTTATCGTTCCTTCTTGACCTTTAGCTTGAACTTTTCTCGCCGCGTGCCAACTATATTTTGAAAACCTATAAATCACTAAGCCTATTGCCTTCTAAACATCAGTAAGCAAGCTGTAGTCTAAACATCGGTAAACAAACTTTCTCCTAAACACCGGCAATCAAAAAGTGAATCACATACCTCGCTTGATAGACTAGTCGTGGAGCTATTCATGTTCGTCGCAATTTCAATGTTTGAATGGAAATCGCCGGACATTTTTTGCAAGTGATTTTCGCGAAACTGTTTTGCTCTTCAGGATTTTTTTCAATTACATTCGATTTAGTGACCCACTGAAAAAAAAAACAACATCACAAATCGATATTCCGCATATAAACACGAAAAGTCCGACATCGTAGAATTAGCTACAAAGAAACGGAAGAAACGTTAGATCGATTAAATTCTAATCATAGTTTGTTTCAAAAAATCATTTTAAAGTCCAACAAAATTTGGCGAGAATAACAAACTTTAGTGGACAACAGTGCCAGCTGGCCATTTGAGTCCTGTGAGTGCCACGAGGGCTCGGGGGTTTCGCGGCCTGCTCGGCCATAAAAGCTTTTGCGCTGCCTCGAAAAACTATTTCTTCACTCTGTGTTTCTTTTCTCTTTGGTCCCAATCTCGGAGTGTTCGATAATGAATAACAAATGCATTATAATTAAATTTCAAGTGAGTTCATGGCGGACAAGACTTAAGGTGATATATTGTGCTCCACATAAAGTATCACTTTCAATAAAGATCGCGTTAGCTCTACTCTACCTTATATTGAAGCCATCTTCAGAGCTCTAATTTAACGTTTCGAGAAGTCAAAAAGAGTGAAGAAAATTAAATTAGAAGATAAACAATAGAAAAGTTGAGAAAAACAAGGAATTACAAAGAAAGCAGCACTAATCGTAAACAGTCTATGCCGGATATCAAACATAAATCTCAAAGTAAAAAGTGGAAAACAAACAAATTTAGAGCAAGATCAGTACGTTTTAATCTACCATAGATCAAGTACCTTTCAGTACTTACAATACTATAAAAAATTTATTTCTACTAACAAAATAGTACGTTTAAAAGCCTCTAAAGCATATATAAAGCTAACAAAATCACTATGACTAACCCAAAGAAAGCGATAAAAACATCTGAACATTCGAAAAATCTTCAACCTTGTTCAAAGCCAAACCGGAGATTATTTTCGGTGTCACGGAGCTCCATTCCCAATGGACTCGTCCTTCCGGAACGTTTAGTCATTCCCCAAAATCCGATATATTTTTAACAATTTTAGAATTTATCAAAGTTCAAAGTCAAAACCGCAGTTTTTCATTATTAATATGGTCCCAAAAAAAGTTTTTTCGCTTTTAAAAATGCAAATCAATGTGTATTAAGTTGTTTTCTACCGTATATTGCAGTAGATAAGTGAGTACAAGCATTTGCATTAGATGCCAAGCCATTAAAGCACTGATAGTCACCATAATCAATAAGGTAATAGAGTTTACTTTAAAGCTTGACGTTTAATATCTTATCAATTTTTATGTTCTTATTCCATTCATAAAAACTCTTGAAGCTTATGATGTTTCACTGTTTGATGACGCTTTTCACGTTCTTGTAATTGCGTATTTTTGACAATCCGACCGAGCCTGGGTGATTACCGCCCAAACAGTATTGTATTGCATTTTAAGCGGAAGAAAAACAAAACCTGATTAAAGTCATGAAACTATAATCCTTAACGACTACAAACATCTTGATGACACGAAAAAAACGTAAAATTACAGTATGCTTGATCCACTTAATCACCGTTTCCACTTAACACTTAATCACCCTTTCTAAATATAACCACAAACGGCTGAGCAAGTTGGCTAACCTCGCGTGGTAGTGATAATGTTTATTTACTTCGTTTGAGTTGACGAGACACTTTCTATTGTTACGCAATCAATGGCCACAACGATCACCATTGGACTTGAAGCGAACAAAAAAACTCCGACGCAGAATCGAAGAAGCCGCGCGGTGGCGATGGAAAATGGAGACCAGTGGGTAGGGGAGAAAAAAAGCAAAAATTACTTTGCCTACATGTATAAAAGACAATCAAGTAAATACGACGCGTCTTGTACCAACATTCTTCTCCATTTCACCCGCATTTTTGTGTCCACTCTTCATTTACCTTCAAGTACACGGGCCATTTCATGTTTAATGCATTCACGCTGTTGGGTCGTCCTACGGCTATTCGCACCTCCACCCCTGAGGTGTACGGTAGTCGTGGGGCGTGGGTATAGATACGGCTCCATTACATTGATAGGTTGTCATTGTGGTGAGGTTGTGTAGGTGCCAAGACCATAGCTCATTGATATATTATTGTATCATTCAATCCAATTTCATATAAACGTTACGGAGTAACATAGCGGCCGGTAGCTTTATATTATCTTTTTGCCAAATATCGCGTAATTTTTTGTTGTAATTCATATCCTACCTATCATCATATATTTCAAATTACTTTTTATCTCTTGATCTTCATTCTCAATATTCTGTGCTGAATCGTCATCACACTGTTGTCAATGATCTTCTTCTCTCTTATCTTCATTGATTTAAAATTTACATACTGTATTGACATTTAAATACTTCAATCGTATAACATCTCATAGCCGTTTTAATTACGGGCTTGTTTCACAACCGTTATTACACAATCCTCAATTTCAGGGACACAAAAATGTGGCACAAAGTGGTCGCGCTTCTGTTAGCCATCAGCTCCTTGATTTCAGCATCTCCAGCTGTTGTAATGGACGAAGGCAAACAATTGGTTCGTCGTCAGGTGTTTGGAGGTGAGTGTTTGCTGTGTTTGTTGGTGACGGTGACGTTAACCTAATCTTCAAAATTGTTAAAGTGCTTACCATAAAAAGATGTATGTGAAGATGTACGATGGTATACCTACAAAAAACGCGGAATATCAACATTAAATTTTTAAAATATCTTTTGACTTACCTAAGTTGAGTTTTCGTACCTATTTAACCTAAAAAATACAATAAATATTTGTTCGTATTTTACAAAATCATAATTAAAACTTAAAAAAATAAAAACCCTGATTACCCTCGATAGCTCCTCTCTACTCCCCGTGTGGTCCAAGTGTTGGATGTGCGGCGCCTGGTTTTTGCCAATCATCAATGTGTATGCCTGTAGCAGCTGCTCCACTACCACCACCAGCTTATGCTCCACCCATGCCCGCTCCGATTCCTGTCGCTGCTCCAGCCTACGCTCCACCACCACCGCCACCAGCTTGTGCTCCAGCCTGTGCCGCTCCAGCTGCGTAAGTTTTTTTTTAAATATTAGGTATAAAAAGACAAAAAAAATAATTTTAAAACTTCAAAAAGCTTGTCTAAAATAAAATTTAAAACAAAAATTGACATGCAACGCGTTTTATTTTAAAACCTTTATGTTACCTAAAATTAAAAAAAAAATATTTTAGCTGCCTCGGAGGTGCCTGCGCCTGCCCAGGAGCCGCCGTCTACTCGCCAGCCATCGGATGCGCCCCAGCCTACGCTCCGCCCCCACCACCGCTCCCAGCTCCAGCTATCCCAGTCCCAGCCCTCGCTCCTCCACCACCACCAGCCCCAGCCGGCCGCTTGATCCCACAAGCCCTACCCGGAGCCCCATGTGAGCCAGGAGTCGAGTGCACCGGTGGATCCGTCTGCTCAATGGGAATCTGTTTGTGTCCCCCAGAGTTGGTGCAAGAAGGTACCGTCTGCGTAGCCAGAACATTGTACGGTCCAGTCGCCCCAGCTCCACCACCACCACCCCCAGCTGCTTACCCTGTACCAGTACGGCCGGCATTCGTTGATCCTTGCGGCGGGATTCATAAACGATCGGCCGAAGGTGTTGACTGCCATAACTGAAGCTTCTTAACCGTGTGTGAACAATGTCTGTAATTATAAATGTGAGAATGTGTTGATTTATTTTTTATGAATAAACCGTGAAATACATAAAATTCACAAAATATGTCATTAAAAATGGCAAAAAACTATTAAAAACTAAAATATTCTTAAAATTTGAAAAATTATGAACATGAGCTAAAATAAAAACCTCATAAAATTTTAAAAAGTTTAATATAAAATCTCATATTCACTATGCTCTTTCTACAGAATATAAGCAACCTTTCCACATAAGTTCCCCCAAATTCAAGCATTTCAATATTTTAGGTAACAAAATTGCGTTTCACCTACAACAACACCAAAACCCTTCAAATTATTTCCATAAAAGCCTCTAAAAATATTCAGAAACAATATTACTAACAAAATTGTTACTTCCAAAAGACTTTTCATACCTTTACCGTGATATTGAAGAGCAATGTCAACCGATCATTAACATGGAAATCGCCAAACGCCCTGGAAACAATGAAATAGCAATATTAACAATAACTATGGCAAAAATAACATGATGTATAATATAATAAAAGCACGCAATTTTATGTAGTGAAAAAATTTTCAATCTCCGAAAAAGAAATTATTCTCTTTGGCAACCAGCGCCCGAGTTGCGCAAGCTGCAGAGAACGTTTTATACACTGAACAGCTTCAAATTCAAGCTGAAACTGTATTAGCCTAGAATTTTTGCGTAAGCCTAAAGTGTGTAGGTAAGTTAAAATTCTACCATACTCTACCCAAGTTTGTCTTACCCTCGTTTAACCTCACAAACCTCAGCATATCGTGTGCAATAACCAGAGATACTAAAACATTAATAAAAAGTTGCGCGGATTATCTAATATAAACAATATAACCACATAGCCTTAGAGAAATTGCAAGAAATGGTATTACGCAACGTTTTCTTATGTAATATTGTTAATTTTATAATATTTGCCTCGATGTAAAACGACCCAACAAATGACTGCGAGTGCTGGGATCCCACTGCAAATTTCAGCGGGCGATTACGTTTTATCTGCTACACTTTAGATTAAATTGATTCTAGATTCTGTTAAAAGTCAAAAGTTTTAGTTTTGAACTCGAAAGGATCCACGCTTTCACAACGAGGTTGTTGCAAGCTGCTACAGAGCGTGTCATCTGGTGAATATCAAACCAGACGTTCAAAAGATTTTTGGAGAAATTTAAACTTCAGAATGCAGTCCGGTTTTTGAAGTGTAACATAATTTTAATTTTGACTCATTTTTAGAGTAATGTGCTGTTTTAACCCATAATTTTAAAATTCCGTAGTTATACAGAATGAAACTTGACGCATAACAGAAGACTTGACTCATTTTACGAATAAAATAATATTTTTGGTTTTATCTCGCGTCTGCCATATTAAAATAAATATTTATTAATTTTTGTATTGTTTTGTTGTAAATTTATATCAACTATGATAGAAAAAGAGTTAAATCAGCTGAATAAGCTTGACTTTAATTCTGTAGATGAAAAAGACATAGCGAAGATTGCAGAGAACTTGAAGGACTATTTTAAAAATGGAAATAAAGGTAAGAGATGTTTTAAAAGCTATATTTGGTGTTTAGAAGTGCTAGAAAGTCTACCCGAAGAACACGTTAAATTGTTTGGAAGTTTAATATTAAAATCAGTGGCATCAGGCGTTGTTCCAGATCAATTTGAACAGAACTTATCAAAGTTTTCTAAACTTGAACCGTTGATTGGAGTTTATAAGGTAAATATATTCTACTGTTTGTTCTTTAGGTTTTACATGTTTTACAGACATTTGAATTCAAACCTAAATTATTTTAGGACCTTTTCAAAGATCTTCAAGATGGTTTACAAACGATCAGCTGGAAATACCCGATGTTTGTTGATGTTGATTGGAGTATCAGTGGAGTGATGGAAGTAAGTTTAATCTTTTTATATTTGTTATGTTTTTAGACTGATACAGCAACTGGAGTAAAGGAGCCATTAGTTAAAATGGAATTCTCGTCGATACCTACAGGGCAAACTGATGTGGAAAAGTTCGAGTTTTTCTGCACGAAACGTCAAGTTCAGGTAGGTTTGCTTGTTTTTATTAGTAACATAAGATATTTCTCTAACTTTTATTAGCTTTTTTGTGAAAAAATAATGCGGATCTTAATTTAAAACGGCATTTTATATTAGAATCTATCAAAAATAAGCCAAGTTTGGGGTTGCTGAAGTTTTTTATTATAGGACATGCAATGGAAAGTGAAAGAAGCATATAATTTATTACAAAAGATGTCTCAACAATAACTATAACGTTCCGTTAATGTATTTTTGGTAATAGGCTTCTAATTGATACATATCAAGGCATTTATCATGTGCTACAGACGATTTACAGGCTTGTGGGGTGCTGACCAAGATACCTACAATTTATTTCATAATTTTGTATATTTTTTCATTTTTGACTAGTCCATTGACTCTCTGCAATGTCAATTGACTCTCTGCAATGTGATATTCTTATCATAAGATTGTTCCGAGCCTTTCTTCGTATAAAATTATGTTGGTACTTACCAGCTACACATGCAGTAGTAAAACAAGAAAATATACCAGAGATCAAGGCGCGAACAGCCAGCTGAAACCATTTTTTTATAAATTAGGTAACACTTTTGGGTTTTTAATGAAATTTACAACAATATAAGTAATATAACTTATAACAATAAAATTGTTTACATCTCTAGTAAACTTTTTATTCCAGATACGTCTTTACCTTTGAAAAGCTATGTTTTCTCTCTGGACACATACTGGTAAGAATACCTATTTGACTACCAATCATAGAAACGTTTGAAAATCCACATAAAGCGTATGTTGCTATCATACGAGCACGTTGTCCTACGAGTTCTCCGGTTTTTACCATCTCATTCAGCTTCTGATAGGCGATAAACTCGTTGAGAACGGTTTTGACACCCATAAGTTCTGCTACTTTGAGTGTTTCGTGTAAAGCTACCTAAAATATGGTTTGAAGTAGCATATTTAATATTTATAATTGGTATAGATTAGCAAAAATGCTTACATCAGGATCCGCGGCGTCTGAAGTCCCCATAACATATGCGAGGGGGAAGAACAGGTATCCAAGTATCATCTGAAAGTTTTTTTATGTATGTATTTGGTTTAGGCTTATGCAATTTAGGCTTAAGTAGACGTTTTAGCGTAGTCAGGCGCTTGCGCAATGTAGGCTTATGCACACACTTGAGGCTTAATCACACATTTTTAGGCTTACGCAATTTAGGCTTAGGCACATATTTTTAGGCTTACGCAATTTAGGCTTTTGCACGCGCATTTTAGGCTTACGCAGTTTAGGCTTATGCACACATTTTAGGCTTATGCACACATTTTAGGCTTACGCAATTTAGGCTTATGCACGCATTTTAGGCTTACGCAATTTAGGCTTATGCACACATTTTAGGCTTACGCAATTTAGGCTTATCCACACAATTTTAGGCTTAGACAGACATGCATTTATGTTTATCAAATATTGCTTACATTAAGGCTGAGATCTGGTATGCCAATGAGTACCCCAATCCAACCCATAACTGAGTTGACAAGGTATAGTAGTGCTGTATATACCACAAGGTTAGCAGCAATAGCTCCAATGAATTGGGCTGAATGAATGGCCCCATTACTGATGCATTCCAACAAGTTGTTGGCTTCTCTATAAATGGCTAGTTCAATAGCTAATATTAGGGGCCGACATAAAGAACCCGCTATTTTTACAGAAAATTACAGGAAAAGTATGGCGGGTTCTTTATGTAGGCACTTAATATTAAACTTACCTAGCAGCAAATTCAAAAGTTTTGGCTTCTTTTTGTTTCGATTTCTGAATCTCCGGGTACACAATTTTCGATATGGCTAAAGAAGTAGATGCTGACATTACAGTAGCTGACAGTATATGAGTAGGACAAGCGCCGAATTCAATATAAGCTGAGAATAACGAGCCAGCTATACACGCGAAACCGGCTGTCATTACTGTATGAATCTCACTATCAGTCATTGTTAGTAGAGCTGGTTCTATTAGAATTGCGGCTTCGGTCTGAAAATTAAAAAATTTTTTTTTAAATTGAAATTTTGTAAATATAAAAGCCAAATTTATTGAAAAAAAATTTTAATTCAAAATGCTAAATTTAATTTAAAAAATATATAAAAAGTCTCACCTGCCCCAAAAATATACAAGCCGCAGCATTTAAACTCTCTGCCGCAGTAGTACCAATTGTATGTTGCATTACCCATGCCACTTTTGATAAAACAACTTGAATAACACCGTAATAGTACAACACTGAGACTACTGCTCCAAAGTATATTATGATCTGTAGGGAGGTGAAAACAAATGCCATAGCCATTCCACAAATATCTGGCATCTTCACGATAAAGCCGTAGGTTTGAAGTGTACCTACGAATGTGTAGTGAAGGAATTTTACTATCTAGAAGATTTAATACGTTTTATATGGATTTTAATGTAAAATACGGGATCATCATTTATTATTGTATTATAGCTATTGATATAAAACGTTACAGTATATTGAAAAGAGTATATATAAAGCTTACTTCCTCAGCTACAGCTTGTAGCACTTTATTGCCAGTTTCCCATCGTAGGACTAGTATACCGGCAGAGAATTGCAGTAGTATGCCACCGATTACCGGTCTCCATTTGATCTAAAGTTTAAGATAATTCAGATAGTACAGTAGGATAAGGTACTGTAGGATAGGTAGGGTAGCTTAAGGTACTGACTGTAGAACAGGGTAGAATAGGGTAGAGAGTAGGATAGGCTAGAGTACTGTAGGGTATAGTAGGTTAGGGTAGTGCAGGGTAAAGTAGGGTAGGGCAGGGTAGACTAAAGTAGGATAGGGTACGGTACGGTAGGTTAGAGTAATAAAAACTTACTTTTCCAGGATTAGCGGAGCATAAAATGCATATAAAAACGAATACGCCTACTCCACCAAGAGATCTTAACCTTGTATATTCTCCATTACAGTCTAATATTAACCAGGTTAAGAAGACGGCAACCACCGCGCCTAGGGCTATACTAAAACATAGGTTATCAGACACTGTTACTACGTGGAATCTGTAGTATATTAAAAGTAACTTACAATTGAAAATAAGGCACACTGCTAATACCATTTACTACAGTATTTTGTACATTGTCTATGACTTGTTGTACATCTTTTCTTTGAAGTAATGGAACACAAAGTAGTTTATATAAAACTGTTAGGTACCAGAGTATTAATAATGATAATGGCAACACTGCTGTATTGGCATTGTGAACAAACGCAAAAATAACATAAATATGGGCTAGTGTAACTAATATTATTTTAGGTATGAGGGAGATTTGTGTAGAGTATCTGAAAAGATAGGGTATTATAGCGTAGGGGAAGGGAGGAAAAAAAGGGGGGGGGGAGGGTAGATTAGAGCAGCTTAAAGTGAGCTTTAGGGCAAAGTGACTTATAAGGTGGGGGTAATTGTTAAAGCAAGGTATGTCAGAGCATGGTCCATTCTAGGCTGAGGCAAACCGTTACAGAAACAAAATTTTATATTATGTGCCGAAATAAAGAACCCGCCATGCTTTTCCTGTAATGTCCTGTAAAAAATGGCGGGTTCTTTATGTCGGCACCTGATAGTAGAGAGAATCGTAAAGTAGGCAAAATTTGAAGGTATTCATGTATTAATAGGTTTTTCAAATAATTCTGTGCTTTCTCTTAAAGCAAATTTTTGTGGTCACAGGGCACAGATTTATTTGAACAATCTACTTTCATTTATAGATTTTTTCTAGAATTGACCTAGCTTACACTTAACCCTACCTAACCTCAGAACTAGCCAAAACGACCCTAGAACTAGCCTTACTCTAGTGCTATTCTAAACAAATTTAAAAAGAACCCGCCATACTTTTCCTGTAATTTTCTGTAAGAAATGACGGGTTCTTTATGTCGGCACCTAATATATAATAGTAGGGAGGATTTTAGGGTAAGATAAATGCTAACAAAGCGGAGCAGTATCTAATCATGCCTTCCAATGTAAAAGTTCAGGTTTCATATTAATCTTACTTTGAGTTGTTACATTGCTTCTTTATTTTGTGTACCACTGCGCCTAGTGACAACATTTACTTGCCTTTTAGTATTTTTATTAAGATTTGGTTTAATTTTATAGATTTGTATTTTTAAAGTGTCTGGATAAGGCAGAACTTGAGAATACTTATATAAAAAATGCTTCAAAGAGCATTCAAATGATGATATAACAATAAAACAATAACAATATAGAAAAAAAATATTTAAAAACAACCACTGCCAATAAGTTTAAACAGTTAAAACAAGCGAAAAGGTTTAAAGTATTCAATAAAATTCAAGTAGAACAAAAGAGAAACTGAACTTTAATATTTTGGATAGTTAAAACTGCAAAACCCTCTGTTCCCGTCTCTGATAATACGAGGCAAAAAACCCGCTTATAAGTATTTTTGATTTATTAAATTGGTCTTATCACACCGACCAGGTTTTCGTTAATGGATCGCTTTTGAGTTTGTTGATGGCTGGCAATTGGAGGTCCTGGTAGCGTGGCAAGTCTTCGAAATGATGTGTTTGGGATGGGGGTTGTGAGCTGGGGATTAGAATGTATCTGAAAAAGGAAGTGGTTAAAATTTAATTTTGAAAAGTTAAGCGTTGCCAATTTTTTTTAGGCTTAGGCACTGATCTTTAGGCTTACGTAAGTTAAGCTAAAGTACGTAGATTTTAAGCTTAGGTACACATTTTTAGGCTTACGTAATTTAAGCTTAAGCGTGTATTTTAGGATTAGGTACATAAATTTTAGGCTTAGGTACACATTTTTAGGCTTAGTAGGATATAGTTTAGGCTTAGGTACACATTTTTAGGCTTAGTAGGATATAGTTTAGGCTTAGGTACACATTTATAGGCTTACGCAATTTAGGCTTAGGCGGGTATTTGAGGCTTAAGTACACAATTTTAGGCTTACGCAATTAAGGCTTAGACGGGTTGTTATAGGCTTAAGTACACATTCTTAGGCTTACGCAATTTAGGCTTATTTTTAGAGTTTCGCGGTCTAGGTTCAAACTTTTTTTTGGCTTACACAAATATGTTTTAGGCTTAAGCACACATTTTTAGGTTTGAGCTTCAGCTCTAGCCTTAGCTCTTTCTTAAGGTAGATTGCAAAGTATAAAAGTAAAACATGTAAACCAGTATAGCAAAAATAAACATCTAACTTAACAAATCAGCAAATTTAAAAGAAGCGAGTATAATATAATCTTACTGTGACTGCTGGTTGTTGGCCCAAAACCAGCTGGGTCTACTGCTCGAACTGGGTATGTGGGTGTTGTTTCGATGCAGACACGTTAATAAGCCCAACAACGCCACCAACAGCGCCGGAACAACGAACGCCACCAACAAAGGGTACATGAAAGTCGAGAGCAAAAGTGTGGCCAAGTCCTTTTGCGGTCTTAACCCAATTGGCCCACTTTCCGGGCCCGGTCTTTTTCTCCCATGGCGTGATCGGAAAAGACTATATACAACTATACGCAAGATAAACAAATGTCGTATCGTTTACTTGGGTCTTTAGTGATTCATCTTCGGTGCGGGTGTAATTTGATTTCGACGTAATTGGGTTACGTTCTCTGTGTTTTCTTAATTTTTAAGAAAAAAAGGAGGGGGGGGGGTAAAATTTATTTTTTTAAAAAAGACAAATGGTACGGCAACGTAGGGTAATTTATGACATTTTAAGATAATATAAGGCAGGTTAAAAAGGGATGGGTAGGTTAATACAAGGTAGAGTAGAGCAGGGTGGAATAGTTTTTGATGTTTTAGGATGATATTATATATGGCACGTCTAGGAGGGGTGGGCACATTCAGACAAGGTAGGGTAGGGCGGGGTGGAATAGAGTAAGGAAGAAGATTACAGGCTAGTTAGAGTACAGTAAAAAAGAAAAGAGTACAGTAAGACATAGTAAAGTACATTAAGACAGGGCACGTTACAGTAAGACAATGTAGGGTAGAGTAGGGCAGAGTGACTAGGGTACTGTAGCGTACCGTTGGCTAGGATAGAGTAAGGTAGGGTTGGTTAGAGGAGGAAACTGTCAGGTTAGGGTAGCGTAGAGTAGGGTAGGGTAGGGTAGGGTAGGGTAGGGTACGCTAGGGTGCGGTAGGGTACGGTAGGGTACGGTAGGGTAGGGTACCGTAGGCTAAGGTAGGGTATTAAGAGTAGCAATAAAAGTTTATTGTCGTAGTAAAAATATTTACAAATTTTATTGACAACCGGCTTGCTGAACGGCTTGGCAACAATGGTGGTCACTATGTAACAAAGATTGTCGTAGGCCTGTGCATGCACTCTAAAAGTATTTTTTAGCTAAAATTAGCGGACTACAGTAACTTTTTTAGCTTTAAAAAAGTTTTTTAAAGTTTCAAGGGTACAGTAACCCACCTGAGTAACAGAAGTACCACTACCAGCACCTTTCATGTACGTCTTTACATAGTCTCTGCACCAGTACGGGTCAGCGCCACTGCATTGCGATGCTAAAAATCATTTTAATATAGGTTTTCAAGCTATAATGCTACTTACTATCATACTGTCGTATAACATCAATCGGCTTGGTTTCATAACCACTGTTGTCTGTAAATGTTACAGTAGGGTCGTTTTTCGGATCGTATAAGCGTACATTACCACCATTAGTACTAGTGTATTTTACAGAAGTTATGCCATTTTGGGTATCGTACTGTTCTTTTAATTGGGTTTGTTGTGAGTTTGGATTACTGTAGCTATTTTGAGTATTAGTACCGTAGGCGTTACTATATGAACTTTGTTCGTACATAGGTTGAGTATTACTGTAGGGAGATTGGGCATTACTACCGTATGCTGTTTGGGCACTACTACCGTATGCTGTTTGTGCACTACTACCGTATGCTGTTTGACCATAGGGATTCGAATACGGATTTTGATTACTGTACCCATTTTGGCTACTGTAACTACTTGAATCGTATAACTGACTACCATAAGCATCACCATTGCTAGTACTAGCATAATCATTATAACTTTGCTTATTAACATGGTCATAGTAATATGGACCAGTATTCCCATCTTGTCCACTTTGACCCAAATTAGAGTTAGTGTCGGTACGGTATGGGTAGTACATGCTTGAGCCACTGTTCATATTATTATTGCTGTTAATGTTCGAATTGTCATCATAGAAGGCGCTACTTCCAAACGCGTCAAATTGGGCCGACATGGGAATAGTATTCTCTTCCCGAGGAAACTTCAAGTCCTGATTGTTGTATGCCGTTCCAGCATAAGCACTTTGACGTCTGGCACGGGACGTTGGTTTTTGATCTGGCATTCCTTTTAAATTGCCTGAGGTTTTAGAGTTTTGGTTTGATGAGGTTTGGCTTGGGCTAGGATTTTGATCAGAATTTGTAGTTTGGGGTAGAGAATCAGCTTCTCGTTTCTTCTTTCCGTAACCGATAGTACTCACTTCTGGCGGTTGGTACATACTTTCATCACCTTAAAAGCAAAAAATTTAAACATTTAACGTTTTTAAAAAAGGTTTAAAATTAAATATTAGGTCTTATAGGACGGGGTAATTGTTAAAATTATTAATGTAGGCTATGTCATAGCATGGTCTACTCTAGGCTGAGGTAAACCGTTACAAAAACTAAGTTTTATATTATGTGCCGACATAAAGAACCCGCCATACTTTTCCTGTAGTTTCCCGTAAAAAATGGCGGGTTCTTTATGTCGGCACCTAATACTTTTTTAAAAATTAAAAAATAAAATTAAAAAATTTTGAAAGTGTTTAAAATTGAAAGTAGTGTTATACTGAGAGTCAACATTTTAAATTTTAAACCAAAAAACGAAAAAAAATTTTGGTTTTGAATTAAAAAACGAAAAAAAATTAAATTTTTGGTAAAAAACGGTTTTTTAGTCTTTTTTTGAATTAAAAATTTTTTTTAATAGCTAATTTTGAGTAAGTTTACTTAAAAAAATTTTTTAAATTTATTAATTTTGATTTCCAAAAGTAAAAAAAACTGTTTACTTTTAAAAATAACACAATTTTAAAAAATGTCACAGATATTAATCATCATATATTTTAAAGACCTTATAATTTGGTTTTACACAAGCATGACAATTTTAAAAGCTAATCATTTTGGTCAAAAAATGCGTAGAAATAATAATTCGAAATTTTTAAAAGTAAAATTTGAAAAAAAGTTTTAAACAAAATTTAAAAAAAAATTAAAAAATCGATTTCAAAATTAAAAAAAATTTTTAATTTAAAAAAAATCAAAAAATCCATTCTAAGACGTACTAGAAGACTGTATATCAATATTACCGTTAATAGTGTATCGTGTGCCAGGGTTGCTTCTGTAGTCATAGCCATAGATGTTGTTCGTATATCGTTGATTTTGATTATTAACACCAGAACCTTGAATATCTTGGTAATTCTTCTTGTTCTGTTCGTCATTACTCAGGACTGGCATTGTTGTTGTAGTAGCATATTGATTGCCGTACTGTGAATTCTGTGGATCAAAGAATCTTTGTTGGTTTTGTTCGTACACGTTGTTGTAGCCTTCTGGTAAGAACTTGTAATTCGGGTTCTCGACAGATGGGCTGGATAGGTTAGATTGGCTGGATTGTGGGTATCTTGTGTCAAAGTAGTTGCCTGAGGGGTTACTGTAGCCATTACTAGTTTGAGCTGAGTTACTGTATTGATTACCGTACATAGAAGAGCTACTGTAGCCATTGTCGTACATACTAGGGTTGCTATAACCATTAGCAGTACTACTATACCCATTAGCAGTATTACCGTAATTATTACCGTACATTTTAGAGCTACTGTATCCACTAGTGTATGGTGGGTTGTAAAGTTGAGCAGAAGCCCCGCTACTCTGTGTATCATAAGGATTATAATTGACATTAAATTGTCCATTGGTGCTGGATTGTACCCCGCCAGAAAAATCAATATTGGCGTGGATTGGGTTGTTTAACAAACTATTCAAATCTATATTGGTCTGACGTTTACCACGAGGAAATTCTTGAATTGAGGCTGAAAAGATACTGTATTTTAAAAAATTTTAAATTTTAAAATTTAAAATTTTGAATTTATTTGAAATTTAAATTAAAAAAAAATTTTTTTGAAATTTAAATTTTTAAAATGTAAAATTTTTTAACTTACAAGACGATCGACAAACTTCAATAACATCACATATCAACCGCTTCTTAGGTTCGTCACTATAAGGCATACCAACCTGAGTTGGGGAGGTGAAGAACTAAAAACATACAGTATCACTTTCCTTACCTAACAAACTTTGAAATTTGTACACTATTTTCCTTCAGGCGATATATGAAATTTGAAGTTTGTGCACTATTTTTTCTTTAGGCGATATATTAAGTTTGAACACTACTTTTAATTTTTTTACTAATGATGTCAAAACTCAACCTACCCACCAATCCGAGCATCCAGAAAAGTAGTAGTTTGGGATCGAAAACGTAACTACCAATTCACCATTGACTATGTCACCACTGCCTCGAGTTACCATATTGGCTGTAGGAATCTTGAGAGGCGGTTGCGGACCGTACAAACCTGCTGAGGATACGATTACTTTGTCATATTGTCGTTCTACTAGGGCTAGTTGGATTGTCTGGAATTGGGATTGGCTTTATGTTTAGATTGATATGGCTTTTAGGTATAACCTTTTGAGTTTTAGGTAATATATTAGGTGCCGACATAAAGAACCCGCCATTTTTTACAAGAAAATACAGGCAAAGTATGGCGGGTTTTTTATGTCAGCACCCAATACATTCATAACATACCTTATTGCCAAACCCAACCCCAGTCCAATGTGCTGATCTGGAAGGGAATTCCTTCTGGCGTAGTATAAAGTCTACAAATCCTATTCCAGCACTCCATGCTAAAGAGTAGCCTTTGTCTTCATCCACAAATGAACAACTTTGACTTTGGGACAGGACTAAAAATAAATTTTATAAATTTTTGAGAGTAGTGTAGGATGGAATTGGGAAGGGTAGATTAGGTACAGCAGGTTCGGGTTGGGTCAAAGAGGGCAGGGCAGGGCTAGCGGTAAAGTTAGACTTGGGACTAAAGCTAGGGCAAGGCTAGGAAGGTGCTAAATCAAAGCAAGGATAAGACAAGGGAAGGCTAGGGCAAGGCAAGGCTAGGGCAAGGCTAGAGCAAGGTTAGGGCAAGGCCATGGCAAAGCTAGGGCAAGGCTAGGGCAAAGCAAGGCAAGGCAGAGCAAGCCAAGCTAAGCCAAATCTAGGCAAAGCAAGGCAAGGCTAGGGTAAGGCTAGCGAAAGGCTAGGGCAAGGCTAGGGCAAGGCAAGGATAGGGCAAGGGTAGGGCAAGACAAGGCAAGGCAAAGTATGATAATTTTTTTTTGGTTTTAAGTATAAAAATTGATTTCAATTAGATTTCAGGTTGAAAATCAAATTTTATATTTAAAAAACCACAGTAAAGTAAATTTAAGAGCCTTGGCCATCAATTTACATCAACTAAAACAAATAAAACGCTGTAAAACGCTGTAACACTTACCATGAGCAACAAAAATTGATAGAAAAACAAAAAACGGCTTCATATTGAAGCACAAATTTTCAATATTAAGCCGAACAAACCTTCTTTTATATGATTCGACTACTTAGGAATAAGTACAAACAAACCGACTTCAGAGATTTTGAGGTTTTTCCAAAATTTTTGTTTGTCAAATGTATAGTGGCGCTGAAGACTTATGATTCAACATGATGTTTATTAAACGGATAAGTTACATTTTGTTAACTTTATACATGATTTCAAGAATAATTTTTAATTTTTAAATTTTTTTTATTTTTGAAATTTTTTTTTATTTTGAAAAATTTAAAAATTTAAAAAAATCAAATTTTCTAACAAAAATTTTAAAAATAATCTCTAGTACATATGCAAATACTCCCAGCTTGACCCAAGTAACATATCAATCAATCAAAACATCTCCGACAACATACGATCTATCATTACCAAGGTAACAACAAATGGATCCGTCATAGGTAACAGTGTCTCTAACCCAATATCTTGCGAGATTAATGTAACAAAAGGTCATCTCCTTTGTGTCCTTTTTATTTTCGAGGAATAAAAAAAAAGAGTGAGGAACTTGGGGGGCTCGTCACATGCTACAAGGACATTCGTTCCATTGAAATTTAGCCGCATTTTGGATTTATCTTGTCATAGACATTGAACGGCCCAGCTTTTTAAATTTACAAATGACGTAAAAGCTAAGTTTTATTAATTTTTTATGTTTTTATCTGAAGCGGCTTATCTCATACTTCCAGAAAATATAGTTTTATAAACTTCATGCGCAAACTGCGGCTAAACGGGCGCAAACCGCGCGAAAAAAATTAATTTTCTTTCGTTTTCGATTAACGGATGAAGTGCGTTTTTCTCAACGTCCTGCTCTAATTTGCAGGGTAACCAAAGGGGTTTTAGAATTTTTAGATTAAGGAAATGTTGTTTTATGTGTTCTTATCTAAAATTTTAATTTTTCTGTTTGTACATCGGTAATAAATGGCATTTTTCTCGTTTGAACGGCAAATTTTTATTGTTTCCGCGGTTTTTGGTCGATTTTTAAAAGTTTTTTGTTCAAAGCATAATATGAAAGTTATGTAATAGTATTATCATGTTAGTCTGTTCATTTTGCAATGTTATTTCACTGGTTTCAAACACATTTCTATTTTAATAACCTTGTTATGCGGCTTTCAAAACGCCGGCCCACGTAAAATGGAGCAGATTTTGAAGCTTTTTCCGTGGGTTCACGTCAGTTTTTTAAACTTATACGTCAATTTTTAGTTGATTTGTGACTTGGCTTTCGTTTTTTTTGATAAAAAACGGATTTTTTTGTTATAGACCGAAAAAATGAAAATTGTGTCCGGTTTTGAGGTTTTGCCGCAAGTTCAAAGGTGAAGGGCAAATGGGCCCGGAGGAACGAAATCTTCTTCTCCCCTCTTTTTTTTCGCTTCACAAACACGGCACCGGCTCTCAGCACGGCTGTTTCGTTGCCCCCGTTGGCACTTTTTTCCCGAATCCGTTGGTGTCCAAAAAGCAGCGTATTTTCACATATTCTTCAGAGGTTTTCCGTGTATTTTGTGGTAGTTTTTCCATTGGCTTTGTTTGGGTTTTCTCCAAGGTTTTGGAGGAGTTGTGTGAAGGTTTTAGAGCAGTTTTTTGGAGGTTTTAGAGTTGTTTAAGGTCTTAGAAGGGTTTTTTGAAGGTTTCAGAGGTTGTTGTAGTTTGGTTCGGGTTTCAAAGCTTTTGTAGCATTTTTTAAATCGGCTTTTCTTGAATTCTAAAGGATTTTTGATGTTTTTTCAGTATTTTAACAAGTTTTGATGATTCGCTGATGTTAGATCAGTGTTTTATCCTTGATCCTTTTAAAAATGTATTTTTAGGCTTATTTTTTAAATTTTTTGTTGATTTTCTCAAGATTTTTAAAATTATAATTTCTGTTAATGAAAGTAGTAAAATTAGGCATATTTTTCGAAATAAAACGGCAAGAAATTGCTACACTAATCTGTTGTGCCATAATTTTTTGACATTCAAAAAAAACTTCTTAGAATCTCCGCAAACCCATCAGATTCATTGTCAATTCTACCCGGATTCAACACTACATTTCTTTGAAATTTCTTCATTTTTCATTAGAATCTTTGTCCAGTTTTCCCATGTCTCAACTACCAATTTTTCATCGGTTTTCCCATACGAAAATCGGATCGAAAAGGGACTGTTGAGACACAGGCGCTGGTTGCTTCGAATCCGTTCACCGCGCTCCCCCACTTTTAAGAATACGATTTTTGATATTCTTTTTGCATGAGTTGTCTATAATGTGTAATATTCGATTGTTTTCCGCGGTTTTCCTTTGTTAAGTGAATACTTATAGCTTAATTACGAGTGGGATATACTTGTTGATATAGCCTGGGGGTGGTTAGTTTGAGGAATTTGCTTTATTGGATGATTTTTTTTGGTTTTTAATGCGTTTTTGAGGTTTAGGTAACAAAAGTTTAAATATTTGATTTTAAGGACAAAAATTTAATTTTAGGTAACAAGATTTGCAATATTTTATTGCCAGAGTAATAATTTTATTTTAGGTGACATTTTTTATTTAAAAATGTTTTAGGCTTTTTTCGAATTTCAAAGACATTTTTACGTTTTTCTTTTTTAGGTAACATTTTTTAAAAAATCTTTAACAACAAAAAGCAACTTACGCGAATATTGCTTATTGTCACCTAAAATAACAAATAATCTCTAAAGTGAATATTTTCAGAAATGGAATGACATGAATCCATTCGCTACAGTGTCCAAGCCGAAAGCACTTGGTCAAAAGTCGCCCAAATCACCGTTAACAGAGCGAAAAGAACAGCTGGATTCGACGTCACTTCCTTGTACACCAATCCATCGACCACAAGCCTGTGCAGCGACCGTTGTTCCAACCAAAAACGACCGATTTCCATTTAATATCAGAGACACGGTGGATTGGATTATTGGGTATGTTGCTTTGATTCATTTGCTGTGGTTTAGTAGGAAGTATGGATAGAATTGAAGGTTTTATAGATGTGAGGAATAGTTAGGCCATAATTCGTTATTATGACACATTATGACGTGTTTTTCTATCTAAAAATCAAAGGTGTGACTTAAACAAGGGGTAGTTGCGCTACGTCTTCAGGCAACATATTTTTGATAAAGGCAACAATTTTTCAATATAAAAGCATTTTTGTTGATAAGACAACAATTTTCATACAATAAGAGACAATTTTGATATGACAAAAGAATTCTAAAAACAAATTTTGAAATGATAAAGGAAAAATGATTAAAAATGACGTGCGAAATATGAATCAGCGTTGATTTGGTTTGAATCGAGGGAAAAATCAATTAAAAGTAATTCGAAATCAGCGGGTATCTATAATAAGGTAGTGAATTATGTGAATTATACGATAATGGGCAATTTGATTCAAAATTAGAAGTTATTTATGGGCTTTTATGTTATAATAAAGTTGAATTTGCAATATTTGATGTCAACTTTTAATTATTTTGCAAAAAATGAATTTTAAAATCATTTGGTCTAGAGAATTGATATTAACATTGATATTATCATGAAAGAAAGCTATAATTTGGTAAGAAAACAATTTTATATTGAAATAAGAAATAATTATGCTTGACGATTGACTATAATATTCAAACCACTAATAAGTACAGCTGAAACAACTTAAAAACCAATAACACTTAACAAGAACTGATAAGCAGCTGCATCAATAGTACAAATAATGTCACAAGAAACCATGTCATTGAAGCATAATTTCTTTCATTGATATGGAAACACGGTTTCTTTTCTTGTGCCTCGTGGTCGTTCGTGTCCTAGCGATATAATTTTGAGGACATTCGGAAAGGTTTTCGAAAAAAGACTGGAAGCGTCATTTTTTCGAAAAGCCAGCTGTCTTTATGCTCTTTAATATTACTTTTTCGGAAATGGTCGGTTATTAAGGTGGTTTTTGATGGTTAGGCAGACATTTAGGCTTGTAATTTTAGTGTTGTGTTGTTGTTATTTTTAGGCTTACGCAATTAGGCTTGTGCAGAAATTTTAGGATTAAAAGTTTTAGGCTTAGGCACACATTTTTAGGCTTATGCAGTTTAGGTTTAGGCTTCTTCGCTTTAGGCTTAGGTACAAATTTTTAGACTTACGCAATTAGGCTTATGTTGACAGTTTTAGGCTTAGGCTGATAATTTTATTTTTCAAATTACGTAATTTTGAATTGGGTGGACATATTGGTTTAGATTTACAAGTTGTAAGCTTAGGTCAACGAACTAGCACTATATTTTGCAGTAGTACCGTTCTAGTAATTTAGAATTTTTTTTCAAACTTGGTCTTTCACTCTGTGTTCAAATAGTCTTTCTCAAGTTACGCTGTGTTTTGTTGTTCCCTGATGCCTCAAAGTTTTAATAGTGACCATTTTAAACGTCGTCAAAACTTTCAAAGGCAATCAAGGCACTTGAGGGGGGGGGGAAGAGTTCTCTAGTGCGACGGCTCTTGTTCCCGTTTGAACTTGTCGCGCATACACTTGTTCTACACTATCGCCGACCCTCCCATTCAAAAGGAAATTTAATTCTTGCGGGGCGAAACATTTTCAGGTGTCAATATGCCGTCGTGGGTTTTTAAATGAGTCTGAACGTGGGGTTAGGCATCGTAAAATGGGTTTTTTTAATTTTGGTAATATTATCTTTGTTGTTGGTTTCTGACAGTATTGCAGCTCTGTTTGATAGGTTAGTATTAGTTTCCATCATCGTTCTATTACTTTTTTTATTTTTTTTGTAATAAAGTAAAATAAAAGTTTCAAAAACCATGTAATTTTCTCCTCTTTAATACAAAATTGATTCTTTGGATTAGTCGGTTTCGTACTTATAGTAATGAGTAGCGGTATAATAAGCAGTTTCCCCACCCCTCTCGACGAAAAATAAACGGCTGCATAGTCATTTCGCTTTTCCGTGTTTTTTCGACTTTTGTTCGCCCATTATAACAATGGTAATCGTATAATTGTAAAGCACACAAGTTGTTACGATTGCAAATAACATATCAAAAGAGGTATGGGATACAAAGTCATTCCAATACGAAGGGATATGAAGCAATTTTGAATAGATGGGGAAAGTAATTTCAATAATAGAGGTTGCAAGGTAATTGAATAGCGAAAGTAATCCGAGGTATGAAAGGTTATCGTAATATGGGGGCTGGATTGTTTTGGAACATCGATTTTTGTGGCAAATTAGAAAAAATGTCATCGTAACTAACTTTCGGCACAGAGAATTTCAATTTAGGCACCTGTAAGTAGAAAAAGTGTCAATTGTGACTAGCTGTACATAGATTAAATTTCAATGTAAATAACTGTAAACAGGATAGAATTTCAATAGCTATAAATAACCCACTTTCAAAGGATGAAAATACAGATAATTAAGATAGCGCGGCCAGATGGCTATTAAGTATTACGTAAACAGGTAACATTTAAGCAGCGGAAAATTACTCGTTTGTGTTATTACTTGGCCATGGGATGTAGAAAAGGAATGTGTGAAGGTGTATTTGGTGGATGTTTTGTCTATTGGGGTATGTGTAAGGCAATTTTTCATTTGAGAGTTTGTTAAATAGGCGATTTAAGGGGCAATCTTTACCAAACTCTTTATGAATTGTCGTCATATAAAATTTCGTTCTTTGGCCCGGCATTTTCTAGAATGTCTTTTCAAAAATAAATTTTGTGAAAAGTAACTTCAAATTAGCTCAAATTGACTGCAATGTTGCACCCTTGTTCCACGACCAAAATGCATGAACTCGTTTTATGACTATAGAACTTTGTGAATTTATGTCACAGTAAATTTCGCGGGCACCTTTTTAACCGGTCATTTCGATGCACTTAACGAGCCGAAGGCTTTCTACACTCTTTTTGGAGGACGTTGCTCAAACAACGTTTTTCGAAAATTTTTCAAACGCGCTCCGTTTTTGATTTCGAAAATGTGGGGCTTTTTAACTGCTGTGATCAGGGCACTTAAGTGATCATTGGGGTATGATGTCAGCGGTTTTCGAAAGGAAGTAAATTATATGTTCCTGTGTTTTTGAAAAGGTTAATAATAGTTTAAAATAAAGGGAAGTTTAGTGATCGACAATAATATTGTGAGGAACAGTAGCAAGTGACGTTGCAGATGTTTAACACTGTCACGAGTATATAATGATGTCACGAGTCTGAGGGTTGATGTCTGGAAAAAACGGCCCATTATCACGTGTTTTTTGTTTCTGTCGCGTGCATTAAGGGGTTTTCCACGATATTTTTTGATCTTTCAAAGCACCTACCGGCTGATTTTTTGTCTATCAGATCGAATGTTTTTGCCTGTTGGATTCAATTTTGTTGCTTTAGGTGATTTATGTTTGATGTCGTCCTGATTCACTATAAAAATGACTGTTTTAAAAACATTGGAAATTCATTTTTTTCTAATTTTGGCCTAAAATATAGTGTCAAATAAGCTTATTTTTCATGTCAATAGGTGGCTTCTGAAAAAAGTGGTGCTTCTTGTAGTACGAACATTCCTTTAAGCACTTATGTTATTGAACATATTCCAAAAATATTGAATCCAAATTTTATAAAACGCTTAAAAACGCTTTACGGCGTTGTAAATCCAGGATTTTGCGATGCATGGTTGTCTTCCTGTCTTTTTATGGCGAGCTAAATATTGGATTCGGCGGGTGGCGTCTTGTTTGACTCTATGCCCGAACGGCCTTGATACTGATCTGAATAGCACCTGCCATCTGTTTGATTTATTTCTCTCGGTATAATTAGGGCTCCTTGGTTTCGTGTGAGGTTTGTAAACAAAACATAACTTTTTGCTGAGCTTTGAACAGTTATTTGTTATTGTTGTAAATTTCTTTTGGTTTTTAATGCTGTTTCCAAAGCTGATTGTTTTTATTTTAGTAATGGGCTGAATGTTATTTTCTGGTGGTTAGTAAGACAGCTCTTTGCTAGATTGATTTTAAAATTCATCCTGCTAGGGTGATTTTAAAATGACTGCTGGGTCGATTTTAAAATTGATTCTGAGTTTTACTGTGGTCTTCTACGTTATTTGACCGGATTTCTTTTGTTGCTACTTAAACATGTCGCGTCATTTGGTATTTTAAAAGAAGATGACACTTTGTTTGGTCATTCTAGAAGAAGAGAACCTTCTTTTGTTGTTTCTTATAACGTTACTCTTCTTTTAAAAATTGGATTTCTCTTGTCAAGAATATTATAATACTACTCGTTCGTACTTCTAGCTTTTAAAGCATGAATTTTTTTACTTTCAGTAGTCAGTAATGTTGTAGCACTGGTTTGTTGGTTTTTAATTTTTAAAAAAATTTTGTCTGAAGTATTAAGGTCACCTTGTTTCTCTAAAGTATCGATTTACCTTGTCGTTTTGTATTTTGTGCCAATTCCTTTTGTTAACATATGCAGGGTTGCCTTGTGGGGCGCTTGTTTGCCCATCTGCGTGTGCATATCAATCGTTTGTAGCCGCGCGCTTCGCCGTTTTGTTTGCGTTGTGATTTTGCGAATACTCATTATATTCTTAGAAAAAACAAGCCGAGAAAAGGAGCGAGAATTAACGAAGTGACAGAGTCTGGGAATCACTTATAATTGCAACGAAGTGATATTGTGTTTGACGACGTGATATCGAGAATTGTGAAACGAAACGGTGGTGTGAATCGAGAAGAAAAAATAGTGTTGGAAACTGTAGAATAAGTGGTTTGGACCGCGAAACAAAGGTGTGAATCAAAAAGACACTAATATTCGAAACGAAGTGTTTCTTTTCTGGTGTGAATGATGATAACCACGTCGCGTAGTATTCCGGGCCCCAGTAGCAACCTTTCGTTCGGCAGCTGTGCTAACTCGCCGGTGTTGCGCCAGAACTCCGTGGACCTCATGACGAATGCGGATGGGTGTTGCCTGGTCAAGACGATCATTTCCAACATAATGACTTTTGCTACGTAAGTAAGAAGGGTGATGGTCTTGGCTTTAGGGATTGAGGGTTTGAGTTTGGGCTTTTAGGCTTTGTCATTTGAATTTTGACAAAAATTTCGTTAAGAGGGGTTAAACTAGAGTTAAAGTTGTCAAACTGTTAAGCTGGTACAATACTTCTATTGCGCTTTGACAAAAGGTGTTTTAAGCTGGTACTGTGTTTATATTCTTTAAGGTATATTAAGTACAATATTTCTATTCCGCTTTGATAAAACAACGATTGTTTTGTTTTTGCTACAAAATGTTGTTAGCTTTTCAATCGTAAACAAACCAAGAAATAACAACAAGAAAACGGGTCAAACACGGATTTTAAAGGTTGATTTTTGAAGGTCTGATCGGAGAAAACAGGAACGAAGGGAAATTTCCCCCTTTCACCGGCTGAGTCCTGGTTTATAAGGTGTGGTCCCAAATCTTTTGTCATTTTTGATGGATTTTTTGTTTTCTGAGAGCTTTACTGTAGTTTTTTCCGCAATGGATTGGTTTTTATAGAATTTTGACACGATTTTGCTTGCACTTTTGTTGGTCTTATCAATTAGAACGCACGTAAATGAATTAAAAGATCAAGCGGAAGTTTGAAAATCCAAACTATAGTTACAGTGTTTCAACATAGTATTTGAAATATGAATCAATAGCCGTGTTTTTAAATAATACTTTTAAAAGTATGAATTGCTCTGATTATTGATAATATAGGTGTTTCAAAATAATGTTATGGTTCAACTATCTGTTTTCAAAAAAAAATTTCATTTTAATCAATACCTTATTTGCAATTGAATAAAAAATGACGAATTCATGATATTGTGTTTGATTTCCACCATATTTTATTATTCTGGAAATCGTTTATTTTTTTGACAAAACGATCAAGAGTTTTATGCGATATTCAGGCACACCTTTGGTCTTAATTCTCTGTGACTCGGCTTCAAACGTTTGATATTCGAAGTTCAGAAATTTGTTTTAGTCTTTGAGAAGTGGTTTTGAGGCATGATTTATAACTTTCTAGTTGAATTGTCAGTCTAGAGTTAAAAAATTAAGGCTTAATATTTTGGAGCTTAAGTGAGCTTTATATATGGGTTTCTGTAACATTTTTAAACCAAACTTGATGAGCGCTCAAAAAGAAGCCATAACCTGCGAAAAACCTGAACAACCTTATCGCATATCTGAAACTTTGTTTTAAAACTGTAACTATAGTTCGCTCTTATTTGGTTGTATTTCTTTACATTGACTGGTTTCGCGCGTTTGATCTTTTTTTTCGACCAGCCGGCCCTCTCGACTCTTTTCTTCTGTTGCCTTTTGCTTTTTTTTCTCGTACCGAATGTTGACAACCTTTTGTGAATAGAAACTCTAGCGTGGCAGCAAACTACTATGTTTTAATAGATGGTTAAATTAAACTGGTGACGGCGATGGCTTCGTGTCTGACGGAATGCTACCGACTACTCGGGTATGTTGGTGTTAGTACTATTATTGCACTGTGTTATTGTACAGTTATTGCGTACGGGTTTGGTGAAAGATACCTGATGTGTTTTTTGGGTGCACAATTTGTATCAGTACCGGGGTTAGGCGATTATTGAAGGTTGTTATGTTTAATTAGGTGCTAAGGTTTTACGTTTTTTATTGAAATGTGAAATGCTTTTGATTTTATAACAAGGAACGTTATATTAGGTATAAAACAAGGTTAAATTAGCGTAACAACCTTAATAAGGAACTTTAATTTGTCGCTAATATCAAAACACGGCAATTTCAAATTAATTGCAGCAACTTCTGGGTCAGAATCCAATTAATTCCTCTAATTTTTTCAAAAATCCTATAATTTAATACTTCCGAAATCACCAACGGTGACGTTTACCGAACGTAACAGCCTTTAGTAATTGCTAATCTCAGCGATTCGATGCTACTGATGATCCGAAATGAACATCTTTCGACGATGTTAATTTTGTGTCATCAGTAGCATTGAAATCAGAAGCCTTGATCTGAAATTGAAGCTTCAGCTTTCCCCTTTCAAAAGTGGCAATTAAAAAGCCGTCGGAATTGATTAGGTAGTCGTTAAAGAATTAGTTAGTCATTTCGGTAATTCCTCGTTATTTCGGTAATTTGTCGTCATCTGAATCACGATTTCGGTAACATTTCCCTACAGTCGGTCTCCGCTCTCTCGAGTTGTTTCTCGTGGGTTGCATAACGACGGGTTTGCCGAGGTCGGCGCGAAAAAAAACGACCGATTCTTATCAGTAATTTCGAATTTATCCAGATTCAAGTCAGTCCTTTTTCTTCGGCTGATGTGTGATTTTGAATTGGAGGCAAGACCGGGAATAACGTTGTTAGGCGGAAGAGGTTTTAATTGTTACGCGGGGTGAAGGCAAAGTTTTTGGTTAGGCTTATTTTTGTGTAAAATAAGTTTTAGGCTTAGTGTTTTTTTAACATATTCTTCAAGGTTACCCTTTTTAAATATTTGATACGGCCTTTTAAAACTATTTTTGAACATTTTCTTTTTGTTGCTTCGAAATTTCAAGCAATGATCTATGTCCTTTAAATTTATGATGATTAACAAAGTTTTGCTTTAAAAACCACGTTTTCCAATCAAGAACACTGACGAGGATTTTGGGGTTGGTTACGAATTCTCGATTGTTTTGATCAGCGCAGATTTATTTTTTTGTTTTTGATCAAACTGAGTGACGTGACTTTGTTTTGAATAAAACTTCGCACTGATTGTCTTTTTTCCGTTATCTTTTGCATTTTATGGCTCGTCTTTAGTGAATATAGGACGTCTGTTTAAGGTTTTTTGTGGATTTCGGATTTTTTTGTTGTGTCTGCTTGACTGTAAGCCTTTTTTGGAGATTGGAGATTTTAATTGGCTTTTGAGTTGTGTAAAATGATTTTTTTGCTTGATTATAGTGATTCAATTTTTGCTTTTTGGAAGTCAATTTATAAAGAGTTACCGAGAAAATCCCATTTCCAATAAATTACTTAAAAAAGCTCGTTTCCACGAAGTTTGTCGATAATTTATTGTACGTTCAAGTCGCAAAACCCGAATTGATTGAAGTCTTGACTGAAAATCGGTTCTTCTCTTTTGTATTCTTTCCCCTCTCGATTATATTATGGTGCGATAACCCGATTAGCTCTATTTTTTCTTCCATTTAGTGTTTAAGTGCGGCTCCACTGGGCGAATCCATCGTACGTTTCTCTGAAGTTCGCCTCTCTTCAGGATATTCGATTCTTTGTGTTTATCTAGTGGTCTCTCACTTTCGTGATGATTTTTGAAGAGAGAGAGGAGAAGGAGAAAGTAACGTGTTCTGAGCTTGTAACCGTGTTTACTGAACGCAGCCGCTTACTCTGACTCTTGTTTTTCTTTTTTTGCGGATCAGAATGACACAGTTTTCACGATTTACTGAATGTTTCTGGTAAAATAAATTGGTGGGTGTCTTAAACTAAGCTTAAGATCTGTAGTTTTTCTTGTTTTTGGTGGTAACATGTATTAAAAAATAAGTAAATAGATAGATAAATAAATAAATAGTCATCTTACTTTTATTGGTATAGTATAAGTGTTTGGTTTTTGAGCTTTGTAACGAAATTTTTATTTGCTTTCCTAAAAAATAAAATGAATTTTTAAATTTCAAAGATCATTAGATGCGCGGGAAGGTAAATTTCAAAAGTTTCCTGAATGGTTTTTTAGGTACGCAGCGCTATACTTTTTGAAATCATTATTTTGAATACCTACTGCATTATGAGGTTAAGAAAAGTTTAAATCTTTTTATTAGAGTTATTGTTTCAGAAAAATGATCTATTTTGTAGTCTAAATATGGTCGGCTTAACGTTTTATCATCACATTTTGTTATCTTTGTAGTGCCAGGAATCAGGAAAATGCCTATTAGTTTAATTTATCATTGTCAGAAACTATGTGGAGTTCAATTGTCTTACGTTTTGGAGTTTAAAAAGGGCGAAACACAGTAGTATTAAGGGTTTGGTTGAAGATATTATGTTGAGTATGAGCGCTTTAAGGTGATTAAGGCACAGGTTGTGTTCAATTAGTATTGTTTAAGGGCTTGGTGTTAAAAATTTTTCTTTTTAGATTAAGTTTTGGGCTTAAAATGTTGCTTTTCATATCTTTTTCAAGCTTTCGGTTTAAAAAATCTTGGTAGCTTGGCTTGCATAGACAGTAGTTAGGTTTTGGTTCACTATCTACTCTCTAGATGATACATGATTGATGTCTAACCTCCAAAAAATATTGCCAAACATATTTTTCGCATATTGTTGACGTCCAGCACCCTTATCAGCGGTACTATTAATATGATAGAACACATGACTATTATTCTCCTCTCGAAATCGTTGACCGTTTCATTGCCAGAGGGGCTTTATCATTGGTTTTCGCGGCGTTTTGTTATTGAGTGATGGTTATCACTGTGCATGATTCCTCGTTTTGTTCTTCATTCTTTTAATATTTTTGTTTAGTTGGAAGGCAGAGAATTCGAGTTAGCGAAAGGCTTCGAACTGTTTGGCCGGTTGTCGCTTTCGGCCGTTTGTTATATTGTTCAAGGCCGTTATATATTGTTGAAGGCTATAATATATTGTTCAAGACTATAGCAATTTGTTGAAAGCTATAACATATTGTTGAGTGCAATAGGATTGACCGGACTTGAAGATTGGACTTTTTTGATCGCTTTGGACTAGCTTTGGGCTCAGCTAGACTAAAATTTTGATAAAAAAGGAAAATTTATTGTTGTCACCACTACTAAATAACCCTAAAGCTCGGTCAATGATCAATTTTAAGCCCTAAAAATGGGTGCAAAAGTTGCCGTTTGTCCCGACGACTCTTCTCTACCACGTGCTCAGACCAGTCATGCCGCTGCGGATGCACAGGAGAAGAGTCGGTTCGAACGCCTCCGGTCCTCAATTGATTTGTGGCGAAAAAACTTTTTTTTGGAAGCTGTATTTTTGTCAAATCTGCAAGGTAAATGGGGTTTGGGCTTAATGAAGTTAAAAATTTTAACGTTGAGATTATTAACAATAAGAAGAAGGTTATAATAATTAATATAAATAAATAATAACAATAACTGAAATTTAGGCCTAATTCACATTATAATAGGGATTAAAATTGAAAAAGAGTAAATAAAAAACTCAAAGATCTTAAAACTAGGTATAAAATAAGCCTAAACTTTCAAAAATAACTAGAAAAACTCAAAAATCACAAGCCTAAAGCCTAATTTTTCGAATTTTCAGTCGATCCCGACGAAAAGCGGACCTAAACAAAGAGAATCGCAATGCCAACACGGGTGCCACGACACACAGCAAAAAGACGGGTATCGTAAGTGCTTCTCATTCATCGACGAACAAAGCCCGAAAAGCACCGTCCAGCGAGACCTGTGTAGCGGACTCCTTCGACAATGCTATGTTGGACAAGCTGACGGCTATTCCATATGCGGTGGATCGAAATGAATGGTTGGCTACTCATGGTAAGGTCTTTTTGGTAGTGTAAGATTAGAAGGTGAGGGGGGGGGGGGGGATAAATTTGGTTTTTGTGGCACTTTGTACACATTCTATTGATTTTTCGAAATTATTTGCATTATGTTAACTTGTTATTGATTTTTCAATTTTTTGCATTATGCTAACTTGTTATTGATTTTTTAAATTATTGACATTTCGTTAACTTGTTATTGATTTCTTGGCTTTTATCACTAAAACCATAACTTTAAAAAACATTGTTTTATTTTACATATCGTCAACATAATATTAATCTAAAATCTTTTGCAGTATTAGCCCTATTCGAGCACGTCAACGCCCTATGCGGTGCGGTATCAGAACAATGCACGCCCGGTAACTGCCCGAACATGAACTATCCCGGTTGTACGAAGGCTTCATGGACCGACGAACGAGGGAAACGGCATCAGTTCTCCGCGCCACGATACATTGACTGCGTAATGTCGTATTCGGAAGCCGTGAGGAACAATGAAGCCATATATCCAACGAAATATGGTATGTTTAGTTTTTGTTACCTAAAATGGAGGGAAAGGTGTCTTTTGTTACCTATCTTGTTAAAAATAGCTTTTTGTCACCTAAAAATTATAAAATTTAATTTTTGTTACCTAAAATTATAAAAATGTGGTTTTGATACATAAAAATACGAAAAAATCATGCTTTGTTACTTAAAAATTACAAAAACTGGCTTTCTGTTACCTAAAATTATAAAAAACGTTATTTTGTTACCTAAAAACCTCAATATTAAAATTTTTAGCCTCTCCCTTCCCAGTGGACTTTGACCAACATTGTCGCCGCATCATCAAACTATTATGGCACTGTTGTGGCCACCTCTACGCCCGCCATTGGGACACAATGCACGCCCTAAACCTACGGCCCCAAACCGCCTTAGTACTAGCTCATATGGCCTCAATCGCCAAACTCTACAACCTGTTAGACCAAAAAGAAATGACATCTTTAACCAACACCCTCCACCTGGTACGACCACTTTGTTTACAAGCACCCCCAGCCAAAAAGTCGGGCGGGGTAGTGGAGAACTTCAGTCAGGACGACGGATGGTCCCGGGTACCAACTTCGAAAAGCGGGTCTTGGGGCGGACATTCGGCCGTCTCAACCAATCCTGGAGTGGCACAGAGTCAGACGTGCTGAGAATGGTACTGTATTGGACTGGATTTTTGTTGGAGTACTAAAATTGTATGGTTTAATAGGTTTTAGTACCAGATTTTGGATTTAGTACTAGTTCTCGATACTTGAATTTGAGTGCTGTAATAGGTTAGAGTACCAAACTTTGAGTTTTTTACTGTTTGAGTATCAAAAAGTGAATAATATTGTACTAGGGTACTGAATTTGATAATATTGTACTAGGTGATGTACCAAATTGGCACTTTTGTTACTGTGTCCATGTAAAATGTAGAGTTTTGTTTTCTAGTCAAAGGCCCCGTATCTCTTTTATTTATAGGAATTGTTGTGGGGATGGGTTACTGTATCGTACTGGCAGCACAGTATCATACTGATGGTGTATCATTGCACTGCCTTTACTGTGTAGTACTTAAGGTAGCTTTTGGTACTGTATTGTACTACTGGTACTGAATAATAGTAGTCTGTAATACTTGTACTGAATAGTACTGTCTGTATTGCTGGTACTGTATAGTACCGTCTGTACTGTGTCGTACTCATGACACTCATTTCAAGCTATAGTACCACCCTCCCCACAACCATCTCCACGTTATATACGGTTATTTCGAGTTGTATTTGTCATTTTGTCTTAAAGATATTCAAGAAGCGGGCCCGATAGGCAATGTCAACATCAACAACATTGTTCAAGAACTTTCGTTGTAGACGGTACTCGCGCGCAGTACCACCAATCTAAAATCATCATGCAAAACGTTTTCATACGGGCTTGGTTTTCATACGATTATGTATTCAATTCCTCGGTAAATAAGCGTCTTATTCTATGTATATGTGTACATTAATGTGTAGATTTTTGTTTCAATTTACAATTTACCAGTCGATTAATGTAAAATTTTGGAAATTTTTCGGTTTTTGAGGGGATTTTGGTCGGATTTTGAGCTTTTGGAAGGTTTCGGTCGTTTGAATTTTTTTTTGAAAATTTTGAATTTTTAAAAATTTTGAAATTTTAAATTAAAAAAGATTCAAAAAATCAAAATTCTATCAACTTTTGGACCACCCTTCATCATATGAACATTTCCAACTTACAACTTTTTTCTTAATTATGGTCGATTGTAATATGTATAGAATTTAAATACCTAAACTTTTTGTAACTGGTGATATGTTTTTTGGTTAATAAATGGGTTCAAACATAAAAAATCGTCATGATTTCCATTTCAAATTGATAAATAATACCTAAAATCTCACAAAAGCATAAAATTTGGTTAAATTTTAGCCTGAAAACGCTCAGAAACACTAAAAATGTAAGTTTATATAGTAAAATGAAAAATTTTTCATGATAAAAATTTTAAAATGCAAAAATAGAACTAGTTATGAAGATATTCATGCTTAGAATAATACAATTTTACAAAATGAAACAATAATAAAAAGAAAAAGTCAAAAAACGGCCGTGCAGCCTGCGGAGGTTTGGGCGCAGGCCGGGGTTTGAAAAACCTTTTGATATTGATCCTTAGGCTTTGAAAGTTAAAAAATATGTTTCTCTAGTTATAGAATGACATTGGATTTAGGAAAATGGCATTTTTAATTTCAAAAAAAAAATTTTAATAAAAAATGTCACAAAACAAGATTTTTTGGCCGTTTTCGGACGTTTTTTTAATTATATGGCTCATAAGTTTTAAAAAATAAAAATTTTTTGAACGAAGAGAGCTTTAGGTATTAAGAAAAACAATTTTGTGGCACAATTTCGAATATATGACAATGAGCACGTGTGTTTTGATATACATATACAGTACGATATAGAAGATGGTAAATGGCCAATGAACGTTGGGTAAAAGCGCAAAATGACAAGTTTGAATAGGTGGCACTATGTTGGTATAACTAGTAGTACTACTATGATTTGAAGTTTGATCAAGGTGATACTACTAGGTTAATCATCAAGTAGTACTAAAATGCAACTTTTGGTACTATTTTGTACTGTTAAATAATTTTCTTCATTCCTAACGGTACTAAATAGTATCAAGTATAAAGACCTTCTCAATGGTACAAAATAGTAATAAAAAGAAAATTCATTCTTAATGATACTAAATAGTACCAGATAAACCCCTTATCAATGATACTAAATAGTACTAGAAGCAAAGTCCGTCCTTAATGGTGGTACACAATAGTACTAAAAAAAACCCCTTCTTAATGATACAAAGTAGCACTAGCAGTTCGTCGAGGGTACGTTGGTGGCAGATCGTAGCCATGATAAGAGCTATGATAGTACGTTGGTTCGTAGCCACGTTGATAAGTGGGGTAGTCACGTACTGGAGGCCCATAACGTGGGTTGTAGTCGTACCCACTACCAGCGGCATAGTAGGAGCCGCCACGAGACGCGGAGCTGCTTCGATGGGCTAAAATTCAAAAATTAAAATTTTTTTTTAATTTCAAAAAAATTTTTTTTTTAATTTTTAAAATTTTCAAAAAATTTGAAATTTAAACTTGTTAGTATTACATACTCGTTAGTGACATATACTCGCGGATACGACAATCAAACGACGGATATTGGCTCCGAGAGGTATCGTGGCTGGTGGTGGAGTTAGTTTCTGTTAGTTATTATTGGTGTTAGTTAAGCATTATGGAACCAAAAGTAGTGTTAATATGTTAGCAATTAGATCAAGCTTGTATGACAATAAAAAATTTTGGTCAAATTCGGTCAAAACGTACGTAGAACAAACGTTTTTCTCAAAAATTTAAACATTTTTTGGCCTTTTTCGCTCCTTTCTCAGCCAAAAAAGGCTATTTTTTATAAATTCTACAAACTTTTTGACCGATTTTAAAAAATTTATATACAGCTATGATCAATAGGTATCAATTCCAGTTAGTTCTGTAAATAATCAAGCCAAGTATCTAATTAAAAACTGCCATTTTACCTCCGCCTTCCTGCCAGCCGATGGCTTCCTGTTGGGCTGAGGAATGGTGAGAACGGTGCGCGGAACGGTGGCTACGATGCTTGCGTTCTCGGCGAAGAACTCGGCGTTCCGTCTCTTCCGTGACTTTACGTTCCTCCACACGTTGAATGGTTTCGGTTACTCTTGGCTGAAATGAGATATTATAGTAGGTGGTATGGTAGGGTGGGGTGCGGTAGGGTATAGTATGGCTTTGGTAATGATACGGTAAGAGTAGGGATAGAGGTGAGGGTTGAGTAGGATATGGTAGGGTAAAGTAGGGTAAGGTACGGTAGGGTAAAGAAAAAAGGGCGGGGTAAAAAAAGTAGAATCAGGTAAGAGTACAGATAGACATGGGGAACGGGCCGGCCCGAATTTTTTTACGTGGAAATGGCCCGGCTCGGCTTTTCGAGCCGGGCCAGGCTTTTTCAGAATCGCCAAGCCGAGCCCGACCCAAATCTTGCACAGGTCCGGCCCGTTCCCCATATCAAGGTACGGATAGGAGTAGAAGTACAGGGCGGGGTAAAAATACAAAATTTAAAAAATTTCAAACAAAAACCCCTACCTTTCCACTAGAAACCACCTCCCGGGTCTGTCGCACCAACTGTGACCTAGATTCGGACTCTTCGGCCGGTTCCATTACAGTACGTTGATGTTGTTTTTCGTCCTGAAAACCGAAAAAATTAAAAAAAATATATATTGTAGATGTATTTACAATCTAAAACAAAACAAAAACCGGTATTGGGTGCAGGTTACAACAAACAAAATGTGGTAAAAAGAGAGAAAGTAAAGAAGAATGTTAAAACCATCACGAGTTTCATTAAGCGGCCTAATTGATTTCCAATGGGGGGGAGAAAGCTGTGGGATACAATTACAAGTTCGTAAAACAAATTTTAGGTATCATATTTTGTACGAAAAACATAAATTTTAAAATTTCCAGTACTATACTCACTAAATAGTACTATATTGTACTACACAAGTAATCAGTACCCCACTAAATCAACATGTACTATAATTTACCAGCATTGTACCAAAAGAAGGCTTTATACTATGCCAAACCATAACTTCATACTTTAAGTACTAAAATCTTACTATATAGTACCTAAACCCTCACTCATCCCAGTACTTCTCTACTATAATATAACTCCTCCACTACCCTTAAGTACTGTACTTTAGATGAATTTGAAGCATAGTACCGTTACCTGAATTTGAATCATAGTACCACGTGCGGCTGAAGCCGTGTCGAGTGCTGGCATAGAGTTGTAGTGGTTGGTCTTACTGTAACGTTCCTCGTAATGACGAGCCATGGTCGACTGGGGAGAGTCTGGTACTGGCTCCAAATCGGCCGGCATATGAGGCCAAGGTTTGGTTTCGACCTTAACAAGACGTCCTTGTTACCTTTTCGTACTTTTAAAGTTCTATCTAGTATATATCTTATCTACAGTAACCCTTAGTACTAACCGTAAAATGTTTAGTACAATCTAAAAATTTTGGCATAGTACCAGAATGTTATAATATCATTTTCTGAGAGTATAGTATCATACTAGTACTACTCTAACCTCTCCATAGCTATATTACGCCCACATATGATCATACAACCATCTAACGTACTAAGTTGCCTATACATACATGCCATGACCAACATAGTACGATGCTCGGGGCGAAAACAGGAAGTAATGTGCAAAGCGAGTGTTAGTAAAAGCCGTATTAGTAATATGATCAGTTATTTTACCTCAGCACGACTAATATTCATGACGGACTGTGATGTTCGTATCTTCAGAAGGCCATCGTCGCTACGACGGTTTCCATTGATGGAAACTACTGATCGTGGGCTGAACGACGTGTTATACTGAGTGTTGTACTGCCATGTGGCCGATGATTGATCCTAAAATTTTGGTTACAACAGAAAATTTACATGTTACAGTATGTTGAGTACGGTACTACATGTTATACTACCGTACCCCTATATTAACATCGATTTTGATTAACACAAGCTAATAGAAGCACACATATAACTAAAAATACAATAGTAACACTAACAACAAAAAATACGTTAATTTACCATGATATAATCACTCCCCCGGTCTAGTTGATGTAGCGCTGCTGATGTCGTAGTACCCACTGATGCTGGTGAATATTGTTCTTTTGGAGGTGTCTGTAATGTTGTTAGTACTTGAAAATTATTACATTTAAACTTAAGGACAGTACCAGAAAATTACAGCATACTTTTCACTAGGTTAGTACTATGACCTCTACGGTATATCTAGTACTAATTGTACTGTAAAGAGTGCAGTATACCTTATTTTATTAAAGTATCATGACATTACAGTATATCGTTCCCTAAGATAGTACTATGGCTTCTACAGTATACATAATACTAATAATACTGTAAAGAATACAATGTATGTACTACTACTACTACTATGACAACTACAGTAAGCCTTTTTTACCATAGTAAATAAAATTACTTCAACTTATCAAGGTACCCCAGTAAATTACAGTACAACTTCAAACTAGTATAAAAATCTAGTATGCCAGTTAGTACTACCATACCCTACTGTATCAGAAAAGCCTACAGTACCTCAAAACACATACTCAACTAAAAATCTACATAAATTTAGGTACATCACATAAAAATTGTTACAGTAACCACATACAAAAGGAACAATTGTTACCGTAAACACATAAAAGTAACAAACATGCAACAATCTACAGTAAGACACATAACACACAAGCTTGAACTCATTACTTCCCATCTTCCCGCACCTCATCACCCCTTATCACCACTAACTGATAAAACAAAAAAAAAAGAATAACCTTGAGGGCCTGTGGTGGTGGCGGAACCGACTCGTGTTCGGTTTTGATGATTTCCGACCCGACCAACTTGAACTCGTTTTTGCGCGACTTGGAACGTTCAGCCAGCTCGCGGGTCTTGCGCGACAACTCCTCCAGGTCATCGTGCTGAAATAGTACGCGTACTACGTGGGAAATTTGTTAAGAGAACATATGGTGTCAAAATATGAATAGTACTATAAAAAAACTAAAAATAATAAAAATTGTGCTATATAGTATCAAATTTAAAAAATGGTACTATTTAGTACCAAATTCGAAGAGTAGTACTAAATAGTACCAAATACAAAAAATAGCATCAAATCCCACATAACGCACTATATTTGATGACAAAACGCCATAATGGTACTATATAGCACCCATTTGAGAAAAAACGTGCTATATAACACTAAATTATAAAAATAGTACTATATAATGCCAAATTTAAAAAAATAGTACCAAATCACAAAAGCAGCACTATATTTAATGAAAAAAAGCTAGAGCTGTACTATATAGCACCAGTTTGAAAAAAACGTGCTATATAGCACCAAATTAAAGAATAGTACTATAATTAGGACCAAACTATAAAAATACTATATAAAAACTAAAAATAAACTATATGTAATGCCAATCCCAAAAACAGCACTATAAACAATACTCAGTACCAAAAACAACCCAGTACGTGCAAAAACTTACCGATTTGGGTTCCGACGATACCTGAAGCAATAAAAAATGAAATTTAATTTTAAGAAACAGAAAGACACAGCTAGATGAAAGAATAATTAAGTAGGACCCGTGAGAAGGATGGCAGACCTATCAGAGGTACTTGCTGCTGGCTGGTGATATGCTCTGAACACCCGGCGATACTTGCAGCGACGCACTTAACGGTCGATTATGTTGATGTGCGGAAGCGGCCGTTTGTACGGCGCTCAGTAAACGACGAGTATTGCCTGGCGGAGGGCGTGGCGGAGAGGTTTTTGGCTTTTCCTAAATTATATTATAGTAGGTGAAATATTCAAATTTTGGAAGATTTTTAGCAAAAAAATTGAAAAAAACGGCGTAATTTTGCTAGTTCTTACCCTACCCTAACTTATTCGACCATAAACTACCCTACCCTACATTACCCCGTTCAACTTTACCTTACCCTACCCAACCTTATCTGCCACTACCTTACCCTGCCATGCCCTACCCGATTTTCCCCTACCTTACTTTACCTTACCCTACCCAAATTCAAAGCCTCACCTTTCTGCCAGGAGGTAGAGCAGGTACAACATATCTTCTAGCCCTTTCATAACTTGGCGGTGGTGGTGAAGGTCGCGTAGCCTCGTTAAAGATCTGAACAGCTCTTTGTGACCTTGCAGATGGTGGTTTAGGTGAAGGATCCCGATAACTTTCAGACCTAGTCGAATGCCGAATCTTCGGAGTTGGCTGAGACCTTCTCGTCGACGTACCACCGCTTCTACGGCCTTCTGAATCCGTTATTATGGTCAGTGGGGTGCTTTGATGCCTCTGAAAGTTAGAACCTTTAAAACATAGCTTTAAGTAACAATTTCAAGGTTTTGTTTTACTTTTTAAGCTAGTAAACCAAAAAAGTCCACAAAATTCAATCTTTTTTCAAAAAAATAGACAACCTCATACCTACTACAATATATCACCAATTAATAGCAATATGTAACCTAAATACCAAACTTACCGAGCTATGAGCACTGTGACTTCGTCGTTCTCGCCTTTCGAAAAGTTCAGTACGTTTGCTAACATCAACACGTCGAGGTGGAACTTTTTCCGTGAGCGTTGATGCATGTGGAGGTAGTTCGTAGATCTTTTCCCAGTCATTCGGATCTAAAACATCAATTTTATTAAGCTTTTGTTATCTAAAACAATGTCAAAAGTGATCTTAAACGTTTTTTACAGAAAATACTGTCCAAAAAGCTATTAATTATGGTTTTACACCTAAAATACTATCCAAATCAGGCACAAAACTGATTTTTGCGTAAAATTCATTGATGAAGTAAATGAGTCAACTCTCCTTCCCTTTTTTGGGCCAAGTCTTTCTCTAATAAAATATTGTTTTGAAAATTATTTCTGCCCGAGAGTTTTGACCTTATTTTATGTTATATTGCTAATAATATGAAGTTATACGGATTAAAAATAATTGTTTTAGACTTCTGGATGTTTTTGCAAGAATTTAAAACAATTTTCGTTACTTCGTTCAACTGTTTTATCTAATAAATTTGTATTTTTCTTAGCTAATCTATACTTACTGTTTTTGGGCATAAATTGGACTTTAATTTTGTTGGATCTACGTTTTTTAGGTTTGAAACTAAATGGATAATCAAAACTGAAGAAGTACAAGTAATAAAAGCTAAGTATTTTTAGCCTTTTTGTTGTGTTTTTAGGCAATAAACGGATAGAATATTGATAATGATGGTTTATCTTGACCTTTTGAAAAAAACGTAAAAACTTACATTCCCCGCCAGAGTTACCACCATTAACCACTCGATATTTCCTCCTGCTCTCCTGAATCACCCTCTGTTCATTCGTTGGTTGTGGTGAATCGCCTGCTCTAATGGAATTTGGTGCTTGTGGTACAAATCCTCCACTTGGCGTACTCCTAGCTGATTTGAAAACGGACTGAGGTCGATGACTGCCATCTGGCTGTGGAGTAACTAGTTTTCGGATTTGTTTTACTGCCACTTCGTCCAACGGCCGTGTTCCGTGACCTTTGATTGGAGAATGCGGAGGTGAAGGTGTTGGAGTGAAGTTTTTGTTCTCGTGTTTGTAGCCCGGGTCTGAGACTGTTGGTACCCACTGAAATTCTTCATCTGGATGTTGACTTGATATCCTTGTATGATTTCTAGGTATCGTACCAGAATTGGCACCGTACGCTCCAGAATTTCGACTAGAAGCCGTTGGCCACACATAAGGTTCTTCTGGAGGCGGTTGCCATACTCTGCCCGTACGATGAATCTGAATCGGGGATTCCGGCTTCTCAACGAATGTATCTCGACGATTCAGGAGATCAACATCGTATTGATCACGCTGTAGCACTTCTTCACTTTTGATGATTTCATTTCTGGCCGCAATTTCTTGGTCTTCCACGATATAGGTTCGACGCCACGTTTGGTTTCGATAGTCTTCTGAAGCAGATGATATTGGCCGCGTTTCGTACACCCGTAGCATTGGACTTGGCCCAGGATCAGATCCGAGAGCTGGTGAAGCACTTTGTAGCTCTACATTATGCAAATTTGCCCTCGAATTGCTTCTGGAACCCGCTGGCTCTTCTCGAACTATCGTGCCACCAATGGTTTGAAACCCGCGATTCTGAAGCCGTTGTTGTTGTAGCTGAGAGGCTTGGAATTGTTTGGCCAAGGCTTGTTGTTCCTTTTCCCTTTTCTGTTGAATGGCCAGGGATTCTAGTTGTTTTTGACGATGAAATTCGGAAGACCGATCTGGGTCCCGCAACGATCGGCTGTTCGGCCTCGATGAGAATTCTGAATCCCGATTGTGTCGAGATTCAGAATCCTGTTGAGGTGGCCATACCACAACCGTTTCTTGGCCATTTCCGACAAACCTCGACGACCGGTCGATTTCGTTTTGAGGAAATTTGGCCGGCTGGTTAATGTCGCCTTGATATCGTTGCGACCGGTCGATTTCTGATTGTTGGTACCCTAGACTAGAGTATGGGCCAACTTCTTCGACTTTAAAAAATGGCCCGTTGAAAGATGCGGTTTGTGGTCGGTTCGGAATGTTTGTCATATTTTGAGAGAAATTCGACGATTTTAGGGCCGACTTGGTCGGCGGAGGGGGCGGAGGCGGCGGTGGTGCCATTGGACGATACCGGTTCTTAAAAGGGGTGGAAATTAGATCTTTTATTTAAAAAATGTCTTTAATTTAAATTTTTTTAAAATTTTAATTAAAAAAATTTTAAATTTCAAAAATATTTTTAAAATTCGAAAAAATTTTAAAATTTCAAAGTAAAATCATACCTTGTATTCGTATTCAGAGACGGTTTTTCGATAAAACCGGTCATTTATACTACTGTAATTTTCATACCGCTCGTTTGGTGCACAGTTCTTGGCCTCCTGAAAGTAAAAAACCTTTTAGTAGCGATGACAAAATAAAAAAAAATTTTTAAAAAAATAAAAATTTTAAAAAATCAAACAATACTATGAAAATGGCATAAAAATCGTTATTACTATTGCAAGACCCCTATAAGTATTACCGGTACGTTTTCATTTTCATAGTAGTTTTCTACTGCCATTTTTTATTGATACGTAGGTCAAAAATAGGAAATTAGTACCAAAGAAGAAGACTTAGTGCTAAGAAATTTAATTTAGTACCAAAAAATGAAATTTGGTACTAAAAATAGACCTTTTACTAGTACTATGAACTTAAAGTTTCGTACTAAAAAGCCCGATTATAGTACCACAGAATTGAAATTTAGCAGAAAAACTTGGTTATAGTACTATGAAATGAAAATTTATTACTAAAAAACTTAGTACTATGAATTTATAGTACTATAAAATCCAATTAAAAAGCTCAGTTATAGTACTATAAAATTCAACTTTAGCACCAAAAATATTAATACAGCCACGATAAATCAGACTTCCATGTACTACAATATTGACAAAGGACATTTCCGTATGAAAAAATTAAATTTCAAACAAAATCGAGACTATATTTGCACAAGAACAGCAAGAACAGTGGTCATTGTCTTTAAATTTGGCCGCTGATCAAATTTGAAACCCCAAAATATGAAATTGCCATAACCTTTTTCGATTTTTAAAACTTTTTTGAATATGAATATTGAGACATCTATCCTAATCGTATTTTATAAAGTCATCAAAAAAATTATGTCAAAATTTCAAAAATTGAACGAAATGCCACAAAAATTATTGATTTTTTGCAAAAGCTTAATTTTTTTGAAAATTTTGACGATTTTTGAAATTACCACGCCCTCCCTTTACTAAAAGAGTACCAAATGTTATATACAACCTGCTACAAGTTCGTAATGTCTTAAATTTACCATACCTTAACTCTCCCCAACAAAATCATCATACATTAACCCTGCTTTCCAAAATTACCATACTTTAACCCTGCCGAACAAAATTACCATACCTGAACCTTACCTTGAAAAAATTTGCCATACCCTACCCTAGCCCCGCAAAATCACCATACCTTAACCCTGCCACCAAAATCACCATACCTCAAACCTACCCCGCAAAATCACCAAACTTTAACCCTGCCCAAACAAAATTACCATACCCCACCCCCACTGTACGAAACATGGCCCGGTTGCATGTGCAAACAAAACAGCTAACATATTATGAGTTTTGGTTCAAGATTTTACAACAAGGCCCCGTTTGTAAACAGGGCCCAGGGAAAAAAATCGGGGCCGGTTGAAGTGTCAAAGTGCGAGAAGCCTTTTCTTCCGTCCCTTAGGCCTAAGGGATAAACACCCACAAGAGCCCGCGCAGGAATAGAAATCGCTCCATGGAGGGGGGTGAGGGGTGAGGTGGCGGGTGGGATGGTTAAAGATGAGGCAGGTGGTGAAAGGGTTTTGATTTTTAAGTGAGGGTTGGGGATGGGGAAGGGGTTGAAGATTTGGTAGAGGGTTGAAGATATGGTAGGGGGTTAAAGATAGAAATTGCTTTAAGGCTTACCCTTGCTTAAGGGAAGAGATAGAGATCACTACAAGGCCTACCCTTGCTTATGTTAGGCTCATAGGCAAGGGCAGGCTTTAGAGTGATCTCTAGGGACAGTGAAGGGTGTGGTAGGGTCAGAAACTGTAGATTAGGGTAGAGAACGGTGGGTTAGGGTAGAGAACGGTGAGTTAGGGTAGAGAACGGTGAGTTAGAGAAGAATAAGTTATCATAGAGCATACTTATAGCTAAGCCTTGACAATACAGTGATAGGGAAGGCTAGGCCGAAGCTATAGAGTCAGGCAGTCTGCATAAAGACCCCTACCCCCATGTTATCATAGACAACTAGACACTATCCACAAAAAGAAAGACCATACCCACCCTAACAGACATACCAACCCAAGAGACCCCCTAACGCCACAAAAAGACCCTGCGGCCCAAAGATCGCGCAGTGAATTTGCAAAAAGATAGCGAGATGATTGCGAGTTTGTGTGTGCTGCTTCAGGAGGTAAGAGCCCTTGATCCCGCGCACGCCTCCACAATTAAAAGCTTACCTTTGCGGCCGTTCCCAATGATATCCGATCAGTTTCATTTCGCGAATTTTGTGGATATTAAGCATGGTAACACGAAGGTTGATGGCACTGAAAAGCGAAAAAATTTTAAAAATGTTGAAATTTCAGTTTCAAATTAAAAAAAAATTTTTTTTTTGAAAAATTAGTTCAAAAATTTAAAAAAAAATTTTATTACGTACCGACATAAAGAACCCGCCATTTTTAACAGGAAAACACAGGAAAATATGGCGGGTTCTTTATGGCGGCACTTAGTACCTCAAGCAATAAAAAATACTAAATAAATTTCGATCTATGTTAACTTACCTTATCAATTCATACCTTCCTGTTACGCTACTGTTCCAGATTGAACAAAATTCTTTCATCAAAGCAACCATTAGTCATCATATTGTAGTAGGCCATACCATCCTTCTCGCCATGGTCATAGAGACATAATGGAAGGAAAAAAACAGGACAAAAGACTTAAAACCATAGATTCTGAACTTACCTTTAGGGTATCGATACTCTTTCTGATCTGTTCTAGTTCTCGTAAGCTTTCCTCGTTTTTCTAAAACAGTTTATCTTGTAGTAGGTTCAGAACATTATAAAATGAAGGTATGCCCGCAAAAGCGAAGCTATGGTACGCAAAATTAAAGCAAAGTAAAATAAAGTAAGGCAGGGTAGTGTAGGGCAAAAAAGAGCAAGGCAGCACGATGTTAGGTAGAGTAGAGCCAAGTTAGGTCATGTAGGGTAGGGTAGGATAGGGTAGGGTGAGTTAGGGTAGGTTAGGGTAGGGTAGGGTAGGGTAGAGTTCGGTAGGGTAGGTTAACTCTTACCTGAGCACCTCCAGGCCAGTTAGGTTTGTCCCAAGGTTGATTGGCGTCTCCTTCTTTGGTTTTGAGGTATTGTTTGAGTTTGGATTCTTCGGCCGCTCTATGCCGATTCACGCTTTCACTTAAGTAAGCGTTTGTCGTTATTGGCCTAGATTCTACACTCTGTAACGATATATTTAGGTAATATTTGGTAAATGAAATGTCATATTATGAATAGTATAGTATCCTACCGTCTTCTTTAATTAAAGTACTGTTTCTTACCCTAACCTACCCTACCCTACCCTATACCCTACCCTACCCTACCCTACCCTACCCTACCCTACCCTACCCTACCCTACCCTACCCTACCCTACCCTACCCTACCCTACCCTACCCTACCCTACCCTACCCTACCCTACCCTACCCTACCCTACCCTACCCTACCCTACCCTACCCTACCCTACCCTGCCCTACCCTACCCTACCCTACCCAACCCTACCCAACCCTACCCTACCCTACCCTACCCTACCCTACCCTACCCTACCCTACCCAACCCTACCCAACCCTACCCAACCCTACCCTACCCTACCCTACCCTACCCTACCCTACCCTACCCTACCCTACCATACCCTACCCTACCCTATCCTGCCTTACCCTATCTTACTTTATCCCAAATAAACTTACAAAATCCTACTGTAAATTATAGTACCTCAAAGTACTTTTACAATACTCTAAATTACTTTACAGTATCCAAAAACTCGACTAAAACCAAAAACTTACCCTAAACTTTCGTTGTTCAACAGGATCCAGCTTAAGTAGTGATCGTTTGTTGTGATGACTAGGGAAGTCTTCAGTGACTGTTCGCGTCTTAACCACAGCAGATGCCGTATGTGCTGGTATATAGGCATTCGAATTGACTTTCGGGTCAATAATGTGCATCCTGAACTGTTCCTGAGCATGTTCTGATCTATATTCACCATTACTCTCAGATAAGGTATGGCCGGTGGAGATGTTGGCTCCACCTAGGTTGACTTCGGAGGACTAAAAAAGAAACTTTAGGCTTAAGATTTAATACTTACAATTTTATCACTAGTTTTATACTTCGGAGTAACCACTTTGAACTGAGCACTCTCAGTTATCGATCGATGTTGGCCGGATTCGGTCGAAGGCATGGCTACTGTCACGGTCTCTCGTGATGGAGACTGAAAATGTTGTATTAAAAATTTTAAATTATCTTAATATAATATATGTAGTTTAACCTACCTACTCTACCCTCATTATTCAAATATGCCAGTTTTTCACGTTTTTAAGCCTATTAAAACAAAGGCCAAGCATAAGTTTGATCAACCTAAGCTGAATGAGCGCACGCCTGACCTAAGCATCATAAACCTAAGCCATATGAGCTTAAGCCTACTAAGGCTAAGCCTAAACATACAAAGCTTAAGCCTAAAAATAAACTTTCTAGCGTAGTAAGCCTATGCCTACTAAGCCTATGCTTACTAAGCCTATTAAGCCTAAGCCTACTAAACCTAAGCCCACTAAGCCTAAGCCTATTAAGCCTAAGCCTACTAAGCCTAAGCCTACTAAACCTAAACTTATTAAGCCTGAGCATACTAAGCCTAAGCTTAAGCCTACTAAGCCTAAGCCTGCTAAGCCCAAGCCCATTAAGTCTAAGCCCAACTAAACTTAAATCTAATAAAAAAAACTTCCTAAGCCTAGAAGCTTACCAACCCTAAACCTATAAAGCCTAAGAATACTGGGCCTAAACTCGCCAAGCCTAAGCCTATTAAGTTAAAGCCTTCTAAACCTAAACTTCCTTACCTTAGTAGGCCTAAGCCTACTAAGCCTAATTCTGTAAAATCTAAATTTAACCCTGAACCCAAGTTTTAAAATTAGAAAAAAAACCGTCAAAAAATGTAAAACACAATATTTAAGATCAAAAAACCAAAAGCCGAAAGTAAATTGTTTGGTTTACAACAATATTTATACTTTTCGACGTTGACTCATCCACCTTTACTGACCTTTTCATCGTAATCTTTTGAGTCGGCCATTGAACAGCTCTATCTTCCCTGAGGCGGTGACGCCGGAAAACGGTCTGAAAAGTGTCAGATTTAATTTTGCTTTTATCATTTTATAGTAGCACGCACTTTAAAATTTTAAAAATTAAAAATTTTCTTTTAAATTTCAAAAGTTTTTGAAAAATTAAAAATTTTTTATTAAATTTGCCATAACAAAAGTACCAGTGGTCCTAATTGAGTAAAAATTTGCAAAAAGCATGAAAGTACTAGTGTTAGTTAATGTGCAAAAAAGAATGGCAAAAAAAAATATTGACCATACAAAAAGTTATGACCTTTTAAACACGCATTGGTCTACTATAATATCGCATATTTTGCTCTTTTTTGTTCAATAACTAACAAATTTTTTTTAAAATTTAAACTTTTCGTACCCTTTCTCAGACTCTCTTCTTTACTCTTTACCTTTCCCCCCTCCCCATTCATCCACTAACCTCTTTCCCCAAACGATTATATGACTCATGGTAAACGTATTTACGATCAAAATCCGAAGATTCCGCGTCGCAAAAATCAAACGATTCTCGCGTAACGGAAAAAAAGAAGTGCGGGTCAGAGTTTACCCTGCCCCCTGACCTTCCGCCGTGCCACGCCTCACCCCGAAAAACTGCGGCGATTCGTCGACCCCCGAGGGGATTAAAAGCAACTAATTGATTGATTTCGCAAATTAGAGCGACTAATTTTGCTTTTTTTTATTGACCGCCGGAAAGCGGGAGGAAATTGCAAAAATTTTCTTTACAAAACAAAAAATGGCAAGAACTTTCTTTACAAAACAAAAAATGGCAAGAACTTTCTTTACAAAACAAAAAATGGCAAGAACTTTCTTTACAAAACAAGGAATAGCAAGAACTTTGTTTACAAAACAAAGAATAGCAAGAACTTTTTTTACAAAACAAAAAATCGCAAAAACTTTATTAAAAAAGCAAGAATGTTTTTTAAAAAAATAGGAAAAGTACAAAATACCTTTCAACGTATAACTTGTCTCCCGCAAGTTGCAAAACTCAAAACAAGCTATTTTGCATAAAAATGGCAAAAAAACCTTCCCTTACAAACTAAAAAATGGCAAAAACTTTCTTTACAAAGCAAGAAATTGCAAAAACTTTCTTTACACAATCCAAAATGGCAAAAATTTTCCTTACAAAGCAGGAAATTGCAAGAACTTTCTTTACAAAACAAAAAATGGCAAGAACTTTCTTTACAAAACAAAGAATAGCAAGAACTTTCTTAAAACAAGAAATAGCAAGAACTTTCTTTACAAAGCAAGAAATTGCAAGAACTTTCTTTACAAACTAAAAAATGGCAGAAAATTTCATTACAAAAAAATTATTACCTAAAAAATCTTTTTATTACCTAAAAGGTTTCTTTATCACCCAAAAACCCATTTTTATGTAACTTTACCTTTATCACTCTCCCCATGCCCATAAATTCTCTTAATCACACATTCAATGTCATCAAAATCACTATAAAACTCTTAAACCTGCTTAAGCCCTAAAAAAGCTTTAGCACTTCAACATACAATCTAAATCAACATAAAATCTTAAAACCAAAAAATAAATCAAAATAAACCCTTAAGCCTAATCAGAATCACCATAGAGTTCACAAACCTGATTCCCCACACTTAATTAAGAAGGCATTGATAGTAAAAAGTAATCCTCAGTTCTTTTTTTGTTCCCCCCCCCTTATTCCCTCCCTTTGCTCGTCGCTATTACGTCAGACAAAACCGGATTCGGTGTGATTTTGGTTCGACGCCTCCTCCGATCTGTAGCCGAGGGAGCTGTGTAGCCGAGGGAGCTATGTAGCCGAGGGAGCTGTGTTCTGTAGCAGCGGCTAGCAAAAACGAAGGGTAATGTTGCAAAAAGAGGGCTTTATAGGTTAGAAAAAGGAAGGTGAAGAAAAGGTAAAGCACTGAGAAAGGTAGGGGCAGGGTAAGGAGAGGTAGGGTACGGTACAATTAAGAGTAGGGCAAATCAGGGGACCACAAAGGATAAAGCAGGGTGAAAAAGAGTATAACAAATGTAGGGTAGGGCAGAGTATCAAAAAAAGGTAAAGTCAAGTACAAAGAAAGGCAAGGCAGGGCAGGGCAGGGCAGGGCAGGGCAGGGCAGGGCAGGGCAGGGCAGGGCAGGGTAGGGTAGGGTAAGGTAGAGTAGGGTAGGGTAGGGTAGAATAGGGTAGGGTAGGGTAGGGTAGGGTAGGGTAGGGTAGGGTAGGGTAAGGTAGGGTAGGGTAGGGTAGTTTAAGGTAGGGTAGGGTAACCTCACCACTTTACTACTGTCAAAACACTATGCTACATAACTAAAAATTTCAAAATTTCAAATATTAAAAATTTCTGTTCCTACCTTACTACCCTCAAAAACACTGTTAACATACTACAGAACAAGAAAAAACAGTAAAATTTTAATTAAAACCCGACAATTTGAATTAAATATACCGGTTCTTCGTACATTTGAATTAATTTCGAACATTAACATAACAAAACATCTTGGTAAAAGTTTCGATTCGCAGTTAAAAAGAGGAAAAAGAAGGGTAACATCAGGTTTGGAGGCAGCAATTTATGGTATAGTCATCGTATGTTCAACATGTTGTAAGTGACAGATTGGGTAATTATTGTAAGTCTGTCCTGTAAGGACGTATCACATCGTAGCTCTAGTATAAATTTGAATATAAGCCTTAACCTAAGCCTATGCCTAAGCCTAAACCAAATCCAAAGCCAAATTCTAAGCTTAAGCCTAAGCCTAAGCTAATCCTAAGCCTAAAGCTAAGCCTAAGCTAATCCTAAGCCTAAGCCTAAGTCTAAGCCTAAACCAAAGCCAAATTCTAAGCTTAAGTCTAAGCCTAAGCCTTAGCCCAAGCCATAGTCCTAGCCCCAGCTATACATAAAATATGTCACAGTAGACAAATTAACGCTAAAACAACATAATCAAGCAGCCATCGCCGTGAATAACGTTTATTATTCACGTCGTAACATAAACCAGACTAATTAGACGTTGATTGCGCGTATGTTACTTAATTAGTCATTACAAATTATTTTTTACAACTTTTGATTCGTAAGAAAATGGCAAGAACTTTCTTTACAAAGCAAAAAATGACAAGAACTTTCTTTACAAAACATAAAATGGCAAGAATTTTCTTTACAATACAAGAAATTAATAAAAACAATTGTATAACTAGGCACCCGCAGCCTGCAAAACTCTCTTTTTTGTAAATTTGAGTATGAATTGAGTAAAAACTTTGTTTACAAACAAGAAACGGCAAGAACTTTCTTTAAAAAACAAAAAATGGCAAGAACTTTCTTTACACAACAAAGCATTTATAGAAAATGAAACATCATATAAAGACATCGTATAACTTGTCACCTGCAGCCTTGAAAACCCACATTTTGGAAAATTTGGGTAACTCCCCCCCTCTTGCTTTTCTCACCCTAATTTACCCTACAAAAAAAGCGAAATAAACCTCCCCCCTCCATACTTTTGCCTTTTTTTTAACCCTACCCACAGCTTTTTTTCCTCTACTTTAAAATCAATCCTCTTTGAAACCCACTCCCCCCCCGCTTCCGCTCCCTAATAACTTGCAAAATCCCCCTCCTCCCGCTGATTACCAAATATTTTTTTTTGTTTATTCAAACGCTTATGGCGGAAGAACAAGATTCACAACAAAAACTCTATAAAATGGTCGCTATTAAGCAGGAAAAGGTAGGGGGGGGGATGGGAGGATTGCGGCATTGAAAGGAATGGCGCTTCAAGGTCACCGCCCGTGTTCCGATCACCCCGCCGGGAGAATTCGCAAAGCCCGGGCATGTTTGTTCCGCCCGATTCGCCCCGGCTACTACAACAACAACACAACAACTGGCGTTGAGCAAATATTGTAGTAGAGAAACAAAGGGTTTTTGATATCGAAATGGTCAAAAACATCATGAACAGCATAGATAATATACAAAAAAATAGTTTTTAAAGAAAGTTTTTACCATTTTTCAGTTTGTAAAGAAATTTCTTGTGATTTTTGTTTTGTAAAGAAAGTTCATGTCATTTTACGTCATGTAAACAAAGTTTTTGCTACTTTTCATTCTGTAAAGAAAGTTCTTGCCATTTTTTGTTTTGTAAAGAAAGTTTTTGCCATTTTATGTTTTGTAAAGAAAGTTCTTGCCATTTTTTGTTTTGTAAGGAAAGTTCTTGCTATTTTTTGTTTTGTAAAGAAAGTTCTTGCCATTTTTTGTTTTGTAAAGAAAGTTCATGTCATTTTACGTCATGTAAACAAAGTTTTTGCTACTTTTCATTCTGTAAAGAAAGTTCTCGCCATTTTTTGTCTTGTAAAGAAAGTTCTTGCTATTTTTTGTTTTGTAAAAAAAGTTCTTGCCATTCTTTATTTGAACAATAAGAATAGTCCTCAATGTCATCTAAAACAATATAATCTAAGCTTTGGTCCTGGTTTCTTCCAACAACTTCTCGAACTCTTCCTTAACACTCATCCTCGTCACCTTCCTCACTTCACCGTGCAGCTCCTTGGCTTCTGAAGTCAATACCTTCTGCATCTTCAACAGAAACTGTTGTTCCTCCTCATCCCACATCACCTTGTCTTTGTCCACGAATCGACCGGTCGGTGGTTGAGGTAATGGGAATTGGATGTCGAGATTTGAGTAGATTTCGAGGGTTTCGCGAAGACTCTGCGCCGAATCTCCGCCGATTGGTATGAAACAGTCGGATATGTTGGAGAGGTTGGTATGTAATGGCAGGGGCTGGTCCAGAATTAGATGGAAGAGGTATTCGCGGAGGGAGGTTATAGTAGATTCGTTTTGAAGGGATAGGCTTACCTGGAAAGGCAAATCGAAAAGTACCGTACCCTACAGCACCGTACCATACTCTACCCTACCGTAACCTACCTTGCCCTACCCTAACCTACCTGACTCTACCCTACCCTACCCTACTCTACCCTACCGTAACGCACCCTACTGTAACCTACCTTACCTCACTTACCCTACCTTAACCTATCGTAACCCACCCTACTCTACCCTACCGTAACGCACCCTACCGTAACCTACCTTACCTCACTTTACCCTACCTTAACCTATCGTAACCCACCCTACCCTGCCCTAGCCTGCTCTTTCCTGTCCTTACACTACCTTACCGTAGCCTACATTCTTTCCCCCCCCCTTAACTTCTACCTCAAATTTTTTACCACACCCTACCCCAACATACCAAAGCAGCACCATGTACATGACAAAACTCTCGTACTTGATATAATAGTTTGTTATGTTCGTCAAACTTGAGTACGTCGTTGTCCCAGTCCAATAGGACTACTACAATATCAGTACCACAATATTCGGTACAAAATGTCATGTCATTATAAAGATGTTCATATGTTTGTCGTTCTGAAAATCAGTTTTCGCCATTTTATGTCTTGTAAAGAAAGTTCTTGCCATTTCTGGCAGAAAAAAATCAGGAGATTTGCAGGCTGCGAGAGACAAGTTATACGATAAACATGCTTTTTGCCATTTTTTGTTTTGTAAACAAAGTTCTTACCATTTTAGATTTTGTAAAGAAAGTTCTTGCCATTTTATGTTTTGTAAAAAAAGTTCTTGCCACTTTTCCAAAAAAAACCATTCTACCCAACAACTTACTGTATACTCGTCTCTCCTCCACCGTATCTTCACCATAAATACCCGTATAAAACTCTGCCATCTCCAGATAGTACCTTCGCAACTGTGCCATAGTCACTCCAGGTTCATCACAATCAAGTACAATCATATTGGCATTGTGTTTCATGTTGGGACACAATGAAAGTTTCAAAAAGTCGGCAAAGTTGAAAGAGATATGAGTGAACTTCAAAGTCGACCGGATTCTGGTCGATTCCTGCTTCGTATATACACTGAGGTAGTTCAATATGTAGATCTGACCATCGGCCGAATCGTGGCCACATAGACGGTCCAAAAGTTTCGCTATTTTTGCAGTATTTGCACCTATAATGACGTAATTATGACGTTTTTTATGGATTTTATGCTTAAAAAGAGCCAAAATTTAAGGTTTTTTCAAATTTTTAGGCTTAAAATGCCATTTTTAAATAGAATAAATTAAAAAATAGTGTTCTACAGAGTATTCTAAAAACAACATAAAAAGAACTTTCAAAAAATATTCAAAAACAAGCACTTTACGTTAACTCAAAGACAACATACCATGTACAATAACATTGCCAAACTCCTGCCGCTGCTTTTGATTCCGTTCATCTTCCAGAATATCGCTCCTGTAAACCAAGATAATTGAAAAATCGTATTTTACACAACGAATTTTTAAAGTATAATTTTTAGCCAAAATTACAAAAACTTACGCCTAAAAATGTGTGCATAAGCCTAAATTGCGCAAGTCTAAGCTTAAAAATGTGTGCATAAGCCTAAATTGCGCAAGTCTAAGCTTAAAAATGTGTGCATAAGCCTAAATTGCACAAGTCTAAGACTAAAAATGCTTGTATAAGCCTAAATTACATAAGCCTAAGCCTAAAAATGTGTGCCTCAACCTAAATTACGCAAGCCTAAGCATAAAAATGGAACAAAAAATGAAAAACTCGTAATGATAACCTATTAAAGCCCTCAAAAACCAAAATCACTCACCATATCCCAGAACTCATACCAAAGCAAAAGGTAAACAAGTAGATGTATATGTTTTACACTCTCTTTTACCAAGGTTGTTTTATTGTTCGCGCACTTTTCCTATTGAAAAAGACTCTGTTCGACGTGAGTCTACACCTGGAAAAAGCATCGCAATAAAAGTGTCATGCCCTTGGGGAAAAGAAGACCAAAACTACTTAAAAACGGCCAGAGGCAAAAAAGATTTTTAATATATTCATTGGTTTTACGGCCTAATTCTTATTAGTACGTATAAGAAATAGAGAAAACGACCGGTAAAGTTTTGTAACAGATCTTTTTGCGCATCCTGTATAGTTTTGTAACAGAACTTTTGGCGCACCCTGTATAGTTTTGTTACAGAACTTTTTGCGCACCTGTACATCAAAACTTGTTAAAAATGCTTTTTTTACGTTTTTTAAAAAAACATACCCGCACGGTAGTACTGCTCTACTTTAACCGTTTCATCTACTAGGCCACACATTGCCATGATATTTGGAATGGTATAACGAGCTCATAACAGTATCACACAGGCTGAAGAACCTTCAGGTTGGTTGGCTGCGAGTATCTGCAGATGCGCCTATAAAGTCCAATTTTTTTGATTTTTAGATAACAAAATATAAATATTAGAACCAAAATTCATGTTATGATAGAATCAAGTTATCCTTCTTTCAAAATATCTAAAAAATGTAATTTTTAGTGGCATTATGGGAGCCAATGTAAGTAGATCAAAGGTAAAATACAAAAATAACAAAAGATATTTGTGTTACAATACATTAAGAAAATTGTTACTCAACATATATAATACTACATAGTTTATTATTTAGCAATCTATTACAACCTTTATTATAAAGCATCCTTCTCTATCTACTACAATATCCAAGACTCAGTGAAAACGACAAACAACTACTCAAAAACAACTAAAAATCTGTCACACTGATGCATAAAGAATGGCGTGTTCATACAAAATATACCAAACACTCTCGTAAAACCGCGCCATCCTTTTCGCAACAAAATCGACTAAATTTTTAGACCAGAGCAGCGCCAGTCATCTCCTGAGGCAATGGTAACCCTAATAGGCTTAGGACAGTGGTCGCGACATCTCTTAAAGCTGGTTCTCGATCCGGCAGGCTTTGTTTTAGTTGGTACTTGTCCGACGAGCATGTAAATGGTACTTTGTAGCAGGTATGGGCAGTAAATCTGCCTCCATCGTCGGCAATCATTTTTTCCGCGTTACCGTGATCGGCCGTGACCATACAGATGTAGCCGTGTTTCTGGCAGGCGTCGTAGATGCGGCCGATCGCAACGTCTAAAAAGGAATGTATAGAAATGACGGGAACTTTCTTTACAACTACAAAAAAGTGGAAAAATATGCTATTCATCGTATAAATTGGCACCCGCAGTCTGCAAATCTCCAATTTTTATAACTTTACAAGGAAATTGCAAAAACTTTCTTTATAAAAGCAAAAAATGACAAAAACTTTCTTTACAAAAATAAAAAATGGCAAGAACTTTCTTCATAAAACAAAGAAAAACTTACCAGTAGCCTCACAAGCCTTGACAGCAGCTTCGTACACTCCAGTATGACCGACCATGTCTGGTGGTGCAAAATTGCACATAATAAACCTGTGCTTTCCTGACTCAATCTGCTCTACCATCTAAAATATCATTATAACTTTCAAAAAAGCTAACTTAAAAATCAAAATTTTTATCTTTAGGTAAAAAAACATTCAAAAAACTTAAGTTTTAGAAGTTTAGGTAACAAAAATTAGCGTTAAAACAAAAATTAGCCTTTACCTTATCACCAACACCAGCTGCATTCATTTCCGGCTTATGATCGTACGTTGGTACCTCTTTTGGCGATGGTACCATGCATCGTTCTTCGCCTTCGAACTGGACTTCACGGCCTCCATTGAAAAAGAACGTTACATGAGCGTACTTCTCTGTTTCTAAACAAAATTCATAAATTAGATAATAAATGTCATAAATCCCATAAAAAATGTCATAATTCGACAAAATATGTCATTATTGATCCTAAACTAAAAATAAAAACCTAAAACAACATACCGGCACAGTGATATTGAGTTAGCTTCTGCTTCGCCAACCATTCGGCCAAAACATTGTCACTGGAGACGGGCGGGAACAGGACAGGCAGGTTGAACTCCTTCTTGTATTGTGTCATACCAAAGACCTTCAGGTTCTTGGGATGGTCGAACTTGGAGCCAATGCTCTTCCATCGTTCGCAACCGAATGTCTCGGAGATTTGACGCATTCTGTCGGCACGGTAGTTGAAGAACAGAATCGTGTCATTCTCCTTCACTCTGGATTCTTGGCCGAAGACTATTGGTTTCAAGAATTCATCAGTTTCTTTTTCTTCATAACGTGCCTTCACAACGTCCACAGCCTTGTCGACGGTCGATTCCTCGCCCTGATTGGCGACCATGGCATCGTAAGCTACACAGGTTCTTTCCCATCGTGTGTCACGGTCCATAGCGTAGTAGCGGCCCACAATTGTGGCCAATTCTCCGTAGCCGAGCTTTTTTGTAAAGTCGATTAGTTGTTGTAGATAGCCGGCTGAAATTACAAAATAAGTCAAAACTTTAAAGACCTAAGCTCTTAAACTTAAAAACTAAACTTAAAAGTCCACAAACTTCAAGTCCAAAAGCTTAAACACATGAAGAAACTAAAAGTATACCTAAAAACCCAAAACAAAATATATTATAGAACCCACCTCCGCTCATTGGCGCGGTATCACGTCCATCACCATAGAAGTGAACGTATACATGTGGAACACCAAGCTCCTTCAATGCCTCTAACAATGCAAAGAGATGTCGGATGTGCGAGTGAACACCGCCATCGCTAACCAAGCCACATAGATGTAGACGACCTCCATTCTCCTTAGCACGATTTGCGGCAGCTACCAAGGTTTCGTTCTTGACCAGAGACTTGTCCTCAATGGAATTGTCGATCCTCACAATGTCCTGCAAGAAATAACTTAACTTTTGAAGGAAAAGCGTAACTTTTAAAGAAAAACGATGTTATCCATCGTGTAAATGACCGAAAACAAGCAAAAATGTGTCTTCCTGCCAAATTTTTTAAGTTTTCGGCTAGAATAATTTTAAATAGATCTAATATGACTTAAAAACTTTATTTTAGATTAAAAAACATAGAACCATAGTCCAAAAACACCAGTTTTCCTTCCACTACACCTAACACAATATAAGCCTTCGGTTTTGTCTCACATTCCTTCCAATTCCAATTCAATGCGTACCTAAACACAAAAAACACTTCAAAGAAACCTTACCTGAGCCATAACACGTCCAGCTCCAATGTTCAAGTGACCAACTTCGGAGTTTCCCATCAAACCGCGATGAAGACCAACATGATGGCCAGAAGCTTCAAGTTGGGTCCAGTTTCCACTGCACAACTTGTCCATCACTGGGGTGTTTCCATTGGCGATAGCATTACCATGCTTTTCCTCACGGATGCCCCATCCATCGATCACGATGAGGCAAACTTTGTTCTGGCTTCTGTCGTCGGACATGGTTTTAGATATCTGGAACAGATAGCTGTTAAATCTGAAAGTTTGAGAGACAAACAAGGAGTTGTATGATGAAATAAAGAAGATAACACATTTTTACATAAAACAAATTAGATTTTAAGGCAATATCAATCTAATTTCATATAAAAATGGCAGTTTTAGCCCCATAAAAGCTCCGTTTTAGCTATTTTTTTTAAATTCTAAAACCCGGCCGTTTTTTGGAACAATATCGGACGATCCCCGCCCATGTTACAATCGAAAATGAACGCAATTTAAAAAGAAGAAACTTTTTAAGTAAATACATAAACAATCGCAAGCAATTCAAGTGAAAAGAACGTGAAAACGGCCCGACAGGAGGAACGCATGACGAGAACGTTGGAAAAGCCAAAAAATGCGTTTCTCCAGAGTTATCAGAAAAAAAAATAAAAACGGCCAGCGAAATTTTTGAGAGCATGTAAGAAGTTAGGAAAAGACGTCATTTTGTTAAGAAAATGTGTCATGGAGCTTGAAAATAATGCCATGCAGCCATAAAACCACGAAATTCTATAAAATAAGTCAGAATTACAGGAAATATGTCACGATCTCATAAAATACGTCGCGATTTGATAAAATACTTCATAATTAAAGAAAATCTGTCATAATTCCAAAAAATAGGTCACAATTCCAAAAAATATGTCACAATTTTGTAAAATACGTTATAATGATAGCAAATATATCATGATTCCAAAAAATATGTCAAGATGCCGAAAGTATGTCACAATTCTGAAAATATGTCATTATTAGGTGCCCCGACATAAAGAACCCGCCATTTTTTACAGGAAATTACAGGCAAAGTATGGCGGGTTATTTATGTCGGCACCTAATACTGAGCCTAATTATAGAAAAAATGTCATAATTATAAAAAATCTGTCATTATTATTCATAATATACTAAAATTCTAAAAAATAAGTCATAATTATACAAAATAGAGCAAAATAGCTACCAGAAATAACTTATAATACTTTAGCTTCATCACAAATTCATATTGTTTCCAAAAAAGTCTGGTATATAACGTTGCCAGGAGCAAAAAACAACGAAATACACAAAACCAATAAGAAATCCGTTCTTGGTTTGTACGAGTCGAGAAGGAATGGCAGCTAGACGAGAGCCGGTGCGCGACACCGCCAGGGATATCATCATGAATACTCAGTAAGTTGTAGGTTTAGGTAACATTATGTTTCGTAAGTTAAAAGTTTAGATAAAAGCATCTATTGTAAGTTGTAAGTATAGGTTATATTATGTTTAGTACCCTCTTTTTTAAAAGAAAAAAATGTAAAAATTAAAAAAAAAATTTTTTAAATTTCATTTTAGGCCATCAGGAAGAGGTCCAAGAAGACCAAGAGATGGGTACGCCTCTTTACCGGTATCTAGAAGAGTAAGTATTGTATCATACTGCCCTACCCTACCCTACCCTACCCCACCCTACCCTACCCTACCCTACCCTACCCTACCCTACCCTACCCTACCCTACCCTACCCTACCCTACCCTACCCTACCCTACCCTACCCTACCCTACCCTACCCTACCCTACCCTACCCTACCCTACCCTACCCTACCCTACCCTACCCTACTCTACCCTACCCTACCCTACCCTACCCTACCCTACCCTATCCTACCGTACCCTACCCTACCCTACATTGTATGATAAATAAGGTAGTAATAACATACCATACTTCACTCTTTTTATCTTATCTTACCCTACCCTACCATACCTAAACTTTTAGCTTTCCTCCCCCTCCCTAGATTAAAAACTCCCTCCCCCTGCTCCCCTTAGATCACTAGCTAACATGATTTGTAAATCTCTGTTACAGAACTCAGGAAATGCTCAAAACCGCCAAATCGCCGAGCTACAGAGCCAAGTCGACCAACTTCGGCGGCAACAATCGGACCTACTAGGTGCTAATGAGGTACAAATTTAGCCCCAAAATGATTTTATTTCAATTTTTAGGCCAGTCGACGCCAAAATGAAGCCATAACTAACCGAGTACAACGTCAGGTCGGATATCTCAGCAACGGAGCAACGTAAGCAATTTATCTGTTCCTTAACTTTGTTACCTACGACAATATAACATAGCTTGTACCTAGTATAATATCAAATGTCATACCTATTAGGATATGAAATCTCTTATATCTACTAAAATACAAAATCCTTATACCTACTACAATATATTATCATAATACCATGTTGAATTTTATAGTAACCGGGACATGGACGAGATACGACGCGCCTTGTCGGCGATGGAAAATCGAGTAAGTTCAAACTATAATGCCTAAAATAACATTTTGTAGCTACCCCCTTAATGTTTTTGAATACCCTGCCTCCTATTCACAACAAATCACCCCTCCTTCAAAAAAAAATTACCATTCCCTACGTGTTCATAAGTATAAAAATGTTTGTCGAAAATATGTGTAGATAAGCCTAAGTTCCTAAGCCTAAATATGTAAATGAAAGCCTAAGAATGTGCAATTAAGCCTAAAATGTGTGCCTAAAATATGTTTAGATAAGCCTAAGCTACGCGAGCCTCAAATATATGGTCTTAGACTTAAAAATGCGCAGATAAGCCTAAAAATACACGTCAAAAAATGTAGGTAACCCTAAGTTCCGCAAGCCTAACGTATGTAGACTTAAACCTAAAAATGTTCAGTTAAGCCTAAACAATGTGGATTTAAGCCTAAAAATTTCCAGTTAAGCCCAAAGATAAGCGCCTAAAACATATAGATGCGCCAAAGTCACCTAAGTCTAAAACATATAAACTTAAGCCTAAAAATGTACATTTAAGACTAAAAAATGTACATTTAAGCCTAAAAATGTACAGTTAAGCCTAAAAATGTACATCCAAGCCTAAAAATGTACAGTTAAGCCTAAAAATGTACAGTTAAGCCTAAAAATGTACATTTAAGCCTAAAAATATGTTCCCCAAACATCATTCCTAAGCCTAAAGCAATATAAACCACCCCTTTTCCAGATGCTACTATTTGGACAAGAGCTGTCGTCGATGAAAGGCGCGGTCGATAGACACACCAACGACCTGATTACTATTAATAACGACGTGAAATCACGCCCGCTCGCTGATCAAGCAGTATGTTTACATTGTTATCGTGAGCAAAGAACGACAATCATTGAGCTTTATGCCTGTGAAGTTCATTCAAACCTTTAAAAATCATTTTTATTAGGTTGATCATATAATTCTGTGTCTTCTAACGCCAAAAATTGCTTTGTGTTGGGCACAGAATTATTTGAACTACTTAATATTATAGATGGTCCAGTAATTCTTTTTTATTAATTACCGGTCAAAAAGTACGTAGAAGAAATTTTTCGAGAAAAATTGTGTTTTTCATAAGTTCTACAAACTTTTTGACCGCTTCTAATTTTTTCTATGTACTTTTTGACCTCTTTAAGAGAATAGCCTCAAATGCCCAGCAAATCGACTCTCGCCTCCGTGATTTGCACAATCAACTACTTGGAGTACGAAGAAACGTCGAGAATGAAGTTAGCGAACGGGTCCGGGCCAATCAAACTCAACAGGAGACGTAAGTGAATCATGAAAACACACCCCACAAAAAATGTTTTTAAATTTACCACGCCCTTCTAATTGAAACATGAAAATCCCTCCCGTTCGATCAAAAACCCCACTCCACAACTAACCGTATCTCTGAAGAACCATCCGCCAATATCGTTACTACCTAATTTCCAGAATCAACCGCCTCCAAGAATACATACGACAACAAGAAGCCAGTAAGAATGACCTGTTGGCCAATGTGACACGACGAAGCGATTTGGACAAAGCTAAATTAGATGAGGAGACACGAAGACTGAATGACAGAATACAGTTGATCACAACTGAAGTTTCGAGGAATCTGAACGACCGTGAGCAACGGTTACGTGACGATCTGCTCCAGAAGTATAACGGGGTTCAAATGGTAAGACGATATCATTAAAGATGACAGGTTTTCTGGAAATTATGACATATTTTTAAGAAACCATGACATGCTTTCTGGAAAAGATGACATGCTTTCTATAAAACCAGCCACAACGGATGACGTATTTTTAAAAATTTCAAAATTTCAGAGTGTGAAATCCCAATTCGACGCGCGTTTAGAACGTGAAAACGAGCTTCAACGTGCGCTGGAAGACCGGCTCCGCAGCCAAAATCAGCAAATCGACCAGAACAAGAACCAAATTCAACAGCAAAAGCAGAAGAATAAGGAGCGTTTCCAAAAGGTGAATAATGCGTTGGCAACGTTGGAGAAATACTTTGATGCTGGGAATAAGAAGATCGACAAGTTGATGAACTCGGAGATTCAGGCGAGGTACGGCTATAATGAGGGGTTTTGGATAGTGTAACATCATAAAAGGTGATTTTGGGATGCCGTAACATCAGAAAAGGTGTTTTTTGGGTACTGTAACATTAAAAAAACACATTCTTGATTATTTTAGAACTTTTTCTTACTTTCTAGAAAATATGTCATCTTGTCCAGAAAATATGTCATCTTATCCAGAAAAAATGTTATTTTGTTCAGAAAAAGTTTCATCTTGAGAAAATATGTCATGATATTACAAAAAATTAAAAAATAATTTTTCAAAAATATGTCATATCTTTCAGAAAGTATACCATAATTTCAAAAGAAAATCATTTTTTGTTTACAGTAAGCCCAAAACCACCCTTTCACCTACTATAACATCGAAAAAAGGCTAAAAATTAAAAATTTTGTCATTTTTTAAATTCTTTTTTTCAGAAGAGTCCATGAAAACAATTTACTGGGAAAAGTGTCGAATATGGAAGAGAAAGTGAACACTTATCTGAACAGCTTGTCCAGTGCTGTGGATGAAGTTCGAGCTGGAAATGAGAATGCCAAAGTTCCTAATATTGACATTGAGGCGGTAAGACATGACTTCTTTTTGAAAACGATGACACATTTTGTGGATTTCTCAATGACATTTTTTCGAATTTAAGGATTATGATTTTAGGCTTAAAAATTATGTTAGCCTTAAAAATGATTTTAGGCTTAAAAATGAGTTTAAACTTAAAAATGATATTAGGCTTAAAAATGAGTTTAGGCTTAAAAATGATATTAGGCTTAAAAATGAGTTTAGGCTTAAAAATAAGTTTAAGCTTAAACATGATTTTAGGCTTAAAAATAATTTTAGGCTTAAAAATGATATTAGGCTTAAAAAGGATTTTAGGCTTAAAAATGATTTTAGGCTTAAAGACGAAAGTTTAGGTACAAAATGACATTCTTTTTTAGTTGAGACGAGAAATGGAAGCGATATCAGCTGATAAAAGCAAATTGAGTATGGAAGGATTACTCAAATTGGAGGAAAAAATGTCAAGGATACAACATTGTAAGTTGATACACTGAGATATGCGTGCTATATAGTACATACATTAAGTACGAAGCATACTGTAGCATAGGGGTGGAGTAAGAGTAGGGGTGGGACAAGGGTAGGGATAAGAAAACATACCAAGACACTAAGCTGAACCCTTTTCTTATAAAATTGTCCCAAGTATTAAACAGTACCACTTTCAGCCCTAAACCGTGACAAGCGAGAGCTTCAAAACAAAGTCCTCGATGGCAATGATGCTCGCCAAAACAAGGTCAAATCTCAAATGGCAAAACTCGACGAACTACTGGACGACGTGGAACGTACTCAAGACCGAGTACGAGACAAAGTTGAACGACAAATTCCACGTGATCTCAATGAGTTATCGGCCAAAGTAGACAATCTTAAACAACAAATGACACGACGAATCGATCATGAGGAAGAAGAAAGGTATCTGGCGATTAAAGAGCTACAAGACGCTTATGGAAGAATGGCAGTTAGGAATAGGGCCAGTCAACGGGATGGTACTGGCAATGTTTCTTCGGTAAGTTAGGGAGATTTTGTGGAAAATTGGTTGAAATTTGGAAATTCTATGGACTTTTTGACCAAAATAACAAAATTTTTGGATTCTACGGACTTTTTGACCAAAACAGCCCAAGATTTATCATTTCTAAGAACTTTTTGACCGCAAAAACATAATTTTAAAAAGATTAAATGCCATTTTAGTCCGCATTAAAACGCGACATAGACGAATGCAAAGTTGCGATTCAGAAGCTTGCTGAATCCGTTACGACCGTCAAAAACGTTCTGGACCGACGGATTTTGGAGGAAATTCGAAAGGTAAGACAATACTTTAAACTAGGCAGTATAATATAATAAAATCAACAGTATAATACAAAAATATCAACTAAAACAATATAAAACATAAACTAAAACAATATAAAAAAACCATATTTTTAGCGAGAATCAGACGTAGAGACACTAACAGCAAGATGCGACGCTTTGGCACAACAAGTAGCTCAAAGGGCCGGTTAACAACACGATTCGTCCAAATTTTAAAAAAATTCAAAAAATGAAATTGTCAAAAAATAAAATAGGTAACAGTCTTCCAACTTGATGAAAAATATCCTTAAATTACTCTATAACAATTTATTTTTACAACAAACATAACAATGACCTAAAATAATATAAATTTGATCTTAAAATCACAAATTTCAGTTTTAAAACCAAAAATTTTGCTCGAAAAACATAAGCTATGCCCTTAAAACCTTAATTTCTGATTTGAAAACCATAAATTGATCTAGAAATCATTATAAAAGATCAAAAAATCTAGTCCAAGATGGTAACATTGGCCGGGTTATACACAGTATCCGGATACACATCCTTAAATCGACTGTATCTACTTGTGTAATACCCCTGTAGTTGACCTTGAGTGAATCCTTTCTTTTCGTCAATCAATGGAATGTCAGTAGTTGAAGCATCTCGCCGTATCAACACTCTCCCATCTGGTTGCACTTCAATATGAGGAATGTCGGCTTCGGTCGGCTCCCCATTTGGAAATGTCAATGGCTTTAGATCAATCAAATGTTTAACTTTCCACAATTCATGGTTAACATCCGCTGTGTTGCGAAAGATTGTCATTTTTCCGGGCTCACGGTTTTTTCCAAACAGTCTGTCCAACCTGTAACAAAGTTTTAGTTAATTTATAGCTTTTTTTTTAGTTAATTTATAGCTTTTTTTAATTTTAGAACTTTTTGTTATCTTTACAAGCCTTTTCATTCCCTTTACAAACTTTTATGTTAAAAATAACATCCATTTCTTAATCATTTTATAGGAAAATATATTTAAAAACGTAAAATGTTCAAAATATGCCCAGATGGTTTTGATCGTAAATTCCTTTAAAACATAGTTAAACCCCTGAAACCTCGTATTATCATAGCTTATTCATTGTGCCAGCTAACACAATCAAAAATATATTACAACCACAAAGCGTCTCTAAGTTACAATAGTTTTACCGCATACCGCTTTCAAAAACTTTGGAAAAATAAGCAGACAAAAAACAACTGTAACTTCGCTAATTTTCAACAATTCGAAACTTTTTAAGCCAGGTTAGTTAAAGCAATACATAAGCTAAAAGACTACGAAGTTTCAAGCTTCTAACTATCCTTTGCAAAAATTTATGGCAAAAACCAATAACCACACCAAATCTGCCGATTTTATAATAATATTTGCCGTAATTAATAGATAGAACTGCCTAAAATCACAAAAAGCTAAACAAAAACACTTACGTTGCCTTCAGGCTCTTTCCCTCTTTAGTAATTGGTCGATAAAGCCATGCTGCCCACAGTTTCGGCGGTTCTCCTTCCATTTTCTCTTCAAAATTGGCCAACAAATGGCTGTCTGTATCATAATCAAAGGCCTTCTTCGTGTCAATACGTCGAGGCAGGTATCTCCACCATCTATCGTACTTTTTATAGACATAACGGGTACGAATCTGTTTAGACATGTTTGCGACGAAAAAACGAAAATTTTTTCCGAAAAAATAGAAAAATAATTTTGAGCGGCGGACTTCAACTATTGATTGGAAAGGCGGAATGAAACTATTGGCTGGAATTTGTTATAAAAAAGGTTTGTATGATGAAATTGGTAGAGGAGATTGAAATAGATTTCAAAACTACTATTTTTTTTGTGGAGGTCTATACTTTTTGTTTTCAAGTTGCAAATACAAGGATATCATTAATTAAAAAACGAACGAACTTATTTTTTTGTAAAGGCGGTCATTTTTTTAAAGGATTGTAATTTATTTACTTAATGGACGGGAAGAGTAATTGTAGTTGAGTTTCAAAATGCTGTCTTAACTCATTAGATAAAGTGGTATTGTCACATGTTAATTTCTGACGTTCTTCCAAAAACTTGGCATATTGAACAATTATGTTGCTCACCCATGACGCTTTCTCTTTTTTTAATTTTCGTCAATCTTAGTTTATCTGAAAAGTTTTACTATTTAAGAATCAATTTTGGCCTGTCTATTTAAGAATCAATTTTGGCTTGAATCAGGGCGTATAAGCACCAAAATGAAGTTTGCATTACATGTATCACTTAAAATACGTTCATGCTTTTTGGAGTCATAAAAACTAACTTTGTTCCAAGCTCATCATTAGTAAATCAAAAATACAAAAAAATTAATTTAGTACTGTACAGCAAGCGACAAACTTACCGCGAGTGTAATCGAAGAAAATTGCAAATGGTTCATAATGGCTAAGACAACAGTCGATACATCTATGCCCATCATCTCCGCGAAGATTGGTAAAAAAGCATCGCTCGTTTGTTAATATTTTTTTGTAATATTCCGGATGCTGACAGCTGATAAATCTCGAAGAAAAGCGTTTCTTTTTTGAATTGTAAACGACGTACTGCAAACAAAACAGTTCAAGTTGTTGAAAGGGCCACAAAACCTCATTGCAAATCGTTAACGTTCTAGATATTGCCAATTTGTAGCAAATTCTAGTGAGATCTGCCCACTCACGTTTTTTAAATGACTTACAAGGAAAGTGCCCGACCTGCCTCGCTCGGATTGAATTATAACTTTTAATACAGAAGGATCATGTAAATATAAGATCTTCAGCAAAGTACTAAATCGCGCTTTCCAGGAAGTCCGAGAAAACCGAGATCAAAAAATGACATTTTGAATCTCCCGCCAACTTGGCATTGTGTTTCAAGCTTGTAACTTTGTCATTTTTTGACTTTTAATCATTTTTCTTTGATATACTAGTAGAATACCTTTAAATGAACCTACATTTTTAAATTTGTAAGCGTACCTTGTCTGGAACATCAAAAAAGGTGCTTGAAACACAATGCCAAATTTGCCAAATTGGCGGGAAAGTCAAATAATTTAAATTTAAAACTCAAAAGCGCGAGCTAAAATCTTTTATGGGTATCATTGGTGATACGAAGAATTCATATAAAAATTTTGAGCTAATTTTGAGCGGGGCAGGTAGGGTACTTCAATGAAACCCTTACTTCAGTTGTTCTTGTGTTATATATAGCATAATTTGAAAAGATACACCAATTATCTTTGTCTTGATAGTAAATCCGTTCGTACACTTTTTGCCGAGTTTTTAGGTCGTAAAACCGGATTTTCATGTAGCCATCTGTGTCTTTAGCTTTATCTGAAAAGTGTAAAGTCTAGAATTGTAAAAAGTAAAACATTTTTTGTGTAAAATTAGCTTTGTATATAACAATTTCTCTACTAATTTGTATATTATAAAAAAAGTATTAGGTGCCGACATAAAGAACCCGTCATATTTTTCCTGTAACTTCCTGTAAAAAATGGCGGGTTCTTTATGTCGGCTCCTAATATGTATGTAATCTTACTTTTAATATAAATAAGACCAGCTTCTTCAAAAAAGCAGTGAGTAAAGAACGCTCTAGGAACGTTACACAACTCAAAAACTTGATCTGTCACCATATCTTTTATGTACAATGTCTCTGGTAATCGTGCCACTAATGGCATATATCTATGTTTACTATACCTGTCGGTACTTATAGGTCTGCAAAATTCCATTCCTGAAGGAAGTTTAAATTCCTTATCATAAATGTTTCAAATGGATATAATTTCCATCAAATGAGGGAGCAACTTTGAACATTTTCAGTACTTGGCATGTATGTATGTCGTACAAATAAACGGTCATATTGTTGTGCTCTTCGTCGTAAAAATCGACTATTAATCGTGCCCCATCATTTATCATCATAATTTTACGCACCTTCTGAGTAAAGTGCTGCTTAAAGTCAATAAATTTATATTTAAATTCGGAAAAGTCGATATGTGAAATAATAACATGATGATCTCCCACCATAAACACTGCTTTTCCAGTACGTGAACAGTTGAAACCATATTGGCCTCGCAATTCAAATGAACGGTACTTTATCCTTAAACATAAAATTTAAAGTTAAAAAAACTAGACAGTTGTGCAAAATGACATCAAACTTTTAGAACGAGACTTATATAGGATCAAAGAGCGTAAAATGTTATGGTAAAACTCTTAATTTTAATTTATGACCTATTGATGAACCCACTAAACGCACCTTTACGTAGCTGTGCCCAGGGCCTGGCGGGGACTTTTAGTTAGACTGGCGGGGACTTTTAGTTAGACATGAGCAACGGGCCGGGCCCACTTTTCAGGCCCGGTCCGTTTTTGATTTTAGTCAGGCGCGGATCGGCCCGTTGCTCTTGTCTACTTTTGGTCTGGGACCGGAGGTCGAGAAAATCCACAGAGGGGACCACGTTCAACTTGTTTCGAAGATTTTTTTCTGGAGGGGGGGGGGTTCCTATTAAAGTTCGTTCTAAAAGCCCGGTGCCACTTTGTGACACTTCTTTGCAAGATAACATACAAACTAAACGCTGTAGCCCAAGTTTCCCCCTTGAACCTGTAGATACCATTTCGATAACACATTGCTTTGAAATCTCTGTTAATCCATTTGTAAAAACTTTTGTGAATTGATGCCGCGTTGGCCACTCTGTCAATGTCTTGAATGTGTTCAAAAATGATTCGCCACAACTAAATATAAATATACAAATGTACATAATTAAAAAATGGTACTCAAGCAATTAACAAGGAAGGTACCCGACCTGCATCGAAGTTCGTTCAAATTTTTTTATTGAAAAGTTATGTATATTTAAGGTCTTATGCAAATTTCTAATTAGCGGTTTGAAAATCGAAATCAAAAAATCGCGTTTTGAATTTCCCGCCAAATTGGCATAGTGTTTTAAGCTTTACTTTGTCATTTTTAACTATTTTTGTTTAATATAATGATAGAAAAGCTTCAAATAAATCTGCAATTTTAAATTTGTAAGCCTATCTTATCTGGAACATCAGAAAAAGTGCTTGCAACACAATGCCAAATTGGCGAAAACATTAAATATATTAATTTTAAAACTTAAAACCGCAAGCTAAGATTTTTTATATGTGCTACTGGTACTACGAAGGATCCGTATAAAGCCTTTTAGCTAATTATGAGAGTTGCAGGTTGGTTACTTTTCTTGTAAGTTACTATTCGTTTCAAGAAAAAAGATAAATGTCATAACATTAGTAGACTTACTTCTTGTGGAAGTCTTCCCAACCACGTATCCATTTAAAATAAGTTTATTATACAGAATGCGCCTAAAGTTCTGTTACAAAACTGTAGAAAGATGTAAGAACAAACCATAAGAAGGAAAATAATAGATGCGGCAAAGACGCCCACGTATGTTCTTTAACAAGACAAAGCGTTGAGCAGGTCCGGACTGCTGCCAGCTCTCCGCGCAGTCTCCTCATCTCGTTGCTCTGACGCGTCGACATAATACCCAACCCTAAATCTCCCTTTGTTAGATAATTTTGATAATTGCATATTCGAAAGTAATTTATTGTGGTACTTTTACCAAAATTTAAAGTAAATCAAACCATTTTTCTTTGAGATATAACAGTATTATGTTATCCATGACCAGGGCCGAGCGGGGACTTTTGGCCTGGGGGTCGAAAAAATCGGCACAGGTAGCTACAATCCACAGGGGGGGGGGACCACGTTCAACTTTTTTCGAATTTTTTTCTGCCCCTCCCTCCCCCCCCTCCCCCCCCTCCGCCCGGCTTTGCTCATGACCAAATCTATTCTCATAGTCGTACTTATCAAAGTTAATATAAAAAGTTAAAGACAGTTATTAAAAACTAATTTTGAGTATTTATAGCTGTTTTTGATCACTATGTTGTAAGTATAGATTGCAGTTTAATATGCATTGCTTACCGCCGCAAATAAATTACTTTTCTCCGCGATTTCAACGATATTCATTAGCATATTGATCAAGGCATGAGTTCGTTACAGTTGCCTGTTGAAAATTGAAATTCTGGAGCACATTAAAGGCTGAAATTGAATACCTATTAAATATTGAGGTATTTGAGGGCCGGTAATTTAAAATTCAAGTTTTTATTATCCATCAGAGTTTGGAATGAATATTGTTCATCTTTACATTGAAGGTAAAGTGAATAACATTGAAAGTTTGATGAGTAACATTGGAAATTTAAATGAATCTGAAGGTAATATTAAAGGTTTGAATTTGTAAAATAAAGTGATTCAGATGAGTCTTCATCTAATTCTTCCATGTTAACTCAATGTTTTGCTTGTTAACTAACAAGAAAGTGCCCGACCTGCCCCGCTCCGATTGACTTCAAACTTTTTATATAGGAAGATCATGTAAATATAAGATCTTCAGCCAAGTAGTAAACCGCGCTTTCAAGAAAATCTCGAGAAAACCGAGATTAAAAAATGACATTTTGAATTTCCCGCCAACTTGGCATTGTCTTTTAAGCTTGTAACTTCGGCATTTTTGGATTTTCGGAATTTTTCTTTGATATACTAGTAGAATACCTTTAAATAAACCTACATTTTCAAATTTGTAAGCGTATCATGTCTGGAAAGTCGAAAAAGTGCTTGAAACACAACGCCAAATTTGCCAAATTGGCGGGAAACCCAAATAATTTAAATTTAAAACTCGAGAGTGCGAGATAAAATTTTTTATGGGTACTATTAGTGGTACAAAGAATTCATATAAAAATTTTGCGCTGATTCTAAGCGGTGCAGGTAGGGTACTTTCCTTATAAGTTCTCTCATGTTTACGCCAAAAGTTCTGTTACAAAACTTTACCGGTCGTTTTCTCTACGTAATCAATGTTTTTCATGTTCAATCAATCTTTATTACCTTTTCCAATGTTGTAATCGGATTTCGGAAGCGTTTTGGAATATTTTCACGCTGCTCCAGGTCGGTTGGGAATGGGAGCACGCCGGATTCTTGATGGGATTAATAAGGAAAAAGGCGGCGATTCTGGAGACGAACCCATTCTTCGCGCCGATCAAACCGTAATTTCCATTTTGCATTCGACCAATATCAATTTTTTCGAATGTCATTTCCGGCTCATGGGATGAAATGATAAATGCGTCCGGCTTGCGGATAATGTAAGTTTTTTTAAATGTTTTGGGTAAGGACATTGTTGTTTTGACTTATTTTAGGTAACAATTTTACTATCTGGGATTTTTGGGTAACAAAATAACTTTTTTTTTGGGTTTTTAGGTAACAATAGTAATTATTTTGTGATTTTAGGTAACAAGATAACTTTTTTTTGGTTTTTAGGTAACAATGGTAATTATTTTTTGATCTTAGGTATCAAAATTACTGTTTTTTCATTTTTTAGGTAACAATACTATTTTTTTTTGATTTTTAGGTAACAAAACTACTTTTTTTGGATTTTTAGGTAACAATACTATATTTTTTTTTAAATTTCAGGTAACAATTTTATTTTTTTGGGATTTTTAGATAACAATAGTAATTATTTTGTGATTTTTTAGGTAATAAAACTATTTTTTTTGATTTTCGGGTAACAATAGCAATCGTTTTTTGGTTTTTAGGTAACAAAACTACTTTTTCTTAGATTTTTAGGTAACAAAATTACTGTTTTTTCATTTTTTAGGTAACAATACTATTTTTTTTCATTTTTAGGTAACAATAGTAAATATTTTTCGATTTTTAGGTAACAAAATTACTTTTTTTTTGATTTTAGGTAACACTTACATTTTCCTCCTTTTTTAGGTAACAATGTCTTCAGTAATTCCTTTATAGCCAATATAAACGCCATTTCAGCCTCCACCTTACAATATTCACCATCATAACCCAACCAGCTCAAAACGAAGTCATAGCCACGTTGAGGACGATCGTACTACATGATTCGAATGTAGGTGAATGGAGACTGTACAATCGATGCAGTCATGGGTTCGTCCAGCTCTTCTTGAACAATGTCAATGCTATGGGAAAGTCGGAAAGCGAATGTTTGAGTAGGTATCATAGTTAATATGCAAATTCGTGCTTTTAGCTCGTTTTTTGGTACAAAAAACGGAATGGGACGACAGTTTCGTACTCAAGCAGGTTCATTCCAAACGATACCTATGTCTCAATAGCAAGATGGGCTTGATCTCGAAGGTATGTATCTATCCCTACCCTACCCTACCCTACCCTACCCTACCCTACCCTACCCTACCCTACCCTACCCTACCCTACCCTACCCTACCCTACCCTACCCTACCCTACCCTACCCTACCCTACCCTACCCTACCCTACCCTACCCTACCCTACCCTACCCTACCCTACCCTACCCTACCCTACCCTACCCTACCCTACCCTACCCTACCCTACCCTACCCTACCCTACCCTACCCTACCCTACCCTACCCTACCCTACCCTACCCTACCCTACCCTACCCTACCCTACTCTACCCTACCCTACCCTACCCTAATCTACCTTACCCTACCCTACACTACGTCTACTCTTTCTCTTGTTCATACTCTTACAATCATCTCTACTCAACCATAGTCTTATAGTATCTTATACTTATGTATTACTGTACTTGGATCTACGTATGTCTTACTGTATCTTCTACGTATGTCTTACTGTATATTCTACGTATGTCTTACTGTACCTTCCACATATGTCTTACTGTATCTTCTACACTACCGTACTCTTTTTTATTTTTTTCCTAATTACATGCTTTATCTGCAATTTCCAGTCGAACCTCTCGTACCGTTGTCGATTCAAGGAGCATCTGCGCAAATCCGGCTACTCCACATTCGAATCCAGGTGGAGGCGCGGCTATTTTATTGGATTCGACACGGAAGGCCAGCCGCTTTGTTCTCGCAACTCGTCGCAATGTTTCCAGTTCATTAAGCTCGCCTCATCGGCCAATAAAGGCCCGAACAGGGACTGTCCAAGTGCTTACCGTCGGCGTGCGCATCGTTTCGCCGTTCCCCAAATCAACGAAATCGAGTCGGCGTCGGCATTCGACGTTTTGAAACAGACCTTCATGCAAAAAGTGTTGTTGTAGAGGGTCGGGCGAGGTAAAAGTGTTGTTGTAGAGGGCTGGGCGGGGTAATTTTTTGGGGTGGAGGTAGGGAGGGGCAAATTTTTTTTAAAAGTTGAAATGTTTTTTAAAAAAAATTGAGAATTTTCACTTTACTCCTTAAGGTGCAATAATTTGTTTTTTAAAGGTTGGGCGGGGTAAATTTTATGCTTGGGGTAGGGGTGAAAATTTTTTTTTGAAAATTGGCGGGAAGAGGCAAGTTGAAGCTTTTTTTGATAAAAAATTGAGGATCTTTACTTTACCCGAGGTAATTTTTGTTGCTGAGTGTCTGGCGGGGTAACTTTTTTGTGGGGGTGGGGCGAGGTGAAAAAAGTTTTTTTAAAAGTTGACTGGGAGGTTCAATTTGAACTTTTTTTGCAAAATAAAACTGAGGATCTTCACTTTACCCTGTTAGGCGAGATAATTTTTGTTGTTGAACATTGGGCGGGGTAAATTTTTTTGTGGGGGTAGAGCGGGGTAAAAAAAAATTTTTTAGAAATTTACTTGGAGGGCACTTTGCAACCTTTTTTTTTAAAAAAAATTTTAGGACCTCCTCATGCCTCTCCCCTCCCCCCCCTTCCTCATTTTACACCTGCGTCTTCTCTCTTTCCACCTTCCTCTCCCTCTTTTTTTTTCCATTTTACCCTAACGTCTTCTCTCCCCCCCACCCTCTTCCAAATAAAAAATTAAGCTTATTTTCAATGAAGAATCAAATATTTAAGTACTGTAGTATTACCGTAATAACATAATAAACTTTTATTTCAAAATGCATCTGTATAACATAACAAATGGCAGTTTTCATAGAGATTTTTAGTTATTTTTTAAAAAATTTTAAAATCAAGGAAAGGCAGATCAATTTTTGATACTATAGTAGTCAAAAGATACTGTAACTGTACTTAAAATGAAAGTTATGGTACTGGAAGAGTACGTAATAAAACTGAGGTTTAAAGTTGGTTTATTCAAAACTAAGTTGGTACTGATTTGCAGTACCATGTGGTACTACTATTTTCAATACCATCACTTTATAGAAATAGTACTATTTAGTATCATACTCCTCTAGTACGACTACTCTCCAGTACCATTACCTCCTAGTACAACAACTCTTCATTACATCTACTTTATACTACTAATACTATCCAGTATCATCTTCTTCTACCACTACTACTCCTCAGTATCATCCTCCTGCAGCACCTCCAACCTTGACCCACTGATAGCACGTTCCATCTTGCCGTACTGTTGAGTAAACTGAAGCTCGTACGGACCGATGAAACGTTCGATTTCTTGTTGAATCGCCATGAATGTTACACTGAAGGCCGAGATACCAAACACGGCTGTAATGTACAGTAGGATTGATGGTAACTCGTCTTTGTCATCCTCACAACCTATCGTGCTCATTTGGAGGAACACTGAGAACACGGCGTCGATAAAAGGCTAAAAATGATGTTATGTACTGCGAAAATAGTATTGGACAGTACTATAAGGTAGTATGGGCAAGTACTATGTAGTATGAACAAGTGCTATATAGTATGGGCAGGTATTACATAGTATGATCAGGTACTATATAGTATGCGAATATACTATATAGTATGAACAGGTACTATATAGTATAGTCAGGTACTATATAGTATAGTCAGGTACTAAATAGTATAGTCAGGTACTAAATAGTATGATCAGGTACTATATAGTATTCGAATATACTATATAGTATGGAAGGTAATATATAGTATGGGAAGGTACTACATTGTATGATCGAATACTATATGATATACGAAGGTACTATATAGTATAGAAGGTACTATATAGTACCAGTAAGTTACAGAAAGCTTATAAACCTACAGTATCTTCAGCGCTTTGCTCCACCACATCATAGGCTATTGATACTAGGAAAAGTACAGTAACCAGTAGTAGTAGTAACTGCTTCAAACCAGATACTATTGAAGTAATCGCTCGTGCACATTGTCCTAGATATAGCAACACAAATGGGATTCCGAACGCCGAGTATAAGATTGAGAACAACTTTGATTCAAAGTTCAAGTCATCAATGTCAACTGGGCCTGAAATGGCGGTTTTTAGGTAATAAAGGGTCTCAAAATGGCACTACCGTGCCATGCCGTACTGTACCGTAAAGTAACGTTCCGTACCGTATCCTACCTCACCCTACCCTACCCTACCCTAACCTACCATACCCTACCCTGCCCTATCCTACTCTACTCTAATATACCCTATCCTACCCTAATTTACCCTACCCTGTTCTACCCTGCCCTATTTATGCCCTACTGTACATTATGCTTACTCTATCTTATAAACCAAAGAAAGCAATAATAACCTACCAATAGTAGTGATAAGGTAGAAAGAATGCCTGAAGGCCAACCCAAATGAAGGTTTAATCTTCTGTTTTGGCTCGATTTGCCCACTTTCAATCCTCTCACTCAACGATTTTTCATACGCATCAAGCTTCTGATTTGCCAGTAACGACCAGTCGTGTTCTGAAAATGTTAACCTTATTTTTAAAAATTATAAAGTTTTTAAGCCTAAACACTTTATTTTTAGGCTAAAGCTTATTAATAGACTTGAAAATATATTTTTTAGATTTAAATGCTTATTTTTAAGCTTAAAAACTTATTTTAGGCTTAAAAGCTTAATTTTAGGCTTAAAAACTTATTTTAGGCTTAAAAGCTTGGTTTTAGGCTTAAAAACTTGATCTTCGGCTTAAAAAATATTTTTAGGCTTCAATTTTAAAGAAAATCAATTTAGAATATGAAAAAATTTTATTGATAAACGCTAAAAATGTCACAAAAATTAAATTTTAAACCTAAAAATAAAACTTACCTTGCCGGCCAATAGCTTCAGCATAGAGAACGTTGAGCAATTCAGCACGTTCAAAGTCGAGCCGTTCTGTGGAGGATCCAATGGCCTAAATGACTTTTTTTAAAACAAAAATTTAAAAAATTTGCAGTTACCTCCTGTAACTTGAAAAAAAATCATTTTTCTTCCCCCCTTCCCCTATTTTTTACTCCCCCCTTCAATAAAAATATTTCTACCCCTCCCAAATTTTTTTTTGGTTTTTTTTGCTTGCTTAAGGTACAGTAGCATCTGCAGTAAAAAACTCAATCTTAAAAAATTTTTTCATTTTTTTACCCCTCCCAATATTTTTTTTCAGATTTTTTGACGTGCTCAAGGCGGTTTTATGTATCTACCCTACCCTACCCTACCCTAGCTTCTACAGTAAAAAAACTCAATTTAAGCCTCTTACCCTGCCCGGCCAAAAAAATTTTTTAAAGTTTAAAAACTGTCGAAACTAAACATTTAAAAATTTAAAACCCCCACCCTACCTTAACATGCGACCCACGCTTCCAGAGGAAGAAGAAGACCAACGAGCCGAGGATCAGGTAGACGAATATCAACAACAAGTAGAATAAAGTTCGGCGGAAAGCGAATTGAAACCGAGGCATCATTATGTAGCCCATCCGGATATTAAAAAAGGCCCGGCCAGACCCCCACTCGGATCAAGCATACGGCTGTTCTCATTCTTCAAAACCTAAGGGCTTTTTCGGTTTGAAAAAAGACGAAAAATGGAAAATGCCCGGAGGGTGTCTTGACCTTTTGACTAAATTATTCGTTTTAGTTTCAAAATGGCTAACTGTAGACAAAAAGTAGACTGCCTTGCCTGTGCCTTGCCTTGCCTTGTCTTGCCTTGCCTTGCCTTAGCCTTAGCCTTAGCCTTAGCCTTAGCCTTAGCCTTAGCCTTAGTCTTAGTCTTAGCCTTAGCCTTAGCCTTAGACTTAGCCTTAGCGTTAGCCTCAGCTTGTCATTTCCTTGCTTAAGTATAACTCTAGTCTGAATTGCGTTTGTCGTATTTTACACTTCAAGTTGCATAAACAACCCTAGTGTATCCTATACATTATCTTACTATACTCAAGAAAAAAAGAATTTTGCGGCGTTACACAATAATTTTATAGGAATTATACAACAAGATAGCCTTAGAGAAATTGCAAGAAATCGTATCGCGCAACTTTTTCTTATGTAATATTGATTATTTTTGTAATATTTGCCTCGATGTAAAACGACCCAACAAATGACTGCGAGTGCTGAGATTTTACTCCAAATTTCATCGAGCGGTCGCTTTGTCATGTTATATAACTATACAGTTTGTTTTATGAGCAGATGCTAAGCTTAAGCCTAAGACGGGCTAGTTTTAACTTACTAAGCTTGAACCTAAACACTAAGCGTATGCCTATTAAGCCTGAACCTAATCAAGCTAAGCCTTCTAGGCCTACTCAAAATAAGTCTAAACTTACTAAGCCTACGCATACTAATCCTAAGTCTAATAAGCATAAACCTACTAATCCTAAGCTTACTAACCCTAAGTCTACTAAGCCTAAGCCTACTAAGCCTAAGTCTACTAAGCCTAAGCTTACTATGTCCAAGCCTACTAAATCTAAGCCTACTAATTCTAGGTTTACTCTGCTTATATTATTTGCTGTGTTTTACATTACATTGCTTTAAGTTTACTTTAGTATAAATTAGTGCTCTAACATTGCTCTTACTCAGTAAAAAACATGTAACAATCTTGATAACAGTAAACAATAAAAAAGCTTTGTTCACAGCCTCATTAAAGTTGATTTACAATGATAATAATAAGCTTTTTACATACATTTGATACGTTAACAATTTTCTACTGCCACTACTTTTTAAATTAAAAAATCAATTTAAAAAAGAGTATGTCATTCAAAGTAACAGTAGCTTGTATCTTTGTAATAGCTGTGCTTGTTCATAGTGAAACTGACTATAAAGAATGTGAACTTGTGTTTCGAGGTATAAAAGACACGTTCGATGCCAAGAGTATATCAGCAACAGAAAGAAATCGTGAATTTCTAAGAACTGCTAAAGATTTTGAAAAGCGTTATTATGTAAGTAGGCTTAAACATAGATTTATAAAACTTGATGTTACAGTAGTAAGCTAAAGCTTAGCACAGCGTAGATTAAGATAAAGTTAGATTCAGTAAGCTTAAAATTAGTAGACTTAGGTTTGGTAGTTTTGACCTTAAAAGTCTTAGGCATGTGCTTATCCTTAGCAGGCTTAAGCTTAGTAAGTTTAGGCTTAGTAAACCTAGAATAAGTAGGCTTAGGCGTAGTAAACTTATGCGTAGATTTAGACTTTGTATGTTTAGACGTAGGATTAGTAGGCTTAGTCTTAGTAATCTTAGTAGGCTTTGGTTTAGAAGGTTTATTCTCAGTAATATTAGGCTTAGTAAGTTTAGGCTTAGTGAGCTTAGGCAAGTTTGCTCAGTGAACTTTCGGTAGATATTTTGGTTTATTAGGCTAGGCTTAGGGAGCTGAGCCTTGTACTAAAAGTAAGCTTACTAGGCTTAAGCGCGGAGAGCCTAGGCTTACTAAAAATATTTTTAAATGTTAATTATAAACTATATCTCACAGAAAGACGAGAAAAACGAGTGTTACATCTGGATCGCAAACAGTACTAGGGCCCAAATCAATCAAGACAAAATGGTCAATAATGAAAAGGATTGTGTAGTCATTGTTCGAACACTATTACTACTGAAGAAATTACTACCACATCATAGATGGGATGATGATTTTTGTATATTTATTTAAATTTTTTATGAAATAAATTAAATTAAATAAATTAAAATTAAAATAAAATATTGTAATATGGTATTGGGTATATACTGTTAAGGTATTCCCCTTTACTCTACTACACAGTTTGTCCCAATGACACCGATAGTTCTGGTCGGACCCGCTGTCCTAATCCTATTGGGTAATTTAACATTACTTAGAGTAACTAGATTACAAATACTAATGAAATATTTATTTATTAAAAATACTTAGTAGTTACAGTAAAGTACAGTAAACTAGACACATAATATCCGCTCCGACCTTCCTTTCCCTTAGGTTTCCATCTCTTAATGATTTCTGCGATTTTTCACCTTGGGCGGCTGGTGGGCGTATAGACATATTTCGCGATTACAATTTAATATGAAAAGGCTATCGTAACAATATAATACAATCATAAAAAATTAAATAAAAAATAAAGAAAATATAATAAAATAAAATAAAGATAAAATAGAACAAAAAAAAATAAAAAAAATTAAACAAAAAATAAAAAAATAAAATTAAATAAAATAAAATAAAATAAAATAAAATAAAAAACAAAATAAAATAAATAAAATTAAAACAAAATAAAAAAAAATACAATAAAATAAAATAAAGAGAAGTATAATAAAATAAAAAAAACTAAAATAAAACAAAAATAAAATAGAACAAAAAAAATAAAAAAAGTAAAGAGAACTAAAAAAATAAAATTAAATAAAATGAAATAAAAATGAAATAAATAAAAAAAAAATAAAATTAAAATAAAATAAAATAGAAATAAAATACAATTAAAAAAATAAAAAAAAATTAAATTAAAAAAAATAAAATAAAATAAAATTTTAAAAACTAAAAATGTTTTATTATGTATTTTCGTTTCAAAATTTAAATTTAAAAGTTTAAGCACACTGAAGCCCATTATTGATCGCTGCCACTTCAAACTCATAGTCATTTGGTACCAATGATTCTTTTTTGAGATACAGTAGGTACTTTTGAAGAAATTTAGCATTAGTGCCATTATTTTTAACTGCAGCACAGTAAACTGCAGAGCGAAGTTCAACTGGTATTCTGAAAATAATTTTAAGTATACAAAACAAAACCAAATAAAAACTTTTTTTTAAACTTAACAGTGAAATTTTGAAAAATTTACATTTTTAAGCTTTTTCTGCGTATTTAACATTAAAACTTACTTATTACACCTCCAAAAGTCGCTTTTACACTTTGAAAACCTTTGAATATACAGGTTATGAGCACTTTTCAACGCATTTCCAACCTCAAAATCGACCAAAAATGATGACAAATCTGCTTGGAGGCTTCTGAAATTTAGGTAACAAATAAAAAAAATCGTCTTTCAATACCTAAAAAATCAATTTTAGAAAATAAAAATTACAAAAATAGTTTAAATATTACTTGTATTAGGTGCCGACAAAAGGACCCGCCATTTTTTACAGGAAATTACAGGCAAAGTATGGCGGGTTCTTTATGTCGGCACCTAATAACAACGAAAAAATGGGTTTTTATAAACTAAAGTTGTTGTAAAATGAAAATTATTGCATAAGTTAAAATTTTGAAAAGTTCATGAGATGGACGTTGATATTGTCTACCATGATGAGCAGTATCAAAGTCATAGCTTTTTGAAAAAAGTTATGAACAGTTGTGTTACAAAGACTTACCTTAACATAGGATCGTTTGTGTTGTTCCAAATTAGTGAGTTTTCAGCTTGTAACAGTACTTTTTGAAAGGCCTGTAATAATGAAAATTGAAAAAATTTTAAAATTTAAAAATTTTTTTTCAAAATTTAAAAATTTAAAAAAATTTCGAAAATTTAAAAGTTTTTTAAAAATTTTACCTTAGACACCCCCAAGTCATGTTCATAAACATAGTCAATAACAACCTTCCAAACCAGGCCTGATCTTCGACTCCGTAACGCAGCTATAGCTATGTTCATAAACTTTTTAGTAGTCAAGTAATCTTTCGTATTACTGAGTATATTATACACTGTAAAGTCATCAATCCTACTTATTGATTTGTCATATCGCCAGTATATATCATCATCGTACTGTAGTTTTACAAATGATTGATATTGGTAGTTGAACACCAAGGTTTTGTTGGTGTTTAAGATGGCCGTGTTGCCACATATTTGGTTTTCTGGAATAGGTAGAGAAAGATATACTGTAGGGTAGAATATAAAAAAATAAGGTAAGGCAGGTAATCTAGGGTAAATTAGAAAATGAGAGTTTAAGGAAGAATAGGTCAGAGCAAAGTAGAGATGATAGTAGGAGTATTAGTACTCAGTAGGGGCATGGGTAAGATATCGCAGGGTAGGAATAAAAGCAAGAGTAACAGTAGAGGCAGAGAAAGTAGGTACTGTAGGAAATACTAGATGAATGGTAAAGGTAGACGTAGCTCAGGCGCGGGTCGAGTATAGTAAAGGTATAGGTAAGATAGGATAGAGCAAGGTAGTGTAAGGTAGGGTAAGTTAGGGTAGGGTAGGGTAGGGTAGGGTGGGGTAGGGTAGGGTAGGGTAGGGTAGGGTAGAGAAGGGTAGGGTAGGGTAGAGTAGGGTAGGGTAGGGTAGGGTAGGGTAGGGTACGGTAGGGTAGGGTAGGGTAGAGTAGGGTAGAGTAGGGTAGGGTAGGGGTAGGGTAGGGTAGGGTAGGGTAGGGTAGGGTAGGTTAGGGTAGGGTAGGATAGGGTAGGGTAGGGTAGGGTAGGGTAGGGTAGGGTAGGGTAGGGAAGGGTAGGGTAGGGTAGGATAGGGTAGGGTAGGGTAGGGAAGGGTAGGGTAGGGTATAAAGTTACTCACCTTTAGTAAGCCAAAGTACTTGGCTTTGAGTACCATCAGACACAAACAGTGGTATATCAAACCTAGTATTACCATGTTGTGTTAAAACGTAAGACGTTGAAGTGTTGGTAACACGAATTACAGGAACTTCTTTTTGGAGTAGATACGGTTGAATAAAGGTTCTTAAAGTTACAGTGTTTCCACATAAATTTCTGTCATTTGTCTAAAAAAAACTTGTTTTTGCTTAACATTTACAGTAACTCTATCATACTGTAATTTAAAAAAAAACTATAATGCGTTTGGTAGAACGTTCAAAATAGTATAATAAATCTAAGTTTTGGCAATACCGTGTCGTTAGTAAAAAAGTTACGACAGTTTTAGTAAGTATGCCTTCAAGCGGAATCCAACTTTTGTACTTAATATTTAAATTTTTTCAAATTTTCTATAAAGCAAAGTTTGTAAAATACGGTTAAAAACTTACTTTCTTAAAAGCATTTAGCAAGTCAATATAGTTAAAGTTAGAATAAGCATGTTGTTTAACCAAAAGTTGTAGAGTTTTTCGTAATGTTTGGCTTCCAATTACATTTTCAATCATTTTTATCACTGACCCGGCACTTAGATATACTGTTTCTGAAAAATAAAAGAATTACAGTATTTATACAGTATACTTATGCTTAGCAAGCTTAGACTTAGTAGGCTTAGGCTTGGTAGGCTTAGGCTAAGTAGGCTTAGGCTTAGTAGGCTTAGGCTTAGTAGGCTTAGGCTTAGTAGGCTTAGGCTAAGTAGGCTTAGGCTTAGTAGGCTTAGGCTTAGTAGGCTTAGTCTTAGTAGGCTTAGGCTTAGTAGGCTTAGGCTTAGGAAATTTAAAGCCAAAGTTTACAAGCTGCGCATATATTTTTCTGTCAAATATTAACAAATAAAATTAAAATGACAATTGTTCCTTACCATCAGAAACAAACTTGTCTACCACAATACTATGACCGTTATGCACCTTCTCCAATATACCATCATGGAACTCTTGTACTCTCTTACTCTCCACAGCCAGTTTGTCTTCATTTGTCATATTTTTGAAAAGTGCATTTTCAAAAAAAGTTGCAAACCCTTCGTGCAAAAAGATCTGCCCCCAATCGGCAGTGGTGATTATGTTACTAAACCACTGGTGGGCTGTTTCGTGGCATATCAGTCGACGTTGCTCTAATTCTTCAGCTAATGTTAGGCTAGAGGTTTGGCTAAACGAATTGGCGTAGGTAATTAAGCCAAAGTTTTGCATGGCTAGCGTGGGAAGTTTTAGAACATCAACGTGGTCTGAAAATGCAATTTTAAGTGTAAAATACGTCGAAGCACCTTCGAGCATGTAACAGTGTTACTTTCGAACTATAGTAGAGTTACAGCAAGGGTAGTATAAAACAAAAGGTAATCCTAAGGCTGATCTTAAGGCTAAGACTAACACTAAGGTTAATGCAAGTAAAGGTACGGCATGCATGATATACTACAGGGCTAAATGAGTTAAGTAAAGCTCAAACGTTCAATCAAGGCTTAGGGCACAAGGCTAAGGGTAGAACTAATGTTAGGACTAGAGTTAAGGCTAGGGCTTTGAAACTACTATGACTTTGGGACTAGGGTTCTCGAGGCCAAGGCAAGGCAAGGCAAGGAAAGGCAAGGCAAGGCAAGGCAAGGCAAGGAAAGGCAAGGCAAGGCAAGGCAAGGCAAGACAAGGCAAGGCAAGGCAAGGCAAGGCAAGGCAAGGCAAGGCAAGGCAAGGCAAGAGTAGGGCTATTGCAGAGCTAAGGCTAGGCAAAACTTACCTAATTTTCGGCCGGGGTATTTAAATCCAGTGTAATCTTCCATGTACTCTAGGCAATCTACAGCATATTTTATTACTGTACTCAAATTTTCTTTGTTGCCAGCTATTGTAGCTACTGTGACATTAATACGGTCTTTGTACTTGATAGATTCTGTTCGGAAATCGCCAACAACGAAGGCTACTAAGAATGTTGACATGAACGGCGAATTGGCAAAAATGACTTTTTTTAACGTTTTGCTGAAATACTCAAATATATAGCTTACAATCGCAATAAACGCAATAAACATATAGTAAAATTAAATCGCCTGTAACTTTGTTTGTAATACCGTTTAGCAAAAATTGAAAACGGTTTTTAAGATAACTTTTTGCGCTCTTTCAAACGATAAATGTTTCATTAAGAAACCAGTCTGTGAGGTTGTGGCCTTCCCTTGTTAGGTACATCAACATAAGTATACATAAACGATTGAAAAAAAGGTATATAATGCTCCATACTTACTTTACAATGTCGGTTTTTGCAATACGACTATTACCAAATACAGTAAGCCCTTGGGGAACAGTCAATGATACGATGAACTTTGATTTAACTGTAGGATCGTCTATACAGGGAAACAACATACGAGCCTTATCTGGCTCTAAGTGTGTGACTAGTAAAGCTCTAAATTGAAACATTTATTACAACTATTGTACTTCATAGTGTTACAGTAGAGCACAGCAGGGTAAGGAAGAGTAATATAAGGTAGCTAGCGCAAGGTAAAGACGCGTAGAACAGGGTAGGAGAAAGTAAGGCAGGACCAAGTAAGATAGTTTCGGATAAAATGAGGTAGAAAAAGGTAAAATAGGACACGGGAGCGTATATTACGATAGAGTACGGTAGGGTACGATAGCGCAGAATAGGGTAAAGTAAGATAGGGTAGGGCAAGGCAAGGTAGGGTAGGGTAGGGTAGGGTAGGGTAGGGTAGGGTAGGGTAGGGTAGGGTAGGGTAGGGTAGGGTAGGGTGTCACTTACTTTGTGTTCTTCTTGTACAAACTCTTATATAATCCACCCAATTTGTGACTATTAATGGTGCCATGGTACTCAATAGATATATTATATACTACAGTAGGTTTCAAATCTTCAATAATAGTCAATTTTTTCTTGTTCAACGTCCAGTCTTCTTCATACTTATCATTTATAGTTACTGTAGTTACACGTAAATCTTGTGCATCTAGTACTAGTCTATCAGTACTATTTGAAAACTGTACAAGTATACTTGTAGTACCAATGAAACCGTCTTCATCTAAAAAAGTTATCTTGATCTTACTGTACATATGGCTTAAATTACAGGAAAAGTACGGCGGGTTCTTTATGCCGGCACCTAATACATATGAATAATACAGTATGACATACTAAAGCTTACGGTAAACAAAAAATGGGCTCAAATCAAAATCCAAGGTATACTGTAACACTGTGCCTGTAAAACAAATTCCATTTTGAAAGAATAAACATAGACATAAGAAGGTGAAGAACATTGTTGTTCAAGTAATCTTCGTTTACTCATCTTTACCTCACTTTAGAGCGGCTTGAAACCTGTTTAAAGCCGCTTAATTATCTGATAGTAAGACGTTTTTGACACAATATACTTATTTAGGCTTACGATTTAGTAAAAAAGTTTAGCTTAAGCTTAAGATAATGTAGTCCAGATTTTTAATTGTAAGCCTAGTCTAAGCTTGCTAAACCTAAGATTACGAAATCTATTTTTGTTTAGCCTAAACCAACGTAGCTTAAGCTTGCTACGCCTAAACTTATGCCTGATTAACATAAGCCAAGCGAACCTTAGGCTACTAGCCTATTAAGCTTAAGCCTGCTAAACCTTAGCTTACTAATCCTAAGCCCACTAAGCCTAAATCTAATAAGCCTAAGCCTGCTAAACCCCAGTCTACGCATCCTATGCCTACTAAGCCTAAGCCTACTAAGCTTATGCCTACTAAGCTTAAGCCTACTAAGCCTATGCATACTAAGCCTACTAAGCTTAAGTTTACAAAGCCCAAGCCTACTAACCTTAATCATACTAAATCTATGTCTAACAAATTTACGTTTAAAACCTATAAGGGTACTAAGCCTAAATCTAAGTCTAAAAAATCTAACTAAGCTAAGCCAACTAAGCCTAAGCCTACTAATCCTAAGCCTACTAATCCTAAGCCTACTGAGCCTCAGCCTACTAAGTTTAAGCCCACTAAGCCTACTACGCCTAAACCTAAAAAAATGTAAGCCTAAAAAGGCATGCGTCTACTATGCCTAGACCTAAGTTTAAAAAGTTTAAGCCTTTTATGCCCAATTTAACAAAGCCTAAATTTAAAATTTTTAAAAATCTATTTTTAAGTTTTAACTTCCTAAACAAAGCTCTGTAGTTTATGCACACACTTTCAAAAACAATGACCACGCTTTTGCTAATTTAAGCGGTTTAATCAGCGCAACCCGTCTTAAGTCATTCTCACTCGGCGTGCCCCCCTCATTACATTAATAAACCGCCAAAAATGCCTCGAAAACGTTAATAAGCTTTTCTACCCCCCCCCCTAATCTGTCGAAAAACGTTCAATAAGTTGAGGGTTGTTCAAATTCAGTTTGATACAATAAAGCCCAGCCCCCCTGAGGGCTTTAATCGTGACAATAAAACAGCGCAAGTCAGCGAATTAAGCGAAGAAGGTGCAAACAACTCAAACACACAGTTCCACCACCACCCCGCCCCTACCCGGCCGGTGTATCGCTTCTCACTTAAGAAAGTTTTCCAGTTTCAGCGGGGGGATGGTCAAGAAGGGCTAATTTGTTAGGGGTTGGGTGTGGAGATTAATGTTAATGTCACCTTATCAAAGGGTGAAAAAAAAGAGGGGGGGGTCAAAGATTGATGATTTTAAGGGGTAGATCTTTAAGTGTAAAGAAAAAAAGCATGGGTAGCTTAGGGTTGTTTAAGGATAGTAAGTGTAGATTTATTGTTATGGTATTAAAATTTGTTTATTGAGAAAGACGACTTAGCGTAGGCTTACTTTAAAAGTGATTAAGCAAAGGTTCGTTAACGAAAGTAAAGGACGTAAAGTTAGTTTGAAGCCTGGTTCAAGCAAAAGTAGGTTCAAGATTAAGCCTTAAAGTTTTTTTTTGGTAATTTGACATTATTAATTTAAAATTTTTAAAATTAAATTGAGTTGAATTCTTGTTCATGTTTTGTATTGTATTTTGTAATAATGTTAATATATGTTAACACTATTGATATATGTTAACCCTATTTGTAAATTAAACTAATGTTTCTTCTTATGCCTATTTAATATACGCCTGAAACCACTAAGCCTACGCTTACTAAGCTTAAACATACTGAGTCTAAGTCTATTAAGCTTATGTCTATTGAGCCTATTCATAAAAATTTAAGTTTATTAAAGCCGTACCCACCAAACTTATGTCTAAGCCTACTAAGTTAATTCCTCATAAGCCCAAACCTGCTGATTATAACTTATAAGTTTAAACATAAGCTTACTAAGCTTGTACTACTACACTTACCTGAGCTTAGCAATTCCAAGTCTACCGTGATTAGTTATAAAAAGTGTAGCCTAGAAAGCTTTTGCTTACTAAATCTAAGCCTACAAAGTCTGAACCTAAAATGCATATGTCCAGGGCCGGGCGCGAAGGGGGGGGTGACGGGGGGGGATACCCCCCCAGAAAAAAAATTTTTTGAAAAAAAATTGAACGTGGTCCCCCCTGTGGATTTTCGGAAAAAAAAATTCGCAAAAAATCGGCACAGGTAGCAGCTACCTGTGCCGATTTTTTGGGCCCCCGCCCCCAGACCAAAAGTCCTCGCCCGGTCCTGCATATGTCTACCAAGCCTTACCTTACTATGCAAAGACCTTACAAGCGTACGCTTATTAAACGTCAGTTAACTAAGCCTTACCTTTCTGGGCCGTACTTTACTAATTTATATTTTAAAGGGTAGACTAGTTTTTTTCAGTCTAGCCAAAAATTAGGTTTAGTCTCAAGTCTAAACCAACTTTCATTGTTATGTAATATTCTAATTACAACTCCTTAAACAGAATCAAAGTTTTGTCTCCAAACAAACCGCGACCGCAACCTCAACCCCCTAACCGCCCTACCGCCCCCCCCCCCTTCCCGAAGCGTTGTTTTTTCCGCTTCTGAAGTCAGTAGAAGAATTGGAGCTTTCGCTTCGAGCACTAACTTGTTCTTCATAAGGGAGCGTAATATTTGTTTTAGGGAAGGGAAGGTTCAGGTCGAGAATGTTACTGTTCGTATTAATCGAAATTGGGCTGGGGTGGATTTTTTGGTTTTAAATTAATCGATGTTGGGCAGGAGGGAGGGATTTTTTTGGTTTTAAGTTAATCGATGTTAGGCAGGGGGGAGGGATTTTTTTGGTTCAGCAATAGAAGTGGGGTAGAATGAGGAAAAATAAAAACTTGGGTAAGGCAGGGGTAAATTTTCAAATGTAGGGGGGGGGTGGGGCTAATTTATAAAATTTAGGTAAGTGTAGATTTTGTTGGTTTAGCAATAGAGATCGGGTACAATGACGAAAAAAAAATAAGATTTGGGCAGGGTAGGGTAGAATTTGAAATTTTTAAGAGGAGGTGCGCTAATTTGTAAAAAAATCGGGTAAGAGGTAGAGTAGATTTTTTTTGGTTTAGCAATGGGGATAGGATAGAATGACAAAAAAAATAAAATGCGAGCAGGGTAGGGGCAGATTTTAAAATTTAGGGGGGGGAGGGAGTACTATTTTACGAAATGTAAGTAAGGGAGTAGGGTGATTTCTTTGGTTTATTATTGTGGAAGGGGTAGTACAACAAAAAAATAATAAAATTTAAGCAGGGTAAGGGTAGATTTTAAAATTTTTAGGGCTAGAGGTACCATTTTATAAAATTTAATTAAAAAAGTAGGGTAATTTTGTTTTGAAAAAGGTGGGGGTGCGTGCGGTGGTGTAAAAAAAGAGTAGAAAAAATATTATTAAAGTGGGGTGGGCAAGAGGAGTGTATTTAATTTTTGGAAGGAGTAAATTTAAAAAATATTGGAGGTGGATTTTTAAAAATTTTTAAAAAAACGGGTAGACAAAAAAGTTAGGAAATAAGGGTAGATTTTGAAAAAAATAATTAATTTTAAGAGCGGATCACAAAAAAAATTAAATTTTTGCTTTTTTTGTGAATTGTTCGAGAACTTTTGAAACCATATTAACCTTTAAAATTAAAAAAAAATTTCAATACTTTTAGACCGCCTTATATGTGGATCAAATCATGTTGTTATTGTTTTTAATACTAGTTGTTACGGTGAATGCGCAGAGTGTCAGAAAGGTGCATCTTGGGTTTCCAGAAGCATGGGACGGTGACAAATACAAGGAATTGTATTGTCCTTCCAAGAACATACCCAAGTTTTTAGGTAATAGTTTTAAAAAAATTGTGAAAACTTTCTTTACAAAACATAAAATGGCAAGAACTTTCTTTACAAAACATAAAATTGCAAGAACTTTCTTTACAATATGAAAAATGGCAAGAACTTTCTTTACAAATCAAAAAATGGCAAGAACTCTTTTTATAAGCAAAAAAAAAATAAACAATGTAAAAACTACCCCTAATTTAAAAATTTTAGACGGCTATTTCCTATGCCAACTCTCCGCCTCATACGGCAGCCATAGTGCACCAGCCGGCCGCAAACTGTCCCACATGATAGACGCCATTGGTGCAGTTGGGGCCTTCCACATTTCCAACGGCCAAGTCACCTTCACCGCCCAATATTACCCCGCCCGACCCTACAAAATCTGGGAATTCTACGACCGTAACATGACCAAAGCTACCGTACCCTGGGCGGGCTGGTCCGACTACAATCTAACGGCTATGTCAAAATGGGACCAGGTACCGCCCAACGAAAACTCGGCACGATTCCACCCCAACCTCGACTTTTGGCGGGTTGGAAACAAAGTTATTGCGGGAACGGAGGCACCGTACTGGGTTGGGTACGAGTTCGATGTGAAGAGTTTGACCAATTTCAAACTTTTCCCGTTTATCGAGGAAAATGACGTTTTCGGCAACCCTATGCCTAACATGATACCTATTAGCATGGCTATTCATGAGAGGAGAGATAGTGATGGTACTATTTGGGGCAGCTTCTCGGCTATGAATTTTAATGAGCAGAAGTTCTATCAGGTAAGGTTGGGTGGAAGGTTGGGTAGGGTTGGACAGGATAAGGTGAGGGTAGGGCAGGGTAGAGTAAAGTAAAGTAGAGTAAGATAGGGTGGGGTAAAGTAGAGTAAGGTAGGGTAAAGTAAGGTAAGGTAAAGTAGGGTACGGCAGAGAGGGGTAAAGTAAATCAGAGTAAGATAGGGTAGGACAAGATAGGGTAGAGTAAATTAGGGAAAGATAGAGTGGGGTAAAGTAGAGTAGGGTAAAGTCAGGTAAGGTAAAGTAGGGTACGGCAGGGTGGAAAAAAAAATTAAAAATATAAAAGTTTGAAAAAATATTTATACGTTTTATATTATATTACTGTAGGACACATAAGTTTAAAATTTTTTTTTGAAATTTTGAAGTTTTAAAAAATTTTTAAAAATTTTAAAAAATGAAAAAGAAAATCATTTTTTGACTTAAATTTTACAAAATTCAATCTTTTTGCGTTTAAATCATGTTTTTGCAATTTTAAAATTGATTTTTTTAAATTTTTAAAAAATTTTTTAATTTGAAATAATGAAAAAAAATAATTGTTTAGCCTAATTTTTACGAAAATCATATTTATTTTAATTTTTTTGCATCAAAATCATGTTTTTAAAATTTTAAAATTGATTTTTCAAATTTTTAAATTTGTTTTTTTTTTAAATTTCAAAGCCTTTTTCAAACTTTTTTAACCCCCTTTCACCTTCAGGGCATCTTCACCGTCGACGACAGCGGAATCCGTCGTGTTGTGGGCATGTTCGACTACGGGGCATGGGACGCGAATGCTTGTGGGAAGGACGACGAATACATAGGTAACCCCATCCTTCAATCGTATTTTTAGCCGCGCACGTTTTTAATTCGCATTTCGATTAAAACGAAATTTGAGATAACACACGCACCGATCTGAGACATCCGATTTTATATATACCCTGAGGATATTTGAGTCGATATGGCTTTGGAAAGGTCGATATTGGTTTGGGAATTGAAAATCAATTTTTTGAAAAATTTTAAAAATGAAAAAATATTTAAGAATACAAATTAAAATAAATTTAAAACATCATTACACGTCATCTAAAGCAATAAAAAGATCAAAAATTCAAAAACTTCAAAAATTTTCCGATATTACACTCCAAATCCACCTCCTTTTAGCCTTTAACACCTCAAAACTCTTCCATTTTCATCAATCTATGCCTAAAAGTTCTTAAAAAATCTTTTCAGGAGACAAAACTTTACTACCAGGATATATTCATTCTATAACAACAACACAAAACTATGTTATACTGCCCATAACTTCGTTGCTGATCAACCCATGCAAGTTCAAAGAACCGCCTTTGAACAAAAATGCCAGAGCTTCATTACAGAAGGGCGGGTTATGGGGAATGGACTTTTATGACATGGTTCCTATGAGGTATGGTCTTATATCTATAACATAATTTTTTAAAATTTTTTAAAAAAATTTTTTTAAATTTTTTAAAAATTAAAAAAATGACCACACCCACCCCAAAATACCCTTACAGATTCCTAATCTTCGACAAAAACACAAAACAATGGATCACACAGAAGCCGTTCGAAGTATTCCCATCAATGTTCGTCACCCATCAACTCAACGCTTATGAAGATACGAATGGAAACTTGATCGCAGACATGGTAGTATACGACAGTCATGACCCATATGTAAAATATTTTTACACTGATTTTTTGACATCTCAAATCTACCCCAGTACGGCCAGAGTATTGCGATTTATTATCGATATTCAAGCGAATCGTGTTATGTACAGCTATCTTATCCCACAGGTAGGTCGGGTTTAATCTGACATTTTCTGTTGTAGGGCTATGTTAAACTAGGGTAACTTGGTGTCAAAATGAAGCCAAGATAATGAGAAAACATAATTGGCAAAAAAATAAAAAGTTTTCGTTTTTGAACATGTTATACAATGAAAAGTTTCCCAAAAAGTTGAAAATAGTTTATTTTTTCGAAAGGTTAGGTTTGAATTGCCATTTTTAAATGAAGATTAATATTAAACTATAAGTGTTTAGTCTCAAATTGAAGCTAAAAGAATGAAAAAACATAATCAATTCTAAAAAATAAAAATTTTTTGATTAGACATGTTATACGATGAAAAGTTTTTTGAAAAAGTCAAAAATATCATTTTTTTAGACTAGATTGAGTTTGAATTGCCAATTTTTAATGAAGATAAATATTAAATTATAAGAGTTTTGTCTAAAATTAAAGCTAAGATAATGAAAAGACATAACCAATTTTAAAAATTTTAAATTTTATTATTTCGACAAGTTATACGATGAAAAGTATCCAACAAAACCCAAAATAACTCAATTTCAGGAGACGATAGCAGCTGATTTCTCTCAAATCAATCACAACTTTGATGAAAAACCCTATAAATGGGCATATCTTGTTGAACATCCATTTGCATCCGACAACACTATCATCAAAGTTAATGTAGATGACCCAAGTGGAGTGAATAACAAACAGTTCAAAACTGACCCGACGTTGGTGCTACATGAACCATGGTTTGTACCTCGGCCGGATTCTCGGAAGGAGGACGATGGGGTGCTGATAATCAAAGCGCTGGATACTGCGGAGAATAAAGGTGGGGTTACTGTAATTTATGTTGGAAAAGTAGGGTGGGGTAAGTTGAGGTAGGGTATGGTGGTGTAAAGTAAGGCATGTTATAGTACGGTACTCGAATTTTTTAAGCAAATTGTACCATTGGTACCACTAGTTCCACATTAAAAGCAATGTGTACCAGTAGCACCACTAGTACCACAAAAAACTCTAGTGTACCAACTAGTTCCACATTAAAAGCAATGTGTACCAGTAGCACCACTAGTACCACAAAAAAAACTCTAGTGTACCAACAGTACCATTAACTACTTAAAACCATTAAATCATTAATAGTACCACTAAATCCCCAATAAATTCCAGGAGTACTACTAATAGTGGATGCCCTAACTATGACCGAAATTGGCCGTGCATATGTACCAATATCGGTACCATTTGGCTTTCACAACCGGTTCTTCTCAAAGAAAGAACTTGGAATGCCTGAGGGCTTATCAGGAATCTACGGAGCTAGTGAAATTAAAAACAAATTTTATAAAACTACCACGCCCATGCCTACCACTGAAAATGGATTTTGGTCTCGACTGGTCGCTAGTACTAGAGGTAGGGTAAAAATTCTGTATATTATGCAAATTTTTTAAAATGTTACTTAAAAATTAAAAAAACTGAAATTTTGATTTTTTGTTTCCTAAAATATCAAAAAATGTCATATTCCTAAAAATTTGTCACCTAAATTTCTAATATTCACATTCCAGCCCCAACATCACCTCCAAAATGGGTACCAATCTCAGCCAAACCGGTCGAAAGGCCTCGACCAGAAGAACCATACCCTCCATACCCGCTACCAATCACAAACGTCGTACTGCCAGCAGTACGATCTCGACCAGAAACACCTCAGCCGGTCGACAAGATTCGACTTGTCACTATGCGACCACCTAGTACGATTAGTACTAGACCTTTGCCTTTTGTACCACCATCAAAGACTTCGTCGCCAGTACGACAGCTTTATGAACATACGTTGAAGGCGTTCTGTCATTGGTTGAGTAAAATCTTCAAAACGGTCGTTTTTGATCATTGTGTCGAGGGTGGCAACAAGGCGATACGGTAAGAATATGGTTGGGTTTTAAGGCTTATACGTACTATATAGTACTACAGTTGAGTTAAAATTACTGTAGGATAGAGTTGAGTATCATATTATAAGAGGTATGGTAGGGTAGTACAATAGGATAGGGTAGGATAGAGTACGGTGGGATACAGTAAGATGAAGTAGGGTAGGGTAGGGTAGGGTAGGGTAGGGTAGGGTTGGGTAGAGTAGGGTAACTTTAAAAATGATGACTTACTGTAGCATATGTACATACAGTACTCATTTTCAGTGGTTACCTAGACGTGTACAAACAGAGAAAGACGGCTTGATTTTTTACCCCGCCCGTTCAGTCTTAGATAACAACGAATCGGCCTGAATTTTCGTTACTTTGGAATTCATTGCCATCCAAGCTGGACGGAGGAGTCATTCCAATCAAACAACGGGTTTAGTGTAATATTGAATGTCATGTTAGGAACAATTTGTCTACTTATATTATCATGGTCGGTCTATACTTATATTGTTTTAGTCGGTCTTAACTCTTATATTATCATAGTCAGTCTACATATATTAACTATGTATGTCTATACTGTTTTAATTATATACTGTTTTGTTTGGTCTATATACTACTTTTACAAGTCTTTTATAACTATATAAATGGTCTTTCAATACCTAAATTTACCTAAAATCTATCAGTACAAAATGAAATTTTTAGTACTATCTTAACTTTATTATAATACTATCTTAAATAAGTTTTGTTTAATACTGACACTATTATCTTTTTTTACTATACCCGGCAATATATGGTCTTGACGCGATTGATGGCAAAAAATTGTTTGTAAGGTTAGCTTAAGCCTATAATTTCGAAAAATTACGTTTATTTTCGAAAACTCATTTTCAGCCTAAGGCAAGCCTTTGTTTTAAATTACGTTTTAACTTGAGCCTAGTATAAGCCTAAATTTGTATCGAAACTGATTCAAATACGGTTAGTGTAAAGAGCCGTTTAAGCCAAAAATAAGCTTAGAATTATAACTTACGCTTAAGCTTTGATTTAGGCTTCATGTAGTGAATTTCAAGTAGAATACATTTTTGAATAAGCCTAAAACAAGCTTAAACGAAAGGTGAAAGTAGTTTGAACAAATCGCTTAAGCTAAGGCTTAGACTTAGGCTTAAGCTTAAAGTAAGCTTAAAGAAAGCTTTAAATTTTCTTTAAAATTATAAAATCTGACTTAACCTAAGCCTAAACAAAAAGTTAAATTTCTCTTTTTTTTAATACAAGCTTAAGCCTAAAATAATCATTAAAATTGCCTATAATACTCATACCAACCACAGTAATACAGTTTCCATAGCAATACCAACCATAGTAATTACAGTACCCACACCAATACCCATTATAGTAATAAACGTCTAGCCGTCACAGCGTTGCCCGAATAGAAACTAGTGCCAATTCCATAATATTATACTAGACGAGTCATGCAAACAAATGGCATACATTTTATACGACCGGATACAAATCGTATCTATTTTCAGGGCCGCTAAAAGCGCAGGTAGAAACAACACACGCCCTGCGGCGCGTCTCCCTGTTCTTGACCGTTTTTTTTTTGTTCAAACAACCCCATCTTGAGCATCGAATTGCCGGGCATTGTAATATTGTTTTACTCTCTCTCTCTCTCACCAACCCTATTATTTTCATGTCTACGCAGAATGGTCGTATGTCCGTTATTTCGAATAAATGTAATCTGAAACACACGTTTCCTGATCAATACCTATATGAATGTAATGGTTAATATCGGTAGTGGACAAGTGATTTAGATTAAAAGCTGGGAAGAAAGAGGGAGGAGAGGAGAAAAAGAAGTAGGGAGAGGGAGGGGTAGGTGTTTTAGTAGAATTAGGCTTAGCAATTTTGGTTAGATTCAGCTTAGGCTTAGGCTTAGGCTTAGGTTTAGTCTTAGGCTTAGGCTTAGACTTAGGCTTAGGCTTAGGCTTAGGCTTAGGCTTAGGTTTAGGCTTAGGCTTAGGCTTAGGCTTAGGCTTAGGCTTAGGCTTAGGCTTAGGCTTAGGCTTAGGCTTAGGCTTAGGCTTAGGCTTAGACTTACAATTACGCCTTGTCTCAAATACAGTAGTCTTAGACTGAAAAGGCTTAGGTTTAAACTTAAATTGAGCTTGCTGAGGTGTGGGTTTAAACGTAGCATTAAGTTAAGGATTGATAAGTCTAGTAGTGTAGGTGTAGTAGAATATGAAGGCACGTTTACTTCAAGGTTAAGAAGTGGTGCACAGGTAATCTGAATTTATAGTTACCTGCGGCACTACTACTTAGCCTATGGCAGTGTACTGTAAAAAATAGAATTAAAGTTAGTTTTATTGACTCAATATTTTAGGTGTAGTAAAATACGCTTTGTTTTGATCCTTATTGATATATTAGGTTATTTAGTAGGCTAGATCTCAATATAAGTTACGATAAAATAGCCCTAATTTTAAAAGTTTTTAAACTTCGATAAAAAAACTTTTTAAAAAAGTAACGTAGCAATAATTGAACAAACAAAAAGATGTTTCATCGTCTGTACAATGCTTCATATGGCTACATCAGCATAGTGTGCATGTTTGGTTTGCTACGTAAGCCTACCGTAGCTCATAAAAAACTAATTTTTGTACAGCGTGACCTCATTATTTTCCTAAAAAGCTTTCTGTTTCACAACGATATTAGGCTTTTGCTTCCAAATGAAGCATATCAGCCTTGTATTGTTTGATAGGCAATATTAGCTTCTTAAACTCAAATACAGTACAGTAGGTTTCGAAGCCTGTAGTAGTTACACAGGTGTAGTATTGTATAGGTATATGTTTGTAGCAACTTGTTAATGGAAAATACATAAATAATGACAAATCAAGATTAGTAGGTCTTATAAGTTGGTTAACATCAAGCGGAGGCTTTAAGACAAGCCTAACTTACTTAAAACTACACAGCTTAAATTGACTAAGCTTAAGCCTGACCCTACTAAGCCTAAGCTGATTAAGCTTAAGACTATTAAGCCTAAGCCTACTAAGCCGAAGCCTACTAAGCCTAAGCCTACTAAGCCTAAGCCTACTAAACCTAAGCCTACTAAGCCTGAGCCTACTAAGCCTAAGCCTACTAAGTCTAAATCTTCTGTATTTTTCTTCATCTAAATCAAGCGTACTTTCTAAACGCTTAAACAGAACCACAAAGGCTAACTTAATAAGTGAAATCTACCAGCCCAACCCTAAATAAGCCATCCCTACAATCCCTACTATCCAAACCTCCAAATAAGACCAAACCCTCTCTCACGCCCTTAAATAGGCCGCAACGGTTTGGTCGGACAAACCCAAAGCCGATCGCTTAATGTTGGTACACCTGTTTTTGTGCATTTCGATACGCGGCTGAAACAATTCCCGAAATTCGAAATGGAAATCGACAAGATTCGCCGCCCTGATATTATGTCCCACTTATACTCCTAAAACACACGGCGATTGCAATCAAATCTTTCTACCCCGACGCCCGAAATTAGCATGAATTCGAAATTAAGTGGGCTTGAGAAAAAATTCATATTTCATATTTTAATTTTAAAATAAAAAAAAATTTTTTTCAATTTAAAATTTTTATTTTAAGATTTAAAGGGGCTTAAGCTTAGTAAGTTTAGAATTAGTGATCTTAGTAGGCTTAGATGTAGTAAGCTCAAGCTTAGAAAGCTTTAATAAACTTAGGTTTATTAGCTTTAAGCTTAGTAATAGATTTAGGCTCAGCAGGTTTAAGCTTAGTTTTTATAAGTCGAATAGGCTTACATCCAGTATGCTTCAGTTTAGTAACTTAAGGCTTAATGTAATAGGTTTAAAATTTGTAGGCTTAAACTTTATTTACAGAATTAGTAACTTTAAGAAGTTTAAGCTCGGTTATCTTAATTTTTTAATATTAAGTTTAAAACCTATTAGGTGCCGACATAAAGAACCCGCCATTTTTTACAAGAAATTACAGGCCAGATATGGCGGGTTCTTTATGTTGGCACCTAATATTAAACACAATTTTTAATTTAAATAACTTAAGCATAACTACCTACTGGAAAAACTATAATATCTTTTTTATACTTTGTAATTAAAGTATAAAAAACATTGACCAGAATAAAGATAAATGTACTAATATATGTGTTTATTCAGCTATAAAACGAATATGAATACTAATATTATGTGTTGGCCAACCTTTAATATGTCAAGGTAGCCAAGAACATCAAACTTGTTGCTTTCTAAGTTCTCTCATAACCAATCCTTTGTAGGCTATATCATCTAACGACAGGTCTTGAAACAAAATGTAAAATCTGAAAAAAAAATTTAGGTTTCCAGTAGTTAAAAACAAAAAAATCATATTATACCTTACTCAATCTTACCTTATTGTACCTTAATCTACCTTAAAGTAATTCTTAGTTAAATATAGTATAATATCGTACATATAAGCCTAGTATTCTTCCCATTATCTACCTCCTTCTTCCACACAGCTCATCAACACCTATACTAAAATTACTTCCCTAATAATAATATCACCCTGGACAATATAAATTTTAAAGCTCACCGATCTTGAGATAGTTCGAGACATTTGACCAAGAACTTGGTAAGTTCACTGACAATTTTATCTGATCTATCATGAATATTACCAATGGATCTCAACGTAACCAAAGCACAAGGTTCAGTAGTACCACCAAATGACATTTGTTGATCTGTGGTTAAGAAGCATAGTACTTTCTAAAAAAAACATAAAACAAAAAACGAAAAAAAGTTTACTTTCTTCAGAGCAAGTCTAAGCTTAAGCCTAAGTCAAAGCCTTAACACAATTCTTTTGAAATTTTAAAACAACTCTACTACATTTAACTATTACGTATAAAACCAATGTAAAGTAACTTTTTAATTAAAAAATAGATTTTTAGACCTAATTGGGCTTAAGTCAATCAATAATATCTTAAGTTTAAAGCGTAAAACGGACAAAAAACTAAAATTTTTAAAACTCCGTCTTAAGAAACAGTAAAATAAAAAACGCCTTACCGACACAGGTTTACCAACCACATCACCAGCTACTTTAGCTACATCAACCACAAAATTTTCTGGAATTTGGCTAGTTTTTAAATTAGTTTTAATTCCAATCAATGGCATGGTTTTTCAATAAACTACAAAAAAAGCTACTAATAACCTAATATTATCGTTTGACCGTTAGATTCCTCCAAAAAGCCTTCTTTTGATAACCCTTTTTTGACTTTTTTTTGCTTTTTCTTTTCTACGTGTAAACGTAAAAATAGATGAATGTGGGTTTTTAAATCGTTGTGAATGTAAAGGTATTGTTTAGTTTTGACTAAAAATATGCATATCACTAGCCTTAGGGTAGTAAGCTTAATGCCAAGTAATATAGAGCTTACTGAGTATTAAGTGATGAAGATTAAGCATAATAAGTGTCAGTGTAGCAAGCCTAAACCATAGTTTATTAATTCTACTTCTACTACTTCTATGCCTTAACCTTCTAAGCCTACTAAGCCTAAACCTAATGAGCGTTACTACTAAGCCTAAGCTCCCTAAACATAAGCCTAATAAGCCTTCCTACTAAGCCTAAATGTACTAATTCTAAGTCTACTAAGATTAAGCCTACTAAGTCTAAGCCTACTAATCCTAAGTCTACTAAGACTAAGACTACTAAGCCCAAGCCTACTTACCTTGAGCATACTATCTTAAGCTTAAGCATAAAAAGTCCAAACCTAAAAATTCTCATTCGAAATTAATAAAACATAATAAAGAATAGAAAACAGCTTTCACGGTCATGAGTATTCAGGCTTTCGAAGGGCATTACAACCAGTGGATCAGTGCAAATGCTCGACGAAAACCTCAAAACCGACATGACCGCAGCCATCATGACATTTGATAGGCCAGTATGTCCTTCGAAATCAGCACACAAGCCTAACAAACACCGGACAGTGAACGTGGGGTTATAGTGAAAAGATAAGGATTAGTTTAGTTTAATAGGCCCAGCTTAGTTAAATTATATTATAGTATATAAACTTATGTTCTATAGTGCACTGTAAGTAATTACTGTAAGATTGCCAAATTGATGTCAAAAAATAAAGTTACAGTACTTTATTACAGTATCATATGTCACCAAAAGTTCAATTTTTAATATTAAAATGACACAGTACCATTTAGAATACCAAAGTACCAAAAATCATAAAAAAATATTTTAACGAAAAAATATTACAGTATACCTAGAAACAATATTCGCATGCAAAATTTCAATCGAAACGCGGTTGAAACCGAACAATCAATTCGTGTGGCCACGAACAACTTGGCCTTTTTATAAGGGCCCACGAAATGGTAAGGTCTGATGAGTGGTGCCCTCTGATTCATGACTCTTGAGAAGAATCGCGGGCTCCCGATCCGAACCGCTGACTGGCACTTGTAATTCTGATTTTTTTATAAAATTTTTTGCAACGATATTTTAAGGTGTCTTTTGGAAATTTTATGTCGAGTTTTTAGGTTTAAGGCTTATTTTTGAAAAGATAACACTAGGTTTAAACTATACTAATTTTAAAAAAGTTATGTCGTTTTTTGATTTAAAAGCTTTAACTAATTAACGACAGGACTTTTCCGTTCGATTAAAAATTTTAATTTCTAGGTCTAGGGTTATAATATTGAATTGTTCAAATAATTCTGAGCCTCTCGATCTCAAAAATTTGCATTGAGAAAAAGCTCAGAATTATTTGAACAATCTAATATTCCAAATTTTAAATCCAATTTTAAAACAATAGTTTAATCACAAAAAAGTACCATAGAAAAAACAATAAAAGACCCGTTTTGTTGTGTTTAATATAAGGTTAGAAGCCAAGAATCTTTTTGAAAGCCCGCCGAAACCGATGGTCAAACACTGTGTAGATCAGCGGATTCAACGATGAGTTCAAACTGAAAGAAAATTTTTTAATTAATGTCGTTTAAATAGAAAAATTATTGTAAGATCACGTAGGCTTTAATTCTGTACCTAAGCCAAAAGTATTTTAATCAGCCTAATGTGTATTAACAAAAAACTTACTATCCCAACCATGTCGTTAAGAACGAGATCATGAAGTGAACGCAGTTTGAGTGATATAACAAAATACATAAGGCATTGCTCAAATGGAACGAAAAGAATGGCACCCAACAGCCGAGAAATACCACTGAAAAAAAATATTGATATTACTTTTAAACATATCTTGAAAAAAACCAAAAGCTGAAAAAAGTCAAAAAAGTTAAGCTTACTAAGCCTAAGTGAACTTATAGTAAGCCCAACGTTAACTTTAGCTCTAAACTAAAATTTAAACATTACTTTAACTTTAAGCCTAATTTAATCCTAAGCCTAAGCCAAATTTTAGGGTTAAACCTACTTTTATAGTTTAAGCCTACGTCTAACCCTAAGACTAAAGCCTAAGCCAAAGCCCGAGCCTAAGCCTAAGCCTAAGCCTAAGCCTAAGCCTAAGCCTAAGCCTAAGCCTAAGCCTAAGCCTAAGCCTAAGCCTAAGCCTAAGCCCAAGCCTAAGCCTAATTCTAAGCCTAAGCCTAAGCCTAAACCTAAGCCTAAACCTAAGCCAAAACCTAAACCGAAGCCTAAAAGTAAGCCTAAGCCTTAGCCTCAGTTTCATAATAAGCTTAAGCCTAAGCCCTAACTCTTTTTAAATTTTAAATTATTTTTAAACGACCATAATGTCATATCCATTAAACCTACTCAGCACGACGGCCAATGTGATAGTCGCCTTTTGTTCGCGTTTTAATTGTTTCGAAGCCTTTTTGACGAGTCGCCTCGAGGGCTTGGCTGTGGTGGATCGAATTCCCACGAGAAGTTTGCGCATCAATGCCAGCCGGCTCAACGGTTTGTTCACGTCACTGAAAAAAACAACAAATTTTATCTCTGACAGTGATTGATAAGGATTCGGAGGGCATTTTGGGTCAGAATAGAAAAACGTTTTATGTGAAACAGTGCCGGAATAGGCGGGGTAATTTATGAAGGTTTTTTAGAGAAGGGTAGAACGTGGTTGAAGTAGAGTTAATTTGGTGAGTGACAGTACAGTATATTTTAAGAAATACTGTATGTTTAAGGGTAGGGTAGGGTAGGGTAGGGTAAGCTAAAATAAGCTGGGTAAATAAAGTATTACAGTGTGCCAAAATACGGTAAAGTTTAAAAACTGACTTTTTCAACTTGTTCTGATACCTAGCTGCAAATGCCTTCTCAACCGCGTCCGACCTCCAGAATCCGCCAAAAACAGCCATAAAAAGCGACGGTGATTCGTCAGATCCATTTGACACTCTCCTACCTTCATAAATCGGCCTTTCTAATGCTGTTATGGGTAAGGAAATAGTATCAAACGCGGTCTTCTGCCTTTTCATAGAAACATGATTCTGATAATTCAACGGTGACAACATTGACAATTCATTATCATCATCAGAAGTGTCAGAAATAACATTATTGTTGATCTCCTTCTGCTCCACTTGAAAGTTTGATATCGTCGTTCTGCCAAAGTTGTTGTTCTTGTACTTGATACTCTTTAGCCGCACTTTTTTGTTAAGGTAGTTCCTATGCGCTATTGTGTCCATTGATGCTGAGTCGATAAATGGAATCTTTTCGGAAAAATCTTCAGTCACACTTTTTGAGCTTTCGAGACATTCTTTAGTTGATGTGGAGTCGAGAAGATTGACTTCTGGAGAGGAAAATGTCTTTGAGATTCTGTTTGACACGGTGAGATGGTTGTTGTTGTCCATATCGGCGGCTTGAGAGAGGTTATCCCAGGTTGAGCTGCTTATTGAAGGGTAAGATGAGGTCTGAAAATAAAAAAAAATATTAAAATACCCTGCCTTTTTATGTTTTTTTACCTTACCGTACCCTACCCTACCGTATCCTACCGTACTTTACCGTACCCTACCGTAACTTACCGTACCCTACCCTAGCCTGCTCTACCCTCCCCCACTCATACCTTACCTTACTCGGCCCTACCCTCTCAAAAACACCCCTTTACCTACCGGAAAGCTATATTCATATAGCCACTGATCCGCCCTTCTCTTTAATTGTTGACCAACTTGTCTGGCCATATTGGCACCGCTCAGTAATGCCGTACTGATATGTTCGCTCTCTTGTCGACTTTGAGGTGGTACTGACTTCCTCAGCTGTCTAGCCAGTTCTCGTTGTCGTAGACGACAGAAGATGATCGAGTATAATATTATCATAGCTGCGCATGGTAGAAAAAACGATAATATTGATGATATTATGATGAAGTAGGCGTTGGTGAACTCGCATTTCTTAAAAATTATTTTCTAGTTTGGATTAGGCTAACTTTAAAACATCAAAATAAATTTTTAAACTTTTCAAGCTGCGCCCTTCATTTTGCAAGCTGCAACATAAAAAATAATTCTTTGAGAAAAAAAACAGCACTATCAGTACCAAATAGAGCAAAAAATCAAATATACCAACCTGCTCCCCCTCATTTAACTGATTAGCACCAAAAAACACTGGCACTGCAACAATAATCGACAGTAGCCATACGAAGAAGATTCTAATAAAGGCACGATGAGCGTGAGAACCATATTGAGCATAGGCTACGGGATGAGTTATGGCCATGTATCGGTCCAATGAAATGGCAAATAGGTTTAAAATAGAGGCTGTAGAACATGCTACATCCATTCCTATGTATAATTTACATAAACTTGGTCCTAGGTCCCATACGAAGTTGTTCCACTAAAGATAAAGGGTACTGTAATATGTAGTTCAATTATATAAATTACGGTAATACTTTATTTCGATTGGTCACTGTAGTGTGAACCAGTCATAATGTTAATCTACCATACGCTAGCGTATACTACCCTACCCTACCCTACCCTACCCTACCCTACCCTACCCTACATTCTATAAATAGCACCCCTCTCTTCTTGTGAATATTTAGCTTGCTATTGTACTTCCCAACAACAAAGCTATGCCAATTCCAAAAACAGCCTAATCTCATGCCTGGTACGATTTAAGAGTGTAATTTATGTATCTTTGTTAATTATTAACCGGATTACGGACCACTTTTGGTCGACCAACCATTCTCGGAACAAAACTTACTTCAAAATAAACAGAGAATGTCATTACACAGCTCGCTACCTGAAAAAAAACTTGGAATTATGGAAATTAAGTTTTGGTTAGGGTGAATAATTATTATGAAATGTTGGGGAGGGCAAACATCTACTATAATATTAGGTTTTTGAGCAGAGAAACTGTTAAATAAACGTCTTTACGAGGCAGACGCCTACTATAATATAGTTTTTAGGCCTGAAAATATTCATAAAACTTTTGTTAAAAAAAAATTTTTTTTTACTTTTTTGGTTTTTTTTGAAACGTAGCTAAATCTCCCTTATTTAGGAAAAAATCGACCCTCCCTAACAAAAAAAATTAAAATTGAATTTTTAAATTTAAAACCCCTTCCCACTTTTAAAAAATTTAAAAATCGACCCCGTAATCAAAAAAAAATTTTTTTACCCTGCCCACCCTTATCATACTATTTAAAAGCTTCTCTGCCTCCGGGTAAACAAGGTTTTTTTAATTTCAAAATAAAATAAAAAATGAAAATAAAATAAATAAAACCTTTAAAAAATTTTTAAAATAAGCATGCCACTTTGAATTATGATATATAGAACCCACCAGTAAATCCGAAACCGCCAGTGACACAATTAAAAAATTGGTCACCGTTTGAAGCGACTTGTCCTTGCACACGGCCAGTAGTACCAACACATTGCCGAATATAGTTAAGGTGGGTATGATGGCCAGGAAAAGCGCCAACGGCTTGGTTTGATTCTCCTGTAGCGTAATGGCGGACGTTATGTCCATCATTTATTGTTTTGCCGCATTGTGTGTAAAAGTGGTATATGTCTGTTTTAGTAAGTTGATTGTGGTATATGTATGTTGTAGTTGATTGTGGTACAGATGTAGGTAATGAGATGATGGTAGGTTAGGTATGGCAGTTTTGGTAAAAGATTGTTTTTAGGGGTAGATAGGTTGAATTAGTACTATGTAGGTTATGGAGAGTACTGTAGAGCTATGAAACAGTAGAAACTGACCCACAACTACCTAAAACAAGCCTAATATTATAATGTAAGTACAAAATTGTAAATTAATGTTATATAAGCAATATTTTAGAAAAAAATTTCAGCACCAAAACCCTGCTATACTAGGTAAATATCAACGACCCATTTAACAACAATAACCTGAATTATAATTTATGTATCTTGTGTCTTAAAACCCTTTACGTAGGCATATTCCAATGAACACAAACATCGTCGTATGTATATAAATACACGTTCGAAAGAAACGTGTACGTAAAACAGGATCTTCTGGACATGAACGATGACTAATATCTCAATGGCTTCAGTTTACTTATAACTTTTAGCTTTTTAAACTCAAAATTTAGGCCGGGGCTTCTATATAGCCATTCCTAGCCGTAGTCTTGCCGTAGTACTAGCCCTAGCCTTAGCATTAGCTCTAGCTATATCCCGAGTCTTAACTTTAGTCCAAACCCTAGCCGTTGCCTACCTTACCTTACGCCTCCCTTAATAGACATCCGTATATAACCTTCCAGTATGGCTACCCTACACTACTACATGATCCTATTAGACTGTACCGTTCACGCTCTATTGTATGATTACTTTAGGCTACATTCAGGGCCGGGCGGGGACTCTTGGTCTGGGGGCAGGAGTCGGAAAAATCGACACAGGTCCAAAAATCCACAGGGGGGGGACCACGTTCAACTTTTTTTCGAAAATTTTTTTTCTGGGGAGGAGGATCCCTTCTCGTCCACCTCCCCCCTCCCCCCAGAAGCCCGGCCCTGGCTACATTACTATTAAGACGCTTATAAAATACGCAGTAAAATTTTTCGTCAATAACTAACATTTATCAGCTTTGACTAACAGTCAGTGTTTTGCCGGACGGGCCGAAACAAAAATTTTTGCGGACCGGACCGGACCCAAAAACCTGCGGATCCGGACTGTAGAAAAAGCTCCGGACCGGTCCGGAAGAAAATTTTTTTTTTATTTTAATAGAACTGATTTAAAAATTGCAATTAGAATGTATTTTTATGAGTTTTTTAAGCAAAAAAGAAAGCAGTTTTAGCGCTCCTTTGCTTTTTTTAAAAACAAAAAAGAAAAATTTTATGCGGACCGGACCGGACCCAAAAATTTAAGGTTTGGACCGGACCGGACCCGAAAATCGCCGGACCGGATCGGTGAAAGAACGCTCCGCACCGATCCGGGCAAAACACTGCTAACAGTAATCACTAAAAACTCAAAATCCCAAAAACCGTACGTTCACATTCACCACCCCTCCCCCCCAACCTACTGTTATCTAAAAATACTCAAAGCGAACGCACCGTGTTCAACGCGCCCCAGGACTGGAACTGTGACGGCGGCGGCCAGATGTCAAAGATATGAATGAAGTCTTCCGGGAGCGAAAAGAACGATGATGACGTTCCGCGGCTTTTGTCGCTGTTTCACTGTGCTCCACGTTTCTAAAATGAGCATGCAAATTAGGCAACAAAAAAAATTGAAGCAACTACTCAAAAAATGTTTAGTGGGATGTATATTGTTCTTCTAGAGATGAGTATCTTAATTTAGAATCAACAAAGAATGGCAAAACAAAGAAAAAACATTGGGTGACAGTTTTTGGGGAGGTGTAAGTAAGAAATGAGTGGGGTTGCTGAGTAGGCAGAATTTACGTATTGTTGATGACTACGTAATTTTCTAGACAATTTCAAATTTCGGCCGAAAATGATGATTTTAGTGACAGTTTTTGACAAAGAACAAGAAATTAAGCCAAAAAAAACTAAAAAAAGTTTGATTTTAAAACCAAAAAGTACTAATATTTAAAATATTTTTGAATTTGATATAATATAGTACTAATTAATACTATAATAAAAAAATTTTTTTTAGGTACTGTGTAGTACTAAATATTAAGTGCCAACATAAAAAACCACCATTTTTTACAGAAAATTACGCGAAAAGTATGGCGGGTTCTTTATGTTGGCACCTAATAGTACTCAAAAACAAAAAAAATTGTGTTTGCAGACACATTTTGCTACTATAACATCATTTATCCGTTATACCTTTTCTATTACACATTACTTTAAAAATTTGACTTTCCATTCAATACCCCCTTAACTAACCACCCTCAAAACCCAATAATTTCCAAATGCCATCCCCCCCACCCTCCCACAAAAAACAAGTAACCCAAACAGAACACGACCCCAAAGGTCGTGTTAAAACGTTTGTCCTACAAATCGAATTAAACGAAATTTTAAAAACCATTTCCAATTCCACCCCATTAATAATGTGATGACACAACATGTGCCGCCAAGATAATGTCATGTGCACAAAGAAGCACTATAAATCACACGGAAGTGGTTAATATTATAAAATAATGGGGGGAGTCAGTTTTTAAATTTGAAAAATTTTCTTAAGTGCTAGAAGATCTAAATAAAACATCATGTTCCGTCTGGCATAACAATATTGTACGATTTTTTTGATGATGTTATGAAACGTGCAGAAAACGTGACTTTTATCGTTTAAAGTTTTAGTTTTTTGCAAAGTTTTTCTTTTAGTTTAAAATTGAAGTAAGGGAAAAAAGTGTCCCGATACTTTTGTTTCAACCTATTAAATCAAAGTATGATAAAATTACATTTTCTGCCAACTAAAAAGCTTTAGAAGTACAGTTTATATTTATTTATTTAAAAAAATAAAAAATAATGATACCGTTTGACTATTGTGATAATCATTATTTAATCAGCTGCCCATACTTTCGTTTTTTAAATTTTATACTACACTAAAAGCTGCCCTTTTTTTATTTTATGTATACTAACTGCAATGCAAGAATAAATTGTAATATTTCCTTCGAAACTACCCTATCCTACGCTACTTTACAATGCATCATTCAACCCTACCCTACTCTACCATACCCCAACCTATTCATATTAAAGAGTAGAGCAAAGTGATCCTACTGTCATCATCGTAGTAAAAAACGTTTAATGTCATCATAATTACAAATAAGCCCCCTCTCAACTATTCTATGTCAAAAAATACCCAACCAAATTCACTTTTTTTTATCAACTGCTCTAACACAAAATGGCATTCTCCAGACATTTTAATTTTTCTACAAATCCCAGAAGTTATGTTGCCAACCCGTCATTTTTTCATACACAGCAAAAGATACGTCCATTTGCATTTCGATGTAAAAAAACAAAAAGTAACGTGTTTTTGCAAACAGCCAAAAAAGTCATCAAAAAATGCTTAAGGATCCCATTGTAAATAAAAAAACCGCTTATATTAAAAAAAGTAAATGTTCTACTGAGTTTACGTACACAGTCATGGCTGTGGTATGTTATGTTATTGAGGTTACATTTAATGTTTTTGATCTCTTGATACAGTAAAAACAAAGCAGTAAATCAAGAAGGAGGTAAAGTAGGGTAAGGTAAAATAGGAAAAGGCAATTTAAAAGCGAGTAACTCAGAATAGGGTAGGTGTAAGAAAAGTTAGATTACGGTAGGGTAAGGTAGGGTAGGGTAGGGTAGGGTAGGGTAGGGTAGGGTAGGGTAGGGTAGGGTAGGGTAGAGAAAAAACAAGGTATGGTAAATTAGGGTAAGGTAGGGTAGAGTCCAAAAAAAAGCAACATATCACCCTAATTTTGATGTCGCTATAAACTGACATAATACTATTGTTGGCTCCGTTCGAGCGGTAAATTGAAGCCGCGGACGGAACGTTTCTCATTGTCTTTGGGGATTCGGCGCTTCCCAACCCCTGAGAGTTTCTACCACGGCCGTAAAAGTACGATTCAACTATATAATGTGCCTATACACTCATCACGTTTTATGTGTTAAATGAAGGGGAGGGGGAAGGGGGAGGGGAGTTAAGTATTTGGCATTTTTTGAGAAGTTTGTGAAAATTTTAAAAACAGTTAGATATAAAAGTAAATTTTTAACTAATTTGTTGAAAAACCCACTCGTTCACGCTTTACCAAAGCCTACCGTGCGCCTTCTGATTTACCTGATCCTTATCTTAGCCTACCTAACTAAAAAATTTAAAAAAATAATTTTAACCCAGAGAAATGATGTAAAGCTACAATATTATATTTTAATTCCTTACAAGACTTCCTCTATTATAATATACAGAAGACCCTGAAATGTTAAAAACATGTACTGTCTCTAATTGCGCGCTCCTTCTTACACCAAATTTTTGAAATTTCTTGCAAAAAATGGCATTAACATTGATTCGTCCTGCCGTGTTTTAGCTCTTCCTTAGCTTTAGCCCTAACCTTAGCCGTAGTCATAGTTCAGTCCCAATTTTAGCTTGTCCTAGAACTAGCGCTAGCGTTGCCCTAAGCTTTAGACTGTCTTAGAACGGTCCCTAGGTCTAGCCTTAGCCTAAAACTAGCCCTAAAAAAAAATCAAAAAGTTTTAAAAACCAACCTTGCACCCTTCTTGCTCCTCCTAGTCAACGACAACCTCTTCTTCTCGATCAACTTCACGTCCACCAAGATCAACGAGTAGCGTTTGCCGCCGTGAAAGGTCGCCTGTGCCTGTGGTACAAATAGAAGCTTGGACGAAAACAACTGTCTGGCCGTTAAGCGGAATTGCTCAGACATGGAACAGTAAATCGAAAACTGAATCGGCGACGTGAGCACAATGAGCAGATTCCTGAAACGAGACCTGTCCGTTACAGTGTTGTTGTTGTTTTTCTACCGTAAATGTGACGGGGTTTGTCATTTGCAGATGACTATTATTATTTGCTACATTGTTGTTGGTATCTTATGTATAATAAAAAAATTTTAGTTACGAAAAAAAAAATTCTATTGCAAAATAAAAAATTTTAAACTTTTACACCTCTTATTAAAATTCACAAAAAAAATCCCTCCCACCTTCAAAATACCCCTCCTCCCTTTCCCCAGCCTTCCACTTCTGTCTAAATATGTCAATCCCAGTACGATAACAATAATCTTCCAAAAATACGTTTCTGTCTACCCAAGAGAATAATATTTTGATTATAACAATGGTTTATAGACAATATCTTGATTAAATGTATATTCAATAGAACTACAGTAACCTATAGTTTAATCTATCTTTATTTTGAAAACCTATACTGAGATCAATATAACAATAGAATACTTTTTAAGCGCCAGATAATAATATACTCTGCTCTTACGGAGCATTACCTAATATTATAGCAATGATACAACTATATAGCCTTAGAGAAATTAAAAGAAATGGTATTGCGCAACATTTTCTTATGTAATATTGTTATTTTTGTAATATTTTCCTCGATGTAAAACGACTCAACAAATGACTGCGAGTGTTGGGATCTCATTTCAAATTTCACCGAGGTATTTCCTATTACCTGCCTGACAATTTGAGTATAAATTCTACCCTGCTCTGACTTACTTTACTCTACAATACTCTCGCATACCACACCCTGTATTGCATTATAATACCCTATATTGCCCTGCCTTCAAAACCGATTTTTACTAGCTTCAGACATAGTAATATACATGTCAAAACTACTTTCGTCTTGAACAATAACAAAAGTATAATAAAATTATGTAGTAGGATTAAAGTGTTAATCTGTTTTAAATACCACATGTCTTATTGCTTATGATATATTATAAGCTACGTTCAGACAGAAATCAAATTGTACGACTTCTGGATGCGATAATGGTATGTTTTCAATAACAACAGGAGTTTTGAAACATCTCTCCTACGTTATCCTACCCTACTCTAATACATTTTACGCTATCCTATCCTATCCAACTTTACCTTAAACTACCCTAAACTACCCTACCCTACCCTACCCTACCCTACCCTACCCTACCCTACCCTACCCTACCCTACTCTATCCCACCCTACTATTACATGTGATATAAATATAATACTTAAAAAATTATATTCATCAACATAAACAAAAACAGAATCCGTAACAGGTAATGCTTTAAATGTTACAACAAAAATCTTTAAGCATAATCAACAGAATCCCACAAATGCTGGAGTAATTATGTAAACATTCTGAAGGTGGCTACACAAAAGGCATGCTAGGAAATACTCAAAAACACATTTTTCAGCACATTGTGTACACTAATTCTCAAGTGGTGTCACCGTAAATAAACCCGTCGGCTACAAATTCATATTGGGTGAAGAAAAAAATTGTGTTTCAAGGTCCGAAATTTGCATGTGTTGTATTTGTTTTGGTTTGTTACGCATAAGTAATCATAATAAGCCTAAATTTATTAAAACCTTACGTTATACTGAGGTTAAATCTACCAAGCACTGAACCTCAGCCTATATTTTGAAAGCCTACGCTTAATATGTCTAAGCTAACTTAGCCTAAATCTATTTTGTTTAAATTGGCTGAACATGACTCTACTAAACCTAAGCCTGCTAACCCTAAGCCTACTAAGCCTAAACCTAAATCTAAGCCTAATAAACTTAAAGCTTTAAAAAATTAGCCCACTAGCTCCAACTCTGCTACGCTTAAGCCGATCGCAAGCCCATAATATATAAGTAAACAAATATGATGTATATAAAAGTACTTTTTCCCCTCACAACACACTGATCTACGTCTATATACAACAACAACATCCCAACAAACTTCCGAACCCACCCCCTTTCCAATAAAAACCCATCTATCCACCCTCAACAAAGTTTGTCCGAGGAATGCCAAATTAACGCGAATTTTTGGACAAAACTCTCAGCCACTTCATTGTCATCTAACTCAATTTAATTAATAATTTACAACACGAAAAAACTTCCTCATCAAGGCTGGCGGCGTTACTGATTGACAAGCCCCCTGTAAGCGTGGGGCCCAGGAGAGTTTTCAGAACCCCACAAAAACATGACTCGTATCTTCTTGTTGAAATGTAATGTCTACCGCCCCTATATTTTGTCTTTTTTTCGTCCTTACTTTATTCCGGAATGTCTTCGTGTGGATATGCGTTCCGAGTTTCGTCGAGGTTGAACGCCCATTAATTCCCGGAATTACAGCGACCGGCTACTTTGGTTGTTTTTGTGTTATTAGGCAAAGTGCAAGCCATGTTTTGATTTTAGGAGTAGGGTTGTAAAAAACTCACAGTAGACTCAGTTTTTGATCGACGTCATAAAACTTTACAGTAGGTTTACTTTTATGGTAATTAGTTACAAGAAAATTTGGAAGAATCTAACACTAAACGACCTAAGACCTAGACTAAAAACTATGACATGATAAGGCGATAGCAAGTGTTACTGTGCAGCTACATTTAAAACACAGTAAGACAGTAAGGCAAGTATTATAAAGTTAGTGAAGGACTTATGTAGAGATGACATAAACCTACCTTAACTGATAAGTATCTCTGTCTTAAGTAAGGCTTTTTTTTGAATGTACCATTAACTTAAACTTGGCTTTCTTACAATTACGAATAATTTAAGCCTAAAATCAACGTAAGTCTACTATTTACCATGCTTTACCATGAAATTACTACTAGATGTACCTACAACATAAATCTACTGTATCCTGTGACTTTTATAGTCCATTCTTAACTCTACTGTGACTTCTATCTCATAAATTTACTGTGGCTTCAAAAGTACATTAAAGCATGCACTTAATGTCAGAATACTATTGACACAAACTACTGTATTTACCCCAATTTTAAGTTCTTATAAGATGACCTTCTACTTACAACATTTAATTTAACCCTCCACTGAATCGCTTCATTACCAACCACAAACACACTTTTAGCATACCTCATAACAGTAAAAACCCAGGGTTCACACCACCATGGTTTAGATCAAACCTAGAGAGTTATCACTGATACTGAGTCGGTATCCCTCGGCTTCTTTTACTTATTGATTTATCGTTCAAAGCCCCTGCCATTTTTGATTATTTTGTTCATCAAAGTTCCAAAATAAAGTTTTTGCTAATACACAATGCATGAAAAGTTCAAAACATTTTTAATTTTTAAATTAACTAAAGGTAAAACCACAAAATCTACCCCTTCCCAAACCCAATTGTCAATTTCAAAAAACTCGTTCCAATCCAAATTCACTACCCCAAGCCAAAAAACAGAGCCATTAACATAAAACAAGCATTACCTGATTATAAGCGCCACATTAAGAAGTCGATACGCCCATGGCGAATGAAGTAAATGAGTGGCAATAAAATAATGGGAAATAAAAATGAATGCGGCCGGAATCTGAAAAGCCAAAGAATTAAATTCATTTCGAACTGCACTTTTGTGTCGCTTAATTTCCAATGTTTACTACGTTTATCGACAAACATCGGCGGAAATTAAAACAGTATAAATAGGAGTTTTTATAGGCTGTATGGGTTACTGTAATGGGTTTAAAGTTTAAAGAAAGTGTTTTTTTAGGTTCAAAAGTTGACTTGGCAACTTTGAATGACTTTAAAAATAGAAATTAATAGCAAAAAAATTAATTAACAGTGAAATGACAAAAAAATTATTTTAAAGCACAACGTACAGTATAAGTACCGTACCCGAATTTAGTAACTAAAAAATAATAACTGGTCAAAGTACTAGTAAACAAACAATGTTAATATCGGCAAAGTAACGGAAATTCACTTTTTTTAAGTATATGTTTCCTTATTTTTCTCATCCGTAATGTAAACACGTGGGTTCAATTTTTATTTATGGGGCCACTTTTTGTGTTTACCTAACTTAAGTTTTGGCATAATAAAAAAGAGATTTGAAAATGTTATGCTAACCGTATTTTACCTTAGTTTTACCCCAACATAGCCTATCCTAACTTATTCTGCCCACCTATCTGACCCTGCTTTACCCTAAATTACAGTATCCCACCCTACTCCCCATGTCGTATCTCGTCATACGTTACACAGTCATATAAAAATTGATGCCAAATTATAATAAAAGGCTTCCTTCCCTACCTCAACAGTCAAAAACACCACGCAGATCACGAATAGCATACGATTGGTCGCATACAACGACCGCCTCGAATTCGTATTATTTGGCAATTCGTCCGACGCCTCCGGCTCTTCGGCACTTAGGAACCAGCTCCGCTTGCGTAGTTCTGTCTTTTTCAGGGTGTTGGCTAACTTGTACGTAAATATCTAAATTAATCCAACAGTGTCAGTTAAGGAAGACTTATATGTAATATATATACGAGAGTGTCATTCGAATTTACGGCTTCTGGATTCGAGTTCGAATTGAGTTTATTTCAGGAAAAAATTAATGTTTTGTTGCAAAAAATGGTTTTCAATGCAAAAAAATTTTTTTAATGCAAAAAATGACATTTTTGGATGCGTAAGATAATTGAAGGAACGTGTACGTTCGTAGTGTAGTGGGTAAAAGACGTTTTTATTATACAAAACCACTTTTTTTAAGTTTTTTTTAAAGCCAAAGTCTTTAACATCGTTACTAAGCTCAACATTGCCTATGACATTAGCCACTAATAACAAAAGTCTTTACAATATTAACTTACCGTTAACAAAAAGCAGGGTAAAAGATGTACAAATAACGCCTTAATCCAGTATAACAGTGAATAAAACATCTTCACCCCAAGCAGATCCATAGTAATAAACGTATACTTAATCACACAATATTGACGTCCATTAAAGGGCAACGATGTTGTGTACTTGCCAGTCAATGCTGGTAACTCTAGAATAATAGAAAACTAGACAAAAATACGAAATATAGGCTCACTTACTACAAAAATTCCTAAAATAATCGACTTTGTCCGACTTGGCGTACAAAGGTGCGGAATCGCAGTTGGTACTACCACGTAGACGTAGCGTTGAATTGCGAGGAACACAGTAAGCCATACCCCTAAAAATAAAGTAAGCTATACCACTAAAAATAAAAATTTTAATCATTGAAGATGACTAACTCTAACATTATGAAGATAAGCTAAATGTAAGCCATAAAACCTAAAGTAACGTCTTACCCATTGTATGCCAAAAAGCTGGCAGTAGCTGTGAAAGATATGGATATACTGTACACCATATTGTAGGAAGTCCATCAGTTTCATCAGTTTTGTACCCTTCCATAGTATAGTAAAATACCATCCATGGTATTGAGGATATGCCTAAAAACACTAAATTTTATGCTTTGCTAAAGCTACAGTAAGCAAATAAAAAATACTAAAAAATTTTTAATATTCAAAATTTAGCTTATTAAATTATTGTTGTTACAGAGCACTCCTGCATACCGGTCAATAAGTCTGTAGCCGCCATAGATAACAAAACAAGATTAGTAGGAGTTCGAAGATGCTTTTGCAGTAGTACGGTAATTATAAAAGTGTTGGTCACAACAGTAATTGATACCACCGATGGTAGCACAAACCCGTATATTGGTATTGCTACATCCTGTAACGTTTTTTATATAACATGTAATATGTAAACAAAACTTTTCTCTCCGCATCTTTAACAATCCTACCTTATCCTCTCCTACTTCTGTCTCTTTATAAAGCCCAAAAAACCCCGCCACCTCACTGAAACTTGACAAAATAGACCAAAAGATAAACTAGACAAAAACTCCTACCAATGGTACATTCTGACTGATATTGATTAGTGACCAACAGTTTTCGCATCTCTCCATGGCTACATTCAAAAGTTTTGTCTGGAAAAAAAACAAGACATGCGGCCATAAATTGGGCTCGTTAGGAATTCCATTCAAGCGTTTCGATAAAACATCCAAGCAAAAAAGTTAATTATTAAACTAAAAATTAATATGCATAGCTAGCTAAAGCGGAACCAAAACAAACCCTAACTGTACGAAGAACAAAAGCTGTTTTGATGGTTCACTCTAAAAGGTATCAGTGGAATTTAGAAAATTGCGGCTTAATGATACTTCCATGAAATAACAATCTGCGCACTCAAGTGCAACGTGAAATTGAGTTATCTTGGCTATTTTTAGCCGAGTAGCTGTGGATTTTAAAAACTTACAAAGAATTTAATAAAAAATTAAAAATAATATTGGTTATGGTATTTTGAACAAACTTTCCCTACTGTGGAACCAAAAAATCTTCTATTTTATACTGCAGTATATTTATTTAAAAGCACCGAAACATGAGAATATAATTAAGGACTTCCTTTAAAGTAAACCAAAGCTTCAGCGTGATCCAGTGTACATGCATCATAAGTCGTCTGTTGCAAATTTGTCAGCTCATATGTATAAATTGCTTTTAACTCATAGTTGTCTCTTTTAATCGAAATCTCAAAAGTTGTTGCGCTTGCATATTTTATAGTCAGATCAACTTGTTTTGTGCCTTTCAGCTCCACGTCATAACGAGCTAACGCTATCTTATTACCATGTGTTGCACGAAATACAAGCAAACTATTTTCGCTTCGAAGCAGCCGAAGGTCAAAGATGTGATCGTCGTTGGCAACAACTCCAAATTTAAATCAAACTTAGTAAGATTGTATATGATCTCGATTGATTTACCTGAAAGTATAGCATAGGTTTGTTATATAGTGTTGCCTTTATACAGTAAACTATCTGTATAAGCGACTCTCATTATAGAACAAAAAATTTTTCCTCGCCAAGGCAATTTTCATTAAAAATCACTCTGTAAAATACTGACCGACATTTCGTGTTTACTATAGAGGGTGTTGGTTGCTTATTTTGAAAGAGTTGTACTTCAAAGATTTGTAAAACTAGCTGTATTAATAATATATAAACTCATTAATCAAAACAAAAGTTAAATAACTAAAAACAAAAACCTTACCAACGTTGAATTCTTTATTAAGAGGCACGATTGGCGGTTGTTGAGCTTGAGCATACGTTGACAAAATAACTACCTAAAATAATAGTAACTAAAAACCATGAATGTCCTTACCAAAACAACACCAAGAATCTTGTACATCTTCAATGGTTACTCAGTAGTTCAATCACTGTTGTATTTGGTTCTTTTTTCAATTTGGTACCTCCTTATATACTGATTTTTTTAAATGTTTTTAATTAAAAATTTACAAATTTCATTGTTTTTGTGGCATTTAAAAACATTATTCCTTGTCATTTCTTGTTTAAAAATTCAATTATCAAAACAAAACAAACATCTGTACAAAATGATTATTATAATTTGTAATTAAAAAAATATTAATTACAAATTTTCAATATGTATTGTACAAATTTTCAGCGTCTTTCAACGTTTTTTTAAATGTTTGTTCCACAGTATAACTACAAGATACCACAAAAAACATACGCTGATCGACATCTCAGCAATCAATAAATTACCGAAGCGTAAAACATGAATTTGTTATTTTTTGAGTATTTTTCGTTAAAAGCGATGTTATCACCTTTTGTTTGTCGAAGCGATTGGTCCACTTGAAATTGTTCTGACCTCATCTTAATTTCAGTCTACAACGCGCTAATACTTTTCGCACAAGAACTTGTTTTAAAGTACAGCCGCAGGGTTTTGATAAGTTTTATTAGTTCGATTCATCATTGTATCTATTAGTTTTCAAGTTTTATGACTATTAAAAGTGACAGGTTGTTTTGAACTGTAAATAGTTAAACTATAACTGATTTTATTGTAACATTACTTCATAGTTTAGTAATAAATCTAAAATCTTGATTTAAAACAAATAAAATATACTTTACTACCGTACTTATGCTTTACAACTGTCTCGATATTCTGTAAACCATTTTCTAATCAAACATTGCCGAAAATTCAAAACAATATCCCACCATATTAAAGACATCTATGTACTATAACATTACCTAATCGTTTACTATAAGTCTTCACAATGGATTCAGAAGCCTTCAAGGTATTAGAAAAATACTGTAAACGCAGATACAGACATGGATCAGCTCATTACTACGCTGAGACATCCAACGTATCTAATCAGAACATAAGCTCTACATTCCATGGCCTTTCAAATGACAATTTATGGCAATCGCCGTTTCAAAGCGCCCAAAATGTTGTTGAACTTGCTGAAGGCGTCAGGTAAGATGCTGTACTCTACTATCCTACTCTCTTCTCCAGTCCATCGTCTCTTCCCCAATTTTTTCCACACCCAGCCTACTCTGTCCACCATTCGTCCCAGACGGAGGCTACAACTACTTTTTAACTTTCAGCCAAAAATCAGCGACAGTATCAAAGTTCCGTCAAATTTGGCTACGCTTCAAAAATTTCTACACTAATTATGGTTTAAAATATCTCTCAATCATAGCTTTAACAATGGCATTTGCACTGCTCGGTGGCTTAATGTTCTATCATTTGGAAGCGCAAGCAGAAATTGATCGGCTTGAAACCGTTAATAAGGTAAGCTCCAAAGGCTTACTTTATTTAGATTTTTAAAAAAATTAAATTCCGAAAATTCCATTTGTCAATTTTTTCAGATAATCCGCCAACGACAAGAAATTTTGTTATCAGACATTAACAACCTGGTTGAGTCACCAAGTTGTTTTAAGCAGCGATCACATATGTTTGAGCCTTTAAATGTCAGATGCAAACGAAAATTACTAACTGTAATCAAAGATTACACCCAAGCGGTAAAATATGACACGTGTGGTCCTGACTCCAAATGGGTATGGGACTATTGGAACGCAGTGTTCTTTGCGTTGTCACTTATGACTACTATCGGTAAGGTCATATAATATTAACATTAATAGCAAATCAACAAATCAATTATGATAGCAATAAACATAACTACTATAATTTAAAAAATCATTAAAATATATAAAATCTATAAAATCAAATATAAAACCAATAATAAATCATTCAGGTTACGGTAACATGTACTGCAAAACGTACCAAGGTAGAATTGCTACAATATTTTATGGCCTTCTCGGTATACCTATCATGTTGATATTGCTTAATACTATTGGCCACTTTTTCTTCAATAATCTTCAAGCTCTTTGGGAAACTACTACTAGGTAATCCTGTCTACCTACCCTACTTAACCCTATTCTTATTCTACCTAACATGCTCTATTTCACCTTGTCCCTTCTTATACACAACCTGGCCTTAATCAACCTTTTGTTATCATATCCTATTTTTAGGTATATAAAATCCAAAACCCGTGCAATAAGACGTCGTATACGATGGAACCGCAAGCATACGACTGCGAGCAACGAAGAAAAGGTGTTTAATGTAATTTAATTTTCCACTAACCTAGTAAAATCATACTTTTAGGTAGCGGAAGACAGTGAAACTTTAAGCGAAGATGACATTTTTCAAACATATCCATTATTTTTGGCTTTGGCCATAGTTTTCACTTATATTATGTTATGTTCATTGATATTGCGGTTATGGGAAGAATGGGATTGGTTTACGGCTTTTTACTTTCTGTTCATCTCAATGAGTACCATTGGTATGTTGGCGTATAAAAAATTCTTAAAAATTTAATTTAGGGCTTGGAGATGAAATGCCAGATCATCCTCATTATGCCTCATGTAAGTTTAGATATACTTGTTTGTAAACAATCTATATTAGACTTAAAATAACATCTCAAATATATCAATAATTATTTTAGGCTTCTTCATCTTCTTCATAATAGGCCTATCACTGGTCTCTATGTGCATATCAATGTTACAAATGCGTGTGGAAAACCGATATATGCAAGCTTTACAATTGATCGATGAACAACGGCAAACTTTGTTTGCTAGTATTAGAAAAGACAAGGTAGAAGATGAAGTAGAAGCTATAGATGAGAATCAAAACAAAAATGTACAAAAAGAAGCCGACGATGATACCAAAAACATGCTTGGAGTCAGATGGAGAGGAACCAGTAGGCCTAATAGCAGTATGTTGAAACAATTTTTAATTACTTTACCTCGTCTTAGGCGGCCTTACTCTACTTTACTTTACCCTACGCTACTCTATTTTACATGATACGCCCTGCTTTAACCCAGTTTACCTTGTTATTAAATGTAACCTTATAATAGTAACCATCTATGAAATTAGAATTTTCAGACGACAGTGTGTTTTCGGATCCGTTCTTTACATCGCCAATACTACAAACTCTGTTCCGTTACTCGCAACACGGCGATCAACGAAACAATAGAATGTAAGGAAAATAAATCGTATCAAAGTTTAGCTAACAAGCTAACCAAGCATAGTACTCTTTCTCAGCTCTAGCTGAAGCCTAATTTTCTTACGATAACTTGCACTCCTAATCCCGTCGTTTTAGGTCAGAACAGTCGATGCGACGTGAAGCACCGCTAGCGAAAGTTGATTTTGAGGTTAGTTGATGTACCCACTAATTAGCGTGCTTTAAGGCTGACGATGGCGCAAATGAGCGGTTCTGAGGTTCTACGATGGCGCAAGAAACCGCCTACGAGCAAGTTTTCCAACGTAACAAGTTGGAGCGATTAGTCAGTAAACTAACGTAATATCTCGTAGCCGGTCAAGAGTTGTTTTTGCGGTATACAACAGTGAACGGAGGCATTTAACTATTTTTACAGTGTTTTTCAGATCTACAGTGTTTATAGTGGTTACAGTGTTTACAATATTGCAGTATAATATTTTTTATCTTTAGCATATGTTGTAGTTTGTGGTGATATAAATAGTTGCTTTAAAAATATTTTATGTATGATTAATTAATAAACTTCATAATATTAACCTTGTACTGAAAACTTAAAAAATTCTTGCTCCACAGTACTCAAAATTGACAAAAATTTAACTTTTTTTAATTTTTACTTTATACAATAGCACAGTAATTACTTTTTTGTAATTAACGTTACAAATAGTTCGAACCCTATCTGTTATAAAACCATATCCTGTTCCTCCCCAAACCCTCTATTGTCTCCCCCAAATCAGTAAGCTAGAGTTGTTTTCATTGTCGTAACCATATTCGTCATCCGTTATTAAAACAACGCTTCTCGTCGCGTGAATTGATAGATGCGCTCCAGGCTTTATCCCACAAGACGAAACATGTTGTTGCTTAAACGTCTTGAAACGTTTTTCATTACATAAAACCGCGCGATCTACACCAGCCGATCGCAAAAACGGCGCGGTGTCTATGAATCTCTCTATTTTTTCGGCGGGATGAATCCGAAGATTCGCCATCGGTTTTTATTGAAAAACTTTCGCCCCGCTGAGAGTTTCTTTTCAACGCCAATTTATCTGACCCATACCCAGAAGCCGTTCAACAAACCGAGCGGAAGTCGTTTCAATTCCTTTAAGCAAACGTTTCGAGTCAGGTTTACCACTGTGAGGATGCGATTTGCAGATTTCTGATCGTGTTTACTTTAAAAGCGATTTATGACTTTGGTTCATGGAAATTAGGTTATGACGTTTTTTTGTTGAACTTTCAATCGTTTTCAATTTGTTTTTTCGTTCCATGTTTTTTGTTATTGTATCATCGTTTCCTTTTTCGCAGTTATAAAAAGTTTCTTCACTATACATACAGTTATATTATATTTACAGTAAACCCTCGTGTTAGCCGTCAAACTTATTTATCTTTAAAAACTCTAGTTAATTATAAAAATTTTACTATTTTTAAAATTTCCTGAGACTTCAATATTTCCAAATTCTACAAAATTTTAGATGGACTTATATGCCATACCAATTCATCACATAGGTGGTGTGAAAGTTCCATCAAACAAACGAGAAAATCGCGAACTAAAAGCTGGCCTAGAAGAAGATGACAATGAAGACATAGCTTACTTAAATTTTAAATTAGTATGGTAAGTAACAATATAAAAAGCAGTTTATTATTATACTACCTTTAAAAAAAAGAAATTTATGACTTTTTTTTATAAAAACCTTACTATAATTATGCTTTTCAATACCCTACCGTAACTTTTAAAACAAAAAAAGATTTAATATTTTTAGGCCAATGATAGCAACATCAGCGGTATCAACAGTTTTTCTAATCTTAACAGTACTCAGTATGAATGTGAATCCGCATACATCTTTTGAAAACTTTTCCTTAAACAAACTGTTCTTCTCGTATGGAAAAAACGTCGGATTTTGTAATGTAAGTACTAAAATATTTTTTTTACATTTAGAGTAACATGGCTGATTATACTTTATGCATCCAACTTCTCAACTTTTAAATACTAGAGAATACAAATGTAAAAAATTCAGAATACCCACCCATACGAACCGGGAATGTACCCATCATTGTTACGTCATGTTGAACTTAAAGTACTTTGCAATATTTTCTTCCGTGTAGCCGTATGTGTACCATTGGCTATAAGGTTGTTTATGGCCATGTTGTTAAGGTATGTTTTCTTTTTATTAAGGTTTCTTTTCGAAATATGGTTTAAACTTCTCTGATTTAAATTTTCCAATTTCAGAAATGAAAGTCATTCTGACGCTGAAATTGCTACAAATGTGTTCAAACGTACGGCCAATGAAGTAGCCCAAATATTGGGATTCATTGGCCCATTGGCCTTATCATTGTTTTCTATTATTACTATCAGGTTCGACTTTCCAGGTAAATTTTCATTTTTTACTAGTGTTTGCTTTAATCTAGAAGGAGAATAGACAGACGTATTTTACTTTTACAACTGACCAAACTTATAATATACCTTTCAGACGTGTATCGTATGTGTTTCTCGACCTACATAGTAACTACAACCGTCTATATGGTACTCCGTTTCGGCCTCTCTTTCGGCCGAGTCAATCAAGAGTGTTGGGACTCTGTATCAGTCTACCTCAAGGGAATCTGTATGCTAATCTTTATTTGGACAAGCAGTAAATTCCTCGACCTTCACCTACGTTTCATTCAGGAAACCGGCTGTCACGGGTACGTGAGTCCTCGCGATGCATTGAACGAGTACTTTTGTTGGGGTTCGTACTTCGTCTTTCATTTAACCAGCTTGATTGACATTCGCGACATAAGATTCATTTGTTACCCACGAACCGGCGCGGGCGAGTGTGAAACCTTGAAGCCGGAGAACTTCAAAAAAGGCGGCAAATACGAGCACTGTCGGTCGTATGAGCTGCGACAGCGACAATTGTTGGGCCGGTAAAAATAGAATTTTAAACCGGTGATTGTTTGGGTATAGTTTCGCTTTTTGAACTGTTTTTAATACATTCATTGTTTTGTCATACCGTGTCAACAACTGAGTGTTTGCTAATTTGCTAATGTTTACCCTGACATATGAGACAATTGCTTATTTATGTTTTCGGTTTTACCTCTTTCAAAAACTGTCAACACAGAACGACACGATCTATCATGTTTTTACATTCGATATTTTACTTGTTTTTAGTTTATTTGCCATATCTTGTTATCAATTATTCTTGTATATATCTTGTTTTAAAACTTTTTTAATCACATTTGCTTCGGGTGTATTTATTGTGATAAAAAATAAATTCAGATTTTTATATTTTTGGTAGCTTTTGAAAGAAAAACCTTCATATTACCTTTATTGGTACAATGACTTTACTTTTCTTTAAATATATTAAATATTTATTCTGTATAAAAATTTTACAGGGTGGTATCTTAGATATTAATGATTATTGTAAAAAATTATTTGCAATAACTACCGTTATTATAAAATAACATAATTTATTATAGTTGTACAATAGTACAAAACTTGTCATAGAATAAAAATAAATTTACAGCATGAAAAGGTACGTTTCGCTTAAATTACTGCTGTGAAACTACGTTTCATGGTATTTATTTCTGGCTGTCATCTTTAGCGATGGAATCTTGAAGTGATTTGTCGGCGGTATGGTCAAACTGAGAGAGTTCCAAGTACTCTTTCTCACCAACGAAACAAATCTCGTGCTCATTCTGCAGTCATTTTAAGTTTTATTTTTACTACATAGTCATAGCAACTTATTATTATCAAAAACAACATCTTACTTTCATCAATAACTACGCTAATCTTGTATTAGTCAAAAATTTTTTTTAATTTTTAAGTTTGTCATTTTAAAAAACACTTACCGGATCTCTTAGGATAACAACTTGAACAGAAGCTTTTCCAGGTGTATCCAGCTTTTGCAACTCATTCTGAATATAATGTGGATCGATCTTCTTCATCTTGTCTTGCAGCTCTTGTAACTGAAAATTCACACATTAAATTAACAATTTTAAAAACAAATTGCCTTTCATTAAAACTTTTAATAAAAGCAATAATACAGTAACATCTTTCTAACAAACATCATTTACATTTTCCAATTATGAACAAAAACAATTAAAAATCTTTATGTACCTTTCCCGTTGGATAAGAAAAAGCAATACGACCGTAAGCCTCAGCACGATCCAACTCAGTGCCCTGTGGAAGTTGACGGATCTCCCAAGCTGCCTAAAACAATAACATTGACCTCAATTCGTCATTTAAATCAAACTAAAACAATATATTATTATAGTCAAGAATAATATACATGTATTGTATAGATACATCTTTTCGTTGCTTTAATTTCAAGTTTCGACCAACTGGAATCCCAATGCAATGAAAAAAAGGCAAAATAAACCATCAACAACATACTTGATCCTTGCCAAAAGATAGAACATAAGCATCATCCGTGTGACTAACTTCGTCCATACCAATCTGGTCCTTCCAGAATTCTCTCGTCTTTCCCAGATCCTTCACATTCACACTCACTTTTCGAACCGGATTCTCACATTTTCCTGGATAAACGTAAAACTTATGGCCATCCGGATCCTTGACCAAAAGCGAATTCTCTGGCCCAGTCTCGGCTTTGTCCTTCAAAGACTGATACACAGAATCGTTCTCGATGTGAATGGCTTCATAATCGTTCCCCAGACGATACTTTCCAACTCCATAATTGTACGTGAGTTCGAGAACAAAGTGCTGATCCTCGTGGCCATAACCGACCATCGTTTTCGACCAGCTATTGTCATATGGGCTGAAACATTTGAGTTTAGATAACAAATAAAACTTGAAGTAACACATTGTCCCACTTAAAATCTTTTAAAATTAACTTAAGCTATCTTGCAGTAGATTTTTCAAAATTAGAAATTTGTTACCTAAAATTTCAAAACCTCAAAACATGTTTTTTTGCAAAAACAGTTTCAAAATTCAACTGAAAACACATGAAATAAATCAGAAAACAACGCCTTACCCATTACAAGTTGCTTTGCATCCATCTTGGAACTCTTCGTGTCTTAGAACCTAAAACAATATAAAGTAAACCTCAATTATAATAGTAAAAACCAAACCTAGAATAACATAAACCAAGACAAAGAAAGCTTTAAAACAGAGAAAAACTGTTTTACTTTCAAAATTCTTGAAAATTTTAGATGAAAACAAAAATATCACCTAAATAAACAGCGAACCTCAAAACGACAACATAATGTATAACATTACCTTCATCTGAAGCGTTTTGATGTAGAAATCATAAGATTTTTGTCGACTTCCAATACGGAACACATAATGTAAAGCACGAGCAGCCATTTCCAACGTCAAATGCAATATTCACTGCTATCTTCAGTCCCGAAACAACAAAAAAATGAGAGAATTTTGGGTCTTTCGATAAACAAGGCTTACGAGCTGTTTATTTCTCAAAAAAGCAACGCAATAAAACGACGTTGTGAAACTATTCGAGCAGAACGGAGCAAAATGTGATGTTTCGCGGTGTGTGTAAGCTTAATAGATGTGTAAGACAAGTGTAAACATAAAATATTAACGTTCAGAGACCAAGATTCGTCTAAAAAAAGCTTCGACCTAATTTATTTTTAGAAAAAACATAAAGAACCCAATTTATTTATAAAAACTTAGAGGACTTATTCAGTTTTCTTTGTTCAGGACCTTGTTTTAGGTTTTTAGGCGTTACTGGGCCTTGCTTCAAACTCTTACACGTTACAGAGCCTTGTTTCAAATCCTTGAAAATTACAGGACCTAAATTTAGACTCTTACACATCTTCTGCTTATATTTTATTGGTTTCAAATCCTATAAATCCACAAACAACACAAAATTCATACCTAAACATCAATAAAGTTCATCCCAAACTCTTTCTCAAAATCAATCCAAATTCCGCAAAATATCTTCGAAGTGTCAAAGACAAAAAATTTTTTTTCCAAAAATCTCGAAGTTATTATCTCCAACCTGCCAACGTCATCCGCAGGCCGCAATCCAACAAAAACCGCCAAAAACATAATTTTAAATTTTCAGAGCACCGGGCGGAATAAATTCCTCAAAATCCTTTTTTAAATCGAGCCCAAAATCCACAAATTCCAATCCCATCCCCAAAAGAGGAAAATATTTTCACAAAAATTCCAAGTTTTTAGCCCCGAGCTGCCGATGCCATCCGCAGGCTGCACACAGAGGAAAACCGCTAAAAACCTCATTTTAAATCTTCATCGCGCAATCCGAAATAATTGGCCCAAAATCCTTTTCCAAATCGAGCCAAAAATTGACGAAATCCGAAAGCTCTCAAAAAGGATAAATTATTTCACAAAAATTCCAAGTTTTTAGCCCCAACCTGCCAACCAACCTCGCAGGCCGCAGAGATCAAAAACCCGCCAAAAGGCCCCTTTCGATTTTCCACTGCACCGTGCAATCCTTTTTTCAATCCCAAAATCCTTTTCGAAGGCCGAGCGATTTTCGACAAATTTGGAGATCTCAAAACCCTCGAAAATCGAGCCATTTTTGTTTTCCTCTAACCTTCTCTGTCCACTCTCTTTTTAGGTCGTGCACCCTCATTTGTCGCAACTCTTCCTCTCTTGTTTTTCACTGTGACGCAATCTATTTTCGCGATCCCTTTCTTCCTTTTGGCCGTCTCTTTATATCCACATTCTCTCCTCTCCCTGATTGATCGCACGATGCGGGCCAAATTTGTCGCAAAATCCTTTTTTCAGATCCGCTCGATTTTGCCAATTTTTGAGGAAAATCGAAAGAGCCAAAATCGAGCCAAAAAACCATTGCACGGTGCAATCACTTTTGAAAGAGAGAGTGTGGGATATAAGGAGACGGCCAAAAGAAAAAGAGGAATCGCAAAAACAGATTGCGTCTCTTTGAAAAACAAGAGAGGAAGGGTTGCGACAAACGAAAGATCACGGCCTGAAAGAGAGTGGCCAGAAAAGGTTAGAGAAAAACCAAAATGGCCGATTTTCGAGGGTTTTGAGATCTCCAAATTTGTCGAAAATCGCTCGGCCTTCGAAAATAGATTTTGAGATTGAAAAAGGGTTTGCACGGTGCAGTGGAAAATCAAAAGGGGCCTTTTGATCCCTGCGGCCTGCGGGGTTGGTTGGCAGGTTGGGGCTAACAACTTGAATTTTTGTGAAAATAATTTATCCTTTTTGAGAGATCTCGGATTTTTTCGATTTTTGGCTCGATTTGGAAAGGGATTTTGAGCCATTTATTTTGGCCGGTGCGATGAAAATTTGAAATGGGGGTTTTTGCGGCTTCTAGAAATTTGCAGCCTGCGGATGGCATTGGCAGGTCGGAGCTAAAACTTGGAGTTCTTGTAAAAATATTTTTTTCCTTTTTGAGCCTTGGATCGTATTTTGTCGATTTTGGGCTCTATCTGGAAAAAGATTTTGAGCTATTTATTTTGGTCGGTGCGATGAAAATTTAAAATGACGTTTTAGCGATTTTCCTAGCAGTACGGCCTGCGGGCGGCGTTGGCAGGTTGGAGTTAATAACTTCGGGATTTTCTTCAAACATTTTTAGGTTTTTGAGGCTTCGAAGAGATCTTGCGTTTTTTGGCTTGATTTTGAGAAAGAATTCTAGGAATTTTATGTTGCGTTTCTGATATAATTTTGTTTGATAATGCGTTTTTATTGTAGGTTGAGAGATTTGAAGACTAGATTTTTTAGGTAATACCTTTGGTTATGGTTGGTGTTTTTGTAAAATTTACAATTTTTTCGCTAATATTTTTTGTTTTGGAGTGTTTACTGTTTTAGGTTATAAAATTAAGAACGATTTAGGTATTAAAATCTCAAACAAGGTTCGTTCATCTTATTTTAGCAATGTTGTCGATTTTTAGAACAACAGTTTAGGTTATGAGGATCAATAAGCGTTCATTACAATTTTTGAACATTTTCTTGAAGTTTAGGTATATTTTAAGTTTGAAAGGTATAAATTCTTTGGATAAAAGCCTTCCAAAAGGATAAAGTTTATCTATGTATAACATTATTTTCGCAAGGTTCTTCTTCGCGGTTTTGGTCAAAAATTTGCTTTTTCGTCGAGAAATCGTTGGAAAGTGAGCAGGTCTTTACAGGTTCAGATGGGCTTGTATTCCGACTAATTATATTGATAATTACATAATGTAAAGGTTTTGCTTGATTTTAACATTTGGTATCAGTTGAAGACGGAATGACCTTCTTGAGAGTCAAAAAGGCAGTTCTATTCTATAATATTTTGATGTTGATGGGTTGTTGATCAAGTATAATATTAAAGCTCATATTTTGTGGTTTGATGTCTTTTAGGGTTTTAGATATTGATTATCATTTTAAAGGTACGAGAATAGTTTTTAAAAAATTTTACATTGTGTTAAAGCCACTGATTTCCTATTAAGTAGGGGTTTTTCGACCGCTTTTGCCCTGTAAAACATAATTAAGTCTGGCAAAAGCATGAACAACATCTAGTTCTAGGCGTGCATGATTCATATTGATTTATTCTTAAAAAATTTCCCGTTTCGATTATTTGCAAAGACATTAATCATGAAAAATATTATAGCTAATCATACTCATCCTCGTCGCGACTGCGGAATTTGTTGGCCAGCCACGCCACCTTGTTTACCACCTCTTCCTGAGCTAAATTGAAGCACATAGCAAGCAGAGCCATGCCAAACAACAAGTACACACTGGTTATTACGAGTTTTTCTTGAGCTTTTTTGTCATTGCCTACCGATGCGCCGGGGAATTTGTCGCCGAAGCCTAGAATTTTTGAAAAATTAGAATTTGTAGTAGATGAAAAAAAAATATTTTTATGTATTAGCTGTTAAAAACCCACGTTATAGCTAAAAAAGTATTTTTTACCTAAATTGTTACCTAAAAAAGCTTTTTTACATAAAACGACCAACTTACCAATGGTAGTAAGTGAAATATAGCAAAAATAGAACGAATCCAAGAATGTCCATTCCTCCCATAAGCAAAACAATACAGAACCAGCGACTAAATATGCCAGCATCGTGAATAAAACTAGTGATAACGGGACAGATATGCGTTGTAGTTGAGCTTCGACACTTTCTTTCACTTCCAACTGGTCAAGGTGAGCCTTGGCGGCTAAAAGTTCGTGGACATCGCTGGTGTTGTTGACTGAAACACCTAGAGATTCTAGGCTACAATCGTCACGGTTGAAGCCTCGGATCGAGTTTAGGTCTAGGTCTGAAAATTTATGGTTTTAGTTGGATTGGAAAGGTGAATATTATCTTGGGAAAGTTTATTATGCTTGCTTGAGGATGGCTTATATTGCTTTAGGTACAAAATAATCTGGGTCGAGTTTTGTTTTTGCGTTGCGACGGTTTGTATTTACATTGGAATATCTATGTTAATACAGTAATTGTTTATAGAATTCATTTACTATATTATCATACACATTTTAATAAAAAATCTATCAAATAAGTCACTAAGTAATTAATTATAAGCCCAAAAATAAGACTAAAATAATTTTTCTAGCTTTTTAAACTTACAATGTCGACTTGAAGATGATTTTGCTAGTTTAGCGACTAATGAATTTGCTCGTCGAATTTTGGCAGCTCGTCTTTTTTTATGCCATAATATTAGTTTGTATTTCAAACGTATTGATCTGGCGTATAAAAATCTAAAAATTTTATTTTTAAATTTAAAAAATTTGGCTTATGATTGTAAAGTTAAAAAATCAGGTGAAATTTTAAAAAAAATTTTAAAAAAATGCGATTTCGAAACTTTTTTTGTAATAAAACCTTTAAAAATTAATGTTGAAAAATATTTTATTACCTAAAAATCTTGGCCATAACATCACCAATGTTGGTCAAGAAGAGCAGCATAAGTGGGATGCCAATAATCGCAAACAAAATCGTCAATGTTTTTCCAATATAAGTTTTGGCGGCCGTATTACCGTACCCAATCGTGGTAATAACAGTAAGTGAATATAAGAAAGCCCCGGTGAAGGTCCATTGAGCGGAAACGCCATGTTCTTTGCCGTCGTAGCCTTGACGAATGGCCCACATGCACTTTTTTTGAAACTTCTTGATCTGAAAATGAAATTTTTGAAAATCTTGTGTATTGAAAAAAATTTTTAGGGAGGGGTAAAAAAAATTTTTTTTTGTGTTAGAGGATGGAATCAATTTTTTGATATAAAATGAGCTGAAGTGCGTGTAGATTTGAGCCCAAAACTTTTTTTCAGGCTCACAGTACGTTTAGAAATGCCTAAAGCCATAATTTTAAAATTATGGCTTTAGGCTTATAAGTCCAAGACTTTGGTTACCTACTTCGGAATAAACAATCTTTTCCCATTGTATTTTATCCAGCTTGTTTACTCGGAATGTGGCATTCCACGCGACATCTACGGCTTTCTGTCTAGCCAATAAAACGTCACGCTGCACTTCGGTCTCATGAGGTAACTCGACTGCTCTGAAGACCACTGCTCCCAGCAATGCGTAGCCTACTACCTAAAACAAAGATTTTATAAACTTTCATATTTTTTGAAATGTAGGTATAAAGTTAAGAAAATTCAAAAATTTTTGGCTTTACCAGGACAGTTACTGTAGTTTGGAATCAAGAATGAAATTCTGCTGTGATTCATGAAAAAAATTTTCAAAATACTAAATCCGGGTCAGAAATAGCACACAAACAAACATGTAAACAAAACCATGTCTTATCAAGCCTAATCAGTCGCTTACCAACGCGCACAGTCCAACGTGCGAAAAGAAGAAGGCGATGATCCGCTTGACCAGGTTCACCACCCGGGTCACTTTGGATCGGCGATGGCGTCGACCCATACTTGGTCCAAAAAAACGACTTTAAAAACTGGTGGCCGGAACAACAGCCATGAATCCGTGCTACGACTACAACAAAAAAAACCCGACGCCAACAAAGATGGATCCCAGAGGCTGGGGGGCTTCTCGAAACAAATGGCCAATTCCCGCCGGATTCCGCGGCCGCTACGAAAGCTTTGGTTTCCGGGGCGCGGTTTTGCATGCCGAAATCCTCCGAAATGTCTCCGGGATTCCACTTTGTTTTTAATGCCCCCAATTAGCCTCGCAATCAGAACGGGTCGCGGTTCGAGGTTTGATAGGATTTATGTCGTACGGTAATATTTCGGATGTGTCGGTGGTTTTTGACCTGTACCGTAGTGTTTAGGTGAGTGTGCGTTTTACTGTACGATTTGCATTGTTGCTATGATATAGTAGTTGTGTGTGTATTTATATGTGATGTTTATTTGATATTTGCTTCAATTTTAAAATTCAACTTTAAACTCATTTCCCAATTCAAAGCTTTTTGTAGTTCGGCGTACGTATACAATGAAAGACGGTAATTTGTAATTACACTTGGTGATTTATTTCTTTCAAAAAAGTTAATAAAACATTAATTACATCATGAACATATCGTAAACAAGCCTGACGAAAGCAGCGCATTTCCAGATGATTTGAGACCGAATCGATAGACAAGGAAACAACTGAAACTTCTGATAACATATAAACAAAACACGCTTGATATCAAGGTAGTAAATAAGGAAAACTGGTATAATTAAGACTGATAGGTAACATTATGAGGGTGAGGAGGGGTTGATGGGCATATTGAGAAACATAGTTAAATAAGGTTGTTGATGGACATGACAATATGTGATCGATGGTTATTTACTTGTTAAGGAAAGATTGCTAGCTATAAGATCAAGATAAAAAAGCTAAAAGGACAAAAAATATTGTCTAACGGTACCAAGATTTAAAAAATATCTTTAAAGTACCAAAAAAAGTTTTGTCGTTTTTTATTGTACTAATAAACATAGACTGGCGACAAGACTTTCTGAACCTAAAAAGGTAAAACCTAAAATAAAAAAAGCCTTTACATACTACAACTTAGAAGGCCAAAAACTAAAGCATTACAAAATCAACCCAATTCAAAAAATTTATTTACTCTTCTGTTCAACTACTCAACCAGCACGATTATAATTGCATACATATGAAAAAAGCATTTTAATCTGTTCAAAATGTTACAGACAAAAGTAAATCGTTTCTCAAGACTGCGTTTCACGTGAACCTTTTATTTACGTGAAAGGTAACCCCGAACAGAAGATTCCATTTCAGACAAAGTACACTGACATGTTTGGACAGATACAATTGGATTTTGAAATGTATTTTTTACCAAAGATGTGTTTTTTACCAAAAGGTAAAAACACATCTTGAGAAAACATGCTCAATAAGACCAAGGTGAAACGGCAAAGTGATTTTTGAAAATTGTTTGAAACCAGAGTGATCTTTAAAGATCATGTTGTTATAGTTGAAATGATTATAACTTCAAGGTGGAGTAAGATAGGGTAGAGCAAGCTAGGGTGAAGTAAAATAGGGTAAGATAGGATATAGTAAGGTAGTATGGGGTAGGGTAGGGTAGTATGGGGTAGGGTAGGGTAGGGTAGGGTAGGGTAGGGTAAGGTAGGGTAGGGTAAAGTAGAGCTTATTTTCTTCTAAAAAATCAAGTTTGAAGTTTTATTTCAAACAATAAACAATTATATTGTACCTTTGCTGACCGGCCGCGATTGTTCTACGGTTTTACGGTAAAAAATCAAGTTTTGTAAAGAATTTATAGCGGTACGTAAAATTTATAACTTGAAATTTAAAAAAATTTTTTTTTTAAAGTTTTGAAGGTATTACATTAAGGTTGAGTTTTCTTTGAGCTGTTTCGAACAAAATTTAAATTTCTTGTCCAGAAAGCAATTAAAATTGGACTGTAAAACTTCAAAAATTTTAAATTACGTCAAAAATCTACAAATAATAGCACAAAGCACAAAAATATATTGTAAATAATTTGATGACTGTTGCATTTAACTTGGAATTTTTTAAAGTGCACAAAAGAAGCAACAACATTTTGCATGGTGACTAATATTGTCTAGGCCTATTATTGTATTTTTGAACAATTGTTTTATGAATAATCATTGAAAACTTATTTTTAAAGGGCCAGGATCATAACACGGCCTTAGGCTCAAAAGAAATCGTACCTGACTAGTATCCGTAGTCAATAGCAAAGTATTAGTAAGGTACTATTATAGTAAAAATTGGTCTTACATGTTTAACTTATTTTTACAAAAACTTATTTTTACAAAAACTTATTTTTAGCAAAATAACGTTAAAGTTAATTTAAAGACTATAACATGCTTACTCCCAAAATTAATACAAAAACTTAATCAACAAAAACTTTTCAAAACAGTTAAAACTAGACTATACGTACTTATCGACCAATGCGACAGTTTTATACGCTTTAAAAAGCCTTATAATAGGCTTTAAACCATTAAAAATAAACTTGTTATCAAATAAAAATAATGTTATTATAAAACCCATTTATCGAATTATCATCGTACAATTAGAGATTACAATCGACGGCCAGAGAACGTGATTAAGAAACGATCAGTGTGAAACTCCGCCCAAATTCGACAAAAATAAAGGAAATAGTCAGCCCTTTTTTATTTGACGAACGTCGATCACAGTCGCCTTCTACCTAGAATTCTCGACATACAAAAAAAACGCTGAGGAGGTAGGGGGAACAACATTGTCGACTGATAAAAGCGTGTTCGGTTTTCAAATTTTTATGGACTTTGAGTGTGGTTTACGACTTAACGGTGCTGGTTGATTTTGGTGAAGAAGGAGGCTTAGTGTAGGGTAGATTAAGGTGGAGTAAGGTAAGGTAGAGTAGGGTGGGGTAAAGAGAAGTAAGGCAAGATAGAGTAAGGTAAAGTGGAGTAAATTAGGTTAAGCCATGGTAAGGTATGTACGATAGGGTAAATTTATTTTGATTTTGCGTACTATATTGCACTGTAGCTTCATATAAACCTATGCAAACTTTTTTGCAAATTGCCTTTTCTAAATGTAGTTCTCTAAAATTTCTAAAAAAGTTAAGCAGATTTAAAATTTATTTCTTTTTGTAACATTAAATGTAAAAAACTACTTTTTTATACGTACAATGACTTAACATAGCCTTTATATCGCCTTTATTTTATCACCTGTTTAAGAAACCTTACAAACAAAGAAGCGCAACGTACTTTGCTCATGTTTCCAAAATTGTACCAGAGAGTGTTTGACATTGTAGTTCTTGCTAGTTTTGAATGTTTAACTTACTTCGAATTTTTTTGAAGCACTTTTTGTTTATTAGAAAAGTAAAAAATCGTCAATTTTTTAGAATTTTGGGGAGTTCTATGTACTTTTTGATCAATAAAAAATTATCCAAAATGCAAATTTTTAATTTTTCGAAAACTATCTAGTTTTTTATTTTTTAGGCTTAACCTTTGATCTGGATATTACAATATAAGAAATATTTTTGTGGCAATATGGTGACAGAGAAAGACCATGATCAGTAAGATAATTTATAATTTTTTAAAAGTTAGAAAAATTTAATATTTAAAAAAATTTTAATTTTTTAATTTTTTTTAGTATTAGAGTAGGCGAGATTTTATGCAATCCTAAACTATACCTCAAGTCTTAAATATTTAAAATTCAATTTTTTATTTTAATTTTTTTAGGCCAGAAGGCTACTCATTAGTGAGTAATTCAGCAAATACGATGGAAAATCTGTTGGGAAACAACAAAAAGTTCAGAAATGTTGATGGAATGGGCTGGATAGTAACATGTTTATTCATCGTTGGTGAAACTGCTGGTGCTGGACTGATTGCTATACCAACTGCTGTGGTTTCAACTGGTATGTTTATGACAGCTTTTAATAAAAGTTTTATTCAAATTAAATTTAAAAATGTTTTTTTGATTTAAAATTTTAAAAAAGTTAAAACATTTTTGCTTATATACAAATATTTACCTTAACATAAGCATTTAAAAAATACAAACAAAGTTTTTTATTTTAGGCCTATTTGGTGGAATATTAATCATTCTTCTTGGAGCCCTAGCTTGCGCTTATACTGGCTACCTATTATCAGAAAACTGGACGATACTACAAACAAGATGGCCAGAATATCGTCATCATTGTCGTAAGCCCTATCCGGCTATGGGATTAAGAGCGATTGGTCCTGGCTTCTCGACTATCGTATCTTGTTGCCTAAATGTCACAATGTTTGGGACTGCCGTGGTGTTTTTGTTGTTGGCCGCCAAAAACTTGGAGAGCTTTTTGCACGCTTATGGTGGAGTGCATATTGGATTTTGTTACCTGGTGGTGATTGTGGCTATTTTTATGTTACCATTGACGTTGTTTAAGAGTCCTAAGGATTTTTGGTTAGTTTATTGGTAGAAATATGTATAATAGACAATATGTTAATTTTGAAACATTCTTTACATGATAGAGCTCCACCGCACGTATTTTACAAAAATTAGCTAAAGAGCTATATTAATTTTTTTAAAATAGAATTTTTATATAGTTTTAGGTAATAATTTTTAAAAAATTGTTATTTTAGGTGGGCAGTAATTGCAGCGATGATAACAACGTTTGTTGCTGCTGCGATGATTATGTATGGAGCTTACAAAGACTATGATGCTTGTATGAGGCATGTTGATTATCCTGAAATCTCTATGTCAAAGTAAGATTTTTTTACTTTTCGATTTTTAAAATCTAATTTTGGTTTTTAATTTTTGTTTTTAATCATTTTATTTACTGTAATGTTACAAAATGTCAAATTTATTATGTAAATGTTTTAGGTTTTTCATGTGCTTTGGTACCGTAATGTTTGCTTATGGAGGCCATGGTGCTTTTCCTACAATTCAACATGATATGAAACGGCCATATCACTTCAAGCGTTCTGTTTACTTGGCTTTTTTGAGTAAGGCTTTTTTAGTATTTGCAATATTTATATCGTATTTTACCATGTACTAGTAAGAGAGATTAGGCATCAAATGTAAAAGTATAAATCTAAGTTTGTCATTTAGCTTAAAATTAAACCTAAGAATAAGACTTAGCTTCAGCATAAGCCTAAACCTAAAACTAAGCTTAAGCTTCGGACTAAGCCTAAGTATAAGTCTAACTCTAAGCTTTATCTTAACTACAGCTTATTTATACCTAATGTAAAAATTTTTTTCAGTAATCTTCCTAATGTACATGCCAGTATCAATCTTTGCCTACATAACGTATGGTGGCAGTTTGAGGGATTCGGTCATTCCATCAATCCAAGGATTTTATTTGCAACAAGGAGTAAACGTGCTAATTACACTGCACGTGATGATGGCTTTAACAATCATGTTTAATCCACTTAATCAAGAATGGGAGGAATTACTCAATGTTTCTCATGGTAAGGTTACTGTAACTTTGTCTTTTTTCTTATTATATATGGCTAATGCCTACCTTTTGACCGCAAGCTTGTAATCGTTGTTACAGTATCTTTAAAATATTTCTGTACTGTATGCCTTTAACACCATTTTTAGACATGGGATTCGGTCGAGTATTTGCCCGTACCGCGATGATGGTATTTGTAGTAATTGTAGCCGAAACAGTACCAAACTTTGGTGTATTATTAGATCTTGTAGGAGGATCTACTATAACATTGATGGCTTTAGTATTCCCAGTCGTGTTCAACTTATACCTATATACCAACAAAGTAAAACATGCTGGTACTGTTGCTGCGGAAAATGAAAAACCTCCCACTTTTAGAGAGTAAGTTTACTGCAATTACTGTAGCTTAGTAAAACTACTGTAATTTTTGTATTTTTATAATAATACTGCTAACATATAAATTTTGAAAACCTAAAACACCGTATTTTGTAATACTGTAAGAATGAATTTAATAATTTTTTTTAGTTTTAGTGGTAAAATTACACTAATACTGTACGTTTTCAGAATTTGGATGTACACTCCAAGCTCCAGAAAGCTAATAGCAGCTTTAATTTTAACTTTTGCTTTATGTGGTGGTGTTGCTGGCACCGTGTCAGCTATGAACGCCATGTTTAACTCACAGTTCAGTGCTCCATGTTATGCTGGTATCTTCATGAAAGAAATAGAAAGTCCAGTTATGGAGGAACAGTTGTTGAACAATCTTACTGTGCAGTAAGTTTTTAAACACAAGATAATACATTTGCGTATAATTGTATACATATATTATATTATTATACACATATGTACATATAGGTATACCTATATATGTCAATTAATTTTAGAGCCCACGGTCAATTCAATTGTTGTGGCTTCGGCAAGAACATATCAAGATTTGGCCAACCGGACATATTCTGTTTAGATCCAAGCATCAGTATCTCACATGGCAGCCATGGATAAAAAGTTTGTCACGTAGACATTATGTATAATATAAATAGCTTATACAAAAACTATTTTTGATAACATGCATAGCTCGCACATATTGTTAATATACATAACCTAACATATTACTCTATCTGATCTTAGTTTTAAGTCTTTAAACATACCATAGTCATCACATTGTACATAATACTTAATATCGTTACCTTTTATCTAGGTTTATATTGTTTGTTACCTAAAATTACATTTCAAATACCAAGAAGCTGCATATCTTAAAAACATGTCAGTTAACATATCAACAACATGTTACCGTTTTTACATTTAACATACCAATAATATATATCTTATCCTTTACTATATGTATAACAAAATCATGTCAACGTATTAAAAACATGCTGCATTCTTTAGCATTTATCCATATATTTTCACGGTGATTAGTTATTGTTACTCCAACATTTCCTGGTTAGTTCTTTTGTTTTAAAAATTACTTTGCGATGGTCTTATAACCTTTACTATTGTTTTTGAGTCGAATTAAATTATAGCAATTATCAATCATATCGAAATTTTTGACCTGGTTAAAATGGATTGTTTCGGGATAAAATTGTAGTACAAGGAAGTACAGGTGGAGCTCAAGGATAGTAAAAAGTGTATGATAATTAAAAATTTGATGAAAAAATTATTAAAATAAATAGTAATTAAAAAATTATATATAGTTTTTTTTAAATTGTTTTATAAAATATTCTTTTTAATCTTTTGGGTACTAAGACTCACTTTACAGTATATGTATATATCGAGTATAACGTAATGAAGCAGGGTAAGGCAAGATGAGGTAGGGTGGAGTAGATAAATTAGAGTAAGCTGAAATATTATAGGTAGGGCGAAGTAAGATGATGTAAGGTAGGGTAGAGTTTAGCAGGGTGAGGTAAGATGAGGTAGGGTGAGATAAGGTGGGTGGGTGCAATAGGAGAGGCTAGAGCAGAAATGCAGAACAAATTCTAAGCTTATGAGCCTTTTGGTCATCTGGGCATTAAAATACAAATCACAGCGTATGCCTATATTATAACTAGTGCCGGGCGGGGACTTTTGGTCTAGGGGCGAAGGTCGAAAAATGTTTTCTGAAAATCCACAGGGGGGACTACGTTCAACTATTTTCGAAAATTTTTTTTTGGGGAGAGAGGTTCTCCCCACCCCGTCCACTCTTCCCCCCCCCCCCCCCCTCCCCTCTGACGGCCCGGTCCTGATTATAACATTAAAAAATGTTGTTGTTATATGTAATTTACGCTTGTTTTGTATTTTCATTGTGAGAAGTGTCATTTCTTAGAATCTTATTGTATTTAATTGTAACCCAATTCCTCTCCAATATTGTATCTCAATGTTAGTAATTCATTTTCAATCTAAGCATAATACCTTACGATTACTAATCTACATTCCTTCGAAGCACAGTGCTACATACTAGTTCTAGCAATCCCGCTAACGGCACCAAATCTTTGTCATCCATTTTCAACACAGTACCTCAGCCATTTTTTTGTCAATTTCCAGACCATTAGGAAAAGCCTCGAATCCGATGGCCATAAATTAAAAGGGCGAGTGGGCTGGAAACGAACCCTCCGAATACTTTGTTTCAAATCGGACCGACAAAAAAAACGTCTGCAATAGGGAAAAACCTCTAAAATCGGAAAAAATAACACACAACGAGGACTGTTCGTGGGGGTATCGTTGGGGACACAGAGGGAAAAGAAAACTAGCTAACCAGCCACGCTGACTACAACCAGCCGATTTTTCCGCAGAGTTTTTAGAGTGCAGTTTGAGGACAGGCCGGTACGATGTCGCACGATGAGTGACCGGAGGTCGATTTTTAAGAGAAGGGGGTTTTTTTCTTTATATAATCATGTCTGGGCCTAAAACACTGCGGCGGCGTTCTCGTCGGGCCGTTTTTTTTTGTTTGCCCCTCCCACTTTGAAACACTAATGCCTGAGGGAGAAACGTTCGCTGCTAAAAGTGCTAGACAAACTTTGTGTTTTGGGATCGTATAGCAATGTCTGAGGGGTTTTAACCGAATTACGGAAATACTATTTTAGTTTGGTTTTGGTGGTTTTGTTTATGGTTTAAGAGGTTAAATAATTTTTGTTGCACAAGCTTAAAAATGATGAAGAATGTCGATAAGATTTTTCTAATTTTTATACTTTAAACGGTAAAGAGAAAAAACATAGTAGAAAGAAGTAAAGTATGAGACGGATTAAGGCACCATACAGGTAAGACATGGTAAGATAGGATGGCGTAGCTACGTTCGGTACCGTAGAGTAGAGTAAGGTAGAGCAAGGTAAGGCAAGGTATGGTGTTCCAAAGCCTTACGTTCTTCTTAAAATCATCATTTTTGCGTCCACTCCCTTCAAATGTCACACTAAAAGTGCTAATTCAAATTTAAATTTCACGAAAGCCCATTAAGCGAAGAAAAAATCATTTGAAATTGGACTTATCTGCGCCGTTCCTTTGTGCAACACTTGTATCCGAAACCCGCTTTTTACTGCCTCCAACTACTCTTTTCCTTTCACGAAATTTGCGCCCAGACGTTTTTTTTTCTAGCAAAAAACGACTTCTAAACAATTTTGTCGCTGCAAAAAAATCTCGATTGACCTTGGGGATAGTTAAGCCTTGCCTCAGTGTGTCTTCTTAACTCGTTCGCAAAGTTTGCCAACAAATGTGTTGTACTTTTAAATATGGACGGCTAATGTGGGCTGGCTTACATGTTTGGGGGTTTTGAGGGTAAATATTAGGCTAAGAAGAATTTTTTGGGCTAAAAATATAAGGCAAAAAGATGACGTCAGGTTACGGTATGATAAGCTAGAGTAGGATAGGCTAAAGTAAGGTAGAGTATGGTACGGTAAGTTAGGGTAGAGTAGGGTAGAGTAGGGTAGGGTAGGGTAGAGTAGAGTAGGGTAGGGTAGGGTAGGGTAGGGTAGGGTAGGGTAGGGTAGGGTAGGGTAGGGTAGGGTAGGGTAGAACAATTTAATTTTTTTTTAAGTTAAAGTTCATTAATGAAAAGTAAGCTTTACCATAGTAAAAAAACCTCGTACTAACCTATCTTTGTACTATAAAGACAAATACGTAATTTGTACGTAGATCACTAAAGCCATTTTTAGACAGTTGCAAATGTCAAACTTGCACTAATTATAAGTTTTACGTCGCTTCAAGGGTGGCCATAAGCTAGCACTTATGTTACAATTATAAGAATGACATGTCGTTTCTATGTTTAAAATTGTACTCTTCTTCTTATGTACAAGGTTACTTCACGTACATTTTTGTATTAGTATTCTGTGCCAAAGCAAAAGCTATGGAGAGAAATAAGGTCAGTGTACAAGGGGCAGATGTAGGTGAAAGTGTTTTGACTTTTAGGCACGATGCTGTACTTTGATGACAATTAAACGTCCTCAAACATTTGTTTTGTATATCTCCTCTTGTATTGTAGCAAACATCTAAGTACCTGTACCTTAACCTACTTCCAACCCCTTAACCTCCCTTTTCTCAAACTTCTGTAGTGTACCCCACCCGTCTGTTTCCCATAAAACAGTATTAGTCGCAATGTCACATTCCCATTTTAAAAACCAAGATAAAAAGACATTTTTTAACAGATCCCCCTTTTTTCGTGACTCATTCATCCTGTTTTTTTTGTCTAGACAACCTGGTTCGCCTTGTCGCAATGTTTCATTTCGGCAGGGTTTCATTTATTGCGTCGTGGATTGATTTTCGCCGATTAATACAATTTTCACTCGTCTATGAATTTCCGAAATTTGCAGAGGTTTTTTGAAGATTTTTGCGTTATAATAGGTGTGTACTGTAAGTTAGAGTATTGATAGTTTTTGGAGAATACTGTAAGGTTTTGAGCGAGTGCTTTTGGTCAAGAGATGAGGATGAGGGGAGAAGTGGGAGAGCAACACTGACTGCAGGGTAGTGTAGGATAGAATAGTAAAGAATAAGAAACAGTAAGATAATATAACACAAGACAGAACAGGGTTAGGTATGGCATCGTAAGGTAGGGTAGGATAAGAGACGTTATAGGTAAGAGACGTTAAGGTATGGTAGTGTAGGGTTGAATAGTATAAGATAGGATAAAACAAGACAATATAGGATGACAGAATAGGGTTGGGCGTAGTACTGAAATATAGGGTAGGGTAGAGTATGATAGGGTAGAATGAGATAAGATAGGATAAACTAGCGTATTGTAGGATAAGGTAGGGTAAGCTTTTAAGAAATTGTCATAGTTTTAGCCACTTTTCTGTTTTTATTTACAATTTTCAATTTTGAGTTGGTCATTGAACTTGCTAAATACCACCTATATGAATATTATTACTACTTTCCGTGACAGGTTCTTAATGTTTTTTAATGTCCAAAATCTGTATTTTTTACATGTTTTTACTACTTTTGTACAAATATAATAGTTTTAACAAAATTATATAAGGCTTGTATTTATACAGCTAAAACCGCCGTTAACGTATTTTACATTTTTGATATTTAAAAGTCATTATACTTTAATTTTTAAATTTTACAGAAAGATCAAATGGAGCATAACTTACTTTACATTAAAAATATTGTCATCACTATGATGAGTTACTATATTATAATGAATAATATGTAAAAGGTAAGTAATTTTTTAATAACGCAAATTTAGAAAGTACCATAGCTTAGAACGTTGAGTTCTTGGTTAGATATCTGTACGGTAATGATATGTACACAAAAAATAGCTTTTTGTAGGTTGTTGTGCCTAAAAATACAATTTTTAAAGGTTATAAAGCTGTATATTTACTTTTTTGTGTTTTTATTTAACACAGTGTTACTATATTACAATTTTATTATTGTAACTGGATATTCTTTATTGTTATTTATTCCATCATAAGTTTATTCAACTTACGGATTAAAAGCGGCACTTTATTCACCTTTTTGATAAAACAACAGTATAGTACTATATGTAAAGTTAAAACTTTGTATTCTAGTTTAGTATTCTGGTTTTTTATTTCTAAATTGTTGTATTATCATTCTAGTACTATTTCAAAAACTAAAGCTTTATTTTGCTATATTGATATTGCTACTAGACGAATTATTATATTGTTTTGCTAACCTAATGACTTATTTTTTATTGAGGTAAGTGAGTCAGGCTTTAGAATTAATGGTTTTGATGGTTTTTTTAGGATTTTTTAAAGTTTAAAAAATGAAAAAATCTTAAAAGTTTTTTATATAATATCCTAACTTTATGTATCATAACTTTTGAAAACTTAAAAATACAGCAAATTTTGCAAGACATTCTACAATAAAAGTAGAGCTGTCAAGACAAATGCAATACGTTTACATACACTTTCAACATCTTTTTAATATAAAGTATTCTTAAGAAAACTGTTTGTAACTTATATGCCTCACGTTTGTTGTTTTTGGCATTTTCCCGCCAAAACGTTTGGTCTTTGCTTTTTTACAATGTCTTTTTCACCCTACTTTTTTGAAAATTTCAAAATTCGTTCACCGTTAAAAGGCTATAAAATCTTTTATTTTGCATTCTTTTATCATTCATGTTAAGGACGTTGTTTGAATATTAGTGTCCAGCGATTTGGGTGACTGTTCGCTTTGTTCTTGATCATTTTAGTCTGGTTTTAGGTCATTTTTCATTTCTTTGAAGTTTTTTTCTTTTATGAAACAGTTTTTAAGCTGTTCAATATGAATTGCCTTTGAGGGGGGGGGGTGAAGGATAAAAATTTAATTTTTAAAATTAAAAAATTTCTAACTTTTATTTCTATATTTTTCCTTTTCTTTACTATATCATTTACTACACCTTGCTACATATCTTTTTCGTCTACTTTACTCTCCACCACCTACCACTTTCTGCTGTATTAGCCTGCGTTCTGACCCCACTACCTAATCTTCTTTTTTACCTTGCCCATCCCTTCTACCCTACGACTTACACTATTTTCCTAGCTATCCCTACTTCTGTACTCTACTGTTTACGCTATTCTTTTACCTTATCCTATTTCCCTCTCTTACTATTTATTCAATCTCCCTGCCTTACCTTACTTTTCTTTTTTATTATTTACCTAGTCCCCCTTTCCGTGCCCTACTTCTCTCTCCTACTATCTACCCAATCTATTTGCCTATCTACCCACCCTCCTCACCAACCCCACTATCTCCCCTCTTTTTTTCTCGACATGATAAGAAGCAAACGATGGAGACTTTAGAACAGATCTCTCTCTAACACACACCTAAACGATCCCTTCACGCTGAGCACAGCACTCCGCTTTTTCGTCCGTTCTTCTGTGAAGGGGCCGGCATCCGACGGTCGTTCTTTCCACTATTTTGAGGGTCACGTGCGAACAATGTCCGCGAGATCACATTCCTCTCTTTTCACTTGTTCTGGTTGTTTTTCGAGTAGTCCGTCGTATTTGTTAAAAAGTGATGATTTACTCATTTTGGAGCACAGTTTAGTGTTGTTCGTGTTTCAGTAAGATCTGGCGGACTAATTAGAGGCGAAAGTATATTGTTATTATCATCAATATGAGTCAGAAGGTTGATGCAAAATTTGGTTTATTGGTTAAAGTTGATATTGTGCTGCTACTAATGTGAAAATTTACTATATTTGGCTACAAAGTTGACAGAATTGACAAAAAAATTAACCTTTCTATGGCTTGAAGGTTATTTTTTTAGACTACGACAAGTTTCTGATTTTTTGATTTTTCTGCACAACTAGTACTCTTTTTTAATCATCAGTTAGAATTTAGGTTCAAGAAACCTCAAGATGATTATTTTAAATCAATTCATATTTTCGTGACTTCTGTTAAGTATGGTATACCTTCATATCCGGTCTTTTTTATCAACTCTTGTCGTTTAGTCATCATAACCAGCCTAATATAATCATAGCTTCTTTTTTAGTCATCAGAATCAAAAGTCTTCTTTTATAAAAATTAAATTTTGTCCTTAGGTCATCATAAGTATAAAAATTAAATTTTGTCATTATGTCATCACACTTTCCCCCCCCCCCTCCGAATTTCGAAATTTTGCCCCACGAAGCAATTAAGTCAAAATTCAGGGGCTAAGTAATTATGGCTTATAAAAATGATCTACACACATCTGCGATGACTCAGGGCCTTTCAAGAGGATCCGGTGATCGCTTGCCAGCTGCTGGCCTTTGTTCGATTTGGGAGGGGTTTTGTCATTCGCGGAAATTTGCGTCTTCACTGCTAGTTAAGTTAAATTGCTCCAAAAAGTTTTGTCTTCCTTCATCTTTGGTGTTTTGAGAGTTTTGAAGGGTGTCTTGAGTGTTTTTGTCACAGTGCAATATGCAGGTTTAAGAAGTCGAAAAATGCATTTTTCTGAAATTGGAATGCAAAACTTTTAAAAAAATTTTAAAATTCCACTTTTGAAAGCCATTCAAGTTGAAAAAGTTTTGCATTTTGTTTTGAAAATGCATTTTTAGCGAGAAATGCATGTTTTCCGCATTTTTGCTATCCCTGTATTATTCGCCAAATTCGGCTTCTTTGAACTTTGAGATGTGTCAAAAGCAAGGCGCTTTTGACGAATCTGTCTCACATAGATTCTAGTGTTTTGCTTCAAGGTTATGGCTGCCTGAAAACCGGTCCGAGGATGGGTCGGTGCGCATTTTTTGTTTAAAACCGTTTTTCAGGCAAACGGGGGTTAGGGGTCATGGGAGAGAGAGAAGGAAGAGGACCCAACAGCGCTCGCAAAGGGTCGCTAGCCCATTTTGTTCTTGGTTGTCGGAAATTTCTCGTTGCTTTGTAGTCTTTTCTTATTCCTCTGTCTGTTAGGTTGGGTTCTTTTTCATCGCTTCTTAATCTCACTTGCCTGTCGTCTCTACTCTCTCGGTCGCACTAGCTAGCTCTTTCTTTAGTTTCTTTCTCAAGCTAGCCTCTTTTCTTACTCTGACCGTCGACGTCTCTCATTTACCCACAATCTATGAGCATAGTCGAAAAAACGAGAGCAGGCGCCGCGTGGCACCAGCGCTAGTTAAGGGGCAATGGGAAAGATGCGACAGTGCGAGTTTTTCTCCACCGCCTCAAAGTTTTTTGCCCTTCGACGAGTGTTTCGTTCCCAATGTGAAGCCGAGTCGTGGGGTTTTCGCTTGCACATCGAAAGACGAGTTGTTTTGCTGCACATCTTTGAGGCATAGGCGAGTGACGGTCGTTGTGACTTTGGGCCGAAGCGAGTGACGGTGGTTGCAGGGCTGTAGCTAGTGACTGTTGTTACTATTTAGGCAAAGGAAAGTTACTGTCATGTTTAGACACTCTTTATTGTTGATTTCTTGTCTTTTAAAGTCCCGGACGGTCATTTAGTAATATGTTGTAGTTGAAGCCTCACTAGTTAGGATAGATGATGTGTTGGGTAGTCTGCCGAACTAATTTCGCTAGTTTATGAGTTGAATCGTGAGGGTAAATTGGCTAGTAGGAGTTGTTAAAGACAAGGCAGGCTTCACTAGTGGGTGGTGCTAGTATTTAGGTCAAAATTGATCTTTATTTTGAATCATCATTTAGTCTAATGTATTGTGGAGTCTGATCTGTTGCTGTTTCAGCCTGCGTTTTCATTTTAAAGACTTCTTTAAAGTTCTTTTGCATTTTCCATCTTTTTTTATTTTTTAGGCTTAATTTTATGTCTTTACTTGTCATTTTTCTTTTAACGTTTAGGTCACTTATAACCATCAAATAGCCTTAAATTCATACCCCTTCTCTTAACATGGTTCAGTTTAAATTATTTAGTCCCTTCTTTCATCTTGCCCTCATTTTCTAGCATCTTTTGTCTTAGTCATCGTAACCCTTACCCTCTCTTCCGTTTTGACCACCACCACGCCTTTCAAAAAGCCAGCTGTGCCGAAACAGTCGGACCCGAAATTGTAGTGCCATTCTGCACTGGTCATTTCGAGGCCGCCGAACGCGGAGGTAGTGTTTCGGAGGCAGAGGGTGGCAGGACGCACATACACCTCCCCCCTCCTTTCTCTCTCCATCCTTCTGCCTACCCCTTATTTTTGGCTAGGGTGTATGGTGGGGTCATACGGCGGGGTTGGCGCGTCGGTTGATGGCGAGGAGCGGCGCCGCGTCGGTGTCCCGAACTTGGAGAAGGGGCTTTGCTAGACACAGCAGTCTCCACTAGACACATTCGCTGCCTTCGCAGACCCCGTCGAGCGGTGTGAGTGCCTTGCTCGGCTTTCGGCGCACACCCTCGCTTCTCGGGCTCGTCTCTTCGTTGGCGTGCGCACTCTCGTCGAGGCAAAACTAGAGCATAGACGGAGGACGAGTGGAAGCGGAGGGCAGTGTAGGGATTGGGCAGAGGTTGGCGGCGAGTAAGGCTGCGATAGGATAGGGAAAGGACAGCTGAGGGATAGGGCAAGGTTAGCGGAGGGACAGGGCAGAGGCAGCGGAGGGATGGACGGCGAGGAAGTGGAGCGACCGATCGAAAGCAGGCGCATCGAGGGGACGGAAAGATGGACGAAAGCAGGCGCAACGAAAAGATGGACGCAGAAGAGTGGGGGGTATTAGCTTCGACACTCCGCCACAGCCAACGCCCCCATTGCATTCGGCTCGCCCGCCTGTCCAGCGCACTGGCCATTCCGTCTTGTTTCGCTCCGTCTCGTCCGGCTACCACTTTCGCCTCGCTTTGCCCTTCATGTCCATTTTTCGTGCCGGTTTTGCGTCCATTTCCCCCTGTATTTTGTGCTTTAAATTTTGGGCAGTCTTGTGAAATCATGTGTTACAGTGAGTTGGACGTGAGATAGAAAAGGGAAATCATGAGTTACAGAGAGGAGAATCATGAGTTATTGGGTAGAGGTTGTTGAGTTTGCTAGGGCAATCTATAAAAAGCTTAAAGGACGTCTTCAAATGATCTACAAATCTATGAATTTCAAAAAATTCTAGAATTACCAGAGCTCTAAAGTTTTCACATTGAGCCGACCATTCGATCAACCCGTAGATCCGAACTTGTGTTTTAATATATAAAGATAACACAGGCTTCGGAGCCGGGTAGATTGCGTGCGTTGTGTTCGAAAACGCGGCTTTGCTACTGATTGGAATTTGAAAATTGACATAAATCAGTGAACAACATAAAAAAATCACACAGAAACGAAAAAATGCATAAAATTAAAAAAACAATTTTTAAAAACATGAAAATCCATAGTATAATAGACCTAAAACTAAAGAAAATAAGCCTAAAACCATCAAAACCATTAATCGACAAACGGGTTGGATGCTGAGGTAGTAGGTTGTATAGTTCAGAGTTTTATCAATGGGGTAACTGTGCAATCTGCTAGCTTATCATTGCAACTTCGTTTTGAGCCATGTGTATGACTCGAACATGCTATTTCAAATTGATAACGATTTTTATGACTATTGAAACTGTTTTGAATAAAGAGTTTTGTTAATTGTGATTGTTTGGAGACAATTGTTGTTGATTTTGAGGGTTTTGGAGGGGTAAATGTTAAGGGTTTTGAAGTTTGGCGATATTGATTTGAAGTTTGTTGTATGAGGGTGTGGTTACTGATAGTTGTACAGTCAGTAGTTTTTAAAAAATTGTGATTTTTTAAGGTTATTAAGAACATATCAGAGCTAATAGTACTATTTAAAAACTAATATTCTTTTTTAAAAACAACTAGTATTAATAAAAAAATCGCTAGTACTAGCCTAAAGCTATAAGAACAATATTAAACCTTATTTGTATTTTTAAGTTTAGTATTATTACCTCTAAAACCTATTAGTTCATTGAAAACCTACTAGTACACCTAAAGCCAAGCCTAATATCATACAACCCCCCTTTCTACCTCCACTTGTAAATCAATAAACATGGCTACTGATATGTACAAAGTGTACAAACAACGCTGGCTCGTGTTGTTGGTTGTTTGTTTGCTCAACTTTTCGAACGCTATGGTAAGATCCCTACGAACCGGTTGCAAAACACGTTCAGGCAGACCTGGATCTCGTTCGCACCGATCAGCTACTACACCAATGAATTCTATGGCAACAGGAATGCGGCCACCTTCTTGAATGCCATTTTCATGCTGGTGTCGATACCGTTTGGAGTGTTGGCGTTATGGGGTGTGGATAAGTATGGCATTAGAGCTACTGTAGGTATAGAAACTTTAAAGTTTGGGTAGGGTAGGGTAGGGTAGGGTAGGGTAGGGTAGGGTAGGGTAGAGTAGGGTAGAGTAGGGTAGTGTAGAGTAGGGTAGGGTATGGTAGGGTAGGGTAGGGTAGGGTAGGGTAGGGTAGGGTAGGGTAGGGTAGGGTAAGTTAGGGTAGGGTGAGGCAGGGTAGGATAGGGTAGGATACGTTAGGGTAGGGTGAGGCAGGGTAGGATAGGGTAGGATACGTTAGGGTAGGGTGAGGCAGGGTAAATAATTTTTTATATAATTTTTTTCAAAAAATTTGCATAAACCCTCCAATTCAGTGCCACATAAGTGCGTTGGTCAATTTCGTGGGGAACTTGGTGCGTTCGGCGGCGGTCTTTCTGCCCCTGCCCTGGCGCTTCTACATTACACTGGGCGGGCAGGCCGGCGCCGCTTCCATCCAACCATTCATAATGTACTTGTCCACCAAGACGGCGGCTACGTGGTTTGCGAATTCGGAGCGAGTGACCGCCAACACGCTGGCCGCCATGTCCAACCCGTTGGGGGTGGCGGTCATGTACGCGGTTTCGCCGCTAATTGTCAACTCCAATTCGTGGCGGGACTTTTCCGTTTTGGTAAGCAGAGGATTTGGAATAATTAGGGGAGGAATAGAAAAGCAGTTTACTGATGCTAGACGATATTGTAGTATGTAATAAGCAGCTGAGACTGTAATTGCATCGAAAGACATAAAATGAAAAAAAAGTTTTACAACACCTAAAATACAATTTAATTATTATGCTGTCTAGTAAGTTCATAAAACTCTATACCCTTTTGCTTTGTCCCCCCTGTAACCCTTGTGCTTCGTGTTACTCTACTGTACCCTACCCTAGTCTACACTACGTTGGCTTAACTTATCACCATACATTAACCTATCATACAATGCATCGGCTTGACTATAGCTTTCCAAACAAATTTTTTTCCGAGATTACCTAATATTGATTATACAATAAGATAGCCTTAGAGAAATTGAAAGTAATTGTATTGCGCAATCTTTTCTTATGTAATATTATGGTTTTATATAACATTTGCCTCGATGTAAAACGACCCAACAAATGACTGTGAGTGCTGGGATTTTACTCCACATTTCTGCGGGGTATCGCTTTTATTAGCTGTATTCTACTAAGCCTAAAAATCAGACTACAAAACCTTCCGTGACCAAGAATGCTGAGCTTACGTCTACTGAGCTTAAGCCTTGCAAGCCTAAACCCAATAAACCTAGAGTTTAAAACTAAACCGACTAAACCTAAAGCTATGCATACTAAACCTACAAAGCCTAAAGCTATGTCTACTAAGCCTAAATCTAGGCCTACTAAGCCTACCAATCTTAATTTTACTCCTACCCCACATATGTAAAAACTAAAATTTTCAGAACGGCCTAATCCTACTCTTAACCTTCATAACACTTCTATCATCACTCGGAGTAACAAGAACCGCCCCAAAAACTCCACCTTCAAGCTCAAGTACAACAACCTCATCATCATCCCTGCCATTTTACAAAAACCTCTTAAAACGTTTAAAAAACAAAAGTTTTTTGATATTAACCTTTGCTGTCGGATCAGCCATAGGCCTATTCAACTGTCTTTACAATAATCTACAACCAATCTTGTGTTCCAATGGCTACAGTAATGTGTTTATTGGGCTTTGTGGCAGTCTTATGATAATATCCGGGCTGATTGGATCAGCTGTTTGTGGAATTATCGCTGATAAAACCAAAAAGTTCAATTTGATCTACAAGAGTTGTTTAATATTGGCAGTGTCTTGTGCCATCTTTATGGCATTTGTGGTGTTTCATGAGAACAAGAATGCCTTGATTTTGAGTTCAATTATATTATTTGGCTTCTTTGGACTGGCAACTTATCCAATCAGCTTGGAATTGGCTGTGGAATGCACTTTTCCTACCCCTGAAGCCTTCTCTTCTGGATGCTTGATCTTTTTTGGGTAATATTTTTAAAAGGGCATAGTTAATGTAAAGCTAGTCTACGATTATAGTAGGTCTAGAGCTAAGGGTAGAGCAAATACTAGGGTTAGAATTAATTCTAGAGCTACAAGATTAAAGCAGGCTAGGATAGAGCCTACGGTTAAGAGAGTGTAAGACAAGGCTAGGTTACGTAGGGTATGTTAGGGTAATGTAGAGTAGGGTTGAGTAGAATAGGGTAGGGTAGGGTAGGGTAGAGAAGGGTAGCGTAGGGTAGAGAAGGGTAGGATAAGAAATAGGTTGGTTATGATGTAATGCTACAGATGATCCTGTACAAAAAACTAAAATATTCTTTTAGACAAGTATTTGGCATAATGTATGTCACCATAACGTCTTTATTAACTACCGAACCAACTGAACGTACCAAAGACATCCAAACCTGTACCAAAATCGACCTGGATATTGAGGTTCTAGAGTGGGAACGTAAGCTTAACCTTGTTGATTTATATAATTCTAGTCCTACATCAATAGAAGCTTACAGCCTTTATAACGTAGATTGTAAGGTACCCATTATAAACCCATAATAACTTTTGGGCTAATAACAAATCTAGTTGTTGTACCACACTAATAACATAAGAAGCCTAAATTTCCTAAAATCTGAATTTTCAGATTCGCACTACTTTTGGACGTTCAGTATGATCGTGACAGTAGTGTTCAGTCTAATATTATTCAAGCCAAAGTATAAAAGAATGGAACATGAAGCGAGGAAAGAGAACCAGAGTCACATTGAAGCTATAGAACAATAAAAATAAGCCTAAAAAAGCGCTTTAATTTAAAAATCGACCACAGATGAGTGTTCTATACAATGTGCGCCAAAAGTCCTGTTACAAAACTTAACCGGTCGTTTACTCTATGTTGCGGTTGAATTATTTAATGTATAAAAATCAGTAAATTAATTTAAAATACGAGGCCCAAGCTTACAACAAAAAAAAATTTTTAATTTAGAAAACAACAAAAATATTTATTCAAATATCAAAACATTCTATAATATATCAACCGGTAACAATAAAATCAACAATTATATTCCTAACATCCTATATTTCATCAAATCAAAGCTAAAAAACGTGGGTTAAGCCTAATATAAGCCTAAAATAACTAAAAATCAAATTTCCATTTTTACCATAGCCTTCATTATCGATTTACCCTCCTCCCATAGTAAAGATAGTTTAATTACCACGCCCTATTAAAAAAGTTCAACTACCAAGCCATAGCAGCAACAGAATTAGCAGCCGGTGGTTGGACGTGTTGTATTTTGGCAGTCAATAACTGTCGATACTCTGGATTCAAACTCTGCCATTCGTCTCGAACTTCTTTATATTGTTGTTCTAGTAGGTCTCGTTGATTCGCTTGTTTATAAACTTCTTTCACCTTGTTTACTCGTATATCTTGTAGCGCGGGTTCTGGGTTTCTGATTTGACCACCTCCGTTTAGACAGCCTTTCGGACATGCCATAACCTCAACATAATCAACTTCATGCCTTCCTTGTGTGATTCGCCTGACCAGATTCTGAATATTCCTGAAACCATAAGCCTTGACCAATGTTAACGTTTCGCCGTTCTTCATGTTTATCGTATATCGTTCCAGATCGTTCTGGCTAAAAAAAGAAGAAATTAGGTTTATAATATTAGGTTGTCCAAATAATTCTAAGCCCTCACTCAACGCAAATTTTTGACGCTATGGCGCGCAGAATTATTTGAACAACCTAAGAAAACTTATATTCAGAGACGTCGCTACGGTTTAGCTACCTGTGGACCGATTTTTCGAAAATTTTTTTTTCTGTTTTTCACGTACAGGTAAATTTTCTACCTGTGGATTTTTTTTCGGATCGGCTCTGGGAAGAGGGAGTCACCCCGAACCACTCCCCAACCCCCCCCAAACGACGTCCCTGCTTATATGATATTTCTATACCTAAAACATAACTTTTAGACCTAAAAACAAATTTAGGCTTAAAGAAACAATTTTTAAGCTCAAAGTAACAAATTTAGGCCTATAATATTAAGAGATTTATTAAAAATTTTCGTATTTTACTAGACTCAAACCCTAAAGCAACATACCTTTCAGTTTGAACATCAACCAGTTGATTTTCTTCAGTTAAAGTTTGTGTTAGAGAATCCAAGATAAATTTAGTGTAACCTCCAGAAGTCTCGTCTTCATAGTCTCCTATCACACATCCTAGTTCTAATGAATTTAACCATGTCATCTCTGTATCTACTTGTATATCTTCATCACATCGAAATTCTTTTATTAGAGGCAGAAGTTCAGCTATAACAATATTTTTTAAATTTTTAAAAATTTACTCTACTACAGTACTATAACTATCTTAAAGAACCTGATCATACGGTACTTTGCCCAACCCCTCCTTTTTCTATCCTGCCATACTACAGTACCAACACTATCTTACAGTACCACAGCATATAGTACTCAACCAAACCCACCTCCTCCCCCCACTTTTTCTACCCTACCCTACCTTAAGCCATACCCTACTCTACCTTACAGTACTTTACATCAAGTTACACTTACATGGAGTAACAACACAATCAGTATCCTGACCAACACTACTTCCAAACTCTCCCCTTGATGCTTCCAACTTCTTATCGTAACATGGCATCACAGCTACATGATATATATTTTCAACTGATTTACTGAGCTTCCTAACCAAGTAATCCTTGATTAGAACACCCATGACTGCCTGCGGCGATCGTATCGATGAAATATATGGCACAACGTCGTTTTTCTTACGTTTTTCAGAATAACATACAAATCCTGTAAAATTAAATAATTAAACAATTTTTTAAACCACTGTGCAGAAACTTTATTTTTTTGCACAGTGCAGAGAATTTAAAAGGCCAAAAATAAACATTTTGAATAACACATCTGCCTTTACCTGGACAAATTCCACTCATCAACATCTCCTTCTTTTTCCGATTCCTCAACTTATCCTTCAGTTCCTCCAAACATTCCAATAACGAAAAATATCGACCAAAAGAGGAATCAACCACAAATTCAGCTCCTTTACTTTTAAAAAATTTCGCTAAAACTCTAGCCATCTCGCCCATTGTCAACTCCAACTCAGCAGCTAATGAAGCCAATGCTTGAGGTGAAACTGTAACAAATCCAACTTTAGAAGATGACAATCCAGCTAACATCTCATCTGCCGTCTGAGATTGAATCAAAACTGTCTCTGCCGTCGTTACGCATCCACTACAAGCTAGGCAATCCTTCAAAGATACTGTAATCTTCTGTTCTTGAAGTACTGGTCTTTCTGTTTTCTTTCTGAGCTTCACGAGGTTTGATTTTGACTCAGATTGACCTGGCATGGGTAATATACAAGCCTGAAATGTTCTACGTCAATACACTAGTCGTATTTTACAATAAAAATGTGCAAAAAAACTAAACACTCTTTATTGGAGCTTTAAGAATCAAAATTTCATAATAACATACCTGACTTGGGCTGATAAAGTCACTAACATCTGCGATCTTCACCACGCCGCCCATAGCTCTTAATATTTTCTGAAATTTAACAAAAACAGCTTCTAAATAACTTAAAGATAATATAAAAGTAGTTTTTAATTAATTTGTATCCAATAACAGTTATTTAAAACGAAAAACCCCAAATTTCGTAAAATAAAAATATTATTTACAGAATATCACTTGACACCTTATTTTTCGGGTCATTTCTATCTTTTTCTCGCTTATTTTACCGAATTTTGCCTTGGTTTTGTTTTTTGTTTATCTTACCACAGTTAAGGCGGTATCCGTCAAACAGATTTAAAATTTATTGCATTGGCATCTTTTACATCTATTTATTGAGGTTATTTTGAAATTTTGTCCCGTTTTTATTGGTTTTCGATGTTTTTGCTTGTTAAAACGTTTGATCGTGGATTTACCTTGAATTAGATAGGTGATTACTATTAGTGGAGACAATTTTAGATGCGATTGTAAATATTGTACAAAATGGAAAGTGGAACTGTAGATTTTGACGATCTGACGGCTTCTGAACAAGCGAGGCTCGTGGAGATTCACGGTAAAAAGGAAGTTGTGGTCAATCGAATCCATGTAGGTTTATTTCGTTTGTTTCTTTGGTTTTTAGGTAACTTTTGAAAAGGATAAGCATTTAAAAGCTTTGAAATAGTTTTCTACAGCTAAGCTATGTGTTTTTTAGGAATTGGAAGCTCTTTTGATTAAAAAACAAGGCGACATTGATAACCTTCATCTCGAAGGAATTGAGTAAGTTGTAAATTTATCGTTTTTTTTTATTTTAGGGATTTGGTTTTAACAAAATCGGTATGATTTTATAATTTTTGTGATTTTAGCTATCATCTAGCTTTGCAAGACACAAAAATACAAATCCGAAACTTCAATCAGAAGCCCAAGTTCACAATCGACAAGTTGATTGAATGTTCAATTTTGCAAAACAACCCAATGTCTGTGGCGAAATACCTATATGAAACGAAGGGATTGTCCAAAAAGAGTCTAGGAGAATATTTGGGATCAGATGGAGATTTTGTCAAACTGGTACTCTTGGAGTTTATCAAGCTTCAAAGGTTGGAAGATTTGGAAATTGTCGGAGCTTTGAGGACATTTTTGAACTCTTTTCAATTAGGTGGAGAAAGTCAAGTGATTGACCGAGTGTTGGACACTTTTTCTGCTTGGTTTTGTGAACATAGTACTAAGAAGGAAGCGTTTGTTAATGCTGGTAAGTTAATATGATATTTGAATTGGCTTTTTGATGTTTAGGTTTGTGGCGTAGTTTACCCAGTTTGAAAGCCTGATTTAGCGGTTATTTTGAACTTATTTAAGGTAACTAATGTTTCAGCAACTTGTCATACATTCCTGTACGCTCTGCTGATGCTGAATACCTCATTGCATAACCCAAAAGTGGTGCATTCCATTGATTTTATAAAACCGGTTGATTTTTTGAAAATTTGTGATGGAACTTCACTATCCAAGGAGTTTTTACTGGTAAGATTTTTGATTTTTTGGTCATTTTTTAGCAGTGAAAACTCAAATTTAAAGTTTTTAGTGGTAATATTGGAAGTTTATTGCTTTAGTTGTTAACTTTTTGATATTTTATGCCTTTTTATTATAAAAATGAAATTTTTGTCTTTTCAGAACATTTACAACGAAGTAAAAGCCCGTCCGTTTGTGTATGACAAGTTTTCCGAAATTACGAAAAATATGATGACTAATGCCTCTAAAACTGGATACCTCGAAAAGCAAGGCAGTAAAGGATGGAAATGGAACAAAAGATGGTTTGCTTTAATGGAAAATTGTTTGTACTACTTTGAGGATCAACAGGTATGGCTTAAAATGCCAATTAAAACACATTTAAATTTTTTTAAATCTTTAAAAAAAGGCTTTTTAAAATTTAAAAAAAGTTGAAAATTTAAAATCATTTAAAGATTTTTAAACTAAAGTACCTTGTTTTAGATGGGAAACCCTCGAGGCATCATTTCCCTAGAATCTATTCGGTTCAGAATGGTTGAAGACAGAACTCGACCGTTTTGCTTGGAGCTATTTTCAATATCTGCGGATGCTGTGACAGTTTGTAAAATGGAAAGTGTAGGTACTGTACCTAAAACTAGCCATGGGACAATAAAGTTGGCGGCCGAAACAGAAAAGGAGCTTAAGGAATGGATGTCCGCTATAGAGTGAGTTTAGTCATTTTTAGGGGGGGGGGGCATGGTGAGGGTAGTGAAATTCTCTTTTAGAAATAGAACAGGAATGACAACGTTGGCTTTTTAAAAAAAAATTTTTTTTTCGGCGGGGTGATTTTTTAAAAAAAAAGTTAAGGGGGGGGGGGGGGGGGGGGGTATTTTTTAAAATTTTTGCATTGAAACTGAAAGAGCAGGGCAGGTTTCACTGTTTTTTTCTGAAATTTTTTGTATTAGGGGGAGGGGGGGGGGTCCAAAAAAAATTTTTTTGGTACATCATAATATTGTTATAGACAACACTTATGGCTTCACGAGTACCAGGATCTGATCCAGCTGAAAAAATCTCGAGCCAATAAGTAAGCGTCAACATTTGGGTTTACTTGTTCATCTACTTATGCAATTTCAATATTTTTAAGTATTTTTACGGGTGTAGCATCCGTTCGGGTAATTATGTATAATATTATGTGCTTTACTTGTACACTATGCAATAATAAAATCATTTTTTATGTAAATTTTATTTAAAATGGCATATTTTGAAGGATCAGTGTTGGGGGGTGATTTTGGTCGGAGGGGAAGGGCTGGGGGAGAATGGTGCAGCGTACCCCCTCCCCCCCCTCCCCTACTACTATCCTCCCTCCCCGCCCCCTCCCCCAACAAGATATACCTAAAACAGTAAAAATAGTTTATCTGTACGCTGTAAAAATACGAAAACTAACCGAAATAAGTGCTATTTGATCAAAAATGTACAAAAATATTTGAATCTTCAAGGTTTTTTAAGTCTGTCAGTAGAGTTCATTTCCTTCTGGCTGTACACTAACTTCGTCCTGACGCGTCTCATAATCATATTGAATATCGGCTTCGTACACACGTCGAGATACCACGTTCAGATAGTCACAAATTGTGTCACTCTGGAATGGGAGGTGTAAAAAGGTGGTAAAATACGGGGGTTGCAGAATTGAGGGAAGTTTGACACCGAGAAAATTTTTTTTTATTTTTTTTAAAAAAAAAAATATTTTAAAAAATGATGATTTTTATACTTCTGAAGCAAGAATATGATAACTTACTCTCATGCAATTAGTCTTTCCAACAACAAATCTCAATTTGTAATGAAGACCATTGGTCATTGGTTCCACGGCCGCGTCGATCAGTTGAATATGAAGTACTCGAAAGCCGTCGTTTTCTTCCTCTTCGATCTTCTCCAAAGCCCGTTGGGTGAAGAACTAAAATGAAAAGTATTAAGTAATTGAACCACCATTCCAACTTTTAAAAAATAATTTTCTTCTTCCTAGGACAAAGTAGATTACGATAAAACGGGCTAGGGTAAGCTAGGGAAACATAATGTACCGTGGGGTAGAATAGGGCAGGATATTGTAAAGTAAGGTAGGGCATGATAGATTATGGTACAGTAGGATAGGGCAGGCTAGGACAGAATAAAGTAGGTTAGGGTAGAGTAGGATAAGGTAAGTTAGGGCAAGATATTATGGGGTTGGTAGGGTAGGGTACAGTAAGGTAGGGTAGAGCAGGGTAAGGTATGGTAGAGTAAGATAGGATAGGGTAAGATAGAGTAGGGTAGATTAGGTTAGGTTAGGGTAGGGTAAGGTAGGGTAGGGTAGGGTAGGGTAGGGTAGGGTTGGGTAGGGTAGGATAAGATAGTGTAAAGTAGGGTAAGGTATGGTAGATTAAGATAGGATAGGGTGTGGCAGAGTAGGCTAGGTTAGGGCAGGGTAGGGTGAGAATAGGTCAGGGTAACCCACCTTGATCCAGGGATCCTGAAGTGAAGCGTGTCGCCATTCAGATTCCTCATCCAATTCGAATCGCTTGTTTGATGGATGATCATCCTCGATTTCTAAGAATCTTCTGTATGGTGCTGATAATACACTCAAGCATAGAGTGGCTAGGAGAATTGCAGTTAGGACTACCGAGATTTGGGTCATTTTGACGATGATTTTAGCTGAAATGTAAACATTTTGAATTTTTTATTTATTAAGTGGCAAGAAAATTGAAAAATAGTGCAAATTTTATCGTATTGTTTAAAAATTGTCAAAATATGTAAATATATAACTCTACTAAAACTGCGCTCCAAACCAAATATACGATTAAAAGAGTGCAGAATGTAAAATTACTAAATGTCTTTGAAATTTTGAAAATGTTGCGTGTTACGCATGCATAATCTTGAACCGTTAATATAATATGTTTCTCGATCATGTATTTATAAATAGGTAAGCAAACATATAAACTATAAGTTCTTTCTCTATCTAAATCAAGGTTTGATAAAGTGGCTTAAAAAATATCAGTTTAAAATTGATTAACCTAGCTTGCTTTAAATCATGGACCATAGCCGACGGCTTAGACTTTGACTTCGGATTAAGATCAACCTTAGACTTAGGCTACGGCTTAGACTTAAGCATAGGAACAGGTAAAGACATCGGCACATGCATTGGCTTAGGCTTAGGCTTAGGATTAGGATTAGGATTAGGCTTAGGCTTAGGCTTAGGCTTAGGCTTAGGCTTTGGTTTAGGCTTTAGCTTAGGTTTAGGCTTAAAATTAGGATTAGGCTTAGGCCTTAGTTTGGGCTTTAGCTCAGGTTTTAGCTTATTTTTTGCTTAAAGCCAATACTAGCCTGGGCTTTACCATACTGACATAATACCCTAACTAAAATTTGCTACTCTACCATACCCTGAATATAATATGTATACACCCCCCCCTAAATGTCTTCTCTACCCTCAAATCTAAATTGAATTTCTGAGCTATTCAGACTATTTATATATACATTTCTTGATCCACAAAAATAGTTTTAAATTTAAAAAGTTTTTTTTTTTCACATAATTCAAATTCCGGTGCAAACCCCGCCCAGCTCAATAAACAATGACAATCAACAAAATCAGATTGAAAAAGGAAATGATATGTTCATAAAAAATATGATTAGTCATTGCTCATAGCAAAATAAGATTAAAAAACAATAAAAAGTGACAGAATGCACTTTTAAAAAGGGGTTTTTAGGCTTAAAAATTGTTAAACTTGGTCTATTGGCCTAGGCTGAGCATTTTCAACCAGGAATTAAAAAGATGTGTTTAGGTTTGCAAATATCAGCCTAAAGTAAAATTTTTACTAAAAATATAAGCAGAGATAAAAATTATATGGACTTAAAAAGAAAGCCTACTATAAAAATGTAAGCCTAGATGAAAGATGCAAGCCTAGACTAAAAATATAAGCCTAGACTCAAAATATCAGTCTGGACAAAAATTGTAATTCTAGGCTAAAAATGGAAGGGAAAAAATATAAGCCTACAATTAGTATTTAAAGCCTGTTTTATGTTTTTTTTAAAAATGTGGCATTTTTAAGTCATCAAACTTTAAAATTCTACAGTAACATAAATACAAAATATTAAAAACCAAAAATCAATTTTTTGGAAATTTCAAAAAATTCTTTGTCCAAAATACTCGAATTCTTTTTTACGAACATAAAAAACGGATCGGAAATGATTCATTCATTAAATGCGTGCCAAAAACGAACAAATAAAAACTCGAAAAAATCGAATAAAATGGCGGACTAGGCCATAAAAAATTCGAAAAGACAATCAACCAAAGAATAAAGACTGTGTTCTTGGGTATGGACTTTAGGTTTTGTATGAGGTAAAGGCAGGGTATGGGATGAAGAGAATGATGGGTAGAGGGAGGGAGGGTAGAGAGGCTAGGGAGGGGTGGTAAGCAGGGCCGGGCAGCACTTTTGGTCTGGGGGTGGTAGACCTGTGCTGCTTTTTTTGCTAATTTTTTTTTCAAAAAATTTACGGAGGAGGGGGGGATTTTTTTTGGGGTGTACTTCCCCCCCCCCCCTCCCCCCCCTGTTACCCTTCTCTCCCCAGGTCAAAAAAGAAACTTTTTTTTAAATTGTGCAGTGCTGGGCGGGGTAATTCTAGATTGGACAAGAGGGGAGGGTAAAAAACAAAAAAAAATATATTGCAAGTTAACAGAAGAGGGGGGGCGGGGAAAGCTTTTAAAAAAAATGTTTTTAGCCAGCTCTCTTGGACCTTTATACCCTTGCCTTAAAATTTTTACTTTATCCTTGTAATTTTTAAAGTTTCAATATCCACCCCCCCACAAATCCTACAAGTTTTTTAAGCCCAGTCATTGAGTCATAAACCGCTGCGTGCAAAGACCTCTTAACAAAGCTGGGAAGAGAACGACGGAACGCCGTTAAAATCAGCGGAACACATGTCAATTGGAACGCAAAAGTGATTGGCACAACAAAAATAACAAAACAAAACGGTCGGATTTTGAAAATGGAGGGGAAACACGACAGTATGACATATTTAAAATGACATACGGAAATGAAGGATCGAAGGTCTGATCGGAATGAAAACAGGATCAGCTGGGTGAGGATGACATGACATAGAGAACGCTATTTTGGTCTTAAAGTATGTAGAAGAAGGTAGTGTAACATCGGTAAGATTACGGTAGATGGTATTGGTGTCATATGGGTGGGGGTGAGTACAGTATTGGTAAGTTATATTCAAAGCATGGGTGGGATAAATTAGGAAAAGGCCAGGGATGGGAATAAAAGGGTTGGACAAGTATGGTGTAGACGAGCTAGGGACGATGCATGGACGGGGTAAGTAGGGTAGGGTAGGGTAGGGTACGGTACGGTACGGTACGGTACGGTACGGTAGGGTAGGGTAGGATTAGAGCTAAAGAATGAGAAATCGAGCCGTCTTTTACTTGTTATCTTTGAATTAGTCAGCTGATTTGGCCAATTTGTTTTGATCCAATTTATCAAACAAAGAAATTAGTAAACATTCTGCGTTTGATCACGTAAAAACAAGCTTTTTGATCTTGTTTTAATGTTGCAAATTGAATTTTTTTTTAAAAAATTTTTTTTTCAAACATTTTCATACTGTAACAGTACCAACAATGTAAAAACTTTATTGTACGTATAAAATGAGATAATGAAATTGAGAAAAGATCAAGAGTATCATACATATTGTCATAAAATACTATATTAGGTGCCAACATAAAGAACCCGCCATACTTTTCCTGTAATTTCATGTAAAAAACGGCGGGTTCTTTATGTCGGCAACTAATATAATCAGCGTTGAAAGAGTTGAAGCCTAACATAACATTACTCTTTTGCTTCTTTAGGCTTGTCATCCAAATCGTAGAGGTTGCTGAAAAATGTCATTTTAAATACAAAAACTTTCTAAATTTGCATAATTTTTAGTTTTTTTAAAAATATTTTTCTGAAGGGCACAGAATAAAGTGAAATACTGTCTCAAAGAGGCACAGAATAAAATGAAATAATGTGTCAAAGGGGCACAGAATAAAGTGAAATAATGTGTCATTGGGGCACAGAATAAAGTGAAATACTGTGTCATTGGGGCACAGAATAAAGTGAAATACAGTGTCAAAGGAGCACAGAATAAACTGAACTTCCTAATATCAATATTCAAAGTTTGTGGCGTATTTTACACTTACATCTTCATCGTCGTCGTTCACTCGCTTCAGTCTAGCATCATTGTTATGGTTGTAGCCGAACAGATACATACTGGGCCCGTTGAGACGTAGCCGGTACGATGCGTATGGTGCTGGTAGTATCTTCTGGTGTGTTCTAGTCACGTATTCTGGACGGAGTAGACGATACGATTTTGAAAAGGATACTGTAACTGAAATAACATTACTGTAGGTTTAGAAGTTATAAATTGATAGTACTGTAAGTTGCAGTAATTTTTTTAATTATGGAGATTTATACAGCACAACATACATAACTTTTGAACCAGTATATCAATTTTTTTCAAAAATACTGTAGCTCACAATACGATCATATTGTAATTTAAGAAAAATCATACTGTAGACCAAACTCAAGTACTACAAAACAAAATTACCGTACTCCCTTACCTGTCAGACATAGCATCAGAACGCATTGCACAAGAGCCAAAAACCGCATAGTTTGGTTAAAAAGGTGTAGGTATAACCCTAAAGCATTAGGTTGTAAATACTGAACAACGTTCGACCGCGAGTTGTACCCTACAGTATTTTATTGAACCCTACCCTACCCTACCATACCCTACCCTACCCTACCCTACCCTACCCTACCCTACCCTACCCTACCCTACCCTACCCTACCCTACCCTACCCTACCCTACCCTACCCTACATACCCTACCCTACCCTACCCTGTCCTACTCTACCCTAGCCTACCCCAACGTAGTGACGCCTCTGGCCTAGCCTACTATTTCCATAAACATAATTATTACTGTAGTCATACAATCCCTCCCCCCCCTAACCAAAATCTTTTTTAAAAACCGTGCCCAGTCTTATTACAGCCATACCATATCAAAAGCTTTAGCCCAGAGCTATCTTTACCCTCCCTACCCTAACATACCCAACCCTACCCTACCCTACCCTACCCTACCCTACCCTACAAAACCCACAACAAAAGCAACAAAAAGCCGCATGTTCAGCCCACGCCCTCCTTATATACCTATACATTTCCCAAAACCGTCATAAATGGGTTAAAAACGCGGTATGACATATTTCCAGATTTATGAAACATATAGCAAACATGTCTGTTAACATATTCGATACTATTCATCAAGTATGCGCAACTGCTCGGTTTTTAATTAAATTTCGCAGATTTACGTTTGTAGGTTTATATTATTGACAAGATTTCTGAATTAACACAAATTTATTGGCTGTCTGCAAAGGTCAGAGGCGGCTTTAAATAGAATTTTTTTAAATATATTGTCGTTGATCTATGACTTTACTATGAAACGTAGACTAATCTTGAGCTTATTCAGCCCAACACTGCAAAACATACAGCTAACTCGACTAAGCTTCAGCGTAGGTAAGCCAACCAAGCCAAAATCCACTAAGCCTAAATTTTTAAAGTTAAAGCCTTCAAAACGTAAGCCTACTAAGCCTAAGCCTACGAAGCCTAAGCCTGCTAAGCCTAAGCCACTAAGTCTAAGCCTACTAAGCCTAGGCCTACTAAGCCTAAACCTACTAAGCCTAAGCCTACTAAGCCTAAGCCTACTAAGCCTAGCCTACTAAGCCTAAGCCTACTAAGCCTAAGCCTACTAAGCCTAAGTCTGCTAAGCCTAAGCCTAAGTCTGAGCCTACTAAGCCTAAGCCTACTAAAACTAAACATACTAAGCCTAAGCCTACCAAGCCTAAGCTTAATAACCTAAGTCTACTAAACCTAATCCTACTCAGCCTCTTCCGACTAAGTCTAAGCCTAAAGGATAAGCCTAAGCCTACCAATTTTGCTAAGCCAATTTCTTCTAACAATGTGTCCTAGCCTTTCTTTCACTTACCTTGTCTAATTATACCAATGAAAATTTCGCTCAATATTGCCTAATATAGATGATATAAGATAGCCTTAGAGAAATTGTAAGAAAGCGTATTGCGCAACTTTTTCTTATGTAATATGTTTAAATATCATAATATTTGCCTCGATGTAAAACGACCCAACAAATGACTGCGAGTGCTGGAATTTTACTTCAAATTTCATCGGGCGTTCGCTTTGTCACGTTATATAACTATGCCGTTTTTTATTAATTCTCACGTTTTTAAGCCTAAGGTTCAGGTATGAAGAGTAAATGTAAGCTTAAGCTTACTGATGTTAAGCTTGCTAAGCCCAAGCCTACTAAGCCTAAGCCAACTAAGTTTAAGCCCCCTAAGCCTACTAAATTTAAGCCTAGTAAGCATAAGCCTCCCAAGTCTAAGCCTCGTAAGGCTAAGCCTAAGCCTGAGCCTACTAAGCCTAAGCCTACTTAACCTAAGCCTGCTAAACCTCAGCATGTTTAGCGTAAGCCTAATAAGCTTAAGCCTAAAGAGCTTAAGCCTACTAAACTGTTTGCCATATTGCTTTCTTTTCAGCATCCAAACAGTCTTTACCAACTATAAGTAATCTGACCGGTCGAAAAAAGATTGACATAAAAACAGCGTATATTCTCCCCAGTACAATGCGCAACACCTTCTGAGGAGAATGCAAAACATGAAAGTAATATAAGTCCAAGCTGTTCCTCAATATCTGCTTCTAGTGACTTCTGTGACCACATTTTTTAATAAAACGGTCATTTTTGGAAGATTGCCTTGTGAAATGTCAAAAATAAACACACGTCATTAATGGCACTTTATTTCATACGGTAAAGTCACAGTTTTTAATATTGCTTCAAAGTTATTTATATGTACAATTCTTAAGATCTATACAGTAACATAGTACTACAATATATTTTTACATAAGCCTAAGGTTACTAAGATTATAAATATTAAGCCTAAGCCTAATAAGCCTAAGCCTACTAAGCTTAAGCCTATTAAGCCTAACCTTACTAAGCCAAAGCCTACTAAGACTAAACTTACTAAGCCTAAGGCTACTAAGACTAAGCTTATGTCGACTAAGCCTAAGCCTACTCAGCCTCGGCCTACTAAACCTAAGCCTAGGCCTATTAAGCCTAAGCCTAATAAGCTTAAAACTACTAAGCCTAAGCCTACTAAGACTATGCCTACTAAGCCTAAGGCTACTATGATTAAGCCTAAGTCGACTAAGCCTACTCAGCCTGAGCCTATTAAACCTGAGCCTACCAGGCCTAGGCCAATAAGTCTAAGCTTAGTAAGCCTAAGCCACATGATTATTAATTATTTACAGTAATCAGCTCATTAACTACAGCAAGCACTTCCCACCACAATTTTACTTACAATAACCTAAACCACAAAGTAATCATTACAGTAGTCACTTCTTGACGTCCCACTTAACATCCCAAGCATTTTTAAGTTGACTAAAGTAGGTATCAGTAGCTAGTTGATAATCCTCCTCACGACTTCTCACTTGACCATAGTTCTTCTCTTTACCACCACCAAATATTCGCGCTATGTCTCGTACAACTTGTTGGCGGGTCGCTGAATTACACAGTAAAAAACATAAGGCATGACAAATGGCGTAGCTATCCAGGATTATGAATGTTAACTGAAAATGGAATCTTAATGGTTAGACTTACAGTATGACATTATTAAGTACAGTAAGTTCAGGGTAAGAAAGAATACCGTAGAACAAGACTAGTCAGCCTTACCTTAATAAAAGCCCTGTCCAGAATGCTCCCAAAGTCGTTGATAAAATAGATTCTAGCACCTTCCACGATCAATCCCAACAAGGCCATCACAGTATACCCGATCATACTCGGTGCTATTGACGCATTACTATCCGAGTTCATAGTTTGTTGAAATCTGGCACTCAAACTCTCCAAATTCAACCGATTTCTCGTTCTTTTCTTGTTCACACTCCGTAGGATCAGTAGCCACTGAAATGGTACTGTTAGTACAGTTGAAGGTTAAAAAGGTATGATAGTTCAATACCTACATTAATAATCTATAAAACATCAAAAAAACATTTATATTGAGATTCATATGAACTCCAAAACAATTTGTAGGTTCATAAAAACACCTAAAACAATATGTATATTTATTTGTACAAAAACATACCAAAGCAGATCCAGTACAAGTGATCAACGCCACTGAAAAGCCGTGAAGTCCGACTTGTGGGTAAAGATCAGTTAATATACATGAATTATACGTTGAATCCAACTTGAAATCGTCACCCATAACAACATATTGATATATTACTCCTGTTGGCACACTTTGAAAAAACTAAAAATTTATAGGTCATATTGAAATTGGCAAAAAAACCTGAGTTTTTCACTGATTTTTGAGAGATTTTTTTGAAAAAATTCGTTTTTTAGGTTTAAACCTAAAAAAAGTTATTTTAAATTTAAAAAAGTTTTAAAATAATTAAAGATAAATAAAATACAAAGCCTTAAAAAAGTTTTCAACCAAAAAATTTCATAAAATACCTATTTTACGCATTCTAAACGACCGGAAGCAAAAGCGCGCCAAATTTCGCCCGTTCATTTCTCTCTTTCTTTTCCGCCCTCTTTTCTCACGCGCATATGTCAAACCTAGTCAAGAGACATCCTCCTCATTTGGTTGGTCAGATGAAAAGGTAGCGTTTGCCACCTCTGGGGTCCATGCATCCTCAAACGGGTAAATCTTTCGCCTTTTACTAAAGATTTCCGTGCATGGGCTCGCTTATGAGTTCTATCAATTTTTGGGAGTCCATTCGAGAGGATGGACTGATAACTTTTAGCAGTGTCAGGTAATTTATGCTGCTGGAGGGGGATAAAAAGCAATTTTTTTTGTTTTAAAGGGCCCGCCGAAACAAATTTTTTAGGAAAGGAGTACAGCCTATGCTTACCAAGCCTTAACCTTATGACTAGAGTTCTCTAGAGCTCCAAAACCGGCTTGGATAGCTCCTGATAATTATATTACGCTATAGCTTACTAATACTAACAATTCTAAGTTTAAGCCTAACTTCTTAAATTTCAAAAATTTTCATTAAAAATTGTCATTTCAAACCAAACCCTAAATTTCAAAAAAAAATTTAAAACATACCACTATGCTCATGAGTATGACCCCAATAACGCCACTCCTTTTTTCGTAGTTTTCTACGAAAAAAGTTGCCAGTTGTTGTTCAACAGCAATCATATTCATGCATAGAGCCGAAGAAAATATAGCTACCATGTGTAGATGGCATATGAATAAGTTGACCAGATTTATGAGCAGTCGATTTTCTAGATATCTTATATTTTCTAGAATTATGTGGAGGATGAAATGTGTTGTGGTCATTATTTGGAACGATATGGCGGCACAGAACTGAAAAATGAAAGATTTTAAAACTGTTTTTTACTTAGTCGTAGCTGAATCTCTAGTTCAAATGTTAGCTCAAATCCTAGCCCAAGCCCTATCTTAATCCTTAGCTCATGTCTTAGTTCAAGATACAGCTCAAGCCCCAGCTCAAGCGCTAGCTCTAGCTCTAGCTCTAGCTCCAGCTCTAGCTCTAGCTCTAGCTCTAGCTCTAGCTCTAGCTCTAGCTCTAGCTCTAGCTCTAGCTCTTGCTCTAGCTCTAGCTCAAGCTTTAGCTCTAGCTCTAGCTCTAGCTCTAGCTCTAGCTTTAGCTCTAACTCTAGCTCCAGCTCCAGCTCTAGCTCCAACCTCTCCCTTAGCCTTAAGTATAGCTGTAAGTATAAGTCTAGCTCTATCTCAAGCCCTAGCTCAAGTCCTAGCTTAAGCTCTAGCTCTAGTTGTATCTCAAGCTTTAGCTCATGCCCTACCTAAAGCCCTAGCTCAAACATTAGCTTAAGCCTTAACTCAAGCACTACCTAAAGCCCTAGCTTAAGCCTTAGCTCAAGCTCTAGCTTAAGCTTAATCTCACGCTGACGCTCAAGCACCCTAGCTCAAGTCGGAGCTCAAGAATTAGCTGTAATGCTAGCGCAAGTTCTAGCTCTAACTTAGGCTCTAGCACAGGCTTTAGCGCAAGCACTACCTAAAGCGCTAGCTCAAACTGTACCTTACTTTATCCATGCATACCCGTAACTTACCATGGTTCTACATATGGCTAATATATCTATATCTTACTAAACCCCGACTCATGCTTGAACCTTACTCACCATTTGGTACTCCTACTACAATATTTTAAAATTCTCATTACCAAACTTACCAAGACAATTCTAAAATTAACATGAATACACGAGGCCTTAGATACCCTGTAGAAAAAGTATCCATTCAGCAGTAATCCAGTGAAGAAAATCAATTTTTGCAGGACGTTACAAAAGTCGTATAATAGTAGAAACTGGTTGGATTGGTCGGTAATGGGCAGCCACGTAAAGCCTGACATGTTTGTCTTTTCGAAATACATCTGTCTTTGTTGCTGGTTAATATGGGCGGGATTTACGCTAGTAAGTTGGCTTATACTTTCTTAAGTAAATAGTTATTTGGACGATGTCATAGGTATATGTAAGACATCTAGTACGGAAACGTGCTATGTTTGAGGCAGTAGCACGTGGTACTTTGAAGAGACGGTACTTTACAGTATCTTCAAAAATGTGGTTAATTACGGTAGAACTGCAGTATGATTACAATACAAGTACGAACCAATAGAAGTACAGTACCTTCAATAGTAACTTCAAGTAAAAGATACGATGACTTACTGCACACCAAACCCCTGCTATTTTGTAGTTCTGAAAAACTTGGTTATTAGGTAAAGTAAATACGGTTGTTTACTCCGTAATATTCAGAATGGCACGCATATTAGTGTAATAAGATCGAATGGCCCATTATTGATGTTTTGGTTTAAAAATGAACTAAAGGCTAACAACAGGCATTATTAGACAAGCCTGTAGGAAGTAACATTGTTTTTGACAAAAAGAGCAAGATTATAGGTATAACATGCCTAATGTAATATATTATTTATGACTTTATGTTTTGAACTAATGGTGTATTTTTACAGAATATGGTAGATATGGGAAAAGTAAGGCTAAGTGTATGGCAGGACTAAAATAGCTTAAGCTAGGGTTTAACCCAGAAGCTTGAGATAGGGCTAAGGCTAAGGCTAAGATTTGAGATAAAGCTTGAGCTAGGTCTTGAGATATATCTTGAGCTTTGTCTTAGGCTGAGACATGAGCTAATGCTTGAGCTAGGGCTAGAGCTAGGGCTTGTGCTAGAGCATGAGCTAGTATTTGAGATAAGGCAAAGGCTTTCGGGCTAGTGTTCTCGGTCCAGGGCTCTCGAGGGCTCTCGCGCTAGGGCTCTGAAGCTAGGGTTCTAAAGCTAGGGCTCTCGGGCTAGCGCTCTCGGGCTAAGGCTCTGAGGCTAGGGTTCTGGACTAGGGATTTCGGGCTTAGACGTAAATAACGTGCCGAGCCTAATTTTAAAGCCCTACCTAACCTAAATTTAAGTCTATGCTTGCCCGGCCCGACGTTAGGCCCGGCCAGTCCTTCATGTCTACTCGGGTTAGGGCTCTGTGCTTGAACTAGGGCTTTTGAATACGGTCTTAAAGCTTTGGACTAGGGGTATACTTTTACAGAGCAGACTATTACTATAAAACTTTGCGTTTTTTGTTATAGTAATTACTATAATAGGGTAGAGGATTAATTAAAAGAAGATATTACGTTAGCAAAAGAAAACTTCCTAAAAACTATTGCCTTTTATAATATGTTGTTTTGCAAAACATTAAAATTTTGTTATGGCGATTGAAACCCTTACAAGCCTAAAATAAGCCTGAAAACAAACGCTAAAACTAAAAAAAAGTTGTAAAAATTTTTTTTGGGTAGTAAAGCAAAACTAATGGCAAGAAACTAAAGCATATGTCAAAAAAATTTTTAAATAGTGTTTTCAAAGGAATAAATATGTCAAAAACATCATGTTTATTACAAAAAAAAAAACGTATTTCTACTACACGTTCTAAGCCGTACAAAGATGTTCACGCAACGTTAATTTCCATAGCCAAATATCAAATCGTGTGTAAAGTGCACGTCGATATTATAGTTTATCATTTGGTATTCTGTTGTATGACAGTAGAATTAAAAATTTGTCGTATAAAAAAGACTTATCATTAATAAAAAAGCTTTTCTACCTTATCATTAATTCCTATCCTGCCTTACAACTAAAAAATAAGGACAATGTTTGTAGACTTAAACAACAAGTATTGTCTTCTTATGCATAAAAAATTTAAAAACGTCCTAAAGATGAAAGAAACATGCAAACATTAAGTCTCACGATATTGTCAAATGATCAAATTGCAATTTATGTTATAGTCCATTTCCGACCGGCCAGATGTTTGTTGCTTTATATAAATGAAGGTTCTTACCCTACCCCTTAATATTTTCTAGTCACACCTAACTTACTAAGCTTATTTATGAGTCTATGACAAAGCCCCAGTAAAACTCAGATCCTAAACACAAGCCTAAATCCACACCTATACCCAAGCTTAAAGATATGCCCAAGCAAAAAGCCTAAACCTAAGCCTAAGACTAAGCCTAAGCCTAAGCCTAAGCCTAAGCCTAAGCCTAAGCCTAAGCCTAAGCCTAAGCCTAAGCCTAAGCCTAATTCTAAGCCTACACCTAAGCCTAAGCCTAAGCCTAAGCCTAAGCCTAAGCCTAAGCCTACACCTAAGCCTAAGCCTAAGCCTGAGCCTGAGCCTAAGCCTAAGCCTAATTTTTTTGTACGTACTATTATATCTTTATCATTCTTAATAAGTAAATTAAAAGATATCAAAATGAAATATAAAATGCCAGTTCCCATTAAAGTATCATTTCAAAGTTGAAAATACTCGATAAGCTATTCATGCAAAATTAATTGACAATTTTATTTTTTTCGAGTGAGAATTCGTAGTAGAATATTATTGTCGAAAATAATAGCAAAAAACGCATGCATATCTAAGAACGACGGAAAATGGCAATTAAAACGTCTTTCACAGTGAGACCTCAAAATAACATACTTTAAATGGCATGCTATGTTTGTTAAATGTCTAGGTTTGAACCTAGCCTTTAACAATACAGAAATTACAGAGGCTCGTTGTTCCAAATTCATTAAGGATAAACGTAAGCCTTTCTTAATTAAGAAGTGACAAAATTGTCCTTCCAAAGATCTTCTTGCTATTTAGCTCCATATTGTTAAAAAAACTTAATTTAGGCTTATTATAGTAACATACTATTAAAATACTATGTAATTAGTATATAATCGTCATAATGATATTATACTAATTAAAACATAGTGTTATAGCTTTCTATGGGAACACTGTACTATAGCTTATCATTATAACTATGTACTATAGCTTTCTATGGTAACACTATGCAACACTATATTGATATATGTGCCAAAGTTTAATTTTTTTGTAATATTGCATAATAAGGTTCCTGCAGTATCATACTATATTACGATACAATTTTAGCACGAGCAAACATTGTAACTACATACAAAACAGAATTGTGCTTACAATATAATGTTTGTATTTCATAAACAAAAAGTACAATATCAATATGAACAGTTGGTTCTTAACACCACAACTGTGTTTTGCTCATCATTTTCTGTAATTAAAAAGAACTATAAGCCTAACTACGCCTACATACACATACATGAAGGTTAATTTGTAGTTCTGTCGCGAGGTCCCTGAACTCATTAATTTAGTTTTAATAAACCTCTCCCTCAAGTTAAAATAGATTTGTATTATACATTCTAGCATAACTCAACGCTATTTTTGTCATTTGTAGCAATATATTAAACTTATTGTAATATATTTTGCAAAAATATATGAGTACGGTTCCATAAGATCAATATTACAAAACCAAACGTTAAACTTAATAAAAAACACTCCTGCTTTCTGAGTCTAAAACAAGCCAAATTTTTTGGCTACTATTTCTTAAGCATAGCTACTATTCTTAAGCCTACGTCAATCCAGTTTAAACCCTCAAACTTAAGCCTAATCTTCTTAAACTCAGGTTATAAGCCTACATAAGATAATTATAAGTGCATTAAGCTTAAACCAATGCTTACTACGTTTACGCCTATCAAAACTAAAGTTATTCATACTAAACGCATTAAGTCAACGTCTACAGGGCCGGGCGGGGACTTTTGGTCTGGGGGCGGGGGTCCATAAAATCAGCACAGGTAGCTGCTGCCTGTGCCGATTTTTTTTGCGAAATTTTTTTCCCTGAACGTCTACATAGTATTCCAAGCCTATGTCTTCTAAAAACATGGCCAGACCTTCCTTTACATACTAAACCTTCATCCCGCAAAAACTATTAGCTCTTCGCTTACCTAGCCAGATTATATCAATGAAAACATGCTATTGCCTAATATTGACAATATAAGTAGGTAGCCTTAGAGAAATTGCAAGAAATGGTATTACGCAACGTTTTCTTATGTAATATTTTGAAATTTTGTATGACTTGACTCGATGTAAAACGACCCAACAAATGACTCCGAGTACTGGGATTTGGCTACAATTTTCACCGAGGGATTACTTTTTCTTTCGCTAGCTACTACGCACTGCAGGTACAAAATAATCGAATAGCTACGTAACAACTTACTAAAATTTTTTAAAAATTTTAAAATAAGTTCTAATCCAAAATAATCGTGTTGGAAATAGCAAAAAAAGCTTATAGAATCAAAACAAAATTTTATATTGTACAAACGAGTAGTTACAATTTGTTTGTTTACTATTGACAAATTTAAAAAGAAAGTAATTATTAGCAAAGAACGACAGATTTAGCTTTTAAGTTTTCAATTTTAAAATTTAATAGTACTATTAGTTACTAAGTATGGTAAATAGTTACTAAGAATGGTAAATAATAGTACGTGGAAAACTAGCCTTCAACCTAGTTCTAAGCCTAGCACAGAGTCATAGCCCGAGAGCCCTAGCCCTAGCCCGACAGCCCTAGCCCAGAGCGCTAGCCCAGAGCCTTAGCCAGCAACGCTAGCCCGGAAGCCCTATCTCGAGAGCCTTAGCCAGAAAGTCTTAGCCCAGAGCCCTAGCCAGGGATCTCTAGCCTAGATCCTTAGCCCAGAGCCTCAGTTAGACATGGCTGCCGGGCCGGGCTTGCAAAAAATTCAGGCGGGCCGGGCCGAGATAAGAAGTACATAATTCAAAGCCAAAAGCAATAACACTGTAATATTATTATTTTTGTATGAATATATATAATGATATTTTAGTACAAAAGACAAGTACAAACCCATTTTTAACATTATTATAATAACCATCAATATTTGTTGGTTATACATAGTACGAACGACATCATATAGAGCAATAGTCATTAAAGAACAACCCTGCCCTACTTGATGGTGAACTGATGCAGTCTACCATAAGGTCCAGTGATGTTGTTTGACTTTTATATTGCTTTTTTATGACATATATTAAAT